ATGGAAGGCCAGCACATTGACTTGGATATAGGCGCACTGAAGCACAAGCTAGTGCTAGATACGGAGACTCCCGAAATAAAAAACTTGACAAACGCAGTCTTTTATGCACTATCTTCCCGCATAAAAAGCTCCCTCAAGAACATCCCAGAGGAAAAGCGTGCTAATACGAATGCGCTAGTGGACACTTTCCTGAAGGAAAACCTCAAAAGAACGTTCAGCACGATAATTAATACACAGTGTGCAGTAAGTCCTGAAACAGTAAAAATCCTCACGAAAGAAGCCACAGCCGAAGTCTCTTCCGAACTTTCACGAGAACTCTCCACTCTAAGCAAAGAAATAGACGCTTTTGCTCTACAGCAGGAGATCACATACCAGCGCATAGAGATGCAAACTGTCAAAAAAAAGATCGAACTGTATAAGCACTGCAAGGAAGCCCAGCAATACATTGTCTCCTGCTGTGAGAAAGTACTCCAGAGCAAAGAAATAAAAAAATTCGACAAGTCCAGGCTCGAACTTGCCCTCGCCCAGGATAAATCCTGCCTGGAAGACTTCACTCAGAGCTTAGATATCCTCCTGATGAAAGAAGAAGAAGACATATCTATTCTGGAAGAAAGTGTAGAGAAAAAAAAAGAAATGCGTTCTGAAGAAAATATTTTAGATTTAGAAAAGTACGCTTTAGATCGGATAGTTGAGAAGTTTAGAGCGCATCTTTCCAATGACAGGCTAAGACCTAACGTGTATTTTTACCTGAAAGAATTGACGGATGAAAACAGCAAGTATATACGAGAAGAGAAGATCGAGGCTTTGGAGAAGCACAGTATAAATAGCAAGGCTGTTTTCTCTGCTAGCAGAATGGCTGAGAAGCTAAGAATAGAAGAAAAGGAGCGCATAAGCATGGGAAAGTTTATGATTCAGTGTGGGCAGGAGATGGTTGAGCAGGTTCATGTCTTGGTAGAGTTCGGGCATGCGTATTTCACAGATGTACTCAACCGGAGTTCGACTTTTGAGCTTGTGAGTCTATTACGGACTGTTAAAATGAATGTGAAAAATTTGCAAGAACCTGAAAAAACGGAACTGAAAGAGTTTTTGATGGTTCTGGAGGACTTCGATTACGGAATAAACTGGATTCGGGACAGCTCCTTCATAGATCTACAAAGAATTAAGGACACCTTGAAAATAGACCATCTACTGGAGAAGCTGTCAGATGCTCGCGTGAGAAACAAATTTGCGCGCTTTAACGATGGTTTTAGGAAAATACTGGAGAAATTTCCGAATGGGGAAACAAAATCCGGTTATGATAAGGCTTTTTATGCCCTGAGAAGCCATCCACGCACAAAACACGAAACGGCAAAGCAGATGCATGACAACGCCATGGAGGCAGAAGAGCATCTTACACGGCTGCGGGGAGTTGATGAAGGAACAACCCGAAAAGACTGTGATCTTAGGGTTGCGGCGTATGAAAAATTTGCAAGGGAAACGGAAATGCCTGATTTTTCAGGTGCTATCGAGAACATACCGCCTGAAAGCCTGGAAGATGGAGTTACTCCGCGTGAGATTAAAGCCATGCTCTCAAATATGAACATACTCCATGACATATGCACTGAAGAGCTGGAAGATGAAGCCAGAACAGATTCTGAGAAAGAAGTTTTGAGGAAAAGTCTACCAGAAATTGAAGAAAAGATACAGGTTCTTAACCAGAAACTTCGTTCATTCAACAAGGAGCTAAGCGAAGAAGAAGCCCAAAAGAACGAGTGTCTCCGTTACGCTTATCTGACAAAGTATAAGAATGAGTGTCTTAAGCGCATATTCACAGTCACAAAGAACGTAGAGGCTGAAATGGTCCCACTGGCTAAGGAAGTTATGAAGGAAATTGAAGAGACCCCGAATAGCCCAGAATTTAACGAAAAAGTGGAAAAAATGCTTGAAGAAATAATTGAAAAGGAGCCTCATCGTCTGCTGACTCCGGAGTTTATCGTTGAAAACGAATACTTTTGGGAAGAACTGCCAAAGACGGTAGATCAGCTCGATAGAGAGATAGCTGAAGCTTTGGGGGGAAGTTCGGGCGAGGGAACGGGTGGAAAATCCAAGTACCACTTTACGCTTCAAAATTCGATCCTCGCACTTTTTTTCGTCTTTATGATTCTGTCTCTGGGGCTGGTATGCAATTCGGAATTTGCGTGAGAAAAATAAAAAATAAGCCCATTTACTATTCTGTGTCTATAAAGTACTGCGCTGCTGACATCTGCCATTTATTACACGACGTGTAGTAAGTCCTGCCAGATAATGTATGCTGTGCAGAAAATAGTGCCAAATATTTTATTTTTCAGAGGCTGTGGGATAACTGATATTTTCGAGAATTGATATTTCAAAGTATAAATACTCAGAAAAAAATAAAAAGCATGAAAAAGATTCAGCACATTGGCATAAAATCAAAGCAACTGAGACACCTACTATTCCTAGATGCAGTAGAGTCCGAAGCAAAAGGCCCAACAAACACAGTCCTAAACGCAATCTCCCCCCACATAAAAAACTCCCTCAATGACATCCCAGAGGAAAAGCGCTCGGAAGTCAATGCAGAAGTAGATACTTTCCTGCAGAAAAACCTAAAGCCGATATTCAGCACAATAGCAAAAAAGTACTGTGTAGTAAGCCCTAAACTAGTTGAAATTTTCACGAAAGAAGCCACGGCAGAGGTTCCCTCCGAACTCGCCCACGGAATCCCCGTCATACGCACAAAAATAATAGAGCCTTATGGATTAAGACAGGAAGTTACATACGAGGACTTCTCTACGCAAAGCCTAAAGAAAAATATCGAACTGACTAAGGCATACAGGGAAACACAGAGACTGGCTATTTTCCACAGCGCAAAAGCAATTCAGAGCAAAGGAATTACAAAGTTCAACAAGACCCAGCTCAAAACTTATCTTTCTGAGGATAAAAATAATCTGACAAGACTCAATTCAGTTTTAAATGACCTTCTGAAGGAGAAAGAAGAAAAAGAAGAAAAAGAAAAAGAAAAGTGTGCTGAAGAAAACAGCTTGGATTTAAAAAAGTACACTTTAGATCGGATAATAGAGAAGGCCAAAGGATATTACTCCAGCGACGAGTTCAATCAGAGTCTGTACTTTGCCCTGAAGGAAATAGTGAAAGAAAACGGAAAAAACATAACCACACCCAAGCTGCAGTTTATGCTGGCTTACAAGAATTCTCCTTCCGCTGAGAGAGTGGAAGCAGCAGAAAAGAACTGTGTATACAGGAAAATGTCCTTGGTTGAGTTTTATGAGAACGTGCATGGTCCTTTGGGGGATGTAATAGACGATTTCTATGCGAATTTTAGAAGTATAATCAGCCTGGACGCAGGTTCTAAGCTTACACATATGCAATGGAAGGCTAGATCCGACATAAAAGAAGATTTTGAAGAATCTGAAAAGGCGGAAATAGAAGAGTTTTTGGATGCTATGGAGGAGTTTGACGACAAGATGAACATTATTGTCTATACCTTCTTTGCAAACCTATACAGAATCCATGATGGCTTCAGAATGGCTGATTCTCCGTCAAATATGCTTAGTGCATGGTCGAGGGAAGAGTTTGAGTTTTTTACTAAGGATTTTAAGAAAATGATGGTTAGATTTCCAACTATAGAAACAAATTCAGGTTTCGGCAAGGCTTTTCATGCCCTGATGAGCTGCGCATATAAAAAGAACGAAAGGGCAAGACAGCTGCACAGGAACGCTATGAGGGCAGAAGAATGTCTTGCATTGCTTCGAACGAGTGAAGCAGCAGGAAAGGCTGGGGAGGACTATGAATTCAGGATTTGTGAATATGAAAAATTTGCAGAGGAAAATCCAGTGCCCGAGTTTTCAGGTTCTATCGAAGATATACCGTCTGAAGTCCTGGAAGATGGGGTCACTCCGCGCGAAATCCAAACCACAATCCTATCGCTGAAGATGTTCCATGACATGTACACTGAGCAGCTAAAAGATGAAGCCAAAACAGACTCTGAGAGAGTAGAATTGAAAAAAAGTCTATCAGAAACTGAAGAAAAGATACGGGTTCTTGAAGAGAGAATTCGTTCATTTGCGGATTTAAGCGAGGAAGAAGCCAAAAAGGAAGAGTGTCTTCGTTACGCTTATCTGATGAAGTACAAAATCGAGTGTTTGAAGCATATAGACGTGCTTAAGAAGGAAGCTGAGGCTGAGATGGTCCCACTGGCTAAGAAAGTCATGAAAGAGATTGAAGAAACCCCGAATAGCCCAGAGTTTAACAGAGAAGCAAAAAAAATGCTTGTGAAAGTTCTTAAAAACGAGCCGCATCGCCTTATGACTCCGAGGTTTTTCGTGAGGAATAAACACTTTGCGGAGGAACTGCCAAAGCTGCTGGCTCGGCTTGATGAAAAGATAGTCAAAACTTTAGGAGGAAGTTCGAGCAGAGGAACGGATGAAGGATCCTCGCGCAGAGCTATACTTCGAAACACATTTATTGGGGCTTTCTTAATCACTGTGCTTGGGTCTCTGAAAGCGATATTCAATTCGAAAACTGCATGAGAAAAATAAAAATAAGCTCATTTATTATACAGTGCATATTAAGTGCCTATTATCGCGTATGTAGTAAGTCCTGACAGATAGTGCACGCAGTGCAGTAAGTCTTGCCAATTGTTACACGACGTGTAGTAATTCCTGCCATTTAACACCCGCTGTGCAGAAAATAGTGCCAAATATTTGCCCTGCTTCCCATATATTGGATGATAAATAATATTTCCTGAGAATTGATATGAACTAGTTAGATTTATTTATTGAACAATTTCCTACGCACACAGCTGTTTTTAACATGCAATGGCGCTTTTTGGGACTCTTTGCGAAAAGAAAAAAGAAAAACGGAAAGACAGTTCCAAGTTGCTTATTCTCTTCGCTCTTCATCCGCTCCTTTCACCTGTCTGTTCCGCAACTTCCTATGCAGCCTGTTGTATGCTGAAAGCATAGTTGCTCGTAATTGTTATTGCTTAATTCGGGTTAGTTAAGGACTCTTCCTGTATTACAACTCTTAACGTTATATTCTTCTTATATTTTTGCATTTTAAATTGAACTTGCTCGCGTATTTATGCTTTGAGCGAGCACTAATGATCTCAATTTCTTCGCATCCACATCAGAAATGTTTTATCGTGATCTCGCCGTCTCCGATCATGTGGGAATTCCAATAGTTCGCCACAAGGGGATATATTAAATACATAAATATTTAATCACTTCGAGAAATAGTGAAGAGTACACTTTCATTTAACACGTCTACTTTTGTAACTAATCATGTTTTAAAAGTATAAATAGAAAGTAAAATTCAAAAAGCATGAAAAAAAACAGACACATCAACTTAGATGTGGATACACTGAAGCACGAGCTACAGCAAGAGACAGCAACCCCTAAAGCAACAGACTCACCCGTAGTCTTTGCAGTGCTTTCTTCCCGCATAAAAAACTCCCTCGAGGACGTCCCAGAGGAAAAGCGTGCTGAAGTCAGTGCGCTAGTGGACGCTTTCCTGCAGGAAAACCTTAAAAACACATTCAGCACGATAATTAATACACAGTGTGCAGCAATTCCTGAAACAATCAAAATACTCACGAAAGAAGCCGCATACGAAGACTCTCCCGAACTCTCACGAGAACTCTTCAATCTAAGCAGAGAAATACGCGCTTTCATTAGACAGCAGGAGATCGAATACAGAAACTTCTCTATGCAAACTGTCAGAAAAAAGATCAAACTGTATAATTACTGCAAGGAAGCCCAGCAATACACCATTTCCCGCTGCACGGAGATACTCCAGAACAAAACAATAGAAAAATTCGACAAGACCAAGCTCGAACGTGCCCTTGCCCAGGAAGCTGAAGCATTAGAAGTCTTCGATCAGGGCTTAAACAGACTCCTGAAGAAAGAGGAAGAAGACATATCTGCTCTAGAAAAGGCTATGGAGAAACAGGATATATTGTGTGCTGAAGAAAATATTTTAGATTTAGAAAAGTACGCTTTAGATCGGATAGTTGAGAAGTTTAGAGCGTACTGTTCTAATGACAGGCTAAGACCTAACGTATATTTTTACCTGAAAGAATTAACGGATGAAAACAGCAAGTATATACAATCAGACCAGATAGAGTTTTTGGAGAAGTACAGGCTAAATAGCAAGTCTATTTTCTCTGTTAGAGGGATGGCTAAGTATCTATGCGCAGTAGAACCGAAGTGCTTAAGTGTGGGAGAGACCATGTTTGAGTGTGCGAAGAAAATGAATGATATGGCTCAGCGTTTGCTACAGTTTGCGCGTATACAATTTGCAGATGCAATATTCCAGAATTCAGTCAGTGCGGCTATGAGTATATTCCGGACTGCTAAAATGAAGATGAAAGAAGACTTGCAAGAACCTGAAAAAACAGAAATGGAAGAGTTTTTGAAGGTTCTGGTGGAATTATATCGCGGGATAGACTCGATTCGGACCACAGCCTTCAAAGAACTGAACATGATCGAGGACACCTTGAAAATAGACCATATACTGGAGATACTGTCAGATACTCGCGTGAGAAACAAATTTGCGCGCTTTAACGATGATTTTAGGAAAATACTGGATAAATTTCCAAATGGGGAGATAAAATCAGGTTATGAAAAGGCTTTTTATGCTCTGAAAAACCATCCACGCACAAAACACGAAACGGCAAAGCAGATGCACGACAACGCCATGGAGGCAGAAGAGCATCTTACACGGCTGCGGGGAGTTGATGAAGGAACAACCATGAAAGACTGTGATCTTAGGGTTGCAGCGTATGAAAAATTTGCACGGGAAACGGAAATACCTGATTCGGGTTATTCAGGTGCTATCGAGAACATGCCGCCTGAAAGCCTGGAAGATGGAGTTACTCCGCGTGAGGTCAAAGCCATGCTCTCAAATATGAACATACTCCATGACATATGCACTGAAGAGCTGGAAGATGAGACCAAGTCTGAGTCTGAGAAAGTAGAATTGAAGAAAAGTCTATCGGAAACTGAAGAAAAGATACGGATTCTTAACCAGAAACTTCGTTCATTTGCATGTTTAAGCGAGGAAATAGTTCAAGAAAACGAGTGTCTCCGTTACGCTTATCTGTATAAGTATAAGAATGAGTGTCTTAAGCACATATTCACACTCCAGAAGGAGGCAGAGGAGGAAATGGTCACACTGGCTAGGGAAGTTATGCGGAAAATTGAAGAGACCCCGAATAACCCAGAATTTAACGAAAAAGTGGAACAAATGCTTGAAGAAATCATTGAGGAAGAGCCCCACTGTCTGTTGATTCCGGAGTTTATCGTTGAAAACGAATACTTTTGGGAGGAACTGCCAAAGATGGTAGATCAGCTTGACAAGAAGATAGCTGAAACTTTGGGGGAAAGTTCGGGCGAGAGATCGGGTGTAAAACGCAAGTACCACCTTACGCTTCAAAATTCGATCTTTATGCTTTTCTTCATATTTATGCTCCTGTCGCTGGGCCTGGTATGCAATTCGGAATTTGCGTGAGAAAAATAAAAATAAGCTCATTTATTGCACAGCGTACATTAAGTGCCCATTATCGCGTGTGCAGTAAATCTTGCCAGATAGTGCACGCTGTGCAGAAAGTCCTGCCACTTAATATGCATTCTGCAGAAAATAGTGCCAAATATTTATTTATTTTCCATATATTAGATGATAAATGATGTTTTCCTAAATAATATTTCCTGAGATTTGATATTTAAAAGTATAAATACACAGAAAAAATAAAAAACATGGAAAACAATCAGCACATTAAGATAGATATAGGCCAACTAAGACGCATGTTATTCTTATATGTAACAAGGCCTGAAGCAAGTGGCCCAACAAACACAGTCATAGAAGAAGCACTGTCTTCCCTCGTAAAAAAGTCCCTCAAATATATCCCAGAGAAAAAGCATACCAAAATTGAAGCATTAGTAGACACTTTTCTGAAGGAAAATCTCAAAAGAACGTTCAGCACATTCAGCGAAGCAGCTAGAGAGCACTGTGTAGTAAAACCAGAAGATCTAGAGATCCTCGTGAAGGAGCTTACAGCAGAAGCTCCCACCAAACAGTCAGACTCAAGTGCAGGAGCAGTTTATACTTTAAAGCGGGAATCCACATACGAAGACTACTTCAATGCTCACAGGGAAAAGATAGAAGTGTGTAAGACGCATATAAAGGCCCAGAAACTAGTTAACATTCACTGCGAGAAAATATTCCAGAGCAAAGGAATAAAAAAAATTGACGAGATCAAGCCCCAGCTCGAACTTGCGCTTGAAAAGGACAAAGCCCGTCTGAAAGGATTCACTAAGACGCTGGAAAACCTTCTGAAGGAAGAAAAAACTCTAATTTCTCTGGATATTCATGCGAAGAAAAAAGAAATCCGTACTGGGGAAACTATTTCAGATGTGGAAAAGTACACGTTAGATCGGATAGTTGAGAAAGTTAGAGCGCATCTTTCTAATAATCAGCACAAACAGAGCATATACTTTGGCCTAGAGGAAGTAATTCGATTCAGAAAAAGGATGACCGGGAGTGACCGGATGTTTATGGAGGAGAGTTGCCTGATATATGGTGAGAATGGGTTCTTTGATAAGAAAAGGCTTGAAACAGAGAGAGAAGCCAGGTATAGGACGATGAGCTTAGCTGACTTTTACGAGGAGATGAATGGTCCTGTTGAGAATACGTCAGATAAATTCTTCAAGTATATTAAGGGCCTGATCGACATGAATGCAGCTTCTGTGATTATGGAAATGGCGTACAAGATTAAGTCCAAAGCAGAAACAGTGCAGGGACCTGAAAGGGAGGAAATAGAGAAGATTATGCAGGAGATGATGGAGTTTATGTACATGATAAACATTATCCACTTGGCACTCTTTTCAGACTTATACTGGATTCACAACTCCTTCCAAGTGAAGGATTCTCTGGAGAACGGATTTAGTGCATGGATGAAGGGGAACTTCAGGTTCTTTCCGGATAAATTCAAAAAAATAGTGGCTGGATTTCCTAATGTGGAAATAAATTCAGGTATTGGGAAGGAATATCATGCTCTGATAAGCTACGCAGGCAAATATAACGAAAGAGCAAGGTGGATCCACAGGAACGCTATGAAGGCAGAAGAATATCTTGCATTTCTTCGGGTGAATGATGCGGGCGAGCCAAGGATGGAGTGGACTTCCAGGATTCTTGAATATGACAAGTTTTCAACGAAAAGTTTTGTGCCTGAATGTTCAGGTTCGATCGAAAAAACATCGCCTGAAAGCTTGGAATATGAGGTCACTCCGCGGGAAGTCAAAGGCATGATCTTATCGCAGAACTTATTCCGGGATATGTACATTGAAGAGTTAGGAGATAAAGCCAAAACAGAGTCTGAGAGAGTAGAATTGAAGAAAAGTCTATCGAAAACCGAGAAAACGATACAGCTTCTTAACAAGAAACTGCTTTCATTTGGGAAGCTAAGCAAGGAAGAAGCCCAAAAGAAGGAGGAGTGTCTCCGTTATGCGTGTCTGCAGAAGTACAAATATGAATGTATGAAACGGATAGAGATGCTTAAGAAGGAAGCTGAGGCTGAAATAACCCGGCGGGCTAAGGATATTATGGAGAAGATTGAAGAAATCCCGAATAACCCGAAGCTTGTTGAAAAAGCAAAAAAATTGCTTGAGAAAACTCTTGAGAATGAGCCCCACCGTCTTATGACCCCGGAGTTTTTCCTGGAGGCTGTGCCCTTTTTGGATGAACTGCCGGATCTGATGAATAAGCTCGATGAAGAGATAGTCAAGGCCTTGAAGGAAACCTCTGATGAAGGAACTGATGGAAAACGCCAGCAGTATATTACGCTTCAAAATTCTATCTTTATGCTCTTCTTCATCCTTACGCTTCTGTCGCTGGGACTGCTGTACAACTCGGGAACTGTGTGAGAAAAATAAAAAATACTGGCATTTACTGTTCTGGGTGGAGAAAGTACTATTTATTGTGCAGTGCAAAGTATGTGCTATTTAGTGCATACTGTGTGGAAATACCAATTGTTTTTGTCTGCTATTTTTATGTACTGTATAGGAAGTATTGCGCTGTTTTTGTCTGCTATTTTTATGCACTGTATAGGAAGTATTGCGCTGTTTTTGTCTGCTATTTTTATGCACTGTATAGGAAGTATTGCGCTGTTTTTGTCTGCTATTTTTATGCACTGTATAGGAAGTGACAATCAATATATATGTGCAAAAATTCTGGCATTTTCTGCATAATATATAAAAAATGGCAGCAAATCATTATCACTGCTTTTTAGACACTAAGCAATAGATGATATTTTCAAAGTACAAATACTCAAAACTTTTTAAAAAGCATGTACATTTGCTTAAACATAGGTAGGCTGAAAAAAAGGCTATTAGAAGACACAGCAAACATTAAAACAACGGACTCAGCAAGCCTAGTCCTAAAAGCACTTTCCTCCCGCATAAAAACCTCCCTCGAAAACATCCCAGAGGAAAAGCGTACTAAAATTGAGGCAATCGTAGACACTTTCCTGCAGGAATTTCTAACCCGAATATTAGCTAAAATAGCCAACAATCACTGTATAGTAAGTCCTGAGACACTGGACATCCTCACGAAAGAAGCCATAGCAGAAGTTCCCTCCGAACTCTTGCACGGATTCCCCACCTTAAGCACGCTCGAAGGATATGACACTTTCAAGCAGAGAGTCGTATACGAGAACTTCTTTATGCACGCTCTCAATAAAAAGATCGAACTGTATAAATACTACAAGAAAGTCCAGCAGTATATCATCGCCTGCAGCACTGCAATGCTTCAGAGAAAAGAGATGGATACAGCCAGAAAGTGCAGCGTCGAGCCCCTCCTCTGCCAAGATAGCAACAAATTAAAACGCATTACTGCGACGTTAAATGACCTCCTGAAGGAAGAAGAATTCAGGACTGCTTTAGGAAAGACTATGAAGAAAGAAAAAATGTGTACTGACGAAAGTATTTTAAATATGGAAAAGTACACTTTAGATCGGATAGTTGAAAAATTTAAAGCGTATTTCTGCAGTGGGGAGTATAGTCGGAGTCTATGCTTTGGCCTGAAAAAACTAACGGAAAACAACGGAAAGTATGCATCCGGCCAGGCACACTTTATACAGGGCTTTGAAGTGCATAATAAGGATGTTTTTTCTGACGATAAAATATCCGCAGAAGAAAAGGAGCGTATATACGGGGAAATGTGCATAGTTGGTTTTTATGAGAGCGTATCTGGGCTGATTCGGGTTGTAATAGACCGCGAATTCGGGGAATTTCTAACTCTAATCGGGCTGTCTTCTGCCTGTGCGATTATAGAGACATGTCAGGAGGTTGACTCCCACATACAAACTTTGCAAGAACCTGAAAAGTCGGAAATGGAAAGGTATTTGAAGGATTTGGAGGGGTTTCGCAAGCACATTCAGGCTGTTCATAACACATTTTTTGCAAACCTATACAGAATTCACGACTTCTTCCAAATGGTTGATTCCCCGTCAAATACTGTTAGCGGGTGGGGGAGAGAAACATTTGCATTTTTTAACGTTAATTTTAAAAAAACAGTGGATAGATTTCCCAATGTGGAAACAAATTCAGGTTTTGGGAAGGCTTTCCATGCCCTGATGAGCCATGCAGACGCAAAAAACAAAAGGGCCCGGCAGATGCACAGAAACGCTATGAAGGCAGAAGAATGCCTTGCAAGAATGAATGAGCTTGATGAAGGCACATCCAGGGAGGACAGGGACCGCAGGGTGGATGAATACAAAAAGTTTGCAAGGGAAAATCCAGTGCCTGGTTTTTCAGGTTCTATCGAGGGTATTCCGCCTGAATCCCTGGAATATGGGGTTACTCCGCGCGAAATCAAAGCCATGCTTTCAGCTATGAAGATATCCCTGGGTGTATACACTGAGCAGCTAAAAGATGGGTCCACAACAGAGTCTGAGAAAGTAGAGTTGAAAAAAAGTCTATCGGAAACTGAAGAAAAGATACGGGTTCTTGAAGAGAAACTGTTTTCATTTGCGGATTTGAGCGAGGAAGAAGCCCAAAGGGAGGACTGTCTCCGCTACGCGTATCTGATGAACTATAAAATCGAGTGTCTTAAGCATATAGACGTGCTTAAGAAGGAAGCTGAGGCTGAACTGGTCCCACTGGCTAAGGAAGTCATGAGAGAGATTGAAGAAATCCCAAATACCCCAAAATTTAACAAAAAAGTGGAAAAAATGCTTGAGACAATTCTTAAAAAGGAGCCTCACCGTCTGCTGACTCCGGAGTTTATCATCAAAAACGAATACTTTTTGAAGGAATTGCCAGAAGTAATGGCTCAGCTCAATAAAGAGATAGCCGAGGTTTTGAAGGAAACTCCGGGCGAAGAAGCGGGCGGAAAACAGAAGCACCAGCTTACGCTTCAAGCTTCAATCTTCATACTTTTTGCTATCTTTGTGCTTCTGTCGGTGGGGCTGGTGTGCAATTCGGAGGCTGCGTGAGAAAAATAAAAATAAGCCCATTTACTGTTCTGTATGTAGAAAGCACTGTTCGTTGGCTGTCTGCTATTTATTGTGCGGTGCATAGAAAGTGAACATTGTTTTCAGTGTGTACAAAGTACTGCAGTGCCATTGCTTCTCTGCTGTTTATTGTGCAGTGTGTATAAAGTGCTGCACTGCTGTCATCTGCTAATTATTGCACAGTGTCATTCTGTGCTATTTATTACGCCATGCGCAATAAGCTCTGCCATTTAATATACAGTGCATAAAATAGCAGCAAATATTTAATTTTGCTTTTTACGTACTCTGCGTTGATTAACTAGCAGCTAAAGTATAAATAGACCCCGAATAACCAGAAGAAATGGAAAAAAACCGACACATCGCCTTAGACAATAGCAAGATAAAGTGCAATCTATTACTAGACGCAGCAAACACCAAAACAACAGACTCAAAAGACACAGTCCTAAAAGCACTCTCCTCCCGCATAAAAGACTCCCTCAGAAACATCCCAGAGGAAAAGCGTGCTGAAGTTGAGGCATCCGTGGACACTTTCCTGCAGGAGAGACTAGAAAGCACATTCAATACGATAATTGGTGCACACAGCACGATATGTTCCGACATGGTTAAAATTTTCACGAAAGAAGCAGCAGCCGAACTCCCCTCCGAATTCTCACATGAACTCTCTATCCTAAGCACAGAAATAGACGTTTTCATTCTACAGCAGGAAATCCTGTACGAGAAATACGTCCAGAAAGCTCTCACTGCAAGAATAGGCGCAGAAGCCCTTTTAAAGGACGCCCACGGAGTGATTCTCTCCTGCTGTGAGAAAGTACTCCAGAGCAAAGAAATAAAAAAATTCAGAAAGTCCAGGCTCGAACTCGCCCTCTCCAAAGACAGAGATAAACTGGAAAAACTCACTGCGACTTTAGACGCCCTCCTGAAGAAAAAAGAAGAAGGCAGAATCACTCTAGAAAAGACTGTGGAGAAAAAAGAAAAAATGTGTAGTAGAAAAGATGCCCTGGACACTTTTAGCTCTTTCACTGTAGAAAGAATGATTTTTGAGCGGGTATTTGAGAAGATTCAGAGATTTTTCTCTAAAGAGGCGCATAGTCCCAGCGCGTATGCTTCCCTGAGGAAAATAATGGAGGAAAGGAGGAAGTTCTTGTTTTCGGATCTCGTGGGGATTTTACAAGAGCATACCCCGAATAACCCGAAAGTCTCTGCTACGGAAGTCTCTGAGAAAATAAAAGCAACGGAGCAGGAGCATCTGAGTGGGGGAAATGGCAGGTCTGCAAGTGCGAAAACCCTGGAGAAAGAGGCCAAGAGGGCAATGGAGGATGCGTATGAGCACTTTGCGGGCATAGAACTTGCAGACTCGGTTTTTGAAGTCGCGTGCCTGATCGAGGATGCTGAAAAGGAGGTGAAAAAATTGCATGGACCTGAAAAAACGGGAATGAAAAATTTTATCGGCAACTTGCAGGAGTTTGTTTCTCGGGTAAAAGTGCTTCAGAAGTCCTCCTTCGGGACTCTGCACAAAATCATCGACGAGTTCAGCGCGGACTTTTCGCTGCAGAAGTTGCTGGGGAAGTCTGAGTGTGCGGAACTTGCACTTTTCAACGACTCTCTTGAAAAAATACTGGCTAAATTTCCAAATGAGGAAATAAATTCAGGTTTTGATAAAAGTTTTCTGCGCCTGGTAAACTTCTTCGGCGCAAAAAGCGAAGCAGCAACGCGGGTGCACGACAATGCAATGGAAGCAGAAAACTGTCTTGTGACTCTGTGTGGGATCAAAAGAGGCGAGACCTTACGCGACCGGAACCACAGAATTTTAACGTATGAAAAATTTGCAAAAAAAACGGCCTTACCTGACTTTTCAGGTTCTATCGAAGGTATATCGCTCGAAAGCCTGGAAGATGGGATCTCTCCGCACGAGGTCGAGCATATTCTTTCAGAGCTTAGAATGGACATGGATTTATACGCTAAAGAGCTAGAAGAGGCCAAATCAGACTCCGAGAGACAGCATTTGGAAGAACATCTGTCGAAAGTCAAGGAAATGCTGCCCCTTCTTAGCCAGAAACTTCGGTCTTTTAAGGGGTTAAGCAAAGAAAAAGTGCTGAAAATCGAGTGTTTCCGTTACGCTTACCTGATGAAGTACCAGAGAGAGCCTTAAGCACGCTGAGATGCTCAGGGAGGAACTTGAGGCGGGAATAGGCCCACTAGCCTTCCAGTTTGTGAGGGATTTTGAAGAAACCCCGAATAACCCGAAGCTCGTGGAAAAAGTGGAAAAAATGCTTAGAAGGATCGTTGAGAAAGAGCCACAGCGTTTTTTGACTCCGGAGTTTATCATCGAAAATGAACACTTTTTGGAGGAATTGCCTAAAGTCGTAGATCAGCTCGATAAAAGAATAGCTGAGGCTTTCGGGGGAAGATCAGGCGAGAGAGCGGGTGGAAGACGCGGGCGCATTAGTAGAATTCAAAGAGCGATATTTGGGGGTCTATCCGTGTTTATGCTTGCGTCTCTGGGGCTAATATGCACTTCGGAAACTCTATGAGAAAAATAAAAACAATGCGGTTTATTGCATAGCGCATAGAAAATAAGTTGCACCGGCTGCCTGCCATTTAGTGTGCGCTGTGTGGAAAGTGCTGGGCATCTCTTATCTGGCATTTGGTGCGCAGTGCGTAAAAAGCAGTGCTCTGCTGTTGCCTGTTGTTTACTGCACACGGTGTACAAACCCTGTTATTTAATATAGAGCGCGCAAAAAACAACAACAAATATTAAATTTTATTTTTTGCTTACTGTATACAAATCAACAACTGCCCTAAGTATAAATATAAATAGAGCCCGAATAACCCGAAGCCATGAAAACTCGCCGACATATAAGCCTAGATCATAAAAAGATGAAAGAATGGTTGGTATCCGCATGTAGAGAGCAAGCAGACACAACAGAAACACTCCTAAACGCAGTTTCCTCGCGCCTAAAGAACTCCCTCAGGAACATCTCCAGGAAAAGGCACGCTGAAATTGAAGCATTGATAGAAACTTCCCTGCAGGAAAGACTAGAACCCGTATTCCGCAAGATAGTTAGCACACACTGTGTAATAAGCCCAGAAGATCTGGAAATCCTCACGAAAGAAGCAGCAGCCAAATTCCCCTCCCAATTCGCACACAAACTCTCCAGTCTTAGCACAGAAATAGACGCTTTTACTCTCAACCAGAGGATTCTATACGAGAAGTACGCCCTGCAGGCTCAGACGGTAGCAATGCGAGTCTTCGGTCTTTTGAAGGAAGCGCTCGAATTGATTCTTTCCCAGTGCACGAAAGCACATCGGAAGAAAAAAATCAAAAATCCAGGGCTCGAACCCGCCTTCTTCAAAGATAGCTCCATATTACAGGATATATCCACGTTCTCAGCCGGAAGAAAGGAAAGCAGTCTTATGCTGGGAGGGGCTGTGGAGAAGAAGGGAGAAATGCGCACTCGGAAGAACATTTCTGATTTGGAAGGGCCTGTTTTGGAGGGAGTGCTTGAGATGATTCGAAGCGGCTGCTCTAATGGTAGAAGCAGGTCCAGTCTATATTTTTACCTGAAAGAAATAACGGAAAATAACGGAAAGAGCATAGATATAGAGAAGATAGACTTTTTGCGAAAGCACACCCCGAATAACCCGGAGCGTATTTTTTCTGTTGGGGAATTCGCTGAGAGAATAAAAACAGCAGAAAATGAGTGCTTGAGGGAGGGAAGACGACTGTCTGACAGGGCGAAAGAAGTGGAAGAAAAGGCCAGGGAGATAGTATATAGTATGCGGGAGCACTTTGAACACATACTAACTCAGAGACTGGTCTCTGAAATTATGCAGTTGGTTTCGGACGCTGAAAAGGAGGCGGGAAAATTGCAGGGTCCTGAAAAAACGGAAATGGAAAAAATGGCGGGGTACCTGAAAAGTCTTGTTCTTCGGGTAGAACTGTTTCTGAATTCCTCCGGGAATCTTTTGAATGAAGTTTCCAGGTGCTTTAACGCGGACTATTTGCACATGAAGCTGTCGGGTAGGGCTGTGGCAAGAAAGTTTGCGCGTTTTAACGGGGCTTTTGAAAAAATACGGGATAAATTTCCAAATGCGGAAACAAATTTAGGTTTTGCCGCGGCTTTGCAGAACCTGATAGACCATCAAAACGCAATATGCGAGAAGACAGAGCAAATACACGGCAATGCGAAGGAGGCAGAGAACTGTCTTATGATGCTGGCCCAGCTCATAGAAGGCGAGACTTTGGAAGCCCGGGATCTCAGGGTTTCAACGTATGAAAAATTTGCAGACGCAACTAAATTTACAGAATTTTCAGGTTCTATCAAAGATATAACGTCTAACCGCCTGGAAGATGGAGTTACCCCGCGTGAAATCAGAGTTATGCTTTCATCTCTGAAAATATACGAGAAGACATACACCAGGCAACTAAAAGCCGAATATATGCCCAAGACAGACGCTGAGAGATTGCGGCTGGAAGAAAGTCTATCGGAAATTGAAGAAAATGTACAGTTTCTTGAACAGAAACTTTCTTTATTCGGGGATTTGAGCGAGGAACAGGCCCAAAAGGAGGAGTGTCTTCGCTACGCATATCTGCATACGTATAAGAGCAGCTGCTTGTCGCATATGGATCTTCTTCGGGAGAAGCTACAGGCTGAGATGGTCCTACTGTCCTTAGAAGTTATGGAGAAAATCAAGGAAACCCCGAATAACCCAGAGCTTATTGAAAAGGTGAAAAACAGGCTTGAGGATGCCCTTAAAAATGAGCCACTGAGTCTGCTAACTGCGGAGTTTGCCGTTGAAAATGAATACTTTTGGGAGGAATTGGCAAATGTGGTAGATCAGCTCGATAAAGAGATAGCCGAAGTTCTGAAGAAAGGCTCAGATGAAGGAACTCGGAGCTGGGTTGCGCTTCAAAGCTCGATCTTTGGGCTTTTCTTCGTCTTTATGCTTCTTTCTCTGGGGCTAATGTACAACTCGGGAACTGCTTGAAAAATAAAAATAAAGCCATTTAATGCTGAGTGCGCAGTAAGTACTTTGCGTTGCTTCTCTGCTATTTATTAGACAGCGTGCATTATGCGCTATTTATTGTGCAGGGTGTACAGAGAAATAGCATGGCTTGTGCGCTATTTACTGCACGGCGTGTAGAAAGTTCTGCATTCGTTTTTCGGGCACTTACTGCACGGTGGATAGAAGGTAGAAGCATGGCCGGTGTGCTATTTACTGCACCGTGCGCAACAACTAATGCCAACTAATGTGCAGTGCGCATCAAATAGTGCACGGTTGCCGTCTGCGAATTCTTACACGCTCGCGCAAAATTCTGTAATTTAATATAGAATGCATAAAAACAACAGAAAATCGCCATATTTACTTTTTATACACTATGCAACAAATCATAATTTCAAAGTATAAATACTCAAAACTTTTTACAACGCATGGAAGAAGATAACCAACACATTAGATTGGAACTAGACACGTTGAAGCACAAGCTACAGGAAAGTGCAGCAGACCTAGATGCAGACGACTCGATACAAGTGGTCTTAACCGCACTTTCCTTCCACATAAAGAAATCCCTCAAGAAAGTCCCCAGAAAAAAGCGTACTGAAGTTAAAGCATTAGTGGACGCTTTTCTGCAGGAAAATATACCCCCGATCTTCAGCAGAATAGCCCAAGCACACTGTGCAATAAGCACAGAAGAACTGGAAATCATCGCAAAAGAAGTCATAGCAGAGCTTCCCTCCGAACTCTCGCAAGAACTCTCCGTCTTATGCGACGAAATAGACGCGTTCACTATCAACCAGAGGATTCTATTCGAGCAATACGTCCAGAGGATTCTCTCCAAAATGAGAAAAATACTTACACTTTTAGAAGGAATCTACGATATGGCTGTTTTCCACGGCAGGGAAATAAACAAGAAAGAAGCAATGGAGAAGTTCGAGAACCACATGTTCAGCCCGTGGAATACCAAAGAAGTAACTAATTTAATACAGTTCAAGCGGACTCTATGGGGTCTTTTTGCCTGGCAGAAGAAAAGCCAATTCTCTCTATATAGTACTGTGGAGGAAAAAGAAAAAATGCGTAGTACAGAAATCATTTTAAATGTGGAAGAATATATTTCAGAATCTATTCTTGAGAGAATTAAAGCGTACTTCTGCGATGTCGATTATAATCCTAGCATATACTTTTACCTGAGAAAAATAGTGGAAGAAAACAACGGCGAGTATATAACCCCAGAGGATGTGGAGTTCTTGCAGGACGACTACAAGGAAAACATCAAGAAAAAGTGCTCTATTGAGAAAGTACGGAAGAAGATAGAATCTGCTGAAGCAGAGTGTTTATCTGAGGGAGAGCAAAGGTTTGAACGTGCGGAGAGGATGAAGGACGAGCTTGAAAGGACATTTCAGGAGGCACACGAGCATCTTGAAGGTGTACTGACGTGTGATTTAGTCCCGAGGGTCGAAAGACTGCTTGTGGACGTGGAAAAGAAGGTGAAAAATTTGCAAGAACCTGAAAAAACGGAAATGGAAGAGTTCAGGGATGGGCTGAAGGGGGTTATCTCTCAGATAAAACAGCTTCAGGAGTCTTCCCTCGAGATTTTAGACGAATTTGCCGAAAGTCTGAACGTGGATTCCTTTCTGGAGGAGCTGTCTGGTCCGTCGGTGAGAAAAAAGCTAGAGTATTTTAGCGAATCTTTTGAAAGAATTCAGGCGAAATTTCCAAATGCAGAAATACATTTGGGCTACAGAAAAAGTTTGCAGAACCTGATAAGGTGCCTAGTGAAAGAAAACATCCAAAAAAACAAGATAAGCATCGAGATAAAGATAGCAAAAAGATGTTTGGAGTGGATGAAGGAAGAAAATGGCAGCGAGACCAGTGAAGCCCACAACCTCAGGGTTTCGGCGTATAAAAAATTTGAAGAAGAAAATCCGTTACCTGATTTTCCAGAGCATATGAAGGATATCTCGTACGAAGGCTTGTTAGCTGGAGCCATCCCCCTGGAAATCAAGTATATACTTCCAGATATAAAAGATAAAGTGAGGGTCTTAAGTGGTGATACAGCGCCTATTATTCCAGACTTGCAAGAAATGCTACTGGAATTTGAGAGGCACATACGGAATCTCAAACTAAGGCTGGCCTTTTTTGCGACTTCAACCGAAGAACAGGCGCAGAGGGAGGAATGTCTTCGTTACTTGTACCTGAAGAAGTTCATAGAGGATAGTTCTGGGCGCATAGACGTGCTTGAAAAGAGCGTTGATTCGGAACTGGTCTCCCTGGCCTGGGAAGTTATGAGAGAAATTGAAGAAATCCCGAATAACCCGTTCAATGAAAAAGTGGAAAAAATGTTCGAGGAAATAGTTCAGAGGGAGCCGCAGCGTCTGCTAACTGTTGAGTTTATGGTAAAAGATGAACAGTTTTGGGAGGAATTGCCAAAAGTGATAAGCCAGCTCGACAAAGAGATAGCTGAAGTTCTGAAGAAAGACTCGGGTGGAACAGGAAGGCGCATGAGTATGCTCCAGAAGATCCTTTTCAACTGTCTATCCGTCACTATGATTGTAACTCTGGGGATGGCGGCGTACAATTCGGGAACTGCCTAAAAATAAAAATAAGACTATTTTTTATGTACTGTATGGAAAGTATTGGGCTGCTGCTGTCTGTGTTTATTGCACACTGCATATAAAGTATTGTGTTGCTGCCTGCTAATTAATATGCTGTGCATATTAAGTGCCATTTATTGCACACGCGCACAAAATTCTGGCTTTTAGTGGGCAAAGCACAGAAAATAGCAGAAAAAATTATCACTACTTTTTATACACTAAGCAATAGATGATATTTTCAAAGTATAAATACTGAAAGCATTTTTAAAAAGCATGGAAGATAACCAACACATTAGATTAGATCTAGACGAACTGAAGCACAGCCTACTGCAAGAGCTGGAAAACGTCAAAACAGGATATTCGATAGACAGAGTCCTAGCAGCCCTCTCCTCCCGCGTAAAAACCTCCCTCAAAGATATCCCAGAGGAAAAGCGTACTAAAATCAACGAGTTAGTATACACATTCCTGGAGAATTCTCTCAAAAAAACATTCGGGATAATAGCTAAAACACACGGCGTACTAACTCCTGGCGTAGTTGAAATCCTCACGAAAGAATCCACAGCAGAATCCCCCTGCCCACTCACACAAGAACTCTCCATCCTACACAAAGAAATAGAGAGTTTCATTCTAGAGCAGGAACTGGAGTGCGAAGGCTATGTCTATAGAGTTATCTCTAAGAAGAGAGAAATGCTTTCTCACCTACAGAGACTCCACAGCACCATCATCTCCTACTGCACGGAAGTCCTCCAGAATAAAACAATAAAAAAATTCGACAACTCCGGGCTCGAACTCGCCCTCTCCAAAGAAGCAGCCAAAGTAGAAGAAGCCAAGCAGGCTCTAGAGAGTCTTTCAGCTGAAAAGGAGGAAAACGGCCTCTCTCTGTACAACGTCATGATGAAAAAAGAAGAAATGCGCAGGGTATATCTTGTTTTGTATTGGGACATATACGCTTTAAAAAGAGTAGATGATAAGTTCAAAATGTATGCCTATAATAGCACGCACATTTCTAACGTATACTTCTACATGAAAAAAATAGCGGAAGAAAAGAAGGGAAAGCATATATCCCCAGAGGAAGTGGATTTTTTAGACTCTGGCTGGGCACATAGCGACAAGATGTGCTCTATTGAGGAAGCACGGGAGAAGATAAAATCTGCTGAGAAAGAGTGTTTTAGTGAGGGAAAGCGCATGTTTGAGCGTGCAGAGAAGATGTGGAATGGAGCTGATAAGGTGATAAAGAATGTGCGCGAGTATCTCGAGAGTATATTCGCCCAGGGCCCAGTGTATGAGCTTATGAAGATAGTTGAGATCGCTGAAGAGAAGGTGAAAAATTTGCAAGAACCTGAAAAAACGGAAATGAAAAAATTCAGGGATGAGCTGGAGGAGTTTATCTCCCAGGCAAAATTGCTTCAGGGCTCTCCCATAGAGGTTTTAGGCGAAGTTTCCAAAAGTCTGAGCGCGGATTCTTTACTGGAGACGCTGTCTAGTCCGTCTATACGAAAAAAGCTAGCACATTTTAACAAATCTTTTGAGAAAATTCAGGTTAAGTTTCCAAATTCAGATGCGTACTTTAGCTACAGAAAAGCTGTGCAGAACCTGACAGGCTTTTTAAACAGAAGCAGGCGTGGGTACAAAGAGCACTTAATGAAGGCAGAGAAATCTCTTGCATTGTTGCAGGAAGTTGGTAGGGGCGAGACCACGGATGCCCGGTATATCAGGGTTTCTGAGTATGAAAAATTTGCAGAGGAAAATCCAGCACCTGATTTTTCAGGTTCTATCGAAGACATATCGTCTGAGACTCTGGAAAGTGGAGTCACTCCGCGTGAGATAGAAGCTATGCTTTCATCCCTGAGAGCAGTCCAGAAAGCATGCATAAAAGAGCTAGGCGATAAAGGCAGAACAGAGATTGAGAAAATAGGGCTGAAGAAAAGTCTATCGGAAATTAAAGAAGAGATACAGGTTCTTGAACAGAAACTTCTTCCACTTGCAAACTTAAGCGAGGAACAGGCCAAAAAGGGGGAGTGTATTCGATACGCGTATCTGACAAAGTACAAAAGCGAGACTCTTAAGCAGATGGCCGTGCTTGAGGAGAGTCTTGAGACTGAAATTGTCCCACTGGCTTCGGAGATTGTGAAGAAAATTGAGAAAATCCCGAACAACCCAGAATTTAATAAAAAAGTGAAAGAAATGCTTGAGAAAACAGCGGAGAAGGAGCCAAATTCTGTTTTGAATACGAAATCCATCCTGGAAAGTGAACACTTGTGGGCGAAGCTGCCACGTGTGATAGTTCAGCTCGATAAGAAGATAGCTGAAACTTTGGGGGGAAGTTCGAGTGAGAGAACTCGTAGAAAACTCCATTATTCTCTTACGCTTCAAAATTCGATCTTTGCGCTTTTCTTCGTCTTTATGCTCCTGTCTCTGGGGCTGGTGTGCAGTTCAGAATTTGCATAGAAAAATAAAAATAGTGCCAGTTATTACACAGTGTGTAGAAAGTAGTATGCGGTGCTTCTCTTCTATTTGCTGTGCAGTGCAGACTATGTGTTATTTGTTGCGTGGGGTGTAGTAAGTTCTGCCTCTTAGCACACGCTGTGCAATAAGTAGCGCCAGACACCCAATTTTACTTCCCATCGACAGTGCAATAAATCATATTTTCAAAGTATAAATACTGAGAGCATTTTTAAAAAGCATGGAAGAGACCCAGCACATTAACATCGATCTAGACGAACTGAAGCACGAGCTACAGACAAACGCAGCAGACTCACAAGACACAGTCCTAGCAGCACTCTCCTCCCGCATAAAGGACTCCCTCGGAAACATCCCAGAGGAAAAGCGCACTGAAGTTGAGGCATTGGTGGACACTTTCCTGCAGAAAGAATTACTCCCGGTACTCAGCACAATAGTTAGTACACACTGTGCACTAACTCCTGAAGTAGTGGAGATCCTCACGAAAGAAGCGATAGCAGAACTCCCCTCTGAGCTCACGCATAAACTCTACAAATTAAGCGATGAAATGCTCGCTTTTAATTACAAACAGGAATTCGCATACGAGAGCTATGTCTATACAGTTCTCTCTAAAAAGACAGATCTATTCCAGCTATTACGCAACATCCGTAGAACGGTTGTTGTATACTGTACGGGAATACTTCGGAGCAAATCAATGAAAAAAGCGAGAACTTCCCAGTTCGAAAGCGCTCTCTCCAAAGAAAAAGCCAAACTAGAAGATCTCATTCAGGCTCTAAGAAGGGCTTCAGATGAAAAAGAAGAAATCGACCTTTCTCTATCTGTTAATATAATAGCAGATGGTATAACGAAAGAAAAAATGCGTATTGCAAACCCTACTTTAGACTGGAATGCATACGCTTTACAAAAAGTAGCTGAAAAAGTCAAAATGCACGCTCTTAACAGCAAGAAGAACCCTAGCACGTACTTTCTCATGAGAGAAGTAGCAGAAGAAAAGACGGGGCGATATATATCTACAGAGGATGTGGAGGCTTTTCAAACGCACTGGATATACAGCAACGAGGTGTGCTCTATTCAGGAAGTAGCCGAGAAGATAAAGTCTGCCGAGAAAGAGTGTTTGGCTGAGGGAAAGAAAAGACTTGACGCTGCAAAAGCGATGAAGAATGTGGTTGAGAAGATGATAGTGGATGCGCGTGAGTATATCAGCAGCGTATTCAGAGAAGGCCCAGCACCTGAATCTATGAAGATGCTTGAGATCGTTGAAAAAAAGGCGAAAAAGTTGCAAGAACCTGAAAAAACGGAAATAAAAGAGGTCAGGAGTGCGGCGGTGGATCTTTTCATCCAGATAAGATCAGCTCGAAGATCTTTCCTAGAGGCTTTGGATGAAATTTCCAAAGGCCTGGATATGGATTCTTTAGAGGAGGCGCTGTCTAGTCTGTCTATAAGCAAAAATCTAGCAGATTTTAACGAATCCTTTGAAAAAATTCAGGCTAAATTTCCAAATGCGGAAGCACACTTTAACTACAGAAAAGCTTTGCAGAACCTGATAGCCCGAACAAACCGATGCACGGATATATACAACGAGCACTACCTGGCGACAAAGAAACAGCTTGAATTTCTGCAGGAAGTTGGTAGGGACGAGACCCCGGAAGCCCGGGATATCAGGGTTTCTGAGTATGAAAAATTTGCAGAGGAAAATCCAGCACCTGATTTTTCAGGTTCTATCGAAGACATATCGTCTGAGACTCTGGAAAATGGAGCCACTCCGCGTGAGATAGAAGCTATGCTTTCATCCCTGAGAGTGAGGCAGGGAGAGTGCCTAGCAGAGATAGCAGATGAAGCTAAAACAGAGGCTGAAAAATTAATCTTGAAGGTAATTCTATTGGAGATTAAAAGAAAGATACGGGTTCTTGAACCGAGACTTCTTTCACTTGCAAACTTAAGCGAAGAACAAGCCAAAAACGGGGAGTGTATTCGATACGCGTATCTGACAAAGTACAAAAGCGAGACTTTTGAGCACATGGCCGTGTTTACAAGGACTGAAAAGGCTGAAGTGGTCCCACTGGCTTCGGAGATTGTGAAGGAAATTGAGAAAATCCCGAATAACCCAGAGTTTAGCAGACAAGTGAAAGAAATGCTTGATGAAATCATTGAGAAAGAGCCAGAGAGTCTTCTGAGTCCGGAGGTTATCATCAAAAATGAACACTTTTTGGAGAAGTTAGAAAGTGTGTTACCTCAGCTCGATAAAGAAATAGTCAAAGCTTTGGGGGGAAGTTCGGGTGAGAGAACGGGTGTAAAACGCAAGTATCACCTTACGCTTCAAAATTCGATCCTTGCGCTTTTCTTCGTCTTTATGCTCCTGTCTCTGGGCCTGGTATGCAATTCGGAATTTTCATAGGAAAATAAAAATAAGCACATTTACTGTGTAGTGTGTAGAAAGTAGTATGCGCTGCTTCTCTGCTATTTGTTGTGCAGTGCAGGCTATGTGTTATTATTGTGTGGGGTGTACAGAGAAATAGTATAGCCTGTGTGCTATTTTTATGCACTGTATAGGAAGTAGTAATTAGTATATGTGCAAAAATTCTGACATTTTCTGCATAATATATAAAAAATAGCAGCAGATTGTTATCACTACTTTTTATACACTAAGCAATAGATGATATTTTCAAAGTATAAATACTGAAAACTTTTTAAAACGTATGGAAGATAGCCAGCCCATTAGATTAGATCTAGACAAGCTGAAATGCAAGCTACTGAAAGATACGGCAAACACCAAAACAACAGGTTCAGAAAGGACTGTCCTAGCAGCACTCTCCTCCCGCATAAAGGACTCCCTCAGAAACATCCCAGAGGAAAAGCGTACTGAAGTTGAAGCATTAGTGGACACTTTCCTGCAGAAAGAATTAGATCCTGTCTTCCGCACAATAGTTAATACACACTGTGCACTAACTCCGGAAGTAGTGGAGATCCTCACGAAAGAAGCGATAGCAGAACTCCCCTCTGCATTCTTGCGAGAACTCTCCATCCTAAGCACAAGAATAGACATCTTCAGCTTAGAGCAGAAGATTCCATACCAGAAATGGTTTCAGGAAATCACAGCCAAAGAGACAGAAGCATTCGCCGTTCTAAGGGGAATTTACAAGCGGATTATTTTCCACAGCAGGAAGATTTTCCAGAAGGAAATAATAAAAAAATTCAAGACCTCCGAGCTCGAACTCGCCTTCTTCAGAGAAACAAACAGGTCAGACGATGTCTCTTCCGCTTTTCGGGTCCTGCTGAAGGAAGAGGAAACGACCGAATCCATGCTAAGGAAGACTGAGGCAAAGAAAGAAGAACTCCTTGCTAGAGAACGCACTCTGAAAGGGCTAGAAAGGGAAGGGTGCATTTTAGGCCGATCCCTTGAGAAGGCTCGGAGCCATTTCTCTAAAGACACCGATAGACCTAACGTATATTTTTACCTGAAAGAAATAACGGAAAATAACGGAAAATGCGAACTCGCTGATAAAGTAGTCCTTTTGGAGCGATACGAAGCACCGGGCGGGAATGTGCACTCTATTGAGGAAGTAGCTGAGAAGATAAAGTCTGCCGAGAAAGAGTGCTCGACTGAGGAAAAGCAAAGACTTGACGCTGCAAACGCAATAAAGAATCAGGTTGTGAGCAAGATACGCAGCATATTTGAGCATGTTGCAGCTAGCGTCTCTGAAGACTCGATTTCTGAGATCAAGAAGTTGATTGTGACGGTTGAAAAGGAGATGGAAAATTTGCAAGGACCTGAAAAAGCGGAAATGGAAGAGTTCAGGGACGAGCTGAGGGAGTACATTCTTATGATGAGCGAGCATTTTGCGTACTCCCTGAACTGCTTGAGCGAAATTCTCGACTGCTTGGATGCAGAATATTCGCTGGAGGAGCTGCCGGATGCTTGCGCGAGCGAGAAGTTGGCGGATTTCAACGAGTCTTTTAGAAAAATACAGGAAAGATTTCCAAATCAGGAAATACATTCAGGTTACAGCAAAGTTTTTCAGGACCTGATAAAACATCCGGGCGTAGGAAGAGAAAAAGAGCAGAAGATATGCAGAAACCAGGGGGAGGCAGAGCGCTGTCTTATAGCGCTGAGGAGGCTCGAACAAGGCGAGACCATGGAAGGCTGGAGCACCAGGACTGCTGAATATGAAGTATTTGCTGAGAGCAATCCGGCACCTGATACTTTTGATTCTATAGAAGAGATAAGTCTTGAAAGCCTGAAGGATCGTATTACTCCGCGTGAAATCAAAGCCATGCTTCCAAACCTGAAAATGTCCCGGGAGATATACATCTACGAGCTAAAAGACGAGAACATGGCAAACTGTAGAAGGGCGGCTTTTGAAAAAGTCCTATTGGAAACTCAGAAAAAGATAGACTTTCTTGAACTGAAACTTCGTTTTTCTGAGAACCTAATCGAAGAAACACTCCGGAAAAACGAGCTTCTCCGTTATTCTTATCTGAAGAAGTACAAAAGCAAGTGTCTGCTGCACGTAGACAGGCTCAAGGAGAAAGCTAACGCGGACATGGCTCTACTCGCTAAGGAAGTTATGCGGGAAATTGAGGAAACCCCGAATAACCCAGAACTCAATGAAAAAGTGAAAAGCATGCTTGAAGAAACAGCCCAGAAGGAGCCGCATCGCCTGCTAACTCCAAGATTTATCGTTGAAAACAAACACTTTGCGGAGGAACTGCCACGTGTGATAGTTCAGCTCGATAAGAAGATAGCCGAAACTTTGGAGGGAAGTTCGAATGGAAAATCCAAGTACCATCTTACGCTTCAAAGTTCGATCCTTGCGCTTTTCTTCGTGTTTATGCTCCTGTCTCTGGGGCTGGTGTGCAGTTCAGAGTTCGCGTGAGAAAAATAAAAATAGTGCTATTTACTGTGTAGTGTGGAGAAAGTAGTATGCGCTGCTTCTCTGCCATTTGTTGTGCAGCGCGCGACAAGTTCTGGATTTACTGAGCAGTGTCCAGCAAGTGCCAACCTTGCAGGCTGTGCAATAAGTAGTGCCGGATAATCAATTCGATTATTTGCACTGTGTACAATAAATCATAATGTCAAAGTATAAATACGCAGAACTTTTTAAAAGGCATGGAAAACAACCAGCATATCTGCATGGATCTAGACTCTTTGAAATTTAACGTACTAATAGACGCAAGAGCCCCTGAAATGGCTGACTCGGCAAATCCGATCGTAAGCGCACTCTCTTCCCGCATAAAGAACTCCCTCAGAAACATCCCCAGGAAAAGGCGCGCTGAAGCTGAAGCATTAGTAGATAGTTTCCTGCAGGAAAAATTAAAGCCGATCTTCAGCAGAATAGTTAGTACACACTGTGTAGTAAGTCCAAAAGCAGTGGAAATCCTCACGAAAGAAGCCACCGCAGAACTCTCTTCCGAACTCTCACAGGAACTCTACATCTTAGCCATGAAAATAGACGCTTTTAGCGCCAACCAGACAAACACCTACCAAAAATGCGACCGTAGGCTTCTTTTTGTAAAAAGAGAGGCATTTAAGAGCGCCCTGCGCATCTACGAAGCGATGGATTTCCACTGCAGAGAAGTGCTTAAGAAAAAAACAATGAAAAAATTCAAAAACTACGGGCTCGAACGTGCGGTCTACAGGGATACATTAAAAATAGAGAAAATGGATACTGTTCTGAGACAGCTCTCGGACGAAAAAAAAGAAAGCAGTCTCGTGCTGAAGGAGATTGCAGAGCGGAAAGAGGAAATGCGCATTCGGGAGAATATTTCTGATTTAGAAGGGGCTATCTTAGAGCGAGTCCTTGAGAAACTTCGGGCGTTCTTTTCTAATGATAAATATAGTCCTAACGTGTATTTTTACCTGAAAGAAATAACGGAAAATAACGGAAAGAGCATAGATATAGAGAAGATAGACTTTTTGCGAAAGTATACCCCGAATAACCCGAAGCGTATTTTTTCTGTTGGGGAAGTCGCAGAGAGAATAAAAACAGCAGAAAATGAGTGCTTGAAGGAGGGAAGGCGAATATACGACGAGGTGAAGAAGATGCAAGAAGAGACCAGGCAGCTGATAGACGATATGTGTGAGATTTTTGCATCTAGAGCATGCCTGAACTCACTCCTTACGATTGTGAAGATGTTTAAGCGCGCTGAAAAAGAGGCGGAAAACCTGCAGGGACCTGAAAAAGTGAAAATGGAAGAGTTCAGGGACGAATTGGCGGAAAGTATTGCTAAAGTAGACGAAATTCGGGGTTGTTCCTTGGCTTCTATGCGTGAACTTAGTAAATACTTGGATTTGGTCTCTTTACTGGGAAAACTGTCTGATAAGTCTGTGTGTGTAGAATTTGCGTGTTTTAACGCCTCTTTTAAAAAAATACTTTCGGCATTTCCAAATGGGGAAATAAGTTCAGGTTACAAAAAAGCTTTGCAGGACCTGATAAACCACCCAGAGGACGCGGTGAAAAAAGAACAGATGCTGCACGAGCATGCTGCGTCTGCAGAAAACTGTCTTGAAAGGCTGAGAGAAGCGGAAAAAGGGGAGACAGCAGAAAAATGTAAGCTCAGGGTTTTGGAGTATGAAGATTTTGCAGAAAAAATGGTGTTACCTGATTTTTCAGGTCCCATTGAGAGCATCCACCCTGTGGACTTGAAGCCCACAGTTACTCCGCGTGAAGTCAAAGCCTTGGCTGCAACCCTGGAGATGTACTCGAAGAAGCTTGCCAAGCCGCGAAAAGACGACTTCGAGTCAGACTCTGACAGTTCAGTTCTGGATGAAACTCTACCGGAAATTGAAGCAATGTTACCGGTTCTTAAAGAAAGAGCTGCTAGAGTTGCGAAGTTAAGCAAAAACAAATGCAGAGGGGGCGAATGTCTCCGCTACGCTTATCTGAAGAAGTACAAAAGCGAGACTCTTAAGAAGGCAGACATGCTCAGGGAGAAATTTGAGGCTGAACTGGTCCCACTGGCCTGGGAAGTTGTGAGGAAATTTGAGGAAACCCCGAATAACCCAGAGCTCAATGAAAAAGTGAACAAGATGCTTGAAGAAACAGCCCAGAAGGAGCCGCATCGCCTGCTAACTCCAAGATTTATCGTTGAAAACAAACACTTTGCGGAGGAATTGCCACGTGTGATCGTTCAGCTCGATAAGAAGATAGCTGAAACTTTGGGGGGAAGTTCGGGTGAGAGAACTCGTAGAAAACTCCATTATTCTCTTACGCTTCAAAATTCGATCTTTGCGCTTTTCTTCGTCTTTATGCTCCTGTCTCTGGGGCTGGTGTGCAGTTCAGAATTTGCATAGAAAAATAAAAAATAGTACCAGTTATTACACAGTGTGGAAAAAGTAGTATGCGCTGCTTCTCTGCCATTTATTGTGCAGTGCATATAAAGTATTGCAGTGCTGCTATCTGCCAATTGTTATGCCCTGTGTAGTAAGTTCTGCCGTTTAGCACGCGCTGTGCAATAAATAGCAGCAAGTGTCCAACTCTGCCTTCCACACACTCTGCGATAAATGATATTTAAAATGTTGATATTTAAAAATATAAATACTCAGATTTTTTTAAAAACATGGAATATAAGCAGCACATCAACTTAGATCTAAACTCGTTGAAGCGCGACCTACTGAACGACGCAGCAAACAGCAAAATAGAAAACTCAACAGAGATAATCCTAAACGAACTTTCCTTCCGCACAAAGGAAACCCTCAGAGCGGTCTATGAAGGATCTCCCGCTGAAGCTAAAGCATTAATAGATAGTTTCCTGCAGGAAAATTTAAATCGGATCTTCAGCACGATAATTAGTACACACTGTGTAGTAAGTCCAGAAGCAGTGGAAATCCTCACGAAAGAAGCCACCGCAGAACTCTCCTCCGAACTCTCACGGGAACTCTACATCCTAAGCGAAGAAATAGACGCTTTTATCGCCAACCAGAAAGTCCTATACCTGAAAAACGCCCGTAGGCTTCTTGCTATTCAGGTGGAACTATTTACCCTTCTAAAGGAGGCCTTCGAAAGGAGCTGCTCCTGTGCCCAGGAAATATTTAAGAACAAAATAATGAAAAAATATTTCAAACAGTGCGATCTCGAACATTCCTTCTACATGGACGAGCAGAGACTGGGAAATATGGGTTATATTCTGGAGAAGCGCATAGTCGAGGAACAGGAGAACGATCTTGCACTGAAGGAGGCAGAGGAGAAGAAAAAAGAGTTCCATGCTCGGGGGAATCCCATAGAGATGGAAAGATATGTTTTAAAGCGAGTCTTTGAGAAGATGCGAGCTCGTTGCTCTTCTGACAAGTACCGTTCCAACGTATATTATTGCCTGAAAAAAACAATGGAAAATAACGGAAATATTATAAGCCCAGAGGAAACAGACTTTTTGCGAGTGTACAACCCGAATAACCCAAAAAATCTTTTTTCCGTTGGGGAACTCGCTAAGAAAGTGAAGCTAGCAGAAGAAGTGTGCTTGAGCGAGGGAAATGAGCTGCACTACAACGCAAAACAGATGGAAGAATCTGCTGATTCACTGATATCTGGCATGCATGGCCAATTTAAGAAGGATGTATGGCCGTATTCAGTCTCTTCATCTGCAGAACTGGTGAGGACTGCTGAAGAAATGACGAAAAAAATGCAGGGATCTGAAAAAACGGAAATGGAGGAGTTCGTGCGGGAGTTGAAGAGAATCAACGCTCAGCTAGAAAGTCTCCACAGCTCTTCCAAAGGTCCTATGTGTGCAGTTTCCAAAAAGCTAAGCTCGGGCTCTTTGCTGGAAAAACTGTCTGCTGAGTCTGTGAGTGCAGAATTTGAAGGTTTTACTGCCTCTTTAAAAAAAATACAGGAAAAATTTCCAAATGGGGAAACAAAATCAGGTTACAAAAAAGCTTTGCAGGACCTAATAAGCCATACAGAGGCAGCGAGGGAAAGGGAGGAGGCGATATACGAGCATTCTACGCAGATGATGACGGCCTGGAATAGTCCTTCGAGTGATACGGCTTCTTTGGTCTTGGAGGTTATGCGTACGCTTGAAGAATTCCCGAATAACCCGGTGCTGGAGGAAAAAGTGAAAAAAATGTTTGAGGAAATCCTTAAAAATGAGCCGCAGCGCCTGCTGACTGTTGAATCTATCGTTGAAAATGAATACTTTCAGGAGGAACTGCAAAAAGTGTTCGATCGTCTTGATAAAGAGATAGTCGAACTTGAGAGGAAAGCTTTGGAGGATAACGAAAACGCCGACCGCGCGGAAGGACCACAGTACGGCTCACTTCTTTGGGGGCCTTGCATGCTTATGGTTGTGTCGGTGGTGGGACTGCTGTTCTACGACTCTGGAACTGCCTGAAAAAAATAAAATAAGGCCACTTATTGCACACTGTTTAGAAAGTAACGCACATGACTTCTCTGCTATTTATTATACAGAGTGTATTATTCGGGTTATTGCACACTGTTTAGAAAGTAACGCACATGACTTCTCTGCTATTTAATTGGCGTAAGCCTGGGCGAAGTTACACCGGGATATAGCATGCTCTGGCAGTGATCTGTTGCTTTGGGGCGAAATACTCTTGCCCTGCCTTGCTTCTGGCACTCTATCCTTGCATCCTCCCGTAAACTTTGCAGGCATTTATCCTTCTGCCGTATTGAAAGTGGCTGTTTCCAACTTGTGAGACTGTGTGTAAGTGACATCTGCCACTTAGTAAGCACTATGCAAAAATAGCAGCAATTAGTGCATATATGTATAAAATTCTGCTACTTAGTAAACACTATGCAAAAATAGCAGCAATTAGTGCATATATGTATAAAATTCTGCCACTTAGTAAACACTATGCAAAAATAGCAGCAATTAGTGCATATATGTATAAAATCCTGCCACTTAGTAAGCACTATGCAAAAATAGCAGCAATTAGTGCATATATGTATAAAATACTGCCACTTAGTAAACACCGGGTAAAAACAACAAACATTTAATTTTACTCTTTTCGTGCCCGAATTAATGCCAGCTCAAAGTATAAGTAGAGCCCGAATAACCCGAATAGATGGAAAATAACCAGCAATTCAACTTATGCATCCACAAACTGAAGCACGAGCTACTGCGCAAGATAGCAAACCTAGAATCCACAGACTCAGAAAACACAGTCCTAAAAGAACTCTCTTCCCGCATAAAGGAATCCCTCACAAACATCCCAGAAGAAAAGCGTACTGAAATTGAAGCATTAGTGGATACTTTCCTGCAGAAAGAATTAGATCCTGTCTTCTGCACAATAGCCAAAAAACACGGTGAAGCAGGCCTGGAGTCTCTGGAGATCCTCACGAAAGAAGCTATGGCAGAAATTCCCTCCGACCTCACACAAAAACTCTCCAGCTTAAATGCAAAAGTGGACACTTTTATTCTGGAGCGAAAGATCGAATACGAGAAGTGCATCCTGAGAATTATATCCGCAGATGTGCCCATGCTTGAACTTTTAAAGGAAAACTACGGGACTCTGGCTTCCTACTGCACGGAAATCCTTTGTAAAGAAGAGATGAAAAGCTTCAACACGGCCAAAATAAGAGATGCCCTGCGCAATGTTATAGTCCGTTTAAATGATGTAGATGCAACTCTATGCAACTTTAAACAGAAGATGAAAAGCAGCAAGATTGCGATAAAAAGGGCTGTGAAGGACCAAGAACTGTGTACGGGAAAAAAAGTTCTAGATCCATACGGCTACGCTCCAGAGAAAGTCGTTAAGATGATTCAGAATACTTTCTCGGACTTTTTGGGGCTTACTTCTAGCGTATACTTTATCCTGAAGGAGCTAATGGAGGGCAGAAGAAAGTGCATACCCACGAGTCAGATGCTTTTGGAGATGTATGCGGTGAATAGAATGCGTGTTTTTTCTGTTGAGGAAATGGCTGAGAAGTTGGAGTCAGCGGAGAAAGACTGCCTGAGAATGGGCGAGGAAATGTGTGAAGACATAAGAGAAATGGAGAAAAAGACAGTAGAGCTGATGCAAAGTGTGGATTCATACTTTAAAAACAGGCCAGTTTGTGAGTCGATCTCTGCGCTTGTGGAGTTATCAGGTAAGGTTGAAGGCGCAATTGAAAAAATGCAGGGACCTGAAAAAACGGAAATGGAAAAATTCAGGGTCGATTTGAAGGCGTTTTTGAATTGGACAGAGGTGCTTTGGAACGATTCCGTGTTGCAGTTATCCGGAATTTTGAAGAAATTTGCCCCGGGGAATTTGTTCACGAAGCAGTTGGATGCTCGCGTGAGAAACGAATTTGCACTTTTCAGGGACGAATTTGAAAAAATACAGGCGGAATTTCCAAATGGGGAAATAAAGTCAGGTTACGAAAATGCTTTTCATGCCCTGATAAACTACCCACGCGCAAAGCGCGAAAGGACAGGGCGAGTTCACGACAACGCCATGATGGTAGACGAGTGTCTTGCATTCCTGCGAAAGATTGATGAGGGCGAGAGCGTGGAAGCCCGGGATCTTCGGGTTGCAGAGTATGAAAACTTTGCAAGGAAAAAAACAGAACCTAAACTTTCAGGTTCTGTCGAGAACATAACGCGTGAAAGCCTGGAAGATGGGATCACCCAGCGCGAGGCTAAAGCCATGCTTTCATCGCTGAACGGACTCCGGGGAATGTGCACTGAAGAGCTGGAAGATGAGGCCCGAACAGAGTATGAGAGAGTAGAATTGAAGAAATTTCTACAAGAAATTGAAGAAAGGATACGGGCTCTTGAAGAGAAACTTCTGTCATTCGGGGAGCTAAGCAAGGAAACACTCCGAGAAAACGAGCTACGTCGTTATGCTTGCCTGCTGGAGTACAAAGGCGAAACTCTTGACCACGAACTCGCATTTGTGAGAGAAGCTGAGGATGAAATGGTCCCACTGGCTAAGGAAGTTATGAGGGAAATTGAGAAAACCCCGAACAACCCGGAGGTTAGTGAAAATGCGAAAAAAATGCTTGAGAAGATTCTTGACGAAAATCCAACGAGTCTTCTGACTCCGGGCTTTATCCTCCGAAATGGACACTTTTGGATGAAGTTTTCAAAGGTGATTTTTCAGCTCAACAAAAAGATAGTCGAAACTTTGGAGAAAACTTCGGAAGAAAGCCGCCGAACTCAGGCTGCGATCCAAATGTTTATCTTCGGGTTCCTCTTTCTCGTTATGCCTCTGTCGCTGGGACTGGCGTACAAGTCTAGCACCTCGTGAGAAAAATAAAAAATAGTGCCATTTTCTGTGTAGTGTGTAGAAAGTGCTAAAGTGCTGTTGTCTCTGAAATATTGCAAGGTGTGTGGAAAATCATGCTACTTGTTGCGAACTGTGCATAAGGTGGCAGCGCGCATTTATTCGCACTTTTTGCACAGTGTGCAATAAATGATCTTTTCAAAGTATAAATACTCAGAACTTTTTAAAAGCCATGGAAGATACCCGACACATTGACATAGATCAAGACTTGCTGAGATTCAAGCTGCTGCAAACCATAGCCGAAAACCCACTAGATGCAGGGGACTCCATAAAAACAGTCCTAAACGCACTTTCCTCCTACATAAAGGAATCCCTCAATGATATCCCAGAGGAAAAGCGTGCTGAAGTTGAGGCATCCGTGGACACTTTCCTGCAGAAAAGCCTAAAAAACACGCTCAGCACAATAATTAGTGCACACTGTACAGTAAGTCCAGAAACAATCAAAATCCTCACGAAAGAAGCGATGGCAGAGACTTCTTCCGAGTTCTCGCAGGAACTCTCCAGATTAAGTGCAAAAATAGATTATTTCATTCTCGACCATAAGATCGCATACGAGAGAAGCGTTCAGATAGTTTTCTCTGCAATAATAGAATCCTACACCCGCTTAAAGGATTTCTATGAGATGCTTATTTCCCACGGCAAGAAAGTGCTTCCAAGGGAAACAATGGAAAAATTCAGCAGATCCGGGCTCGAACTTGCCCTTTGGGGGGATATGCTCAAACTGCAAAACACATCGATGGCTTTACAGGCTGCCTCAGAGGAGAAAGAGAAGAGCAAAGTAGTGCTGAGAAAGGCTATAGAAGAAAAAGAAAGAGTACGTGCTGCAGACAGTGCTCTGGAGAGGGAAAGATACACTTTAAAAAGAGCACTTACGAAGACTCAGAGCTTTTTCTGTGGGGATATGTATAGTCCCAGTGCATATCTTTACCTGAAAAAAATAACGGAAGAAAATAGCGAGTATATACTCCCAGGGAAAATAGACTTTCTGCAAGTCCGCGGGGAAAATACCCCGAATAGCCTGAGTAATTTCTCTGTTCGGGAGATGTTTGAGAAAATATGCATGTTCGAGAAGGAGTGCAAGTTTGAGAGTGCAGGAGAAATGGAAAGCGAGGCTGACGAGGCGATACGGAAAGTGCGTGCTGAGCTTGAAAATGCCCTTTTTCAGGGTTCGGTTCGTGAGCTTGTGAAGATACTTGAGGCAGCTGAAGAGAAGATGAAAAATTTGCAAGAACCTGAAAAAACGAAAATGGAAAAATTCAGGGATGCTCTGAAAAGAGTCATTTCCGATGTAAATGAGCATGTGGAGTCTTCCTTAATGCATTTGAACCTAGTTTCCGGATACCTGTGCGGTAATCGTTTCCTGATGGCGGGGTCTAATGAGTCTGTAGGCATGGAAGTTGCATTTTTTAACGACTATTTAGAAAAAATGCAAGAAAAATTTCCAAACGTGGAAATAAAATCAGGTTTTGAAAAGGCTTTGCAGAACCTGATAAACCATGCAAAGGCGAGGCACGGAAGGGTACATCAGATGCACGGCCCCATAGAGAAAGCAAACCACTGTCTTGTGAGCCTGTGCAGGCCTAGAGAAAGCGAAAACGAGGCCGTGGAAGCCTGCAATTCCAGGGTTTCCGCGTATGAAAAATTTGCAAAGGAAAATCCGTTGCCCGAATTTTCAGGTTCTATCGAGGATATAGCGCCTGAAACCCTGGGAGAAGGAGCTACTCCGCGTGAGGTTGAAGGCATGCTTTCAACTGCAGAAAAGATCCGGGATATGTACACTAGAGAGCTAAGAGGTGGGCCCAAAGCAGATTCTGAACGGGTAAATTTAGAGAAAGAGCTATCGGAATTCGAGGAAAAGATACGGGTTCTTGAAGAGAAGCTGCAGTCATTCGACAAGAGCTTAAGCGAGGAAACACTCCGAGAAAATGAGTGTGTTCGCTATGCTTATCTGATGAAGTACAAAAGCGAGGCTCTTAAGCACGCAGAGACTCTCGCGAAGGAGGTTGGGGCGGAGCTGGTTCCACTGGCCTTGGAGGCTATGCGGAAACTTGAAGAAGCCCCGAATAACCCAGAATTTAACGAAAAAGTTAAAAAAATGCTTGAGGAGACCCTTAAAAAGGAACCGCAGAGTCTGCTAACTCCTGAGTTTATCATCGAAAACAAACACTTTTTGGAGGAATTGCCAGAAGTGATGGATCGGCTCAGTAAAGAGATATCAGAAACTTTGGGAGAAAGCTCAGAGAAAGGGGCAGGTGGAAGGCGCCGGGCGGCGCTTCAAAGTTCGATTTTCAGACTTTTCTCCTTCGTTATGCTTCTGTCGCTGGGGCTGGCGTACAACTCTAGCACTGACCAAAAAAATAAAAAATAGTGCCATTTTCTGTGTAGTGTGTGTAAAGTGCCAAACTGCTGCTATCTCTGAAATATGGCACAGTGCACATTAAGTGCTGATTGTTGCATGTGTGTAAACTCCTGCGATTTAATATACACCGTGCCAAAGTCACGGGTGATTTTTTTATTTACTGCACAGTGTGTATAAAGCCTGCCACATGGTAAACACAGTGTAAAAAACAACAATAAATATTTAGCTTTGTTTTTTACACATTATATATCAATTGGCCGCAAAAGTATAAATAAAGCCAGAATAACCCGAAAAACATGGAAGACAACCAACACATTGATCTAAACATATGCAAACTGAAGCTCGAGCTGCTGCAAGACACAGCAAACTCCAAAGTAAGAAACCCAACAGATGCAGTCCTAAACGCACTTTCCTCCCGCATAAAGGAATCCCTCAGAAACATCCCAGAGGAAAAGCGTGCTGAAATTCGGGCATTGGTGGACACTTTCCTGCTGAAAGAATTAGAGCCCGCATTAGCCAAGATAATCAGTACTCCCGGTGTAGCAAGCCCAAATTTAGCTGAAATCCTCACGAAAGAAGCCATACTAGAAGCTTCTTCCGAACTCACACGAAAACTCTCCAGACTAAATGCAAAAGTAGACGCTTTTGTTCTCTCCCAGGAAATTCTATACGAGGAATACGTCCAGATATTTCTAACTGTAAATATAAGAATGTTTAGATTTTTAGAAGAAACATACACAATGATCGTCTCCTACTGCAAGGAAGCCCTCCAGAAAGAAGCAATGAAGAATTTCGACATATCCATAATGAGAGACGCCCTAAACGAGGATGTAGCCCGTTTAAAAGATACATCTGCAGTTTTACAGGGATTTGAACAGGAGATGAAAAGCAGCGAAGTTATGCTAAGAATGGCTGTGGGGGAAAAAGAAAAGTGTAAAAGAGAAAATATTTTAGACTTTACGGGGTACGCTTTCAAAAGAGCAGACGAGAAAGCCAGAGCGTATTTTTCTAGGGATAGGCTCCAGCCTAGCGTATATTTTGGCCTGAAAGGAGCAATAGAGGAAAACAGCGACTATATACCCTCGAATCAGGTGATGCTTTTGGAGAAGTATGGGATGAATAGCCCGAATGTTTTTTCTGTTGGGGAAATGGCCGAGAAGTTGGAGAAAGTGGAGAAAGAGTGCTTGAGAAAGGGAAAGAAAATGTGTGAAAGCATAAGAAAAAAGGAGAAAAAGACAGTGGAGCTGATGCAGGATGTGGATTTGCACTTTAAAAACATGACAGTTTGGGGAGTGATGGCTGGGCTTGTGGAGCTATCAGGTAATCTCAAAGGAGCAATTGAAAAAATGCAGGGACCTGAAAAAACGGAAATGGAAAAATTCAGGGACGATTTGAAGAGGTTTTTTTTTCGGGTGGAAATGACCCGGAGATCTTCCTTCGCGCTGCTGGATGCACTTTCCAGGAAAATTATCCCCAAAAACATTCTCATGAAGCTGTCAGGTGCTCGCGTGAGAAACAAATTTGCACTTTTTAACGATGGTTTTAGGAAAATACAGGATAAATTTCCCACCGGGGAAATAAAATCCGGTTATGAAAAGGCTTTTTATGCTCTGAGAAGCCATCCACGCACAAAACAAGAAACGGCAAAGCAGATGCACAGAAACGCCATGGAGGCAGAAGAGCATCTTACACGGCTGCGAGGGATTGATGAAGGAACAACCCGAAAAGACTGTGACCTTAGGGTTGCAGAGTATGAAAAATTTGCAAGGAAAACTGAAATGCCTGATTTTTCAGGTGCTATCGAGAACATAACGCGTGAAAGCCTGGAAGATGGAGTTACTCTGCGTGAGATTAAAGCTATGCTCTCAAATGTGAACATACTCCATGGAATATGCACTGAAGAGCTGGAAGATGAGGCCAAGTCAGAGTCTGAGAGAGTAGAATTGAAGAAAAGTCTATCGGAAACTGAAGAAAAAATACGGGTTCTTGAAGAGAGAATTCGTTCATTTTCAGATTTAAGCGAGGAAGAAGCCCAAAGGGAGGACTGTCTCCGTTACGCATATCTGACAAAGTATAAGAATGAGTGTCTTAAGCGCATATTCACACTCCAGAAGGAAGCTGAGGCTGAGATGGCCCCACTGGCTAGAGAAGTTATGAAGGAAATTGAAGAGATCCCGAATAACCCGGAGCTCAGTGAAAAAGTGGAAAAAATGCTTGAAGAAATCATTGAGGAAGAGCCTCACCGTCTGCTGACTTCGGAGTCCATCATAAAAAATGAACACTTTTTGGAGGAAATGCCAAAGCTGCTAGGTCAGCTCGATAGAGAGATAACCGGGGCATTGAAGAAAACTCCGGGTAAAGGCGGCCGGGCTGCGCTTCTTCGAAATTCGTTTATCGGATTTTTAATTGCTGCTATTCTTATATCCATGAGAGTAATCTTCAATACTAGAACAGAGCAAAAAAACATGAAATAAAGAAATTTATTGTACATTCCGTATAGAGTAAAGAACTGCTGTTATCTGTTAGTTAGTGCACACTGTCTAAAAAGCAGTGCACACTGTCGATCTGCTATTTAATGTGCAGGGAGTACAAAGTGCAAATTATTGCTCAGTATGTAGAAGGTAATATTCATTGCTTGTTTTCTATTTGACTAGTGTGCAGTATGTAACAAGTGCCAGCCAGTGCATGCCTGTAAGATTTTGCCATTTAATATAGACCTTACAGAAAATGCCAGCAAATATTTGATTGTACTTTGTGCACTATTTGCGATAAATGATATTTTCAAAGTATAAATACTGAAAACATTTTTAAAAATATGGAGAATACCCAGCACATTAACATCGATCTAGATGAGCTGAAGCACGAGGTATTGAAAGGCACAAAAGAAATCCCCAGCACACTGAGCTCAACAGATGAAGTTCTAAAAGCACTCTCTTTCCGCATAAACATCGCCCTCAAAAATATCCCAGCGGAAAGGCGCGCCGAAGTTGAGGCCCTAGTGCGCACTTTCCTGCAGGAAACTCTAAAACCAGTATTCAACACAATAATTAGTGCACACTGTGTAATAACACCTGAGATGCTGGACATTCTCACGAGAGAAGTTATGGCAGAAACTTCTTCCGAGTTCTCGCAGGAACTCTCCATATTAAACGTAGAAATAGACACTTTCGTTGTCAACCATGAAATTGCATGCATAAAATCCAGCCAGGGAATCCTCGCTGCAATAATAGAATCCTACACCCGCTTAAAGGATTTATATGAGATGCTTATTTCCCACAGCGAAAAGGTGCTTCAGGCCAAAACAATGGAAAAATTCAGCAGATCCGGGCTCGAACTTGCCCTCTTAAGCAACATGACCAAACTGCAAAACACATCGATCGCTTTACAGGGTTATTCAGAGAAGGAGAAAAAGGCCCAGGCCATGCTAAGGAAGGCCGAAGAAGAAAAAAAAACAGTGCGTACTGCAAGCAGTGCCTTGAAGCTGGAAAGATACAGGCTAGAAAGAGCATTTGCAAAAGTTAAAAGCGTTCTCTCCTGTGAAGAGAACGGTCATAACGTATATTTCTCCCTGAAAAATCTAATGGAGGAAAGCAGCGGAGAGTCTATACCCACGCAGGGAGTGGAGAATCTGCAAAGTCACACAGTAAACGGCGGAAACAATTCCTATGCTCTGGACATGAATAAGAAACTGCACACATGCAGGGATGCGTGCGATGTAGCTGCAGAAGCATTAGAAAGCGAAGCCAGGAAGATAGTGCAGGATGTACGCGTGGAGTTTGAATCTGCTTTTTCCCAGGGTTCGATTCCTGGGGCTATGAAGTTAATTGAGGAAGTTGAAAGGGAGATGAAAAATTTGCAGGAACCTGAAAAAACGGAAATGAAAAAATTCAGGAACGACCTGAGGGAGTTTACGTCTGAGGCAGAAGCGCATGTGCAGCCTTCCTTAGTCCGTTTAAGAGAGCTTGACCAATGCATAAATGAGAGTTGTTCCCTGAAGAAGTCATCTGATGCCTATGCAAGCGTAAAAACTCCATTTTTTAACGTCGGTTTAGTCAGAGTGCAGGGAAAGTTTTTGGACCCAAGAAAAAAGACAGAGTATGAAAAGGAGTTGCAGAGTCTGTTGGACCTCGCAAACTCAAAATGCAAAACCATCAATGGCATACGCCAAAACATGCATGCAATGGATCGCTGTTTTCAGGTTATGATAAGACGGAATGCAGGCGAGACTGAGGAGGACTGGAGAATTCGGATTGCAGAGTATGAAAAATTTGCAGAAAAAAATACGCTACCTGATTTTTCAGGTTCGATCGAAGAGCTGCTATCTGACAATATGGACTATGCAATCACTCTGCGTGAGGTCAAAATCGTTCTTTTATCGACGAATGAAGCCAAGGCCAGGTACATTAAAGAGCTGGAAGCTACACCCAGCCACACCTTTATGGAATTTTGGCTGAAATCCCGCATAGCAGAAACCGACGAAAAGATACAGGGCATTGAGCAGAAACTGTCTGAATTACGGGGTTTAAGCGAAGAACAGCATCGAGAAAACGAGTGTCATCGCTATACTTATCTGTATAAGCACATTAGTGCCTGTTTGAAGCACATGGGCACACTCAAGGAGAAAGTTAGGGCTGAAATGGCCTCGCTGGCTTTGGGGATTATGAAAAGAATCGAAGAAACCCCGAATAACCCGGAGCTCAGTGAAAAAGTGAGAAACATGCTTGAGGAGATACTTAGAACGGAGCCACAGCGGCTGCTAACTGCTGATTTTATCGTCCAAAACGAGCATTTTTTGAAGGAGATGCCAAAAGTAGCAGAGCAGCTCGATAGGGAGATAGTCGAGGCATTGAAGAAAAGCCCGGGTGAAGGCGATCAGGCTGCGCTTCTTCGAAACTCGATGTTTGTGAGTACACTTGCCATTATTCTTATGTCCGGTTATTATGCCCACGGGGGGAATGCTCAATGCTAGAACTGGACAAAAAATAAGAAATAAAGAGACTTACTGCACACTGTATAGAAAGCAATTGTTTGTTGCTCATCTGCTGTTTAATGTGCTGTGTGTGAAAAGTGTTATCTAGTACACAGTGCACACTAGGCAATCCACAGGAACGTCTGCTATTTATTGCATGCTGTGCAGTAAGCAGTGCCACTTAGTGTGCACTGTGCAATAAATAGCAGAAAATATTTGATCATTCTTTCTGCACCATGTGGAATAAATGATATTTTCAAAATACAAATAAAATCCAAAATTAAAAAGCATGGAAAAAAGCCTGCATGCCAGCTTATATAATAACTTACCAGGCCCAGAAGTGTCACCAGAGTGCAAAAGAGTGCCGGAAACAAAGAACCCGACAAGCATGGTCTTAAAGGTGCTTTCCTCCTGCATAAAAGAGACCCTCAGAGATATCCCAGAGGAAAAGCGTGCAGAGATCGAAGTGTTGGTCGACACTTTCCTGCCGGAAGCCCTAGAAAACACATTCAGAACGATAGTTAAAAAACACTGTGTAATAAGCCCTGAAGCAGTTGAATTCCTCGCGAAAGAAGCCAGCAAAGACGCAGTTATTCGCAGAGTGTCACAAGAACTCTCCAGCTTAGCCCGAAAAATAGACGCTTTTATTCTCAACCAGAAAATTGCATACGAGAAATACATCGACCAAGCCATCGCAGAAAACGTGCAAATACTGCAGAGTGTGCAGAGCATGTGCAATAAAGCCGGCTTTATCGTTCCAGAGCTGCTCTATTTTGAAGCTGCGAAGAAGTTCAACACACAGCCACTGAAAGAAGCAGCGGAAGTGCAGAAGAAGTTCTTCCGCGAGACCACAGCCCGAATAACCCAGCTGCTCGAGGAAAAAAAGATAGCAGAAAAAGCTCTGAGGAGCTACAGGAAAGCCCTAGAGGAAAATGAAGAAGAAGAAAGAAGGCTTTCCCAGGACTATGCCGGCTCAGACGTGGAGAAGTACGCGCTAGAAAAAGCCTTCGACAAATTCCGGGCGTATTGCTCGCACGGGGACAATACCCCGAATAACCCGGCCTTAAAAAGTGGAGGCACAGATAGCGAGTGCGTGCGCTCTATTCAGGAAGTAGCCGGGAAACTGTCGGAGAAAAAGCAGGAGGAGTTCCTGGGCGATGCAAGAGCGTACGCGGAAAAGTGCGAGAGAGTGAAGAAAGGCGCTCAGGATGCGCTAGACGAGGCCATTTCCTACTTCCACGATGGAGTAGACTCTGGTATTTTTAAATGCCTTGAGATTCTGATAGATAACATCGATGACGCGATAAAAAATTTGCAAGAGCCTGAAACAATGGGAATGAGAGAGCTTCAGTATGAGTTGATAGACGTCCTGTTCATGCTCCAAAGACAGATGCTTACTCGCTTCCATGCTTTACAGGGAAAGCTCATGGATTCTTATTTGAGCATGCCTTTCGGCTCTGCAGCAGGCAAGTCTGCAAGGAGCAAGTTCGCGTATTTCACCTGTTTATTTGATAAAATACTGGAAATATTTCCAAATGAAGAAATAAAACCAGGCACGGATAATAACCCGAATAGCCTGAGCCCAGTTTTTAAAAAAATCGTATCGGAAAGTAAGGAAAGGATGCAGGCTCTTGAACGAGAGTTGGCGTCATTTGACGAAAACACAAGCGAAAAGAGCCTCGAAGAAAAGGCGCGTTTTTACTATGCCTGCCTGATGGAGTTTAGAAAGGAAAATTCAAGGCTCTTGGGCCTGATTAAGGAGAAAATTGAGGCTTCGATGGCCCCGGGCCCCTTAAAAGTTACGAAGAATTTTGAAGAAATCCCGAATAACCCAGAGATCATCGAAAAAGCGAAAAAAATGCTTGAAGAGACACTTCAGAAGGACCCGCAGGGTCTGCTAAGTTCTAAGTTTATCGTCCAAAACAAACACTTTTTGGCGGAGCTGCCAAAAGTGGCAAAACAGCTTGACAAAAGAGTAGCCGAAGCTTTAGGAGAGCGTCTATATAATGGGGCGAGGAGAGGACGCCAGACTACACTCCGACACTCACTTTTCGGGGCTTTCTCCATCTTTATAATTCTGTCGTGGGGGCTTATGTATAGTTTTAGAACTGCATTAAAAAAATAAGACCATTTATTGTGCACTGCGCAGAAAGTGCTGCACTGGTGTTGCCTGCTGTTTATTGTGCACTGCGCAGAAAAATGTGGTGTTTGTTGCACACCGTGTAGTAAACAGCATTTAGCGACTATCTGCCACTTACTTTGCCAGGCGTAGTAAGTGCTGCGCAGATGCCATCTGCTATTTACTGCACAGCGCGCATTAAGTGCTAATTGCTGTGCTTGTGTGTTGATTATTTCTATTTAATATGGATGGCGCAATAAATAGCAGAAATCATTAATTGTTTTTGCATAGTGCATATCAATTTCAGCTTAAAGTATAAATACCGCTCAAAATTTTTCTCCCATGGAAAACAACCGGCATATCAACATAGACGAAGACGCACTGAAAAACTGCCTTCTAATAGCCCACCAAGAGCAGATGGAATCGCCAGGCCCAGGAGACCCGCGAGAGCACCTCCTGGCAGTGCTTTCCCCCTGCATAAAAAGCTCTCTCGAAGACATTTCAGAGGAAAGCCGTGCTAGAGTCGAGGAATTGGTGGACGCTTCCCTGCAGGCAGATATAAAAGACACAGTCCACAAAATAGTCAATACATACTGCGTGATAGGCCCAGAAGAGCTGGAAGTTCTTACGAAAGAAGCCAGCGCAGAAGCAACTCTGCACATGCTTTCCCACGAGCTCTCCCTCTTAAACACCAAGATAGACATTTTCACTCTCGAGCAGCCGGTCCTATGCCAGTATTTTTTCAGCCAAATTTCCATTAAACAGCTAGAAATGCTGGATAAAATCCTCCCCGTATGCAACAAAGCCATTGCTGACATCACAGAAATGCTTCAGTTTAAGTTGCCGAGGGATTTCGATGCAGAACCATTGAAGTCCTCCCTTCTGCTGCATTGCACGTTTGCCCAGAGCGTGTTAACGCAGATAGAAAAGACAACGCAGGACTGCAACAAGTACATGGACTCTTTGGAGGACTGCCAAAGCATGAGAGAGGAGAAAAGGCAGAAAGAAGCAAGGCTTATCCTAGAAGCCAGGAGTCAAACTGTTGAGAAGGCCTTCACTGAAAGAGTACTCGATAAAATCATGGCGCACTACACAGGGAACATCTACAGCCCCAACACGTACTTCTATCTGAAGGGTCTAGTAGAGGAAAACACGGATCTTTTATACAGGAAAAGAATAGATTTTCTGTACGTGCATGGAGCAATCAGCGAGCACAGCCAGGGCATTTTGGAAGCAGCCAGGAAATTGTCGGAGGAGAATCAGAATGACTTCTTGAGGGAAGCCAATCTGTTTAAGGACATCGATGTATACACAAAAGAAATGGCCGATGCGATGATAGAGGGAATGTCCTCGTACATAAAGAACATTTTGGGCATAGATGCCGTGAGCCAGGTCAAGCGCCTGCTGGAGGCCGTTAAAAAGCAGAGTGCAGAGTCTGAGCGTGCGGAAACTGCGGAGTTTCGGAGGCTTTTGGAGAGTTTCATTGCGAATGCGCACGAACTCCAAAGAACTTTTCCGTACTTTTTGAAGAGATCTGGGCAGAGCATGTGCGATTTTAGCGCGCTGGAGCTTATACTCAACAATACATTCACGAAGATAGAGTTTGCCAAATACACAAAGGCTCTTGAGAGGATAAAAAAAGAAGTTTCAAGAGTGAGCGGATATGCTGGCTTGGAAGAAAAAATCAAAAAGCTGCTGGAGTACCCAAAGGAAGACGAAAAAGAAATAGAGAAGATATACGATAACTCCCTCGAAGCAGCAAGATATCTTACGAGGCTGCTGCGCCTCAGGAAGGGAGAAAGCATCGAGGAACAGACTCTCAGAATTTCTAAGTATACGGACTTTGCAAAGGAGCACACGATGTGCGACTCTTCATGCCCGATCGAAACTGCAACCCTTGAAGTAATTGAGGACGGAGCCACTCCCCAAGAAATTCAGTCTATGATTTCGTCGATACAAAGAACCCGGGGGATGAACGCCAAACACTTAAATTTCCTAAGGGCGCATAAACTCGACTCGTCCGATTTGGAGCGGTATATGTCGGAGCTTGACAAAAAGATACTGAATTTCCAGCAGCTGCTGGCTCCCTTTGAGGGGCTCAGCAAGGCAGAGATCCTAAAATTCGAGTGTTCTCGCTACGCCCATCTGAATATGTACAAGAACGAGTGCGAGAAGTGCATACACGCGATCAAGCAGAAGACCGAGCATAAAATCCCCCGAAAGATCTTGGATGTTCTGGAGGAGCTTGAGCAAGCTCCAAGCAACCCAAACCTGCACAGGAAAATGGAAGAAGTGCTCGAGGAAACGCTTCGGGAGGCGCCACAGCGCCTGCTCAGCCTGGAGTTTGCAGCAGAAAACGAACACGCTCTGGAGGAGTTCCAGCACATGATCATACAGCTTGACAAAAGAATAGCCCAAAGCTTGGAAGACAGCCCGCAGAAAGAGCCCTCTCTAAAAAGAATGGCTGCCTTCCAAGCATCTTTTTTCGGGATTTTAGCTGCTCTTGTGCTTTTTTCGATGTGCTTGATCCGAATGAATGTTCTGCACTAGAAAATAGAAACAGCTCGGCTTTGCTCGGAGAAAAGCGAGTAATCCTCCCTGCAGATGCCAGGAAAATGTGGCACTGCAGGAGGCTGCCTGTGCATAGGCCATGCCGAGCTGGAAAACTCGGGTTATTAGGACTTGGCGAACTCTCTCCATAGAGTGCACACATTTGGACTCCTTTCTGCGAATACTCCGAGCTCTGCTTTGAAAATCGTGCTAAACAGGCACTTTAATATCCCATTAGATCGAATTTCTCGACTGTCTGCGCACAAATGTCTGCTTTGCCCTAGCGTGCGTGCTCTCTCTTTTCCGTGCGAAAGCGCAAAGACATTCCGGATTGCGCAGGCTGTGCGCACTTTGGAGCTGCTCACGCCTCAATATACATACGCTGCAACGCATTTACTTAGAAAATATACATGTTGAGGCGCGACGAATAAAAATAAATTCATTCTACTAAAAACAGCTGCAGACAAAAAGAGGCAGGACTTTGCGCAGGAGAAATTGAGTTTTACTAGAGCAGAATATTCACTGTGCAAATTTATTCCAAAGAATGAAAAGACGACTTTAGCATCTGCCCAAATGCAGTGCATAGGCAATGCGAGAAATACCAAGCCCCACTCCGCATCTTTCGCAATTGCAAATGATCTTTTTGTTCTTGCGTGCTTTTTGATGCCCAAGTTCTGTGATGTAATGGCCATCACCCGAGCCCCCGCTTCCAGAAAGCCCGGAAAGGAGCCCACAGCGTCGCCAGGGCTTGCCATTTGCGTACTCCATCGATTTCCATATTCCACAGACTCCCTTCTCCGCGCCGCCCTGCAATTTCCACACTTTGGCTGCGCTTATGCCTTTACATTCCACTTATTGATCATATTTTGGGTTTTTGTATTTATATTTTCGCGCATTCCCATAAAAGTAAATGCTTGGCCATTCTCTCTCCATGAAGAAAGTGAGCGATAGCCTGTCGAATTTAGAAAGTTCAGAGAATACCATTGTAAAGCTGTCGCTAGATTTCAAAAACATGGTTCACTCTATAAATACCTTGCAGAGCGCCCGGGCGAAGTTTTCGTCCAAGCCCTGCAGCAATCATGCCCGCCTTCTGAATAGCCTTCCATACGACGTCTCCAAAAACACGGCTATAGAAATCTCCAGCAGCATCGCCCCGGAGGAGGCCCTTCTTCTTCAAAGTATCTCAAAAACCGTGCTTGAGGAGATTATCCGGGTGAACACCGTGACTTCAAACGTCCTCCTGATTGGCGAGGGCATGGAAGACCTCGACCCGAGCTCGCTTTTGTACGAACACGACATCCCCAGGGCAGTTTACTCCGTCATCACCGCAGGCTTCGTGCAAATCGCAAGCAAGCGGATGAATCGGTGGTACAAGGAACTCTCCAAAATCCCAGATGCGTGCCGGATCGAGTATTTAAAGCATGCGCACAAAGTGCTCTATGAGAACCAGGCCGCGGCCATGTACACCAAAAACACGCTTCTTTTCCCGCTGCAGGCTTTTTCCGCGCACTTCAAAAACGGCTGCTCGGCGCTTAAGTACAGCCCCAGCCGAATTCCCGTTCTAAACGAAATTTCTCCCGGAGTTTACGCGCTCGACTGCGCCCTCGAGCTCTTCATAAAAAACAAGGAGAGAATAGGGAGCTACTACAGCACAGAGCCAAGAGAAGACTTCAAGCTGAGCAGCCAGGAAATGGAGCTGCTTGCAAGCCTGTGCGATTCCTGGGAGATCGTTAGAAAAGTCCTGGAGGCCATCCACAAGGTGGTAGACCCGCAGAAGGAGTACGTTGACATAAAATACCTGATCGGAGAACGCGGGGAGTTTACGCTGGGAAGTCCTTCTTCCGTGAAAAATCCGCTGCAAGTCAGTGCAGTCCACTCTGTAGACGCCTTGGCTTTGGGGGAGACAGAAAGAAGCCTGCCCGTGTGCGCCCGGAAGTATCTGCAAATGCGAGTGGAAGCCCACAATAAAATGGTCAGAGCAATGAGCCAAAAGAGAAACGCAGGAGCAATAAAAAGGGCAATAAAAGTGGCAGGCGCCGGTGTAGTGCTTTTTGGGTCGTTCAGAGTCCGGAGAAGCGCCCGGTGGAGACCCCCAGCAGAAAGCACGAAAAAACAATAAAAAGCGTTCGTGCTTCCCACCCAAAGACTTTCTGTCCGCTGAAAAGGCAAATAAGCAGCGGCTGAAAAGCCCGAAAAAGTTCAAACGAGGGGCTGAGTTTCGTATGAAGGCAGGCCTGGGAGGAAAAAGGCTGGCTGGATTTCCGGTAAAATTTAATTTTTCATTCTAGGGCATGCCGATGGAAAGTTCATTGCCTCTAATGCCAGCGAGCGCTTCAGAAATGGGAGAAAATATCCCGGAGAGTTGCCCTTCCTGCATGTTTCTATGCCTGAATTCAGACGCCCTGGATACTAGCATCGCTTTAGAAGCTGCCTGCATAAAGTACAACAGCAGAAATTTCACGGAATTATACAGATTGTGCAGGATTCTTCTGAAAAGTGTCACTTTTCGGGTTATTCCTGGAAGGGTTTCTGCAGAAATTTCAAACTCTGTCGAGATAATAATGAAGGCCCTTCTTCTGCTCGACCTGATGGAAAGGTACCGCAAAAGGCCAGAAGTCACAGCAGGATTCACCAGGGTCATGCAGGCAGAGGCCTTCATTCAGCTGTGCACGGACACTTACATCAAAACTCTGGCAGAGTCCGTGCAAAGCAAAGTCACAGCGTGGCTCTCTAATTTGGGCCGAATAGAAGCTGCAAACTTGCAGGCGTGCCTGGACTTTGAAAAGAGGAAGCTCTCCTATCGGGTTTTGTGCGACCCTCTCACAGGACCTGTCATAAAAAATCACCTGGACCTTTTCCAGAAGAGACTCAGCATTTTCAAGCGCGGGTGGTTTAGGCGTGCTTTTTTCCCCCCGTACGAGAAAGACTTTCTTTTCCAGAAGCACAAAGGCGTTTACAACATAGACTGCGCTATTGAAAAAATACTTGTGAAATTGCACAACATCGACAGAATTGCAACAGGAAAGTCTTCACTCAAAGAAATTTCAGAACACTTTTCTTCGATGGAGGTCCGTCTTATTTTGACGGTGCAGAGAGACTGGGACTTTTTGATGCATCTGTTCACGGCGTACGAAAGCACCATCCAGGAGGCAAGCGAAGAGAAGAACAAGTTTCTGGCAAATTGTGGGCTTTCAGAGGGGGAGAGCGATTCAAGCGCCTATTTTAAGCGTATTGATGAAATATGTGCTTCAAACAAGGAGAACTACAGTGCTGTCTCTAAGCCTGTTTTTAAGTACGTATGCAATACAACGGAAGGGTTTAAGACGATTGCTCGGGCTGAGAGGTCTACTCCAGACTCAAAACCCGCCAAGATTCCGGGGAAAAGGCTGTCCCGCCTGCTTGGGACAGCAGCCACTGTTTTTACTGCTTCCTCCGTCTATATGCTGAACACCTCCTAGGGGAATTTATGAAGCTCCGGGTACTCCAGAAAATCTGCATAAATAAAGCCTCTATAAGTTTGTTTTCCAGGGGAAGCATTTTTCTTTTTGTTAGTTGTAATGCGGGAAGTGCTAGTGAAATTCACGGGTTTTATTGTTTTTCGGCCTGCTTAGATAGACTAAAATCTAATCTACTCCTCTGGGTAAGCTAGAAAGATTTGTTCCTTATTTGAATTAAGCAACAACCAATTACGAGCAAGTATGCTTTCAGCATACAACATTGTTTACTGCATAGTGCGCAGTAAGTACCCGAATACTCTGCCACTTTTTACACGCCGCGCAGTAAATTGCAGAGCTTAATATACACGGAGTAGCAAATGCCTCCGTGAAAAACTCTGCCAATTTTTACACACATCATCATAAATGATGTTTATGTGACACCGCGCAAAAACAAAAACATAATATACACTTCATAGTATAAATTACTAGTATACATACACTTTTTTTGCAATTTTTTTCATATGACAGTTTCAAAGACTCTAAGTGCACCAGAAGAACAACATTTATCCGCGCTAGAAGACACTTTCTTAACAATCCCCGAGACATGCGATAATGCTCCCGAGGAAAGCGGGCAACCCATCGAGGAGGGCTTTATTTGCATCAACCACCCAGAAGAGACCTCCTTCGTTTTTCCGCTAAGAGACGAACTGCTTTTAGCAAAAAAAGAAAATCTCAAAGAAATCAGGGCTGCTGTTAGAAAGCAGAAATCCAACAGCTTTTTTGCACAAGTCGGTTTAGAAGCCTTCGCAGGAGAGGGCGCATTGCAAGTGCTGAAGAAAAAAACAGAAAAGATCGGCGTCGATCTAATAGAACCAACTGCCCTTTTTATTACGACAAGCATGTACATTTCCTCGCTTCTCTACGTTGACATGGAAAATCCCGAACTCACTGAGGAAAACAGAGTCTTCATCGAGAGAATTGCCCGGTGTTTGGTCGACTGCAAACTTTTAAAGGACTCTGAGGTCTTGAGCCCGATATATTCCAGCGTAACGGAAACTCCTGTAAAAATGAGTGAAATTTTTCAGATCCTGATAAAATCAGGTACTCTTGTGCGAAGAAGCGGGCTTTTGGAAAACATCAGCGGAATCATGCAGGATTTCCTCGGTGACGCCAAAAAGAGTGCTTCCTTGGACTTCTCTGTCGTTCTCCAGAACTACTACAGGCGGGTTCTGGCTCAGAAAATGTCTCGCGGAGTTCTGAACAAAAAAACGCGCCAAGACTTGAGGACCCTGATTTTAGCCCAGGAAAAAAAAACTTTGGACTCTGCAAAAAATCTTTCCAGGAAGGTAGATGTTTTCCAGGTATTTGGCAGAGAAAGTCTCCTGGAAAAAGTCCTTTCCCACCTTGTAGACCAGCAGAGGGGCACATTCTGGCTGGAATTTCAGAAGAACCCTCCCATTTTGGGAAAAACTCCAAAAACCAGCGCGGATTGTCTAGCTATTCTTTTGGCAGTTGATAGACAGTGGGTGGAAATATCAAAATTTTATTCTGTTTTTGGCCGGGAGATGGAAAAGGCAGAGTCCTTCATAAAAGGCAAATACGCATCCGAAAGACCAGAGAACATTTCGCAGGAGGAGTACCTGAAAGACCTCAAAGACATAACAGGGAATGCCGTAAAAGAGGGCGAAAACTGCGGGCTCTCCGAGAAAAACGCCATTCACTTGGGAGAGCTTATGTACCTCTCCCTGCGCAAACTTGTAGTTGCAAAAAAAGAAAATTCAGAAAACAACAATACACAGGCCCAAATTCCAAGCCAGACAAGCATAGCAGCTAAGTGTAGAAATGCCATGCTTGGCATTGCCTCTTTAGTAGCTGTAAGCTTGCTCTACGTCACAGACAAAAGAGCCCAGCTATAGACCCATTTGCTACATTGTGTGCAATAAATTCTGCTTCTTTATACCCACGTGTTTTTATGCAGTGCGCCATGAGTGTTATAAAATGCACTCTGCTCAACAAGTCCTTCTGTTTTTACAGAGTGCACAATAAATCCTGCTGCCTCCCAACCCTTTATTTTTGCGCCCTCTCCAATAAGTCCTGTGATTCTTTTTATTCGGTTTTTTTCGGCGCTCCCGTAGCTCAGTGGTAGAGCACGGCACTTATGGGTGCGAGCCTCCTATGTTGAAGGCTGTAACAAGCTGAGTCATGCCGGGGTCGTGGGTTCAATCCCCATCGGGAGCATTTTTTTCTTTTTCCAAAACCCCCACGCCCCGGAAGCTGTCCCGCGAGAGGTGCAGGCGAGCCCGTTCGAGAACAGCCCCGGACACGTGCCGGGAGAAGAGAGAAACAACCCCAAGTTCTAGGACACTGCTCCCCGGAAGATACGCATCAACAGCGCGATCAAGGCCTTCCCCGCTTAAAAACGCGATAAGAGCCCGGGCAAAAGGACTCGCTTCCGCCTGCCGGTCTCCCGCATAGAAGTCGCAAACTGCCTCCCCCCGAGCAACTGCAAGAAGAAGCGCCGTCTCCAAAGAGGCAGGACTTTCCCCCGTTACGTGCACCTTCTTCAGCGCCTGCGAAATGGTCCCGTGCACGTTTGGGTCGCTCTCCCGCTGGAAGGCGCTGCTCTCAAACAGAAGAAGCTGCGAGGCCGTTAGAAGAAGCCCTGGATCTTCGCTGGAAAAACACTCAAGAACTCGCGTGTGTGCTGCTTTGCCTGTGAGGAGGCCGTGGACACTTCGCACGTACGCATCGCACAGAATGTACGGATCTCCGCCTCCTTCAAACCTGATTTCCGCGTGCGGAGAAGTCATCCGCAAAATGTCGGGAGTTTCCTCCGTGTGCGAGGCCGTGCTCACGGAGTGTGCTCGCAGGAAGACTTCGTACTTCAGGAGCTGATCGCACTCGTGCGGGGAGAGAGCGCTTTCTCGGAGCTGCCCTGCAACGGAAGAAGCACGCGCGAAGTCCCCGGAGGAGGCGAGCAGATAGACTAAATAGAGCCGCACCGTATTCAGGCACGCAAGGTCGTATCCCGCAGAGTCTCCTGCAGACTCAGAATTCTCGCGAGATTCTTCTGCTTCCACTCCACGGAGTTCTGGATTTTCGGACGGGTTTTTTCTGCTGCCAGATCCGAAGATGCCCCGGTGCAGGAGGCCGTCCGACCGGATTCTTTCTTCCCCGCCTGCCCGGGAAGTGCTTTTTCCGAGCGCAAGAATCGCATTTTCAGCCTCGGAAGCCACTTTCACCGCGTACTTGAACTTCTTCTGCTGGGAAAGGGCCTCAGCCAGCGCCATTTTCACAGCGTACGAGTCCTTCACAAGGAGGATTTCCTGGCACCGCCTCTCAGCTACGCCCCAGTTCCCGCTTCTCTGATGGTACCGCAGGCTTGCCCGCAGAAGGCCCGTGTCCTGCAGGTTTTCAGCAACTCGCAGGTACTCGTCCAGGAGGGAGAGGCTTCCCCCAACTTCGTGCAAAATCGCCCCCAAGTCGCAAGCCACGTAGTAATCGTACGGCCTTTCCCGGTGCAGGCGCGTGAGCATCTCCACAGCAGCTTCTGCATACCCTGCAGTGTACGCTGAAAGGGCAGCCTTGTGCCGAGAAAAAGCACTCTCCGGGCAGGCATTTGCAAAGAGCGACTCGCGGGAGCACTCCCACAGAAACCCATAGTACGCGCACAGCTCGGAAAAAGTCGCAGAATCTTCCCCTGTCCTGCGAACATACTCTGCAAACGCGTCAAACTCCGGGGAAATTACGGATAAATACGCGCGTACAGTCTCTGGTTGCTTCTGCAGAATGCACATGTGCATTTCCACTGCGCGCACGAAGTATACGGTGCTTACGCTGTCCACGGCGTATTTTTGGAAATACTCTTTATACGGAGGCGCATCGCACAGACGGGAGAGCAGCTGCAAAATCGGCACTTTTTCATTTTTCATTCTGCTCACGCCTATACTTTGTATATTCCCGTGGGAACTGCTATCTGAAAAATGTATATTGAGGCTGTGCACATTTTTGTTTTTTTCTGTCTTCTCAGAGACGGGCGTGCGCCTGGCAGACTCTGCAGCAAGAATTTTTGCGACATTTTCCGGGGCATTTTCCGTGCAAATTCGCTCGAGCTCGCACGCGGGGATAAAACAGGGCGTGCCTTGCAGGACACTTTCCAGGCCCTGCACGTTCATGCAGGAAAGTCCGGCCTCCAAAAGCATTTTTGCAGCTCGCACGCCAAGCACGCGCTCTGAGGCCTCGGAGTACCCGGGAAACTTTCTGTCCGTGTAAATGCTTTCGTTCAGAAGGTGCACGCGCGCTCTCAGGACGTCTTTTTTCGCGGAAAGCATCAGTCCTGTTTCTTCCTCCGCGACAGAACAGGCTGAAAGTGCCTCCTCAAGAAGGGCTGGCCTCTCCGGGCCGCGCAGGAGCATTACCGTTGGCGAGAGCGTGTTGTACATAACGGATTTCAGCGCGTCTTTCAGGGATTCCTCCACGGGGAAGTCCAGGAAGTCAGAAACCACGGAAAAGACCAGGGCGTGCTCTGAGACGTTGACCTCTGCCTTCAGCATCGCGAGTAGCAGGTGGGAGAAGTCGCTGAGCTTTCTCCCGTCGCAGTATACGGCGATGTACAGGAAAAAGAGAAACTCGTTTGCTGCGTGCCTGAAAAATCCAGGGTCTGCCTCCACGGTGCTCCAGAGAGTTTCCACGTCCGCGAATTCTGCAACAATTTTCCGGAGAGCGGACCTGACTGCGCCCCTCTCCCTGAAAAAGTTCCCTGCGTCTGCAAAGACTTTTACCTGCCGGTGGAAAGCCTGCAGCTTTTTCAGGGCGCATTTCCTGGTCCAGGAGTCAGAATCTGCGGGCTGATACAATTCCAGGGCAGGCAGAAACTTCTGCAAATCGTTGTTCAGGTGCAGCTCCAAGAGAAAGCTGACCATTTCCCAGTCGAAGGGCGAGGCTGGGCCCGCGGAGAGGGCTATTTCCATGGTGTTTTCCGCCTCCCGGGCTGTTTTTTCGTCTATGAATGCGGGGTTGTAGGCCAAAAATATTTTTGCAATTCCGCGGTGGGTCTCGACCAAGGCCTCGGGTGTTTCCGCAAGGGAAAGGGCCTCTCTATATGCGGTCAGTGCAAGTTCGCTGTTTCCCATTTTAAAGTGGCAGAATCCGATAAGAACGTGTATTTTATAGTGTTTAACGGTCTTTGCAAGGTCTCCCGCCAAAACCAAAGCCTCCGAGAACGCGTCCTTCTTCAGAAGCGCCAGCACGGGTTTAAACAACTTCATGGAAGCAAAAAAATAAAAAAATAAAAGAAAAGAAAAAAACGTCCTGACAGGGACTCGAACCCAGAACCTCCTGATTAGAAGTCAGATGCGCTGCCAATTGCGCCACCAGGACCCACAAACATCAAAAAACGAAAGCACACGTCATACGGTAATATAACCGGAAAGAGGCATAGATGCTGCAGTGCGCGGGCAATAGAAATTTTATAGACTGAATAACATAATAGAAGCAATAGAAGTTATAAACTGAATAACATAATAGAAGCAATATACTGAATAACACAATAGAAGTAGTAGACTGAATAACACAATAGAAGTGGTAGAGTAAATAACGTAATAGAGTGAATAAAATAATAGAGTGAATAATGTAATAGAAGTAGTAGACTGAATAACATAATAGAAGTAATAGAGCAGAAATAAGAGTGGCAGAACAGTGGCTTCTGAATGGCCAGCCCAGTGCAATTTTTATTGTTTTCCGGTGCAGAAATTAATCAGTGCCTGATCCTTATACGTTTTTCCTGCACTCTCTCCTGATTATGTACGTGCAGTACAGCTTAAACGCGCACCAAAACAGAGGTGCCGCAATCCAGGCAAGCACGTCGGACACAGACCGAATATCCGAGGCCTTGCTGAACATGCGGGTGACGAAGTCCGAGTAAATGACCCTGTTGCAGCGCATTTCATCGAGCAGAGTCCGGGCCCTATTCTCCGGGCGCGCAGAAAGCGTTCGGGAGGCTCCCTCGATTTTCTTTGTGGCTACGGGTTTTATTTTTTCCTCCTCCTCGAATCCTGGGCTTAGAATTGTCGATACGTAGTAGATATATGTGTCCAGGCCCAAAATCGCGCTCTCTTCGTGCACGGCCTCGTAAAACGACGAGAGTGCAGCCTTGCTGGGGGCATACATTCCGTACCCGCTGAATGCATGCAAGGCCAGCGTTGACGCGACAAAGACCAGGCTCTTCCGGTTCGTCTCGGAAACAGCCTTTAAAAAGTGAGAATAAACCCGTACTGCCCCGAAAAAGTTACACTTCATGATTTTTTCTGTTACTTCCGCGGATATGTCCTGGGCCGACGAAGGGACTGCAAATCCTGGGCAGCAAAAGACCATGTCAAACTCCGTTGAGATCTTCCGGACAGACTTTTCTTCTGTGATGTCGATTGCTGTGACTTTGTATTCGGGCTTGTACTGCTCGAGCTTGGAAATGCTCCGGGAGGAGATTGTCACGATTCCGCCCCGCCGCTTTATCTCTTTTGCAAGTGCCAGGCCCAGCCCGCTGCTTCCGCCTATTACAAGAACGGCCTTTCCTGCGTACATCTTTGTTGTTTTTAGCGGGAGCCATATATGGACAGTTTCAGGCGTTTCCAGGGAGATATTTTGGCGGGAAGTCAGGGTTGAAAAACTTCCCGATTTGGAAGGGCCTACCATATGCGGCGCACCCAAAAACTATAAAAGGCGCCATGCAAAAATCTTTTTGCAAATTTTTATCTCTTCCCGGGAACAGCCGAAATCAAATCTGAAAATGTTTGAGCCAGAAATAACCCGAAACCTGAAAAAACAAACCCATGGCCCTCCCCAGCCCCGCACACGCATACACCATCGCACGCCACCATCTTTATACGGTGCTTCTCCTGGCATTCTACCTTCTCCTGCACATACCCATCCCAAGCACGGCCTATTACACCTTCCTGTGCCTTTCAGTGTTTGCTGTTCCTACACTGTGAAATAAAATAGAAAAAATAAAAATAAAAAGCCTTTGTTTACTGCAGATGCAAAGCGTACTTGCATTCGTGCTTTTAGAGAGACTTTGTTTCTACACAATTAAAAGCAACATGTTTTTGTACAGCAGTAGCTATCTGAAGTACACCAGCACAGACAGCACCATATGCATGCACGTCTTTATGTTTCTATCGTATTTCTGCTGTGTATTCAGTGGGCACATTTCTGTATATGCGGGGGAGTGTGCAAGCATATTTTTGTCCCTGGTTTTGTACGTTATGGGCGTGCTGTGCATGTGCGCTTCTGCTCTCATTGGGAAGAGTGCGTTTTTCCTGGGGGGAGTCCTTATGGTCTCGCTCGGGGCAGGCGGGATCAAGCCAAATGTTTCCTCGTTTGGAGCAAGGGTGTCAGAACCTGAAAATGCACCTAAAATGTCCATATCGGGCAATGATGCAAAGAACGAAAAAAACATTTCTCAACGCGGAAAGCCCACAGAACCCGACAAAAACGGGCACTCCCCCGAGAACATCCCCTTTTTCTCGTGGTACTGCCTCACCGTAAATGCAGGGAGCTTTCTTGCGATGTTTATAACCCCGGGCTCTGCGTGGTCTTTGCTTGCGTCAGGCACCGGCATAGACAGGCACGTTTTGCGCGCAGAAAACATTTCCGAGCACTTTTTCGTGTTTACGCTCGCCCTTTTCCTTGTGTGCATGTCCGCAGTTGTTTTTTTGCTTGTCTCTCTGCAGTACGCCCTGCGGAGGCTCTGGAACGCCCATCTGAAAAGGAAAAAAACACCAACTATTTCCATATCGGGCAATGATTTTATTCCAGAAAACCCTGAAAATTCCTCTGGCCTCCCCACATCCGAAAACAAGCCTGAATCCCCCACAGCGTTTTCGCTTTCCCCAAACATCCCCATGGTCGTGGCATGGTCCGTGTACGACCAAATGAGCTCCACCTGGACAGAGCAGGGAAAAAGAATGAACTGCACGATCCAAATGTGCGGGATTTCCGCCCAAATTGTCCCCTCGCAAATGCCCATATTCAACGCAATAGTCCTAATTCTTGCAATTCCAGGGCACAATTCGCGCATCAACCGAATAACCCGAGCCCTAAAGATCCCGAACACGCACAAGCATAGAGTCGCATACGGGATTGCATGCATAGCCGTATCCCACACCATCTTCTGTGCCCTTAACGAACTCGTAAAAAAACAGAAAGTCTCGATTCTTTTTCAGGTGCCGCAAATTCTCGTTTTAACTGCCGGGGAGCTTCTCGTGAGTGTTTCCGGAATGAGTCTTTCCTACAGAAGCACTCCCAGGAAAAGCGTTGCAATGGGAAATTGGTTCCTAAACGTGGCCTCTGGGAATCTTCTCGTTGTTCTTGTTTCTGCTCTGTGCAGGCACTTCCGTCTCCCTGAGTCCGTCCGCTCCATCACGTACTTAGTGCTTATATACGGAGTGCTTATATACTCGCTGCGGCATAAAGCACTGAGCAGTTCTAAATAAAGCAGACAGTCACTCCCAGAATTCGGGCTATTGTGCATACTGCTGCTCTATTTGGATGCTCTAGTTAGATAGATAGCATTCCAGCTAGATAGTTAAGTAGACTTTATATGTTAGCTATTAGATATGATTAGCAGTGACTATTTAGCATCCTTGCCAGTTATATATCAATTGGATGGATGCTATTGTCGTGCGATGTATTTGCTAGATCTTGGCCTTTATTTGTGTGATTTTTAATTAGCACGCTCTCACAGTGCTGGGGGGGTACCCAGGAGAGGCTTTTTTACTTAGCAAAATCCCACGGGAAAAAGGAAAATTGCAGAAAAAAGCACGGGCATAAAATACTCCGCAGAGAAAAGGGCGTATTTGCAAAATAAAACAGAAACACGCTATCCAGCCATAATATACCAACTGCCCACTATCTTACTACTACCATACTACTACTAATAACAGCATCTTACTACCATCTTATTATTACTATAGCATCTTATTATTATACTATTCTGCCATCTTAATACTATACTACTATACTATTATACCATCTTATTACTATACTATACTACTATAGCATCTTAATACTATAGCATCTTAATACTATACTATACTATTCTACCGTCTTAATACTACCATACTATTATACCATCTTAATACTATACCATACTATTATAACATCTTATTACTATACCATACTGTTCTACCATCTTATTACTATACCATACTATTCTACAACCACACCAACTGTTATACTAACTGGTATTATACCACCATTGCAATATCCTGCTATTCTATCCTCCTTTTACTTCTATCCTCCATGCATCTGTTCGTGTGGGGCTAGTGACTTCTTTCTTTTTTTATTTTTGTTTTTTTCTTTTTTTATCCCCATGACTTTACGATTCACTGAGAGTGCGCAGATGCAGGACATAATTCGTATGTACAACACAAACATAAACGGAAGATCTACGATAGTTAGGTCTCTAACAGGAATCCGTGGAATAGGCCTAAGAATATCTAATTTAATCTGTAAAAAGGCAGAAATAGACACATCCCTTCGGGCAGGACAAGTAGAGCAGGAGAAGCTTTCTCTCATCTCGAAGATTCTGGAGGCTCCGCAGGAGTTTGGGATTCCCGTGTGGATGCTGAACCGGCAGAGAGACCCCCAGACGGGAGAGAACAAGCAGCTGATTGCAAACCAGGTTGAGGCCGACTACAGGCTGTACCTGGAGAGGGCAAAGAGGCTGAAGCACATCCGAGGCCTGCGTCTTCTGAAGGGCCTGAAGGTGAACGGGCAAAGGACGAAGTCAAACGGCCGACGTGGGAAAACAGTTGGAGTTTCCAAGAAGAAATAAAGTGAAAGTTACCTGAAAATAACGGTATTGCCACATTAGGAAATTTTCTACATAAAAATGCAAATATATTTTCTGGAATCTGGCAGTGCAGGTCTATGTGCATTCTGGCGCAGGCAAGCACTGCCGACTGTCTAGATTGCACTACTGTGCCATCCTAAACTGGGCAACTGTCCTCTGAGTGTATATCATCACTAAGGCATGCGCATATCTGTCCTATGGCAGTATTCTGCTACTATATCTCCTATTATTCCACGTGAAAGCACAGCTCCTAAATGGCTATTGCATAGACGGGCATAATTAACCGCTGCACAACTTAAGCGCTAGGGAATAGACTAAACACCGGATATCCAAGCAGGCCAAGCCTAACTAATAAAGGCTGCAGTTTCACCGTTACAACTTATCTGGCACTATACCTGTCCTGATTACACCTTCATATGGCAATAGATACCCGAGCATATCGCATGATCGGCTCAGAGCGTGTCTATAACTGTGCACTATCCCATAGACTGCACATACTATCACTATATCAGATACTGTGTCTATGTGTATCCGGAGAAGATCTCGCATACGGTCACCCGAAGCTATCTGTGGGAATATCTCTCTTACCACTTCGTGCATCTGGGCTTTATACGCCTATGAGTTCGGGAGGGAGTCGATGACTGCCTTTGAGAAGACGCCCTCGGGGATGATTTCGTGCTTGTACGGGAGGAGTTCTTTGTACGTGTTTTTTATCGTTACATCCGTTACGTTTGTTACGATCTGAATGTCCTTCTGGATGCTGCGCTGATTCGGGAACAAGTACGTGAGCAAGTAGATGATTGCAGCTGCGATGGAGTCTGGGGACTTCCCTGCAATGCACCCAATAGAAGACGCCTTCCTGCTGATGACGACTGCGACTTTCTGGACGTCTATTCCCAGCGTCAGGTCGGAGCAGAATCTAGCGACGATATCCTCGGTGGAGACAACTCCCAGCTTCTCGATATACGGGAAAATGGCCTTATAGCACCGGCCTATTTCCTTCTTTGGGACTGCTGTGAGGATGCTCACTTCCTTGAAAGTTCGGACAAATCCTGCCTTTCTGCAGGCTATGTATATACAGGCTGCAGAAACTCCCTCCAAATTTTTTCCCTTCAAAACCTTTTTCTCCTCTACGGTTTTAAACACGTACTTTGCAGCATCCGAAATTGTTTTTGAAAGGTTTTTTCTCTCGCAGAAAGCAGAGATTAGGTTCAGGCCGTTAATAAGGGCTCTTTCTGGGCCTCTCAGGCTGGATTTCATCTGGGTTTTAGCGAGATTGTACGAGGAAAGGCCGACTCCCGGGGAAATGAGGGTGTCCAGCTGCTCAGAGTCCAGGAATGGGTTATTCGGGCCGCCAACTCGGCTGGGATTGTCGCCTGAGTCTGTGAACGTGCGCCATTCGCTTCTCTCGTCGATAATCCGTGGACCTACGATGCAACCGCAGGCTCTGCATACGTTATAGCCATTTTTATAGTCTTCTATGATATTTTCTTCCTCCTTGCAGTCTGGGCATTTGTCTCGCTGTGTCTTCTTCGGGTGCATGCAAATAAAAAAAAAGCAGTAATTATGCGGAAGAAACAGAAAGAATACGCTAAGTAGCATATAGTTGGTATAGTGTTATTATAGTTAGTTGTATATAGTTAGTACAGTTTAATGGTATAGTATTATAGTGTTATTAATAGTTAATATAGTATTATAGTTAGTATGGTATAATGATATAGTTAGTTGTATATTTGGTATAATGATATAGTATTATCGTTGGTATAGTTAGTTGTATATAGATAGTATGGTATAATGATATAGTATAGTATAATGGTATGGTATAGTGTTATTATAGTTAGTTGTATAGTATTATAGTTGGTATATATATAGTAGTATAGTTAGCTGTATAGTATAGTATAATGGTATAGTTAGTTGTATATTATAGTTGGTATAGTTGGTTATTTAGCACTAACTAGCTGTAATGGGATATTCTGGTGTTTCTGGTTATAATTAGTTGGTGTAGTATAGTAGTGCTGCAGCAATATATTCAGTATAGGGAATATTAGTATAGTAATGTAGTTCTGCGCAGATGCACTGCTTGCTCGCGTGGGGTTAGATGCTGTGCTGTGATATTGCAGTAGACCATTATGCTTGCTTGGGCCATTGCCCTCTTATTTCGCGAGGGTGTTCTGCCATTTATTGCACAGTGTAGGACAAGTGCGCTACTTGCTGCACAGTGCCGCATAAACACCGGATTTCTCTGACAGCTAATACACACCACGTAATAAGTGCTGTATCAATGCAACAAATACCATGCATAATACAAATGGCACAATAAATAACAGAAAATAGTGCACACTGTGCAACAATTAGTGCAACAAACACCAGCACTTAACACAGACCGCACAATAAATAACAGAAAACGGTGCACACTGTGCAACAAGTAGTGCAACAAACACCAGCACTTAACACAGACCGCACAATAAATAACAGAAAATAGTGCACAGAGGGCGGAATGTTTTAGGGTGTATCCAAATTGAAACAGATCATTCCCCGGGAGTATGTGACTTGTACTTTGCGTGGCCTTTTTGATGCGTGTGAAACTGGTTTTATTCTGTATATATATGCCCCCCTGAATATCCCCGCATGAACTTCCTACTTATTATTCTGCTGGTAGAGTCAGTGCGTGCCCTGCACGATATAAAAGACACAGACGCTGGATTCTACATAATACCAAGAAACAACAATGTGGAAGGATCTCCCCACGTGATGACGCTGGCCAGTAACGGAGACTGGTACTTTTCTCCTCCGGATTCTCCGAACACGCAGATTTTCATTTTCAGGTCACGATACGGGAGAAGGCTGTGCCTGAAAAGCAACCGAAAAGAGTGCATTCACTTAGACGACGTCGAGAAGGAAGACCTCAGCTTCTTCAAAAACAGGCGCTGCTCTAGGGCCGCAGAGAAGAACCGCATACAAGTTGTGCCAACTGTCTACAAGAACTTCTTCATGATAAAGCTCTTTGACTGCCCGGAGCTGTGCCTTTACAGCCACCAAAGCCACAGCCTCCGCGGAGAAGACACTGACCCGAAAATCTCCAAGTGCAGGCACTCGAACATAAACAACCACTTCTACATCATCAGCGAGTTCGACATGCAGTACTACTTCAAGACAGGCCACAGAAGTTTTACAGAAGTTGCTGAAGACGTTGACGAAACACTTTCCCCAATAAAGACGCAGTACATTACCAAGCCAGGAGCTGTCTTCCTGAAGAACGAGATGCACGGAAACCGCTACCAATTCACAGGGAAAATGGCAGACGCAGAAAAAAACGAGAGTCTTCAGGTTCTCCCCCAGGTCATGCCTGCCCTCTGCAGCTCCCACGCGGATACCTTCCTAAAGAATTCAGCAGGACAGCCCATGATTTTCAGAAGCCCCCAGTCTTTTGTTATGGACTCTTCAGGACATATGTACAGGATGTAAACAAATAAACATGAGAAAACAAGCAATCGTAGTAAGAGTATTTATAGGAATAGTTGCTGTCTGGGTGGTTCTTACGGGGTATAAGATGCTTCGGCGATACAGAACCCCCAGAAAAGATGCAGGCCCTTTTTACGCGATGCCCGAGAGTGCTGCTGAGAGAAGGGGCGAGCTTGGCCGTGGGACGTGGACTCTTATCCACACAATAGCTGCAAAGTATCCGGCCGAGCCCACGCGCGAGTATAAAGGCGACGTTTTGAAGTTCGTAGAGCTGCTCACGAAGTTGTTCCCGTGCGAAGACTGCCGCGGGCACTTCAAGAAGCTGGTGGGAGGATTTCCCCCGAAAGTCTCCAGCCGAGAAGAGTTTTCCCTTTGGGCGTGCCAGGCGCATAACATTGTAAACCGGAGACTGGGGAAGACGGAGTTCGAATGCTCCCGCCTGGACGAGAGATGGGACTGCGGATGCAAAGCGTAGAAATGGCCTTCTCACGGAGGGCTTGGGCAAATAAAGTTTGTGTAAGATCCACTCGCATCAGTTCGGGTTATTCGAGTTTTATTTTGGAGAATTCGGGGTTCTGGAAGCCCAGGGCAGAATTAGGGGGTACTCATGTGCGAAAATTGACTTCTTCCGTTATTGCAATATTTGCCTCTATCCCCCATTTCCTCAGTGTAGCATAGATAGAGCCTGGACTTCGGGGGTTCAAAAGAGAGAAATGCAAATTCTTCTCTGGACGTCAGCGGAAAAGCAAAAATAATGCTTTTTCAGCGCTGCGCCGTTTGGAGGAAAAAAGCCTGGTTTTCACGGGAAAAACCACTTTGCGCCCTGGGGATTTCACCCACGATGCGCCCGCACTCTGCCGAACATCATGCTAAAATACTGCAGACACTTTCACTTTGCGACTTCCCAGGCCTTCCAAAATGTATTTTTATTTAAATTTTTATCCCCAGTTAAAATCGCATGGCAGAAAAGAAGGAGAAAGCAAAGAATCTAGGCCTCGTAAAAGTCAGAGCAATTGCTGCAAAAGTCATTGGATGCGGAAGAAACAAGGTGTGGATGGACCCCACAGAGTCTGTAAAACTCTCTGAGGGAAAGACCCCCGAGCAGGTCTCGCAGATGGTCCAGGACGGGCTCATCGTAAGAAGGCCAGACGTCGGGCAGTCCCGGGGAAGAGTCCGACAGTTCAGGCTGGAGAGGTCTCTGGGAAGACACAGAGGTCTCGGCCGAAGACGGGGAACGAAGAATGCAAGATTCCCGCAGAGAAAGATCTGGATGATGCGCATCCGTGCCGTTAGAAAGGACCTTAAGGAGCTTAGAGAGGAGGGAAGAATTGACAGGAAGATGTACAGAGCTATCTACTTAAAGGCAAAGGGAGGATACTTTAAGAACAGGAGGATGCTTAAGGAGTACGTCGTCAATGAAGAGCTTAGAAAGAAGAAGGAAGAGATGGTGTCAATGACGCAGGCTGGGCTTTAAAATAAATATTCGTCTTATTCTGGCAAAAATTTTACACGATGCGAGAGTGCAGGGGAAGCAGAAAGAGCGCCCGGGAGGAGGCAGGAAAATGTCCAGGCCAGGAAAAAGCGCAGGAGACTGCGGAGGGTGCGGGGAGTGCCCCTGGGAAAGATCACGGCGGGAGAGGGCCGCATCTGGGAGAAGCTGGGGCCGCTCTGGAAACGGCCGGAGACGCTGAGAGGGCGGAGTCTGAAGAGTTTGGCGACTTCAACGCTCTTGTAGAGAGAGAGGAGGGAAATGTGTCGGAGAGTGCCCCCGAGGATGCAGGGAGCGACTTGGAGTCGGGCGCAGACGAGCTTCTCCGGCTCGAGGACTTCAACAGAGCCCAGGCGGAGAAAGCCAAAAAATCAGTCGCTGCTGCAGACTTAACAAGCACGTACAGAGTCCTCACGGCGATGCACAAGGAGGGCCCAGAAGGCGCGATTTCCGCGGACGAGTTTGAGTTCCTGCAGGTTCTTGGGGAGGAGAATGCAGGGCGAATCTTGCAGGAGCAGGCGCAGAGCCTCGTCCGGGAGGTGGAGGGGCTGTTTAAGACTCCCGCGTACAAGAAGCTGAACAAGCAGAGGCTGATCCGGCAGCGGATAAACTACAGCCTCGCAGAGAAGGCGAAAACTCTCCCGGAGAGGTACGAAGACCTCCCGTTTGTCATCGCGATCACTAAGGACTTCTGCTACAAGACAGGAGCTAAGATATACAAGCGCACCACCGATAAAAAGATCCCGAAGATCAAGAGGCACACGTACCAGAAGATGGTGGGATTCTGCAGTGTGAAGGGCGAGTACGCATTTTCCCCTGAGAAGATCGAGGAGTTTATTAAGTCGATTCTGCAGTAGGGGAAAGCGAAAGTTTTCAAGGAGCAAAAATGAAAAGAAAAAAAATGAAAGTGTACGGAAGCATACTCTCGTGCGACACTCTTAGAATAAATGATGAAATAGAAAAAGTCAAGAAAATGGGCGTGCACGGCCTGCATTTGGATGTGATGGATGGGGTCTTTGTGGAGAAAATAGGGTTTAGCGAGGACACTGTGAATAGAATATCCCGAGAGCACCCGGATCTTCTGATAGAGTGCCATCTTATGGTGGAGGATCCTCTCAGAGTCCTCAGGAATATCGAGACGCAGAGGCTCCACAGAGTGATTATTCACCAGGCAGAGAGATTTCTGGAGGTGAGTGCGTACGTGCAGGAGCACGGGGAGTGCAGAGTTGGGGTGGCCGTGGAGAGCGGAGACGAGCTTTTGAAAGTCCCTGCAGGCGTGATCTCGCGCGTGGAGAAGGTCCTTGTAATGGGGGTCCGGCCTGGGAGAGGCGGGCAGAGGATGCGGGAAAGCCTCAGAAGGGACGTGGAAGTGGCCCTTAGAAGGTGCCCGCGTGCAGTTGTTGGAGTCGACGGGGGCGTGAACGAAAGCACGCTCGCACAGGTGGAGGGAGCGCATGAGGTCGTGATGGGGTCTTGCCTCTTCGAGCCGCACGGGGAGAGAAATGTCGTGGCAGCGCAGAAGAGGCACCCATCACGCGAGCAGAGAGAGTGAATAAATGAAATAAAAAGTGTATGCCAGATGTATGTATGTATGAATAGAGTGAAAGTATATTTGGATGGATGAAAGAATGAATAGAGTATAAGTATGGAAAAATAGCCCGAATGAATGAATTAGAGGATAGAATGAAATAAATAAAAGTATATTTGGATGAAAGAATGAACGAACGAAAAATATATTTGGATGGATGAATGAACGAAATAAAAGTATATTTGGATGAATGAATGAATGAACGAAATAAAAGTATAATCCGAAAGAATGAAAGAATGAACGAAATAAAAATATAATCCGAAAGAATGAATGAACAAAATAAAAGTATATTTGGATGTATGAACGGATAGGTGCAGTGCCTGCTGCAATCGGTGTATTAAGACGGCAGAAACTGTGTACTGTTCTTTATTCGCTTATGTGGAGATGCTACCTGGGGCTTTTCTTTTCCGTGTACGTTAAGTGGGCAGGCCCCGAGAGCTTCTTGCTGGAGACTTTTTTCTCGGCCCTCTCAATCTCCTCGTCGTCCTCCGACTCCGTCTGCATCTCCCTCTCGGACGCCATGAGGATCGACGCCAGGAGCTCATTCTGCTCGGTGCGCGTCTTGTACGCAGTGACTGCACTCTCGTCCATGAGCTCCGACTCCTCCGCAATCTTGAACGAGTATCCCTGATCGATCAGGAACTGCCGCCTCCTCGTGGAGTACGGGACTTCCTCCGTGTCCATGCTTACAAGGGTGTAGAAGTACGCGGTGAATCCTTCGTCCGTTCTTCTTTTCGCTCGCAGGATCCGGCCCAGCCTCTGCGTCTCCTGGCGCCTGCTCCCAAAGTGTCCGGAGATTTGTATGAGGCAGGTCGCCTCCGGGAGGTCGATCGACGTGTCTCCGACCTTAGAGAGGAAGATTGTGTTTATCTTCGGATTTGTCCGGAACTGGTTCAGAATGTGCATTCTCTCGGCCTGTCCTGTTGGGCCGTATATGAAAGGACGGCCAAACTTCAGGGCGTACGCCTTGAGGGTGTAGACGTTATCGGAAAAGACGATGATTTTATCCCCCAGTGCCTCGTGCTTGTTGATGATAAACTCGCACATCTGGATCTTCGTGGGGTTCATCGTTGCAAGAATCCTTTTTTTGCGGATGTCCGCTATCAGGTACTGCTTGTAGAAATCCCCCGTCATTTTGCACCATACCTCCGTGCAGCTGACTTTCGAAATGTGGCCCTGCGCGCTCAGGCTGAGCCAGTCTGCTTCGTACAGCTTCGGGCCTATCAGAAAGTTGAGGTCTTCTATTTTCTCGTCCTCCCTCACAAGAGTCGCTGTCAGGCCCAGCTTGCAGTGCGATATAATTGTCGAAACAACGCGCCTGAACATGTTCGCAGGCACGACATGGACCTCGTCAAAGATCACCAGGCCCCACTCCGTGCTTGTGAGAAAGTCCATGATTTTCTGCGTCTCGTACGACCGCTTCCCGCTGTAGGAAACCATCGTGTACGTGCTGACGACTATCCCTGCCTGCCCCGAGAACTTCTCCTTGGTCTCAGACGTGAGAATCGCAATTGCCTCGTCCTTTACGTTTGTGAAGTGCTTCACCTGCTGCCGCCACTGCTCGACGGAGACGGACGTCGTGCACAGAATCAGGCACGACCTCTTCATCGTGCAGAGTGCGACTATTCCCACAAGAGTCTTCCCAGCCCCGCACGGAAGCACAATTATCCCGGACCTTGCCCGGCCGTTTCCAAACATTTTGTTCAGGCTGAACTCCTGGTACGTCCGGATAGAGGTCGACGGCTTCAGGTCTATCTCCAGGAGAGGCAGCGTGTTTTCCGTCCGAAAGTCGTACTCCTCGATCAGGGGATAGTCCAACTCTATGCACCTTTTCTTTGCCAGCTCCACCTTCGCCCTCTCAATTTCGAAGGAGACAATTGCCTTCTTCTCCTCCTGCACGGGGATGGATATCGACTGAATCACAGAGTCTCGGTAGAGAAAGGATATATTCTGGTTGTCCTGCGACTCGATGAAGTATCTCCCCTGGCGAATCACCATTTTGATCTTCCCGTAGCTCGTCGTGCACGAGCGTATGAAGTTCAGTATGCTCAGCGGGACTTTGTTCTTGCTGAACCGGTCCATCGTGTCGATGATGTCCTCTGTTTTCAGCCCCACACTCGCTGCAGCGTACAGAGAGTACGCAGTCATCCGGTACTCGTGCATGTTCGCAGGGCGCGTCACAGGCTCTGCTATGGCTATTAGAAAGTCCTGCGCCTGCTGGCTCAAAAGAGAGTGCATCTCGAGAATGATCACCCCGTCAGGAGAAACCCACATGGGGCGAGTCTCGTGCGAGTCTTTAAGAAGAATCGGCTCGTGGACGCCCTCAAGCGTGCTCGTGGCTTGTTTTGGGAGCATTGCGTTTTTCTGTTTTTTTTCTATTCTGCATTTTTATGGATAATTCCCTCGATTAGCTCTGCGTCTTCCTCCGTGAGGAGAGACTGGATAATCTCGCACGCTTTTGCGAACTTTTCTGTAAGAGTTGCAGAGGACGTTGCATTTTCAATTTCCTTCTTCACGCCAGAAACAATCTTCTCGTACCGCCCGGACTCCTTCAAGGCCTCTACGACCTCTCGCACGGACTTTTCTCTTTTTGTGTCTCTGTACATTTTATTTTCATGGGGTGCAAGAGAGTATTTCAGCTGGAAGTCTTTGGTGATGTCTGCAGAAAAATAGGATACTGTCTCCAGGAAACCAAAGATATAAGCCTGCTGGGGGTGCGCAAGGGTGCAGGTGTCAGCCGAAAAGACGCGATAAAAGGACTCTCTCTGCTGATACACTTCAAGATTGTCGGATTTACGAACTACACGGGGCGAGGAGTGCGGTACTTCCTGCGGGCAGAGACTCCTCCTATGCTGCACTTTCCCGTGTACGTGGACTATGCGGAGAGAGTCTTTGGCGTGCAGGGCGCGCAGATCCTCACGGAAGTCCTCATGCGGGGCTCGCTGAAGATGCGGCAGATCCCGGAGGAGATGCAGGAGTGCGCCAGAAGAATGATTAGGGAGGGCGTGCTCGTGGAGGAGGCGGAGTCTTCCGTGAAAAAGCTGAAGGAGGAAGACCCCTCCGTGAAATTCTGCGATAGAAATGTGTCGACGAAAATACTCTGCGAGATACTCTGCAGGGATGTAGAAAAAGCCTTCGACGAAAAGACGCGGAGGGTCCTGTGCGAGATCCGGAAGTTCCACCCCGCAGCTGCACACTTGGCCAGGCTCCAGGAGGCGTGCAAAAACACGGACCTGTGCAACGCCCTGCACACGCGCATAAAGTACCTCATAGGGTACGAAGTCGTGACGGGGGGATACGAGATGTACCACGTGAACTTGGAGTCCTACCTGGAGAAAGCAAAAAAAGAAGCTGCAGTCGAATACTGCGCGATGTTCCTGGGGGGCGCTGCTGCGACAGTTCTCTCAATGCTCCTGGCGCGCGGATACGTGGAGGACAGATTCGTGCAGAAGCACCTCCTTATGCAGCCTGCAGAGTGCAAAAAAGTGCTTTTCCTGCTTCTCTCCGAGGGCCTTATAAATGTGCAGATGGTTCCCAGGACGGCGGAGTGCGCCCCCTCGAAGAGCTTCCACATGTGGTCTGCGTGCAAGAGAAAAACCTCGCAGGCCGTCGAGAGGAAAGTCCGCGAGAAAATCAACGAGAGCTACGCAGGACTTGCAGCCCTCAAGGAGAACCGGGCGTATATAGCGGCGGGCGAGGGCAGGAGCAGAACAGATGCTTTGTACAGCGCACTTGAGAGGCTGCACATGATGGGTTTTATATTGGGTCTGTGAAGTGTTTCACGTTTTGTATTAGTATGCGGGCAAACAAACAAGAATGAAGGTCAGCGTAATTTTGTGCCTGTGCGCGGGCGCATGCCTTGCAGATGCAGCAAAGGAGCAGGCCACGCGGCTTATGGTGGATAAGCTGGGGCAGATCAGCATGATGCTAAAGAGCACGCTCGAGGACGGAGTAATGAAGGAGAGCTCGGCCCTGTCCGGGACTCTGAAGAAGCTCGCGAGGGGGTACGAGAAGCCGAAGGAGGGCAGGAAGAAGGAGAAGCCGCAGGAGAAGGGGGAGAAGAAAGCCCGGCGCAGCCGCAGGCTCTTGACAGACGCGGAGGACAGCAACGCATCGACCGAGTTCGGGAGCGAGGGCATGTACGAGAAAGAGATTTCCCCCCGGCGGAAGCGAGCCAGAGACAGCGAGAGGGGCGAGCCCATAGACGACTACGACGTGTCCTCCATAAAGAGAAAGAGTGCAGAAGACAGATACGAGAACGAGTACAGCCAGGACGCGTGATACGCGCAGGGCAGGCAATAAAGCAAAATTTCACACTCTCGGCCTTAAATTTCTGCCTTCAGGGCGTTTATCCAAAGTTCGGCTCAATTCGCGTGCATTTATTTCTTGGAAATCTCGCGGGTGTTCAGCATAAGCCATTCAAGGCCCTCGGGGCTGTCCTGGAAGGATTTCTCGAGGAGGGCTCGGATTTCCCGAGACTGCCTGTTTATGTACCGGACGTCCTCGTCTGTGAGCATCTCCAAAGCGAGCAAGTCCAGGTGGAGGGGCGCGGGCGTGATATTCCTGAGGATGAAAAAGCCCTCCTTTCCTGGGCACTTTTCGACTATGCACAGGTTCTCGTGCCGCAGTCCGTGCCTTCCCTCCTTGTAGATTCCCGGCTCCACGGTCACGGTCATTCCTGCTCTTGCCTTCGTGCGAGACGAGCTGTCAAGCACGTGCGGGCCCTCGTGCACGTTCAACCCAAAGCCGACTCCGTGCCCTGTGCTGTGCCCGTACTCGAGCCCTGCCATCCACACGCGCCTTCTGACAATGGGAGAAAGTGCGCCAAGAGAGGTTTTCTCCGGGAACGGGGTTCTTTCGAGGTCGATGTGTCCGAGCACGAGTGCGGTGTAGTCCTGCTTCTGCTCCTCTGTCGGCTGCCCAAAGCACACTGTTCTCGTGATATCCGTTGTTCCCATCGTGTACTGCGAGCCAGAGTCGATAAGAAGCAGGCTGTCCGTTCCGACCTTTGTCTCGTTGCTGGTGGGGGCGTAGTGGATGCAGGCTCCGTTTTCTGCGTATCCCGAGATTGTTTCAAAACTTGGGATAATAAACTCGCTGTCCCCCGCTTTTATCTCCTGCAGCATGTTCACCACATCGAGCTCGCCCACGGTCTCTCCCCCGATAAGCTTTCTCCGGATTCTTCCAAAGAGCGTGCAGAGGTGGAGGGCGTCTCTTCTGTTGGCCTCTACAAAGCCCCGAATTTCTGCGTCTGTTTTCTCTGCCTTCAGGTTCAGCACTCCCGTGAAGGGCGTGACTTTGTTATTCTCGACGATGCTGTTCAGAATGTGGTAGTTTGTGCTCGAGCTTATCCCGATCTTTTTGTCCTTTATCCCTGCAACGTAGCTGTAGAAGTCCGCGTACGGCCGCACTGCGATGTTCTCGAGGGGCTGTGTCAGGCTGCCCTCTGTGAACAGAATCGCCTGCTTCTTCGTGACGACCAAAAACGCGTAGAAGAGGCGGGACATGGCTATGTCTTTCCCCCGCAGGTTCGTGGCCCATGCAATTTCGTCCATGTCGGAAATAATTGCCATGTCCAGGGGCGGCATAAACGCGTACACGTCTTCGTTGTTTGCCATTTCCTGGCGGATCTTCGCCAGCTTCTCAGCCACCGGGACCTGGTGCTGCATCACCTCGAGGCGCCCTGGCGTGACTTCCGGCCTGTTTTCCCAGAGTTCTCCAATCACGTCGTCCTCCACCAGGACAAGGTCGACCTCCGAGGGAAGGCGCTTGAAATTCTTCGTGTACTCTTTGCCTGTGATCTCCTTCGGGTTTATGCCGACAGTGCATCTGCACTCCATAAGCCGCTCGGATATTGAAGGGTCGCTGCCCACCCTCGAAAGCTGCACGTTCTTGGGCAGCTGCTTTGCTGCCTGTATAAAGTATCGGGAGTCCGTGTACAAATAGGCCGTGTCTGGGAGCACCAAAAGAGTTGCATTTGAGCCTGAAAATCCTGTAAGCCAGAAGATGTGCTCGTATCGAGGATGCACATACTCGTTTAGGTGCGGGTCTCTCCTGTATATAATATATCCGTCCAGGCCCTTCTCTCTCAGTACCTCCCTCAAAGCATCCAATCTTTCGCTTTGGGGAAGCCTGCTTTCCAGCTTTCCTTCAATTTCAATCCCTGTGATTTCTTTCTGTGCTTCTAGCCCATGCGCTTGCATCAAAATGAAAATATTTAGAATTTTTATAAGGAGAATACATTTCATTTCTGCAAATAGTTTCTTTGTTATTGCACGGCAAAAGCCTTTTTGACTTTGTTTATGTCTAGCCTGGGCTTGGTCTTCTCTATTTCCGAGACAAGCTTCTTTATGTCCTTTATGTACGTCTTCACGTACGAGTAGGCCTCGCACGCTGTTTTTTCGATGTGGTCAATTTCTATCCACTTTATGTCCTTTATTTCGCACCGCGTCTTTGTCTCGAACGCAGTCGTCTGCTCAGAGACGTTCAGGATCGCAAAAAGCCTGGACTCTCGGGTCTTCGAGCCTGTTTCCAGGCACAGGTCGTATATAAGCTTCCCCCGGATGTTGTACCCGACCTCTTCGTAGACCTCCCGGACAGCGCAGTCGATCGCATTCTCGGACTTGCACACTTTGCCCCTGGGGAAAGTAAACGACTTTTTGGCCCCGAATCCCTGCACGAGGAGAATCTTCGTCATTTGGCAGTTGAAAATAAGTGCGCCAAAAACAGGAACTATCTTCTTGTACTTCAGGAACTTCTTGAAGTTCTCGTCTATCTCCGTCACGTTGTTTGCAAAGTTGCTGTGCGATATAAGGTGCAGCGTAAAGTCCCGCAGATTCAAATACGGCAGGTTGTGCTTCCTCCTGTAGTAGTCCTGGTAAAACCAGTGCGCCTCCTCAACCTGGAAAAACAGCCTCTCCGTGTTCTTGTACTCCTCCGCAGTCAAGTGCATAAGAAATCTCCCAGATAAGTCGTCCATTATGTCATTTAGCTTCATACAAATATTTTATTTTGCGAAATAAATAGGCAGAAACACGCAGGAAATTGCGCCCTCGCCAGGCCTTGCACTTCCCCGTAAAATTCCCAGATCCAGCAGAAACTGCCCAAGCTCCGGCTGGCCGTTAGAAAGGCGCAGGCGCCTAGTCGTAAAACTGCCTGCGCAGGGAAGAAATAGGGAGCACATCCGCAGCGCAGCAGGCATTCATGCCTCGATTTTTATTATTATAAACTTCATGTGCTTGTGCAGCTTTACGACTAAGTGTCTCCTGTCAATTGAGTTTTTTACTTTCAGTTTCACGCCGAGTCGGCGAATGGCCTGCTTTATGGCACACTCTGCTTTGCCTATCTTGTTTCCGTACATTCGCACTTCTATGTCCTCTAGCATGTTGTTGCTTAAAAGCTCCCCTAGTTTCGTCTGGTCAACGGGTAGGGACTTTATTAGCTCGTTTATTCTGGACGGGGTCTGTTTGCTCTCCATTCTTATTTTTATCCATATTTTCTAAAATAAAAATCCGCATGCGAGTGAAAAATGTGGCGAGTAGTGCATTCTGAAACACAAAGACAGATATTTTTGGGGAGAAGACGGCATCTTTCTTCAAGAAATAAGAATATCTGCACGATTTTTTAAATTTTTCTTCGAGCATGGCAATTGTAAGAAATATCTTCCCATTAGAGCTTCTCAACAAAATAACAAAGCACTTGGACTTGTCTGCCCTGAAAAGGCTAATGGGAAGCTCAGAAGTGCTCCAGAAGATCATAGAGAGGGATCCAGTCATATGGAAGCAGCACTTAAAAAACAAAGAAACGGTGTGCTCTAATGGGAACTACTTGGCTGCCGTACGGAGTGAGTGCATTCTCACGCAGAACTGGATGCGAAACATTGGGAACCAGATAAATCCGGTTGTGCACATGCCAAATGTTGAAATAACGAAAATAACTGTGTATGGGGACATCGTTGTAATATCCAGCAACTCCACGTGCGTGTACGTTGTGGACAAGTCTTTGAACCACATCCGCACGCTGAACAAGCACAAAGGATGCGTCTGGACGTTTGAGTACGTGAATAACGTCCTTGTGACGGGAAGCACCGACAGAACGGCCAAGATCTGGGATGTTTTCCTGGGGGTCTGCATAAAGACGCTGGCGGAGCACACGTCCACGGTGCGGACGCTTTTGATCGCTGAAGAGTACGTTATAACAGGATCCAGAGACTCGACGATTCGCGTGTGGTGCATGAAAACAGGTGCATGCAAGCACGTGCTGGCGGGGCACACGGGAAGCATCCGGGACTTGGCGCGCGTCCCTGGGAAGCCGTACATTATCTCCGGGTCGTACGACGGAAGCTCGATTCTGTGGAACTACAAGACGGGGGAGGGCATAAAAGTGCTGATAAAACTCCCCAGGCGAGTGTACAAGGTGGTTTCCATGGGGAAGCTAGTCGCCATTGCAGGAATGGACCACTGCCTGCACGTTGTGACTCTCGAGGGAAAACACGTTTTCAGCGGGTGCTCGCAGAACGGGACTATCTTCCAGATAAAAACAGACAGCGAAGGACACGTCTACACATTCACTGTGGCAGGCATTTTTTCGAAGTGGAGCGTAAAAAGCGCCCAGCAGATATACCAAGTAGAAACCAACGTAAAAGGCGTAGACATGTACATCATAAATCATTTGGTGGTTGTTGGGCTTGGGAATAAAATTGACCTGTTTTGCAAGGACACGGGGAGATTTATTAGAACACTTGCAATTATGGACATGCTCTACAGCATGTATTGCGACAATAACATGATGGTCTATGGGTACAAGGACAATAGAGTCTCAAAAGTTGCTGCGATTAGGTTCAATTTGCCTTAGCAGGGCGGCTGTCCTGGCGCAGACTCGGGCTATTGCGTGCTAGGGCCAGGACAGCCTTTACGTGTACAGAGAAGCCTGGTCCAGCACAGCGTCTTAGCCTCTTCTGGCTGAAGAAATAGCCGAGCCCAGCCCCAGAGCCCCACACTTCGCCAGCAAAGCAGCCGAAAATTGGCTGCCTTCGGAATAAATAAAGAGCACAGATGCCAAGATCCTAGAGACTCAAGCGATGTATTCGCTATTTGGGCTTGTTCCTTGCATGCGCCAGAAAAGGCCGTTTTGCCAAAGTGCATGCAGTGGCTCATCCAAGAAATTTCAGCCCCTTTGGATGTTTTATGCGCATATGCAGAGCAGACAAGTTTTTGTCTCTGAGAAAAAACTCTGGAAATTTCTCCCCTCCAGAAAAAATAGAAAAGTGCAGCCCCAGAATTTTCTGCTTTTTTCAGCGAAAGCACCTAGCACTGCAGAAAGGCACGCTCGATCAAATATTTTCTAAAAACGAAAAAGCCTCGGCCAAAGCAACAGGCCAGACGCAGAAATACATGGTTTGCCTGTGCTTTTTTGTAAAAATTTGATGCAAAAACTAATCAGATGATCAGTTTTTTTTCTATTTTTTTCTATTTAAGAATTTTTTTTCTAAAACCCAGCATGTTAAGCGCATTTAGAAGAAAATCGAAAATACCAGTAGAGAAATATGATTTACCAAAGATCAATTGGGGGTTTTTCAACGAGAACGATTGTATTTGGGTCGAGCCCAGAGTCGAGCGAATTAGAAGAGTCTCCATGCTTCGGGTGTGCGTTTTATTCAGTGCAGTTATATCCGTAGTATTGATTTTCCTGTGTATCTATATAAGATATAGAAGAGGGAAGCAAACACCAGCAGCAGCAGAAGCAGAAGCAGACACACTAGCATCACAACAGAAAGCTGAAGAAGACAGGAAAGCAGCGCCAAAAATAATACTAATGCCAGAACTAGAAGCAGCACTAGAAGCAGAGAAGCAGAAATCAGCATCAGTACTAATGCAAGAAATAACACTAACGCCAGAAATAACACTAACGCCAGAACTAACAGCAGCACTAGAAGCAGCGAGGCAGGAAGAAGAAGCCAGGATAGCAAAACTCGTCGTAGCAATACCAACAGCATCACAACTCAGGGAAGCGAAAAAGAAAGAAGCAGACGCGCAACAGAAGAAGAAAGATAAAATACTAGCAGAAGCACTAAAAGCAGTAGAAGCGAAACAGAATGCGCGGAAAGAACCCAGGATAGCAGCTGAAGCACCAGCACCAGCATCATCACCAGCACTAGCACTAGAAGCACCAGAAGCACCAGAAGCAGCACCATCACCAGCACTAGCACTAGAAGCACCAGAAGAAAGCAAGAAAGCAGATGCTGAAGCAGCCAGACAAGCTGAAGAACTAGAAGCAGCCAGGAAAGCAGCTGAAGCAGCCAGACAAGCTGAAGAATTAGAAGCAGCCAGGAAAGCAGCTGAAGAAGACAGTAAAGCAGCTGAAGCAGCCAAGACAGCAGCTGACGCAGAAGCAGCTGAAGCAGCAGATGGTCTAATAGAAGCAGAGGAAGAATTCAATAGAGCAAATGCCGATAAAATAACCGCTGAAGAAGCAGCCAAAGCAGCAGCTGAGAAGAAAGAGGAAGCCGATGCTGAACTAATCACAGCAAATGCTGATAAAGAGACAGCTAAAGCAAGCGGGGCCAGTAAGAGTGCGAAGAAAAAGGCTAATAAGAGGCAATTAACCGCTGAAGGAGCAGCCAAAGAAGCAGCTGAGAAGAAAGAGGAAGCTGACGAAACAGTCCTGAAAGCCAACGAGAAGCAAGAGCAGGCTAAGAGGAATAAGGAGGCAGCTGGCGAAGCAGTTCTGAAAGCCAACGAGAAGCAAAGAGAACTCCAAGAGGCAGCCAAAGTAGCAAAAGATCGTCTGAATGCCATCATCGCAGGACGTAACTAGAACCGCGCCAAGCATTTCTTATCAAAGAAGCACTGCCCTGAAAAATCCCACCTCCAAACTCCAGAAACAGAGAAAGCAGCACCGCACCAGCTGCTGCAGAGTGGAAGGAGTCACTAAAATCATGCATGCGGCTTTGGATCCTTTTCAGAGTGAGCTTTCAGCCACAGAAGGCGAGCACATCTTTTGTTGAGCTTTGGCGCAGTATTGAGCCACTCCGCAGACCCAGAATGCTTTGACTGCACGCTTTCTGGATGTGCGCCCTGGAAGAGGCCCACGCTTTGTCTGCGGATGGAAAGGCAGCCAACTCAGTTTTGCATGCTTTAAGTAGCGAAAATAATAAAAATACATCCAATATCGTTGCAAAAATTCTTTGGGTCTCTTTATTGCCTTCTTTAATGCCCGCTCGAAACAAATAGAAAACACAGCCCAGCACATGAAAGTGCGCGAGGTGCTGGGCAGTGCTTCATTTTAAGCACGGCCCGGAAATGCAGCCTGTGCGTTTTTCTGCCTAAACTGCAGCCAAAAAATAGACTATCGCGATGCAAACTTCAAAAAAGCCCGTGCGAAAGAAGGCCTTCGGAAGCTCTTTGTTTTTTTGCTTTTTTCACTCTTTACCCGAAGTCAAACTGAAATTTTTTCTGCAAACTCCAAAAAAGCCCAAGAAAATCAGAATTCGGGCTATAAAATGATTTTTTTTTGTAGCAAATATGGAAAACAATCAGAGAGTATTTGATGCATACACTAACGCTAAAGAAATGGTAGTCGATGCTGCAGGCGCTGTGAAGGACAAAATTCAGGGCGCAGCTGTGTTCGTGCAGGAAAACAGGGAGCCAGCTGTCCAGTACATCTGCGACACTGCCAGCAAGGCGACAGAGGCCACCAAGCACTATGCCAGGGAAATAAACGACAACATAATAGCCCCCGGAATAGCAAAGTCTTCCGAAATAGCCACCCACATCTCGAACAATGCGCCCGCATACGCAGCCAGCGGAGCCTCTTTCTTCCGAGAAAACACCGTCGAAATCTTGGCAAGCCTTTCAATTGCCACTGTCGGATTTATCCTCTACTTTATGCTGAGACTGCTCAAAAAAAACGAGAATAAATAAACAGGATAGCTAATCCCCTCTAAACCAGACAGAAAATCTGTCTGCAGCCCTGCACTGATTCAAACGCACGCACTTTTTATTGCAGATTTGTTACAAAGCAGCACGCGCATGTTCTGCTGCTGCTGGACGACCAGGCCTTGCATATTGTGCACTGCTCGGCGCTTTCCGAGTACTCTCCAGTGTCCACACAGAAAGGAAGGCTTGTGTCGATCACGTACGTGTCTTTTAAGGGGCGAGTGCTATTTGCCAGCAACTGCATTTTTTCGTCGCTGCTTCCGTACTTTTGAACCAGCTCCTTTGCCAGAAGCATCGCGCTATGCTTGTTTCCCTTCTTGTAGCACACCGGGATAGAGCTCTTGATTGCCTTAAGGCAGTGGCTTCTGTCTAGGTCCAGCCCCGCGTAGAATATCGCGCAGGAGACGCTCACTTTGTCCGACGGGCTCGTTCTCTTTATCCTGTCAGCGAACAGGGCCTGTGCATATTTTGAGGCTTCTCTTAGGTTTCGGTGCGTTTCTTCCGTGTCTTTTTTCTTCCGTATGGCGTCAATTGAGCAGTGCATTGCCATCAGGAAGCCTGTGAGCGCGTTCGATGCCTTCCCCGTGCTCATGCACTCCTTTGCCAGGGCTATTTCTCTCCCCGCGTCAAAGTTGGCAGGCACATTCTGCATGCATCTTTCCATGCGGGAGAGGTTCAGCATAGGAAGCTCCGCACACTCTTCAGACGCCTCCTCTGGAATCTCAGCAGCCATTTTGTTGATTGTCTGCACCTCGTCAAGGTCAAACGCATCCTGCGACTCTGAGGCGAAGGAGCAGTCGTCGCTGTTTTTTTCCTGCAGAGTCTCTTCTTTTTGCGACTCGGCTGGGCTGGGGGCGGATTCTTCGCTCTCTTTGCTCACCACGCAGACTTCGCCAGAGTCTGTCTGGACTTCCAGCAAATTGCACAGCACCTCCTTGTTCCCCGTGATAATTGCTGCAACGGCGCAGTACACGCTGTCGGGGCACTCAAACAGAAAAGACTCTATTTTCGCCTTCTGGCCGCTTGATATGTACAGAAGCAGCAGGCGGGCATAGTCTTCTGCCAGCTTGAAGCACTCTTCAGAGACGCCCACTTCATGGTCAAGCGCAGCCAGGCCGGTCTTCACATATACTTCTGGGCTGTGCAGTTCCTTGGCATACTGCAAGGCGTCTGCAAATCTCTTGGTTTTCAGGCACAGCTCCAGCCGCACGCCCGCATCCTTAACGTAGTGCAGGCCTTCCTCGTAGAACCCCTTGCGAATCAGCGCAGAAAGTGCTGCCTGCCCAATAAGCGACCCGCTATCCACGCACTTCTTGATTTCCGGGACGTCCATTTCCTCCAGCGCCTTTTTGAACTTCCACTCGACCATGTCAACCTCCATTTCCACGACAGTCCCGTCTGCTGCAATTAGCGTAAACAAGCTGTCGTCCACGCTGGAAATCCACATGGGCTCGTCCGTTGAGATGAAAGAAGACCCCTCTCCGCTCGTGAACGCAAACTTTATGTGCATGGGCGTGCTGTAGAAGATGCACCCGTCCTTGAAAATCAGGCTGTTAACAGCAACTATTTCCTCCACCACGGAGACCTGCTGCAGGCTGTAGTTCAGCACCACGATGTTTTTGCTGCAAACAGCAACGATGTGCGTGCTGTTGTACTGCACAAAAAGGCACTTCTCTGGCAGCAGGAAGCTCTCGGCCATCTCTCCGTTTTCTACCCGGAAAAGAAGCTTGTCCTTCGACGCCAGCAGGCCCTCCTCCACCTCAAAGAGCCTGTCGGCCTCCACGGTATACGTGCTTATCTCTCTTCCGTCTATCTCCTTCGTGATGATCTCGCTTCCCGTTGCCACGCAAACCTTTCCGCCTGCAAAGACGGCTCGCCCGCTGCCTCTGTACTGCGCCTTCCCGTGCACCGAGTATCCTCCGCTGTAGTTCAGAATCACAACTCCATCCTGCACAAAAACCTCGAGCGGATCTTTCTGCGTGCTTGCAACCTTCACCAGCCGGTTTTCCTGCAGCCTGAGAACCTCCCTGTCTTTGCACAGGTAAAGCACTGAGTCGCTCACTGTGTAAACAGGGCGCTGCATTTCCATCGAGTACATTGTAAACCCTGTGTCGTGCCCAGCTGCAAAAAGCTTCTCCGTCCGGTCCAGCGCCACGCACCAGTACCTGCTCTCCACCTTAAAGGACTTCACCGGCTTTCTCTTCTTTACGTTCCACACCTTCATCGTCCCGTCCTCGCTGTTGCTTATAAGCGTGTCGGCCTTCGTGTAGCACAGCGCGCTTACGTGGCTGTGGTGGCCCTGCAGAGTTTCCTTTTCCACAACGCCATCCTGCGTTACCTCCCATATGCGTATCGTGCTGTCGTCTCCGCCCGTTGCAAACGTCTCAGCTTCCGGGTGAACGGCTATGCAGTTGATGCCTCTGTCGTGCCCGTCCACGATGTGCTTGAGAATCACCTCTGGAACCCCCAGAATGTCCATAACACTTGCCTGGCTTTTTGTCACAAGCGCAGAGTAGTCCCACACGCGAATCGTCTGGTCCAAAGACACACTTGCAAATATGTTGTCGTTTATGAAGCGCGCAGCCATCACATAGTGCGTGTGCCCTGTCAGACATGCAATTTGCTTCTTGGACTGGAAGTTCCATATCCGAATCGTCTGGTCGTCTGAGGCGCTGATCAGCCAAGGCAGATGCTTGTGGAACTCTATCGACCTAACGTAGTCCGTGTGCCCTTTGAAAACAGTTTCCACCGTCTTTGTCTTGTAGTCCCACACGCGAATCACGCAGTCGTCCCCTGCAGTGGCGAATCTTTCTATTAAATGGTGAAATACAACCACGCGCACAGGGCCCTCGTGCTCGTTCAGCTCAAACACCTTGGTCTTGTACGCATAGTTCCAGCCCTGCACAGCCCCATTGTGCAGGCCTGCTATTATAATCTTCTTGCTGGGATGAAATGCAATGCTTTTCACCCTTTGCGTTTCTTCGCTCATTATGCATAAGCACTCTTCTGTGTCCACTCTTTCTTCCATTTCTTGCAAAATAATATTTAATAAATAAGATAGTTATTTATACTCTCGGGCCTGCATCACGCCGTTTCTGCCTTATGCTGCACTTTGTGCGCGTGTTTTTGTGTGCGCATCCATGTCCTGTTTTCACGCCAGAATTGTCCGGGTCTTCGCCCAGGCCATTGCTTGCGCTGGAGGACCTGAAAACAGCTTGAGCTTCTGCAGCCAGGCTAACAGTCCGGGAGCATCTGCAAATGATTTCTGCTGCCTTTTAGAAGGCGCATGCGCCCAGACCAGAGCACAGCACTCTTTGGAGGCGATGCAGCTACTCCGCGCCCTCTGTGCGGGCATGCTTTCTGCTGCTTGGCAGGGCGCGGAAATGCAACGGAAAGTTTTCCACAGAGAAACAGCAGCTTTCTTTTCCTTGCAACGACAAGATAGGCGCGTGCCTGCATGCGATTCGCTGGACGCTGGCATCCCAGAAACTTTCTTTGCGTGGAGCAGATTGCAGCCGCTTTTTAAAACTCTTCAGCAAGTTCAAAAAGCAATAGGTTTTCGCCGCAGAAAAGAAAAATATAACTATGTGAACATCTTTATTCAAGACATGGAGAAGTGTTTTACATGATTAATGCAACTATTGGCAGAATTGCAATGGCCACAAGAGTGGACACTCCTGCTACTCCATTCTTCTTCTTGTTGGCTGCTGCACCTTTCTTGGCAGACGACCCCTTCTTCCCGGACTTTCCTTTGCCCTTCTTTCCGTCTTTGTCGCCCTTCTTGCCCTTCTCTTCCTGCTCCTTCTTCAACTGTGCAGCGGTGATGCCGGCTGCGCTTGTGGCTGCAGCTGCATCCACCTCAGCCTGGGTTGGGGTGGGGAGAGGCTGGATGATTGCGCTGGACAGGTCCAGGCTTCTCACATCAGCCGATCCAATTGTAAGCGGGTTTGCGACCGCAGAAGAAATTGCTGGGGCGCCTCCCAAGGGGAAAGTTTGGTCGCCAACAGTGATGGTGGTTGGGTGCATGTCAACGGGGACGTTTCCGTTCAGAAGAAGTGTAATGGGCTCAACGCTCGCCTCCTGTGCACGGGCGCAAGATGCGATGTGGGCAACCGGAACAGGAGACTCCTGCACAATACTGGCTACCTGGGCAACCGGAGCTGCATTGAAGTAGCCTGTAGACATTTCGTAGCTGCCAGCTGCTGGGTATCCGAAAGTCTGCTCTGGCGCGTATTGCTGGGGAACGTACTGCTCTGGCACGTATTGCTGGGGAGCGTACTGCTCAGCAAATGCAGGGGAAGGGCAGGCGCCGAAGTTGAAAGATGCCTCTCCAGAGTATCCTCCGTTGATTGCTGGCTCAACTGAGCCCGATCCAATTCCGCATCCTCCAAGGCTGCATCCTCCTACCTCTGCAGGAGTTGCTGTTTCAAAGTCCCCGTAGTAGTACGCGTCATCAAGAGTCTGCATGGGCTGTGCGTATCCGCACCCGTTGTTGAATCCGTCTCCTCTTCCGTAGTAGTCAAAGTCCTCGTACATGGCACACTTGGCCACTACAATTTGAACTGCTGCTATGACTGTCTTCCTGATTGTGGTGTGAAGTTTCATTTCTGCTACAACTTTACGCCGTATTTAAATTTTTTGGATCTTTTTGTTTGGTTCTAGATGCTTTCCTGATTGGGACGTGTCCCTGCGCTTAGGCGCGTCTTTTTGCGTCTGGCAGCTTCTATTTTTAATAACCCTAATTTTCTCCAGGCCCAAGCGGCAATGGAGCACTCGAAAAAATTGCATTTTCCGGGCACCAAAAATGGATTGCTCGACGGAAGGTCTTTTTTCATGAATAACTCTCTGTTTTTAATATGCAGGCAGTGCTTTAATTAGGCTGGGCGTAGACAGACAGGCTCTTAGGCCTGGGCTATTTTCCGTCGAAACTCCCACTGTGTGCGTGAATTCGGGTTGATTCTCTGCGCTGCCTTCGGGCTGCCTGAATTGTCTGCTGCATAAATCGCATGTCTTGCCCGCTTCCCACACGCCCAGGCAGGGCGCTCTATATTGTGCTCTCTGCGCTGAAGTCGTACACTTCCGTGCAGTTCCTGTACCCTGGCGGGCTTGCAGGCGTGTACGCGTGCACGGTGACTCCTTCCGAGTCCTCCAGAAAGACGCCTGTCGCAGTGTATGCGTGCACTGTAATGTTGCGGCAGGAGTGGACTCGTATCTGATGCGCTGTGACGTAGAACACGGAATTGCTGCAGCTCTTTATGTGCGTGGAGTGAACAGTTCGGACGTAGACTTCTGAGCCACGCACTTCGCAGACTCGTGCAGCGTCATACTCTCTCTCCTCGCACACTTTCGCATTTTCCACTTGGCACAGCGAAAGCACGCTCTCCGACGCCCGCTGGGTCTCCTCTATAGTGATGGACTCGGTCGTTGTCTGGGCGCCTGCCACTGTTCTGATTGGGTTCTGCTTCAGCGCCTTCTCTAGCTGCCGGATCTTCTCCTTCGCTGCCCCTTTGTCGTACTTGCTTCTGGCAAGCTCGAACTCTTTGTGTGCTCTGTAGAGGTCTTCCAATGGGTCTGCCATAAAAAGAGAAAAGCGCACAAAAGAAAAAGAACACCTCCAGGCGCGCCGGTTTATTCACAGCTCCTCTAGCAGCCTTTCTATAAGAAGAGACTCCTCGCACATGTAAGGATACCCGCCAGGACTGTTCAGCACTTCCCCAGGGCCAACGGAAACACGCCAGTTGCTCACGTTAATACTCATCGTGGGAGACGCGTTTTCTTCCGAGTCGTAGAATGTGCAGACGTCTTGGGCTGACGAAGTCCCATGCTCAGAGCCCAGGCTGGGAAGTGTGTGGAAGTTGAACAGCTGTAAAGACGTGTACGACCCGTAAAGCGAGTAGTACTCAATCGGAGACGGCATAATGTGCGGCCTTCTTAGGGCGGCGTAGTCTATTTCAGACAGCGGCGTCTTCACTATGGAGGAAGAAATTTCTTCTTCTATGGCCCTGCAGCACTGCTTGTGCAGAAATTCGGGCCAGTTCCTGTCAAAGGCGCGTACAATGCTTTCAAAGCCTTTTTCCGTGCACGCCCTCTTTCTGGAGACCTTGAAGCGATTTGGCATTTTTCTCTTTCCTCCGGCCCGTGCTGGGTTCTCCTGTGCGCCTGCATTTTTTACTTGCAGGTACAGCCTGAGCGAGGTCTTTCGCATTTCTTCGGGGCGATCTGATTGCATGTTTTTGATATCACGCGTGCTTTTATGCGCACATTCGCACGCTATTTAATTGCCTGCGCTTTGCTTTGGCGCCTCCTCTGGGCACGCGCAAATATAATAAAAGCCTGCGGCACAAGGAAAAAGCTGAAAGCAGAAAGGAGGCTGTCCAGAGATCGGTGTGCACTTCTGCAGTGCTTCTGTGCATGCTCCGTGCGGCAGAGGACTTGTGCTTTTCAATAAAAACCTGCCTGTTTCCGCCATAGCTAAAGTTCTGCTTCTCTGGAGTTGGCCTTGATTTTCAGAAATTGCATGCGCTTGCCCTGGGCACAGTTTAGGGATACTCCCACATAAATCCTGCCTAGAAGAGGCTGCACTCAGCCTTCTGTGCTTTAATGCTAAGTCTGCTTTGTGTGTAAGAGGGCGAGGGGAAAGGCTTCTTTGCATTTCTGGCTCTCTGGAGTTTTTTTGTGTGAATGCGAGTACTTGGAGAAAGCTTACTCTTTTTTAAAAAACTGCACGGCTTTTCTTTTCGCGCCTGCACAGTGCGTGCTGTGCAGCTGCAGATTGGAAGAAAAACTGCGGCCAAGAAGAAAGCGGCGAAGCATCCGCCTGAAGAAACTGCATAAAGAGTGAGAGTGGCCCAAGGAAACAGCGCATAAGATGCAATTTTATTTCACCGCACGAGCGGGTCTGCTAGAGACTTCACGGCTTGGTCTACTTTTCGATCCTCCATTTCCAGGGCAGCCAGCTTGGCTTTGAAGTTTCCTGTGATGGTGTGCTCGATTTCCTTGAGAAGCTCTTTGTCTTGGGCTTCTAGGCAGGGAAGCTCCGAGCGGACAGCCTCCTTCCACGTCTGGTAGAAGCGCACAGTCTTCTTTTTAAGGTCTATCAGATGCACGGACAGCAATATCTGCGTGATCAGGGCCAGGTCGGATAGAACGGGGTCTTCCGCATTTATCACGCCCCAGCTGTACTCGCGCCCTCGAACGGCCTGCCCCCCAAGGTTCACCAGGCTCGTGCTTGCGACCACAGAAAGAATGTCTATTCCCTCGGGGATTAGGCTGCACACGATTATCCCGCTGGAGGCGATCTGCTTTCGTATTCTCTCCTTGTACGCCTCCAGCTCCTGGGCCGTAAATATGTCTCTCTTCGGGATGACGGGAAGCGTGTTTGTGTGCTCGGACAGCACCTGGAGAATGTCTATGTCCTGCTTTTTGAACTCGAAGGGAGAGACCAGGAACAGAGACGCGTGTATTCTGGGGTCTTCCTTTCTCTCCCGCCTTAGCCCAATGTTGTTTTTGTTGTACATTGTGTTCCGCTCTACCAGGAAGTCCTTTACATCGCTGGCAGACTTTCCCCGGTACATGAATATCTTGAGCTTCAGCGTGATGTCTCCAGACTGCATAACCATTTCGTGCTCCGTGAGGTCGGGGGAGTGCCCGTGGGTTTTCTGCGGAAACACAGACATGTTGTAAATGGAGGAAACAAGTGTCTTTGCGCCAATTCCCTTTTCAGCCACCACAAGAAGGTTAAACTCAATGCCCCGCTGCAGAGTCTTCTTTAGTATTTGCGGAGAAATGTTCCCCAGGCCAATTGGGGACTTCAGAACAATTTCAGGCGCTGCCCATCCTTTGACTTTCATGGAACAACAAACAGTGGATTGTTTATGTTTTCCAAGGAAATGCATTTTTGATATCATGCGCCAAGAAAGCATATAGACACTTTATTTCAAATTACTTTTTTGAAATGGAAGACTGGGGGCTTACCGAGCTGGAGAGAAAAAAAAAGGACGAGCTGCTGGAGTTGGCAAAGAAAAATCACGGGCTGTTCCTTCGCAGCGCCCTCCAGGTGGAGATGCCGTACAAAATATTCCGGTGCCCTGGGTTTAGGTTCAGTGACGTGCACTCATATAACTACGAAAAGATACAGACTGCGTATGGGCTAGAAGGCTCCCTGAACGCGTCTCTGATTGAGGACTTGAATGGCCCTGACTTTATAGCCATGGAGTACCCAACCAGGCACACAAACCACACGGCAGACGAGCTTATACACAAGTCCAAGTGCGAGATCGTGATCTCACTGATAGGAGACCACCCAGTGTACGAAATGGACTTTTTGAAGATTTCCCACAAGCTGAAAACAGTGTTTAGCCCTGCCGAGTTCCTCGCCTTTGTGGGGCACGTGCAGGGAAAAGCAGTCGAGTTCTTGGACAGTGGGCTCCTCAAAGAAAACGCCCACAACCTCATGGTAGAGATGCACGTGCCGGAGAAAGAAGAGAGCAAGAAAGTGTTCAGAATCAAGTGCATGGACTGGAGGGATAAGATGCCCACGAGTGAGAATTCGATCAAGGTCTTGGATGCTGTGTACAGAGCGTGCCTGCTCGTGCGGGAGCACAGTGGGCCTGTTATAGTGCACTGTCTGGCAGGCGTGGGAAGAACAGGCACCTTTATATTCTACAATATGTTTACGCGCATGCTGAAAAGTGGAAGAATACTGGAAGAAGAGCGGCTTTCCTGCTTCCTGCAGCTATTTATGTACTTGCGGAGCAGGCGGACCTATATGGTCGAAAGCAGCACCCAGCTGGGATTCCTGTGCAAGTTGTTCCTGCAGCGAGCTAAACCCCCGCACTCTTCCAACGAGGAAAATAAAAGCAGTGCATCATAGGCCATGCAGTACGTGCAGCCGAAAAGTGCACACAGAGGCTGTTTTGCACTTTAGATGCAAGAGCATAGAAGCAGCTATTTAAAGAGCCCCGTACAAGCATAGGGTTTATGCTGGCCCGAGAAAAACTGTAGAAATTTGCTGCATTTACCATGGGAAAGCCCTCTGAAAAGGAGCTAGTCAGACTCTGCATAAAAAGCTGCTTTGGAGCGCATGCACAGGGCTATGCACAGGAAGGCCAAAGAAACGCGCTCTGTTCTAAGAAAGCACCAAATAAAAACGACATTTTACAGTGCGGCTATTTATGCCTAGAAAGAGCCCGGAAAAGGCAGGCCTGTATAGAAGAGCTTGCACACGCACCGAATGCAAGCGGGCGTGCAGGGGAAAGGCCATCCGGTGGCTTATTTAGAGCATTTGTACAGGCAGACTCTCTGCTTTTCAGTAGAAAATAGGCTGGGTAATTTATTGTATTTGCATGAGGCCATGGCTGAAATCTATTACGGGCTGCGTGCACAAGGAAACTACGGAAACTACTATCCAAAAACACTTTGCGCATGTGCGCCTTAAATGGGTGTGATTTCTATGTGGGTGGGGCATGTTTACTGTTTGAGATGCGGCTGTGGTACTCCTGAACCATTTTAAAGTATCCCTCCTTCTCTGCAGATGCCCACGTGGTTCTTTGCGTTAGAAAGTCCAGTATCTTCCTTTTGTCAATGGGCGCGGGGGTTCTGTTCTCAATTCTCACTTTGAACTGCTTTTCCTCGTACACCCTTTGCACCTGCATCAGAGCGTGTATGTCGTGCACCATGTCTATTTCAGGAATTTTTTCAACGACCTCTGAAAGCGCGCTTACGTTTATGATGGAAGAACTTTCCGCGCACGCAGGCCGAGTTTCCAGAACAGCCCGATACTTTTCAATCACAAGCTTTGCCTTGGAGGGGCCTATGTTACAGATTCCTGGAACATAGTCGTTTCCCAGAAGCCATGCAAGTATGTGCAGCTCGGCCCGGCTGTACCCAAGCGGAGTGCTGCTTTCTGAGAACACTTTGGGAAGAGCAACCTTCTTGAAAATGTGCCTAAACACAGGCTTGCTGCTAAACAAAAGCATGTCGCTGTCTTCTGTTATTACGCCGTCCGTGTGGATGATTCGCTCTATGCTCCTGTATATGCTGTCGGACTCGCTGGGGGCGATCACATACTTCACGCAAAAGGCGTCAAGAATCCCCACTATTATCCGGTACGAAAAGGGAAGAGACTCTTTGTCCACAGGCTCGCTGCTTAGCAAAGTGTCTTCCGTGGGGAGGGAGTACGTCTGCAGCTCTCTTCTGTACTCGGAGACTTCTTCGCTAGGAGTTATTTCGCAGCTTGGAAGCCCGCGCGCCCTCTTTAGGGGCGGGGCCGGCTTTTTCTCTTCCGCTTTCCTGCAGGCTTCTAGCCCAATATGCACGTGGCTTCTCATCTTCTCCAGGTGCAGGAGCGTAGACTCAAACTCGCAGGGTTCTTTGGGCTCTTCTTTCGGAAAAGCAGGCGCCCCATGCGAGCTCAGCTTGAATATGAGGTCGCTTTCGCCGTGCATCCGCTTAGTGAGAGTTTTGAAGTACTTGTGTCTCTCGGAAACCCTTTGGATCTGGTACATAGAAAAGTCTTGGTCTGTTATTTCGGGGCTGTACCCTGGCAGCTCCACTGCTTTCAGGTCCTCCTGCGCGCCGAATTCACTGGCTGCGCCTTCTCGTGCGCTTGCAGTGGGAGGCTTCGGAATTTCGCACGGCTTCGTCTTTGCTCGGCGTGCATCCGTTTTCTTTGGGGGCCTGCTCTTGAATAGAGGCTTTCGCCCGTCAAATACAAAAATTGGGTCTATCCCAAGAACAATTAGCGTCTGTATTGACTTAAGCATGTACTCGGTTATAAACACAATGTTTCCGCTGCATATTCCAGGAAAAAGCACCAAGTTAGCGTCGATGCAGAGACTTAGCCCGTGCAGTTCTTTCATTTCGAGAGTTCTTCCGCTTATCATTTTCCACAGGCCTTTTACTCCCATACTGCAGCTCCAAACGTAAAAGTTTTAGCGCGTGCGCGCGTATTATTCGCAATTTTTGCGCGTGCGTATTACTGCACAGTTATAGCGTCTTAAATGCGCGAGACTCGCAAAGAATGCCCTCTGGGCCGGAAAACCCCCAAAATACCCGAATTCATTGTTTATTGTCCTATTGTGAAGCTGTACAATGCATGCATGCACATAGGCTGGTCGAACTTTTCCTCACTGGGGAATCGAGCAGACTTTGTCAAGATGGCGTGAAGCATAGAAGCCATGGAGCTGAAAGTTTTTTGGGAGGAAGTTTCTGAGCATTAATTTGCTAGGAACAACTAGGTTGATGCTCAGGTGCTTGCTGGCCATACTGGACACTAAAAACATGCCTATCACTGTGACATACAGTATGAATGCATCAAAAGACCACCATCTAATCCTGTGCCCGTGCAAGACAACATTCCAGAATATTCCAAAAACATTGTTTGGTAAGTTGTTAGGTTGGGGCAGGTCTTTCTCTAGGATGTCGCAAAAAGTAATATATGTATACTGGTACATGCACATAATATACACAAGCTTACAGTTATAGATAAATTCTAGGGCTTTCCGTCCCCCATCTGCCATCAGGGCAGCTATCATGCCCCCGATTATGCAAAATGCTAGGAAGAAGCCATTCCGGATGATTCTTCTTTTTTCGCTTGAGAGTTTTGTTCGCGAAAAAATTAGCTTGGTGTTTGGCGTGAAAAGCATTCCAAAAATGGCCATTACTCCGGTAGAGGCATATAAAAGCATGGAGATTGTGGCAAGAGGTGCTCCTGCATATGCCTGGTTTATCAAAAGAGTCCATCCGCTCGCATAAATCACTATGCTTGAAATGGCCTGAACCCAGTAGAAAAACCGGAAAATCCGATGTGCGACTATTAGGTATGGCACGCCACTGATCTTGAGAATTAACATGTATAGGTTAAGGGATAGCAGGCCAAAGCTGGATATGCCGATGCCAGTGGCGCACAAAAAGTTAAAAAACATGTAGACACACATAGGAATATAGGAAGAAATATGCATAGAGTCGCTTTTCCCCAGATAATTCTCTATCCTATTGTCGGCCACGTCTTCAAGCGTTAGCATGTTTTTCTTTGCACAGTCGTACACCCCGTAGGTTTTTTTGTCTGCGATGTACACATTAATGTCTCTAAAAATAGTTTTTTCCAGATGGGTTAAATGGGGTATGCAGCCGTCTTCAAGGCTTACATATATTTCCGTGGCGTCTAGGATTTTTTCTATCTTCTTAAGCGAGAGACGTTTCTTGCAGCCAGACTCTGCACATTGTTTGAGCGATATTGATATAGGCATTACAGTTGGCATTGTGCTGCGGGTATCTTTATATATGTTGGGATCTGCCATCCTTTCACACCAGTTGTCTGCCACGTTGTTTTTTTCTATGCATATTTCCAGATTGTTCTTGTTCATGTATCGAATAAGAGGGTGGAGATATTCCATGGGCGTGTAGAGAAGTTTGGGCGTGCTTCTTTCTGTGTAGAAAATTTCCAAGGTGTGCTTGTTTTTGCAGACGCTGTTGGCATAGTTTTGGGAAAGACTATAGGGTTCTGCATCAAATATATGACTCAATGCTTCGCAGAGGTTCTGTAGGTTTGCCCGGTCAATAGCATGTGTATTTAAGGCAAAATAAGGCATGATCTCTTTAAGGGTATTCCAAAGACTGAACATCGCCAAAAAAGGCCATTCAGCAATCTCCAGTAAAAACTTAACCGTGACGATCGCGTTTAAACTTATAGAATTTGTGCGTGCGTATATCAATTCGACACAATTATGGAAATCCCATATATTTAACGGCATATCTTCGATTGGGTAGACTTTTTTGCTGTATTCTTGAAACACATTTACCAGGCGCAGATCACCCAGCTCTAATGTGTAATCTATCCACTTCCCAAGGTTGTACAGAAAAGTGTCCATCACTCTGCGGCACGGAACCTTCGGGTCGAAAACGTTTATGGTCAGCATCCCATGGACGTACAGCATCTCTAAAAAGAGATCGGCCGGGAGAATGCAGTTTGGCTCGTAGTGTTCGCTGTATAGATCGCCCAGCGCCCGAACCGCCTCCATCCGGCGAAAAATAGTGTGTTTGGATTCGCCTTTTATGTGCGTAGCTTGCATAAGATTCATAAGCAAGCCTGACTCGTCGCCTGCAAAGTCGTTCTGCAGCTTCTCAATAAGCAACTCATGGCTGTGCCCATCACTATTGACAAAATACGGGAGATCTTTTGTCAAATAAAATAGATCATGTTTTATACGCTCCCAGCTCGCCATGTTTCCCTCAGACGAGAAGTGGCTGCTTATTGCATACAGAACATTGAATATGTTTTTTCCATCATTGCATATAAGAAAATCTAGCGGTTTTTCCTTTCTGAAAGCTTGGGAAAAATCAATCTTCTTGCACAGATCACTCAGTGTGACATCACTTGTAAATTCTTCATTATTCGACATAACAGGCATGTTTTCATCAGACACGGCGGAAGCTATGCCCAACAACCCTACAATGGCATATAAACTAATGTGAAAAATCGTTTTCATTCAAGCAATAAAAAATATTTCAAATATATTCGCACATTTGCACATTCGCATAACTGCTACGCTATTCTGCAGGAGTAGTGCAAATACTAGGTACGCCCTATGCTTGCGCTGGGCTCTTGAAATCGCTGCTTTTCTACATGCTTGCATATAAAGTGCAGAGCAGCCCCTGAGCATCCACTTCTCAGCTGCACGCTTACCGCACGGCCTATTGTGCACTGCTCTGATTTTTCTCTTTCGAGAATTCGGATTTTTAGCACACGCTAAAAGCTGCATGATATCAGCCACGGCGAATTTTAAACTAGCGCAAAAGGGCAGTTTATTATCCCAACCAAAAGCGCATATTCACACACCCCTTCAGAGTAGCGCAAAGAAAGCACGTGCTTGTGGCACTTATGCCCCTCCGAGCTCAGCTATGCATGCACACTGTAGTGCTGTGTGCTTCTTAAAGCCCATCACAAGAAAAGTGCGCGTATGACTCGCTGTGCCGTGCACTTCTATTTGTTTTCGCAGGCGCCGCCTAGGAAGCATGGAGTTCCGCCCCTTACCTAATTTAAACGGCTTCTCGCTGCTGGAAATATCCTGTCAGATGCTGCCCATCCTCCATGCGAGTGGGCTTGGAGGTGGACTAAGCCCATTCAGGCCCTTCCAGGCTTTATGGCTAGCAGAAATTTGGCAGCACCCAGAAAAAACTCTCGAAAGCCTTTTCTTGCTGCATAAGGAGTGGCTGGGGCTTTATCTGCTGACACTTCGCCTGGGCGGAGTCTTCTTATAACCTGGCCCGGCACAGTCTGGGAAGCCCTGCATGGCATCCAACTGAAAACAGATGCTCAGAAACTGAGAAAATGCTTTGCCCTAGGCCGCTCTTCCAGGGGAATTGGGCGCAGCAAGCGAGTGGCTGAATATGCACCTTTTGAGGGCGCAGAAGAAGGCGCCTTTCAGATGCTCTAGCCCTGCGGGAAAATAAGAAGGGACAGCCTGCATCTGCCGAAGAGGTTTGCTAATAGCCCGAGCAGAGTCTATAATCCGAAAGCAGCAGAACTGCCCAACTATGCAGTGCTAGTCTCAGCGTGCCCATTTTGCAGGCAGTTTTCTGTAAAGTGTGTCAGCTCGTGCAACTGAAGAATTTGGGCCCTCTGTGCATCCCCTTGCAAAATATGCACTTTTCAAGGGGATGTGCACACCTTCATTTTTGCACGCCCAAATCCTGTTTGGGGGCTTTACTGTTATGCACAGCAGCCAAAAATATTTATATTTTCTTTCTTTTTTTCTTGTTCATGGGTTCAAAAGCATTTGAAGCAGAAGCTATTATATCAGCAATAGAAAAAGTAATTAGCGAAGTCAAGCCAAAGAAGGTAGAGGCTGGAGAGACAATTGAGGTAAGAGTAGGAATCAAAGGATACGACCCAGCTAGAGACAAGAGATTCCGAGGGGAGGTGACTCTGCCCTACTTGAAGAGAAAGGAGGAGAAAGTCCTTGTGCTGGCTGACATTCACTTGACGAACGCACTAGAGGGATCAAACATTCCATACATATCCTTTGACGAGTTCAAGGGAAAGACCCCAGAAGCAAAGAAGAGAAGAAAGAAGCTGGTGAAGCAGTACCACTCTTTCATTTCAGTGCCAACCCTGTACAAGGTGTTTGAGCCAGCAATCTTCGCCGGAAAGAAGAAGCCTGTTTACATGATCAAGAACATAAACGAGATAAAGAACTACTACGAAGATGTAAAGAGAAAGATTCAGCTGAATCTGAAGGCTGATCTGCTTATTGGATTCCCCGTTGGAACGACTAAAATGAGCGCAAACGAAGTGTCTCAGAACACCTCCACCGCAATGACCGCTCTCATTGGCCTTCTTAAGAAGGGGATCCAGAACTTGAGATCCGTTGATATTAAAACAGACCAGGGAAAGCCTATTAGATACTTCCCGCTCTAATAAATATGACATTCTCGCATACACTTTTTATTGCAGGCTGCAGCAGCCCTGGCAGATTCCCGAGGGCCTGCCCCAGCAAAAACTCTGCAAAAACGGGGAGTGCTGCAGATGCGAATAACGCCAGAAAGCATCCAGAGAAGCGCCTGTATATTGTACCGATTGTTTATTTTACCATTTCAGATACGAGTATGCTTTGACAACATCGTGCGTCAAGAAAAACTCTACCTTTGGGGCTTCCAGTGAGTCTGACTCGTCCAAGGACCATCCTTCATACTCTTCCATTTTCTTGCAAAATCAGATTTGCATTTATTTTATAGACAGAAGCTGTGCTGTCTATAGACATGGCAGGAACCCCTGTGCATATGGAAGACTCCCCGGGGGCTATGGAGAACAGGGGAAGTGACACCTCCCCCAGGAACTTCTTCTCTTTTAAATGCGTCCACCCGAAGACCTTCAGCTCCAGCGTGTCAACGGGCGTATACACGGAAAAGCTGAAGTTTTTGTTGAATTCTGGCGCAGTCACGTCCTGGGAAGAGGCTGTGACGTGCGCCTGCTCTCCAACACTCGCCTCCACAAAGACGCTTTTGTACACCTCCAGCTCAGCCGCTTCAGAGGCCTGCATGCCCAAAATGTGCACGGAGAGAAGGCCGTGGTGTATCAAAGGAGCAGAAAGTCCGCTGTACTGCCTGTTGTACACGTCAATTACAAAGAGCTGTTTGTGCGCCAGCTTAATCTCGTGCCTGCCACTGGACTTCGACAGGTAGAACTTTCCAATGAGGAAGCCCTCCTTCACGGTGTATACGGATATGCTCACATTCGTGAAAAAGAAAAACTCTCCGTGCAACTTTTTCCCCGAGCTTGACGCGCTTCTGTCGATGACTATGTCGTCTTTCGCAAACTCCAGGAAAATCGGATGGTTGACCCGGCAGAAAACCACGCGCATCTGTATAAATGGCGAAAAACCACCGTCCACGCATTCCGTGCTGGCCGCCTTCTCGTCTGTGCTGGACTGCACATTTTGCAGGCTGGAGGCTTCCACTTCGCCCTTCTCTTGCGGGCTGCCTTCAAGCTTCTTCTCCTCAAGCGCCTTCTCCGGGGGTGCAGGTAGGCTCTCGTCCTTCTCCTCGGTTTTGTGCAGCGGGTAGTCTTCCGTTTGCATCTTTATCTTGGCCTCGCCCAGGTAGGACTCTCCAGACATAACGTCGCACCCGCCATAGACCTCGTCCATTAAGTATGCCACGTACTTTGTGACCTCGTGCGTGCTCAGGATGGGGACAAGCGCATACCCGGAGTACTTTCCTGTGGCATGCGAGAAAAACGGGCGGACAGGAACTACCCTGTTTGCCGTTACCAAATACCCTGAAAACACGCCCTTTGTCTCTATTCCGTCTATCTTCACCATCCGAATGTGCGTGTACTTCTGCATGTTTATCTTGATCATGCACGCATACTCCGCCGAGAAAAGAAGCTTTGCACGCCCTGCAGCCATGTGCCAGAAGTCAAAGGTCCCGTACGATATGGAGACACCCCTCCGGATGTTTACGCTGAAACTTCCCAAAACTTTGTCTTTGTCTCTTGCCTCAATAAGAATAATGGTTCTTTTTGTGTCCCGCGTGTAGAACACGAATTTGTCGTCAAATGCTGGACATGCCTCGTTTCGAGCAACTCCGGTATTGAACACGCCAAGTACTTCGTTGCTTAGAAGGTGCGTGCGTGACTGTTTTTTCAGGTCCTCGTCTGACTCTGTGGAGGACTCGTTTGTAACGGACATGCCTGGACTGGCGCTGTTTTTTTCCTCGGGCATAAGCTCGGCTGCAGACATGCTGGCTGGGTCCTTGTTCCGCACTCTTTTCTGCCGCATGCATGCAGTCGCCTGCACGGTCAGGCTTTTGTATGGCGCACCCAGGACGTCTACCATGTCTATCAGCTGGACCAGCTTGACAGTGACAATTGCAGACTTCGGGCGCTCCTCCTCGGAAATCTTGCCCACGTCGATCTTTGGATAGTATGAAAACGAGACGTCCGTGTACCCTTGCGAGTTTGAGAACGGCACTATTCCCTGCGCTCTTCCCTGCATGCATATTTTTTCAATTGACATTGTCCCCATGGCAATTGGAGACTCGTCTTCTTTTTTCTGAATAAATATAAAGATCATATCGTCTGTGTTCTTAATGGGAATGTATGCCACGTGGTTGATTTCGCCCTGGGAAATCCGCACGGGATTCCGGCCTTTCCTTCCGTTTATTCCTATCGACAGGAAGATGTCTCCTTTGAGGTGGGTGACGACCTTATGTATGTGCACAGATATAGCGCCCACATAGTACATGGACTTTGGCTTCATGGCGACTGATATCCTCTTTGGGTACAGGGCCTCTTTCTGTATGCCCATTTCAATCACCTTCTTGATGCCAGACGCCAGCCCGGGAATGTCCATTATGTCTATGATCTTCAGAGGGACTATGTTGAACCCAATTACAGGCTGCTTCAGGAAAGAAAACTCAACGCCTTCGATAACGCTTGCATCGTATGTGAAGTTTATCTTTAGCCGGACGCTCCCCCTGAAAGAGACGTTTTTCAGAGTCACAGGCATGTCTATGCCCGCAGCTGCACCTCCCACGCGGACCGCCATGGTGATGTTGGACCCCCAGTTTATGCTGGCTTCCCCGGGAGTTCCCTGGAGGTCTTTTGCCATTGCAGGTATGAAGTGCATGGCCACGTCCACAATCAAAGAGTCTCTACTGGAGTGCCGAATGCGGATTCCCTCTATCACAGGCGCCTGTCCGCCCAGCGTAAACCTGTCCAGCCGGATGTCGTTGACCATCGGGATTTTTATGTTTCTAAGCATGGCGCTGATCCGCAGAAGAAGAATTTTTGACACCGTTGACTCCACGTACCTCCACGCCTTCTCGGCGACGGCATTCATCCAGTCCACCTTCTCGTACTTGGAGACGTTCTGCTTCCGTATGGAAAAGTACACAAAAGCCTCCATGCTTCTCTTAAACTCCTTTATCCGCCGGATGAACACAAAGCCAATCGCGTAAAGCAAGGGTATGATAACCCACGGCTTGAACTCCAGCCACCCCAAGATGTACCCGCCGATACCTGAAAAAAAGACAAGCCCCGGCACCTTCAGTATCTTCAAAAAAGTGCTGGGCCTGTCAAGTGCCAGGGAGTTCTCATACTGCGCCAGGCTTTTTGCGTATTTTTCTGCTGATATTTTTTCCTCCTTGGACAGCTCGTCCTTCTCCGACTCGGTGTTTCCCATATATGCTAAAACAAACAAAGAATAAATACAGGCGGCGCAGAGAAAAAGAGTCTAGGAGAAGCATAGAACACGCCCAAAGGCGAAATCTGAATAAATTAGCGAAGCATGCGCAAGCCAACTGCATAAACCGTATAAAACAGCATATAATTTATGTGTATAGAATGTCAAAGTGCTCCGACATAAGCAAAAGACACCCTATTTTCTCGCCCTCTCCCCGAGTAAGCCTTTCCATGCAGCCGCCCTCAATACACACCACGTCAAACGAAATCCCAAAGGACTCGGCGATTCCTATCATTTCTATCTCTCCTGCGTATTGGAAAGACGCCTCCACACTCTTGAGGCAGTATTCCTCGACGTCTCCCTCTATAAATCCAGCGTACTTTTCCTTGTGTTTTTTTATGTACGCAGAAGTAACCATTCTAAAGTATGTTACAGTGTAGTTCCAGAATATGCTGTCCAGTTCTTCTATATTTGGAGATTCACCAGTTGCCGCTGCCTTAAGAGTACTCACAATTGGGTCTGTAAATTCCTTTATTAGATAGTCCTCAACCCCGGAAAGCAGCAGGTCATTGTTTAGTGTGTTTAGAGTGTTTATAAGCAGTGCTGCGTGCCCAGGCGTGCAGTAGTGCTCCAGCATAAGAAAAACAATCGAGTAGTAAAAGCAGTTGCCGTCTCGCTTTGTGCGGCGGATTTTTGAGTTTACATTTGCCAGCGTGTTTATGCTGTTGTAGAAAGGAGTGTCTTTGTAGTTGTCCAAAAAGACGTCCATTTTTAGCAGGGCACCCACAAACTCTCCCTCTTCTGTCTCAGCTTTCATTTTATTTGAGCACAAATAATTTATTTATAAATACTTATGCCACCAAGGCAACGCAGCAGAGTCAGAGAAGAGGAAAGCTTATACAAAAACGAAGAAGACAGAAAACACTTGGAGTCACTGTCAGAGGCTGTGCGCGAAGGAATACTTTACGAGAGGCATTTGCAGCTGACAGAGGAAAAGGAGAGAAAAGAGCTGAAGCACCGGAACAGCTCGTTCGGGATGGAGAGCGAGACGGACAGCGAAAGCAGAGGCATGGACAGCTTCTCCGAGAGGTCGATACCCAAAATAGTCACAAAAACCAGCTTCGACGTGTTCAAAAACGTGGTTCTGAGAAGGGACATGCTTCTGGACATAGTATACAGGCGGGCCATTGACAAGATAAAGGGCTGCTATGTGAAGCTCCGGCTCACGGAAGGGTACTGCGTGTACAAAATACAGAAAGTGTATGAAGGAAAGCGGTACGAGGTAAGCGGCGTAGTGACGAACAAGTGGATGACACTGGTCCGAAACAAGGACCGCAAGGAGATAAACATACAAAGCATTAGCAATGGGCACGTCACCCCGGAAGAGTATGACAGATACATAAAAGACAACGTTGTGCCGGGGGGAGACAGGGATCTGCTCAGGCTCTACAAAAAGCTGTCCAGAAACATAGAGACAGACACGACAGACGACGACATCGACTATTCTCTCTCTCAGAAGAGGAGGTTTTCAAAGTACGAAAAAATTGCTGCGAAGAGGCGAGTTGTGCTGACGGTGCAGCTGGAGCGGGCGCGCCAGGAGGAAAACTTGCAGGAGATTCAGGAGATAGAAAAAGAGCTCAGAGAGATGGAAGAGCATGCAGAGGGGAGCCAGCCAAGTGATAAATAAAGTAATAGAGCAGCGAGTATCAGCAGCCCAAAAACTACTAGTTGCAGCAAGTTTTGGCTTTCTGCTGCAAAGGAGAGGCCAGAGCATTTGCAGATTTATTTTCGGATTTGGCACTCGGCGCTTGCTCCTTCAGCGTGTGCAGGAAGAGCCCGAATTTCTGGAAGCTCTAGCCGTAGTACAGGCTGGGCGTGAAAACTATTCCTCTTTTGAGCCTCATGTTGATCTCTTCCACCTCGTCGGCCAAGCGCGGATTTCCCAGTATCCTTGCAGCAGCAGATATTTCCGAGCATATCTCCGTTGCCTTCTTGATGTACTTCACAATCACGCCTTCTGGCAGCGGGGAGGCGTCGATGATTTCTGCAAGAGACTTGTCCTTCAGCCACAGAGACAGCTCGCCACAGAAGGCGTGGTTGGGCATGTCCATGCGGATCTTGTGGCTCCTGTATATTGCGCGCATGCCGTGCACTATTTCGTCTATTATCTCCAGAGAGGGCTTGAGCTCCTTTATCTCTTCTATGCGAATCTCCTCCTTCGCGTACTCCGCCTCCTCCTTCAGCTGGTACTTTTCGTAGAACGTGAGCCCGACCAGGCCTATAACTAGATCGCTCGTTGGCATTCCCGCGACTAGCGGAGACAGCAGTATTTCTGTGGTGAGCACGCACTCTATCGAGTTGAACTCGTACGCTATTTTTCCCTTCAGCCGGATGTTGTTCATTCCGTCTATATACTCCAGGCTTCGCAGGAATACAATGTAGTTGAAGTAGTTGTTGCACTCAAGCCCAGACGTGTTCGTGCTCAGCATTTTCCGGTCGATGCTTTCTATCTGGCTCCGAATCGCGTGCTCCTGTGCAAACTCTCTATAGTGTGCAGAAAACTCTGTGCACGAAAAAGGGGCTTGCTCCCAAAATTTATGCATCTCCCTCCATGCGCGAACAGCGTCGTCCTGGGCCTTGTGCATCGCAAAGCTCCCGCGAGCAAAGACGGCAGGGCTTCCCGTTGTCCGGTCCAAAATCAGCGCAATGCTGTCTTCTGGCTCCTTGGGCGAGGCTTCTCCGAATGTTTCCAAAAGCATGAAGTGCGGGGTGCAGACTATGTCGGCCACTGCTCCGCGTATCGCTATATCGCCCTCTGCTGCAGCACATCCTTTATACACTTCTGCAAGCATTGCCACTGCGCGGCTGTATTTTTCTATGTACGCCAGCACGCGCCCGCACGCGTCGCAGGATATAACAGTGTGGAGCAGCTGCTTTTTCAGAGCTGTTTGCGTGCGCAGGCCTTTTCGCATTTCCTGCTCTGTCTTTGACTTCCCAAAGCTCAGCCGCACCATTTCTTCTATCGAGACACTTTTCATTCTGAGCAGCTTCAGTATCATTCTTGCTGTTATGTAGAAGTTGCTCTGTATGGCTGTGGCGGTGCCTGTCTGCAGCTTCACAAGAAGATTTTCCGGGAGCATTTCCTGCCCCGAGCACTCTATTATGGACGTCCCTTTTGTGTCGTACCCCCTTCTCCCGGCCCGCCCTGCCATTTGCGTGTACTCGCCCACTGTGAGGTCCATGTACGACCGGGTCTCGGGGTTGTACTTCTTTATGCTTCTGATCACAACCGTTCGTGCGGGCATGTTTAAGCCCATTGCAAGCGTCTCCGTTGAAAACAAGACGCGCAAAGCTCCTGTTGTGAAGAGCATTTCAATGATTTCCTTGAGAATGGGCAGAAGCCCTGAGTGGTGCATCCCCACGCCTCTAATCAGGCCTGGAACCACAAAGAGAATCTGCGGCAGCGACCGGTCGGCCTTGGGGAGCTTGCCAAGCGCGTCCTGCACAAACCCCCGAATGAGCGACTTTTCCTCCGACGTTGTAAGATCCAGGGGGCTGCACATGGAGAAAGACTGCTCAATCCGCGCCTTTGAAAAGTCAAAAAACACAATTGGAGCCAGGCCCTTTTCAATGAGCCTCCGGGCGATGTTTATAGGGGACTCCAGCACGGTGGGCGCTTTCTTCTTCGCCTCCACCAAGGGCCCCCGCATAGACGCCTGCATCGACTTTTGCTTCTCCCTGTGCACCTCGACGGCGCCCGTGCTTTTGGCCTGCATATACTCTTCGTGGCAGAACTTGTTGTTTTGCGTGGTCACGAAGAGCCTGTTTCTGAAGAAGACCCCGTGCTCCAGCTCGACTGCGCGCTTCTCCGTGCCTATCAGAAGCATTTCCTTGTTTTTTATCGTGCTTATCCACGCGCACATCTCTTTTGCGTTCGGGCTTGTCGCGCTGAGGAATATCAGGGAAATGTGCCTTGGAAGCATAATGATAACCTCCTCCCAAACAACCCCCCGCTCCTTGTCCCCTAGATAGTGTATTTCATCAAAAACAATAAACTCGACGTCGTCCAGTATTTTGCTTCCCCGGTACAACATGTTGCGAAGTATTTCAGTGGTCATGACAAGACACATTGCCTCGCTGTTTATTTGTGCATCCCCCGTGAGTATTCCCACGCTTTTAAACTTCTGCGAGAACTCTCTGTACTTCTGGTTGCTGAGCGCCTTTATGGGCGACGTGTATATCATCCGCGTGTCGTGCAGCTCTGCTATGTACCCCGCATACTCCGCTATAAGCGTCTTCCCAGAGCTTGTGTGCGCAGTTACAAATATGCTCCGGCTCTTGTTTATGTAGTAAAAGCACTGCTTCTGGAAGTTGTCTGGCTCAAAGCTGATGTGCGGATACTTCGGCGTGACTTTTTCGTAATCGCTGCAGAGCCTGCTGTTTTTTACTTCCACAACACTCGGCGTCTCTTCAGGCACGACTTCCTGCGCCTCCTCAGGGTCATCGGAAAACTGTCTGTACGACGCTGTAAACTGCGGCCTGGGAAGAAGCGGCAAGGAAACTGAAGATATGATCTTTTGCAGGAATAATTTTAACTCATTCTTATCCAGTGTCCTCATAAAAAAATTGAACTTAAAATTTTAATAATGTCTCAATGGTCTAGAAGAAAAGCAAGCGGCCTTCCTGTCCGAAATCTCTCTCTCCCGATATTTTTTAACGGAATATCAGAAGAGGACCAAATAACAGAAATCCGGGAGGCGCTCAAAAACATGCGGTATTGCAGCTTGACGAAAACCCGAACCATCAATCTCAGTTGCTTGGCTATTAAAAATCTTCCCATTAACTCTCTGCTGGCAGCAATGAAAGAGGAAGTGATGCCCCTTTCGCAGAGTGTGGACTATGAGATGGTTTTCTCTGAGACAAAGATCGTCCTCAATGTTGAGGGAAACTTGCTGGAGTCTCTTCCGCTTGAGCTGTTTTCTGCGAAGAACCTCCACGCAATTCTGCTGCGCTCCAACAAGCTGCAGACAGTGCCCCCGGAAATCGGAAATCTAAAGAGTCTCTGCATGCTCACGCTTTCCGGAAATCCTATCCGGCACCTTCCTATTGAGATCACGTCGCTTTCTATCTCCATGTTTAGCATATGCGAAAAACACTTTATGTCGCAGGAGGAAATAGACAGAGAGAACTCACGCGTAGAGTTTCCGGCGGAGACACTGAATGAGCTCTGCCTAAAAACCCTGCCTCTAGGGGATGTGTGCAGAACCCCCAGCCGCATAAAGAAGGCGCTTCGGGTCTGCTATGCGTGCAAGTCACTGACAAGCATTGCCGGTACTGTGTATAAGTATATGCTGTACAGAGAGCAGATGATTCCTTTCTACATGTCTGTGTGCTCTTCCTCGTGCAAAGAAAAGTGTCTTTCAGACGCTGAAGAGGAAGCGCCAGCAGAGTAGCTGGAACCACTGCGCACGGAAAGCTGCAGAAAAAGCATGCATGCAAGTGCATGGACATAGCTGGGGACCTATAAAATGAGCGATACAAATAAAACACACCTGATCTCTAAAGGCTTAAATGTACGATGCGCACTGCTTATATGCGGGCTCTTTGCTATTTCTTTCATGCGGCAAGCATTTCGCAGAATCCGAGGCAGAAAGCGAGGCAGACAGCGCATAAAAGCGCAAAAATGCGCGTGCATTACACAAAGCTTCTCCCGACAGAGAACATGCGCCTGCTGCGCCATGTCTTCTGTATTTTGCTCTTTTGCGTGGGAAATCACGGATTGCGATTATTTGGCATATAAATAGTAGATTGTCTTTTTCTGTATGGGAAGAGCCGGCGTTCGTTCTTATCAGCCGGATGGCTGCAAAAAGAGAAAGAAGAAGGCCTCGCCCGAGGGAAAGTCTGAGTGCTGCAACTTTTTCACGTGCTCTACCGGCAGCCATCTTGACGCCCTCCACGTTCCTGCTCCCCAGAAAATATACAAAGCCATCCCCATCTCCTTGGAAAAGTATTTGTTTTTCTTTGGCCCCTTTTCGTTTCTTCCCTTCTACTATATATATGTGTGCCCTGGAATCACTGCACAGTCAGACTCTCTCGACTACTTCCGGTGCATTGGGTGCATGTGCTCTTCGTGCGTTGGGGCGTACGTCTTGTTTAAAGTGCTGTGCTTTGGGGTGCGCTTTCCAGAGGTTTCCTTCATCGTCATTGCTATGGTGTGCTCTCTCCACTCTTCCTTCACGCTTCTAATTGTAGCTATGCTTTTGATGCAGCTGTTCAGCGCGGTTTTTGTAAAAAAAATCTACCCGTTTGCACAGAGAATCCCACACTTTCTTATTCTTCTTGTTTTTCTGGGTCTTTTGCTTGCATCTGTCGTGTGCCTGGCCGTGTACATAATAGAGCTTCCGCCCCCAAAAAGAAACGCCAAGGGCCGGGCATACGCCTAGCCCAGGCTGCATCGCATGCGGGAGGAGCGCCATTGTTGTGCGAGCTTGCACTGAATTCCCAGAGCTTGACCAGGACCTGTGCCAGACTGTGTATCATCCATATGCGGGCCAGGCTCTGACTTCCTGCGGGGAACCATGGATATGCGCGAGAAAAAGCCTATACGCAAATTCCAGAGGCATACTTTTTATCGCGGGCGCGTGTTTTCTTAAAGTTGAATAAAATTTGTCCAGAAATGCTAGGCAAGTACGTTCAAAAGAAAGAGAAAGAAAATCCAGCCGAAATAAAAACCACCACGCCCACAGAGGAAATAATTAGGGGCAGCGACAAGCATGTGGGCGCCCATTTGTCAATACAGGGCGGGATAGAGCTGATTTTTGGCCGAATAAAGAGCCTGGGGGCGCGAGCTGCTGCCATGTTTCTGAAGCCGCAGAGAACGTTCACAGTGAAGCCGTACGCGCCCGAAACAATTTGCGCGTTCAAACGGGAAAACACGCAGGAAATGCTGCTGCCGCATGCATCGTACCTGATCAACTTGGCGCAGCCGGATGCGGAGAAGGCCAAAAAGTCGTACGGCCTGTTCCTAGACGAGCTGACCAGATGCGACCAGCTGGAAATTCCCCTGTGCAACATACACCCGGGGAGCAACGTGGCAAAGCTTCCTATAAAGGCAGCATGCCAGCTGATATCTGAAAACATAAACAGGGCGCACAAGGAGACCAAGAGCGTGACTGTGGTGATAGAGAACATGGCAGGGCAGGGAAACACGGTAGGGTCCAAGTTTAAGGAGCTTCGGATGATCATAGACGGCGTGGAGAACAAGGAGCGCATTGGCGTTTGCCTGGACACGTGCCACTTGTTTGGCGCAGGGTACGACATACGCACGAAGAAGAGCTTTCAAAAGGTGATGGACGAGTTTAACGAGGTGGTTGGCTTGGAGTATTTGAAGGGAGTTCACATAAACGACAGCAAGGAGGCGCTTGGAAGCAAAAAAGACAGACATGCCTCAATAGGAAAGGGGCTCATTGGGCTCGAGGCCTTTGTGTATATTATGAACAGCCCGCTGTTTAACGGGATCCCCATGATATTGGAGACTCCCGACCCAGAGAAGTACAAGGAAGAGATAACTCTGCTTTACTCGCTTATTGAAGGAAAGTGAGAGCCGACTGTGTGGGCGCCTGCGCCTTTGCAGGAGTTGGCAGAAAGGACGGCCCGGCGCTTCGCTATTTATAAAGGGCTATACCCCGCACAAGCAAAGCGGGTGCAGGCAGACGCTGGAAAAGCGTTTCCGCCCCTGCGCCCAGGCCCTTCCAAGCTGTGCAGGTAGCTGCAGCGCCTCAGCGCATGTTTTTGTTGTTTAATAAATGCATAAAGATGGGTTTGTTTTGTTGTATATGCAAATGCATGCGCAAAGATCAGCCCAAAGGAAAAGATCAAGATATAAATTGCTTATTCAGACGGTAAAAAGATGCACGAAAAAACTCATCTCCTTTCCTAAAAGTGCGTACAGAAAGGTAAAAAGCGGCCTGCTATTTGCCCGGAGGAAGGCGTCCAAGCTGTTCAGAAGGTCGAAGAAAAAAGGCCCATCTGCCGGCAGCGGTGTGCCTGCAAGCATGCGCGCTTTGAGCACGTCAGCGCCTTCTTCCCGCATGCATGCAATCAGCAGCACAATAACCAAGCCCATAGAGACCGATCAGGGAAAGCCTCTGATATTCGACGAGTCCTCAGACATCATCACAGGCGCATGCGAGTACATTTGCGCTGTCGAGGCAATCATACGAGAGTTCAGCACAGGGCAAATAGACGCTCGTGTCCCCCTCGCTCTACTCAGCCACATGCGAGCAAGCGGCATGGAAGTCGCCAGCGACCTGTCTGACGCCGAGAGGCGCTGCCAAAAAAGAGCAGAAGGCCAGAAAGGCGCAGGCGCCTCCCGAAAAATGCCCAGCAACAAAATCGCGCGGACCCAAGTCTGCAGCGAGCTGGAGCCCAACCTCGTGATGAAGCGCTTTTTCACAAAAACCATTGCCCTCAGAAAGAGCTACATGTCCATGCACAAAACAGTGGTGGATGCTCTGGCCATGCGGTCCCCGTGTGGCACACACACAGCAGAAGATGCTGCCCTCTTTTGTGCTGCCATGAGACAGGTCAAGGCGCATGTGCTGGACAGCATCTGCAGAGTAAACAAGGCCTGTCCTGTTTTCATGCATACGTACAAGAGACAAGGCTAGCTGTGTGAGGCAAGGGCGCAAGGCGCACAGCAGGAGCTGAAATAAAGAAGTAGAACATTTGAAAATATTGCTTGCATATATTCGGCTAAAAGCAGGCGTGTGTCTTGCCTGCGCTGTCTGCGGCCATAGAGCAGCCTTTCAGCGCTGTCTGCCTGCCCAGCCCCAAAGCCAGCATCGGGCCCTGGCAAAAGCATGCGAATTAATTTTAATGTGGCCCGAAGCGTGCAAATGCAGGCGCTCTCGATTGGGCCAAATTAAGGACTAGGCACTTCCCAGTCCAGAGCCTTAAGGAAGTTCAACTGCTCTGCACGCTTGCTGATGCAGCCACTTAGAAGGCTCTGTTCTGCTTATTTGCATGCGGCAGGCCTCAAGTCTGTTCTGGCTTTGTGCATTCTTTTTTCTGTGGTGCAATTGTCTTTTCAATGTGTCAAATAAGGAAGGCACTCGCAACTTAAACCTATATAAAGAGAGATGCAGGCGCAGACAGTGGGAGGAAGGGATACAGAATAGGCCTGCTCTGTGCCTGCGCATAATATAGCCTGCTTAGGAAAAATAAGACTATAATGGAACGTGGGCCGTCTAGGGCAGTAAATATGACCAATTTGGGTTATAGTGTTTGTCCATATTAGAAATGTGACATAGATGAAATAATATAAAAGCAGGCAATGTAAATAATATTACAAACAAACAAAGCATTGATGGATGAGAAGAAAAGATACGCGTGGTTAGAACTGTACAGGGAGAGAAACACCACAACAACCTACGACCAGCTGAACATAACCGAGCCCTTTAACGAATTCTTTGATGGTGTTTTAAAAATTCATCCAAGCCCAGAAATAAAGAGAATGTATATTACATCTCTGCACTTAATAGGGTTTTTAACCATACAGAAGAGAATTAAAATGTCCATATCAAGAAAGATAAAAATAAACCCGAGCGAGGCAAGCATACTTGAGCTGCGGGCGGAGGAGATATTTTGGTGCGCAACAGTCAACATTCCAAAGCCCTTCATGTTCTCGGCGCTCCCCGAGCTGACGATGCCTGGCGAGTTCTACGCGAATCTGGAGGAAATCCTGTATGAGGTCATCCGACTGAAGAGGGCTGGAAAGATATCGCACGAGAGCTATTCCCAGTACAAGATACTTATGGGCGCTCTAAACAACGAGCAGATTCGGAGCAGGAACACGTTTTTGCGCGACAGGTTCACGTACAAAATACTGCATCCTGTTTTCAAGCTGTTTATGCGGATGCGGAGAAACGCAATCGCAGAGAGCTACTACCGAGGGTATGAAATGGCGTACTTTTTGAACCTGTATTACAAAGAAAGGCTGCACGACCCCACGCCAATCGCGCTGGAGGACATAGAGTTTTTGTCGGAAAAAACAGGAGGCAAGTCCGGCGAGCACACGCTGGACGAAGACTCTACCGAAAACTACGAAAGAAGAATAATTGACCGAAAGTTTGTCCTGATCATGCACGCTCTTGTTGGCAGGTTTATGAAAGAGCTTGACATGCCCCGAAAAGTAGAGGCCTATGCCATAAACGTGCTGCAGGTCTTTCTCCTGAAGGAGCCCTTCCTGGGGTACTTTAAAGACTTCTCTGCGGAAATAGTCATTGTGGGCATCACATACATAGCAAGCCAGGTGCACAAGAAGGACATAAGCGTGCGAAGGATCCACGAGATATACCGGTCCTTTGGGTTCATAACCACCTTCCACATACGAGAGGCCCGCAAGCTAAAGGTCTCAATAGAAGAGGTCATTCAGAACCTGATTGTGAAAACATACAACATTCTGCTGCCCTGCATTGTGAAGACCCTCAAAGCGAAGAGCCAGACTCTGCAAAGGGAGGAGTCGCCCAGGATGGACCAGTCAAGCGCGAAGTACATGCTGTCGCCACTGTCTGGGCGAATGAGCCAGATAGTGCCTGTCCCCACAACCTCAAAGAAAGTCCTTTTCCCCGAGAAAAAGGTAAGGGAGATCATGTAGCCCAGAATGGCGCGCCTGGAAAGAGCTCCTACACTCCCATTGGGCGGTAGGGCCCAGGCAGCGAGGTGGGCAGTATAACCCGAATGCGCTGAAAACTTTTCATGTTTCAAGCGCCGCCCCAGCAGAGCGAAGGAAACATACTTTTTGTACAGAAAGAAGACTTTCTCTGCAAAATCGAAAGTGCTGTTGGAAAGTGTGTTCTTTTGCGGTACGAAACAGATGCTGTTCCGTACATAAACAGCAGAGAGCTGCGCGTTATTTCCATAGAAAAAGAGTCCTGCATGCAAAAAGCGCTGGGCAAGTCGTTTCTGGCAAGTATCTGTGTGGGCCTGTGCCACAGTCTAGATAATGAGGAAGGATACGACTGCATATTTATATCTTCCTCCCTGCAGGAGAGCTTCACTTCATTTTTTGTCGTATTTTTACAGACATACACCAAATACAGAACAACAAAAATATACTGCCAGTACACAGAAGGCGAGTGCCCCTTTTTAAATAAATGCATTTGAACTAGCACCGCAAACCCTACTGTTGACTTCTCAGAGCGCCCAGGCAATGCAAGTGCGCACGCAGGGCTATATTGTGCCCTGGAAATTTGCAAGCGAAGGCCCTTCTGCAGTGCTTGTGCTAACTAGTGCTTATTTATTCTCTTTCAGCGCAGGGCTCTTTGCTGGGAGTTTCTTTGCTCTGTCAACCCCAAAAGGCAAGCCACGCCGGGGCGTTGAATCTCCCGTTATTGGCGACTTCAGTAGACTCTGAAGAAGCTGGAGCTTCTCAAGCAGCGCGCGCAGAGACGGGCCTTCTCGATGTACATGCGCTCTTGCGTCCCTGCAGTGGCTAAGCTTCTTCTCCAGCTCTATATGAGGCTGTGCACTTGCAGGAGTTCGCAGTTTTCCTGCTTCGCTATTTTTTGTACTTCCTCGAGTCCTTTCTGGACATAGTAGCTTTATTGCGCGAGCCCTTTCCTCCTTCCCAGTGCGCCGTTTTCTTTCCTGTAAGCGCCTCCCTGCACTCGCTGCTTGCGCACACGGGGCCAACAGGGCCTTCTGCGCCGCACTTTCCGCAGGCCATCCGGCTCGCATACACAGCTGGATGCGCTTCGTTTTTGTTGTGGCAGATGTCGCACGGGTATCTTGTGTTGCAGCACGGAAATATAAATATCCTGCTAGACTTCTTGTAGTGCTCGCAGGTTCCCCCGCTTTGCAAAAGAGCCCGCATGTCGCCTTTCGTCTTTTTTTTGTCCTCGACCTCTTTTCTGACCTCTTTGTACGCGCCCCCCTCCGGGCGTATTTCCAGAACAGCCCCGCACATGCAGACCGTCTTCTTTCCAGGCTCCAGTATGCTCAGTGCGCTGCACTGCATGCATATTGCGTTGAAAAGAACCGAGCGAATCGACAGGTTGTATACGCCGAGTCCCTCCAGGCGCATCAAGTTCTCTCTGTTTTCCCCCGTGGGAATGACCAGGTGAAACGTGCTGTCTATTGTCAGCTGGTGCGTGCACTTTACGCAAGCAAATCTGGTTTTTGTGTTTTTCTTTATGTCTGTGTCGTCTCCCCCCACCTTTTTTATGTTCAGCGCACTGCATCTTTTGCAAAAGACAGAAAGCACAACTTCGTTCAGCTTGAATCCCTGCACGTTCTCCTGCCTGTATTCGAACAGAATGTAGGCTCCCTCCCGGATGGGGGCGTCTGAAATGTCTATGCTTACGGGGGCTGCCTTCTTGGCCTCTATTGCAACAACCGGCCTTCCTGCCAGCACGCTTTCTATTTGCTGCATCAAGCAGCGCCCATACTCTTCGTGCGACATTTTGTCTCTGCAGCGGATGTACCCCACGGCCACATTCACGCGTATATTTTTATTGTCTATGTCCAAAATGCTAACAATATCTTGTTTGTAGCTGTATTTTAGCCGTATTTCGGAGATGTCGTAGGGAAAGTCTCTGTCTGTGATGGGGTATGTGCAAACCAGCGTCTCCTCGTCCAAGGGCGCCCAGGCAGGCCCCTTTTCTTCCTCTTGCATTAAATAATTATTATTTTTGCACAACACAAATGACAGAGGCACACGGAACCCTGCAGCGAGGCAGAGGGCCGGAGTACGAAGCACTATTCCAGAAAACACTTGAGCAGGAGCGGAGATACAACGACATAGAGAAAAAAATCAACAATGAGATCATCCGGCTGCTAATTGTGCACCACACAGAGCTGGAGAGCAACAAGCAGACGCTGCAGGCGGAAATAGAGAGGCTGGAGCACGAAAAGGAGGCGAGGCAGGCTGCAGAGGATGTGGCCAAGCAGCGGGAGGCAGAGACCGAGGAGAAGGAGGTGCAGCTGAAAGAGGCTTTCAAAGACAAGAAAGATCTGGAGAAGAAGCTGGCCGCCCTGCAGAAGTCAATAGAGGCCGTGGAGAAGAAAGCTTTGCTTGAAACCGAGGCGGAGAAAAAAAGGCTGGCCGAGTCCGAAGCAATGCGGAAAAAAGAGCAGGAGCTTATTAAAGAGCTCGAGGAGAAGCAGGAGGCAGTTGCCATGCGGGAGAGGGACTTGGTGCGGGAAACCGAAAGGAAGAACCAGGAAATAGAAAAAGCCAAGAATCTTTCCGCGGAGGTGGAGAAGACCCAGAGCGAGCTTGCCAAGAAGAGGAAGGAAATTGAAGAAAAAGAGCTGGAGATATCGCAGTTGGAAAAGACTCTGAAGGAGGTTCGGAAAACCCGAGAGGCCAAGGAGGAGGAAACCTACGAGAAGGAGCGGGACCTAAAGAGAAAGATACAGGACCTGGAGGAAAAAATAAAAGTCTTTCCAGAGTGCTCTTCCTCTGCCAGGGAGGAAATCAGCCAGCTAAAAATAGAGAGCGAAATAAGCAAGGCCAAGGTAGAGGAAAAGAACAAGACAATAGAGATACTGCAGGGCACAATACTGAGGCTTGAAAGCCTGTTTGCAAAACAGATGGAGTACGCGATGGTAAGCGCCCCAAAGCCAGGATTCTCCCCTCCGCCCGCGCGCCCCTCTGAAGAGAAGCCAGAAGCCCCCGTGGAGGACCACCGCGCACACGCAGAAAACAAGACTGTAAATACCTTCGAAGAGCCTGCCCCCAAGCCTGCCCTGGAGAAAAAGCCGAAGCAGCCCGCACAGAGGGAGAAAAAAGAAGCTCCTGTTAGAAAAAGAGGGAAGCGGGAGGTTGTGGACATTAAGAAGGAAATGTCAAAGCAGAATCTTGCAAGAGAAACAAAAAAAATACAAGAGGCCTTGTCCGATTCGGAGGAGGACAGAAAAGAGAAAAAAGACTTCAGCACACTCTTTGGAAAGAAAAAAACAAAAAACGTATTTACAGGAAGGCCGGAGGCTTCATCGTTCTTTGCAAACCTTTCATTCTCAGACTACGAGCCAGACACCTCGGAGAAGTAATAAACTGCCATGCACTTGTATGGATGTAGAAATAGAGCAGCTGGAGGACCGGCAAGCTGTTTGCGCCCAGGGTTGGCCCATCTGGCTCCTGCTGGTGCTTGCACTTTGTGGGCTGGTTCTAGCGTGCTGTATAGTGCGGTCGGGATGCGGCACCTCTGCAGTTTGCGGGGCTAGCGCCTCTGTCTGTAAAATAAAGTGTACAAGTGTTTGATGAAATGGACGAATTTATTTTTGCCACGCGGCTTCTCTGCTTTTCAAAGTCCCTGCAGCGACGGAGACTCGTACGCGCAGAAGTGCAGGGGAAATACCTCTTCTGTGGCTTCTACGCTGCAGAAGTGCGCTGCAGCAGACTTTTATGCCAGCGTGCATTTTCTTGGAAGCAACCAAGACGTGGGCGCTCCTTTGTGGGCGTGCATAAGCATAGAACAGGGTGCGGGCTGCTCTGTTTCTAGCTCCTCCTAAATGCACGCTGGCATAAAAGTGCGCAGCCTCTCCTCTAAAGTTCGGGCTGAGAAGAAAAAGAAAAGCCGACGGCTCACGAAGGCAGGCGGAAAAGAGCGAGTTTACATGCGGTTGTTTATTATCGGAGCAGGCGCGCCCACTGCGCCAGGAAAGGCGCCGGCCCACCCGCAGGCTGCGCTTTTCCCTGCCGGACCTATTTGTTCAGGCCCTTGGAGAAGGCCTTCTGCATGCTTAGGTGGGGGGTTATATACTCCTTGATTCGCCGGAACTCGTAGAGCGTCAGGTTGTTCATTCCTATCACAGGCGTGTCGATGTACTCAACTCCCTTAAGAAGTTTTTTCATTCGCATTTCCCCGAGTCTCTTGAGAAGAATCCTGACTTCAGAAACGTTTTCGCGCACATCGCACGCCTCCAGGCACGTCTCTGCGTTTTCAAACAGGTGCATGCTTATTGCGCCAAACTCCCCCGTGGTTTCCTCTTCTCTCTCGATCGCCCGCTGAAGGTACTGGACGCTCAGCCACTCCGGCGCCTGTATTGTGCACAGGAGAGAGTGCCGGAGAAAAAGCGCAACATACAAAGGAACCATGCAGGGAGCCATTGGAGAAAAAGGCCCGAATGTGCCGACAGCCATTTCCAGCTTTTCCATGTGCACTGCAGGTATAATCGTAACCATTTCGCCCTGCGCGATCATGCGCTCGGCTTCTCTTTCCCGCTGTATGCGGAATTCTGCATTCCCGTGCAAATCATCGGAGCTTCTTAACAGTCCAAGAGACATGGCAAATTTTTCTATGAACGAGCCTTTCTACATGAAGTTTGTGCGAAGAAGCCAAGAAAAAAAAAGAGCGCGTGAGAAGATGCTGGCAAGCAACATATCCGCCACCCTCAAGTCCAGCATAGGATATTTGATCCTGCTCCGCATGGGGTGGTGCACAGACGGAGGCCTGGGGAAAAACAAAGACGGAAAAGTCTCCATTAGCGGCCTAATTAAGACCAAGCGGAGGGGAAAGTGCCCGTACCAGTTGAACCAAAAGGACGCGGAGGAGGAGTACAAAGCGCTTCTTAAAGAAGCGGGCAGCAGCGGGCATAAATAAGCATGGAAAAATGCACACAAATATTTTTAATGAGGAGAAACCACCGAAGCGAGTCTCAGAGAAGAGACCATTCTGGAAGGAGGGCAAGCTACAACGGGTTTATGACGCAAAAGGAGAAAGACTTTGTGGCGTCTTTCTTTGAAAGAAACAACAAAAGAAAGGAGCGCACCTTCCCCGACTTCTACACGCAGGAGAGAGTTCCCCAGCCGGAGCACAGGAGGAAAGAGGCCGAGGAAGACTCTCTGTTTGAGGGCGTGCTGGGTATGGCCATTCGCAGGTCGCACAAAAGCCTGACGCTCACCAGCGACAAAACCGACAGTGCAGGCGTGTTCATAAAAAAGCTAATATCCCGAGGCAAAATAGAGGAGATCTACGACATTCTCAACGAGGGCGAGATTTTTACGTCGGAAGCCCCGGAGGCGCCCAGCACTGCGCCTGTTCTTGAGAAGATAAAGGAAATAGGCGAGGATTTATTTAATATGGAGAAGGGCCTGGCGCTGGTGGACAGGCTGCTCTTTCACGCCGGCACAAGCAACAGAGAGTACACTCGGGCTGTTCTCTCGGTTCTTGTCTCGCGGGTTCGGTACATTTACTACACGCCCGAGCTTGGGGAGTGCATCAGCAAGCTGGTGCCCGTGCTGAAGGAGGAGTCGGACATTCTGAAGATCTCGCCTGCTTTCCTCGGGGAAGCAAGCGTGGCAAACACTGCTGGCGTCTTTATCGGGCACATTGCTCTCCTGATATTTAAGAAGGACTCGCCGGACCTGTTCAGGAGTGTGTGCAGCCACATTGCAAAAGCACTCACGGACACGGCAATCAGCAGGCTGTTCCAAAAGACGCCAGCCTCTATGGTGTGGCGGCTTCTTTCTGTGGCCTCCCGGAAAATGGAGCAGCCGGAGCTTGCTGCCCTCAAGAAAAGGCTCTCCGTGCAGATAGCAGCAGGCCTGAACAGCAGATCCCCAACGCTCATTGAAAACATTCGGGCATTCACAAAAAGATGCCCGTAAATAAACAGTACTCTTATGCAGATGCACGCTGGAGCACAGCTAGTCGTCCTTCTCGACGAGCGAGATGACCTCGGCAAGCTCTTTCTTTGTTAGGTTTAGCTTGGACACGCCGCTTCTTTCTAAAAGAACGTTTGAGTCTACAAAGGGCGCAAGTGCCTCTCTGAAGGAGTTGTACTGCACGATGAGGAGACGCTTTTTTTCTTTGTTGAAAATATCCCGAAGAGAGAACTCCGCCCTGGAGGCGGCAGCCTTTATAATAAGCCGGAATATTTTCTTGCTCAGGCCGCCCACGCAGTCGTACACGTTCAGCGCCTCGTCGACCCGAGCAGACTTTCCAGATGACTTTTTCTGCTCTGAAATGAACGTGGTGAAATCTCGCATCACATAGTTGAACTCCAGGAGGTCGTCAAAAGACATGTACAGCTCTCTGTGCTGCACGAGAACAACCCGCAGGTTCTCCAGCTTGCCAATCGCGTCCTTTTTTGCATTTACAAGAACAACTGTTTTGGTGGTGTCCCGGGAGACCAGCTTGCTGATGTGCTCCAGTGCCCGCTTCAGGTCTGTCTCCTTGGGCTCCATGCAGTAGTACTCGTACAAGTTTCTGCTTGTTATAACTGTCTCTCCGTCGGAAAAGTCCACCACAAATATGTCGGAAAACACGTCTTTTAAAATCCCCAGCTTGTACCCAAAGCCATACGCATACACGTTGAAGGTTTTCACAAGCTCAACATACTCGTCTGCAATACTCCTGTGGAACGCCTCCAAACTCTGGGATATTTCAGCGTTTCGGTCCATCAATATTTTTACAGAGAATTAAAATAAAATTAAAGCCTTTCAGACACGGCCCTTTGGAAAGTTCTTTTAAGCCCGTCCCTCGCCCCACAGAATACGCTGAAAGTGCACTTTATTGAAACGCCTGCAGAGAGGCCAGTCTATAATACGCCCTCCAAACACGCTTCAGCAGCCTCTGCCTCGCCCTCCCCTGGGCCTGGCGTGCACAGCTTCACCTCTGCGAGAACACACTCCCTGTCTGGGAACGTGTCCTCAACAGACAAAACGTCCAGCTCCACCACATCGCAAAACTCCCCCACCACTTCGGAAAGAGACGGCCGTGTCCTTCCCATGTCTCCGTTTACGAACTCCTTTATGTATGCGCCAGACGAAGACTTTATGTGCAGGCGCATAAACTCGCCCTCTTTCTCTACCGTGCAAGCGTGCAGATACTTCTGCCGCACCAGGTTGGCCCTTCTGTGCATCACCCGAATCGGCGTCTTCTGGCGTATTTCAAGCGCAGGCGTCTTAAGCACGGCCTTCTCCCCGCTTTTCTCCCAGAAGGAGGCCTGCACTCTTTCCAGCACAGTTTCCCACGGGGCCTTGCAAAAAACTTTCACCGAGTACTCTTTGCAGTGCTCCTCCTCTATTTTCTTCATTTCCTTCATGGCCCTGCCCCCGTCCACCAAGCACGTTTGCAGAACCTCCACGTCCCTGCTCATTCTGTACGGCACTTCTATCGCCTTGTACTCTATAACATACTCCTCCACCGCACAGCCCTCTTCCGAAATAACCGTGCACATTGCCCCAACCTTTCTCGGAAGATTCTTTTTCGGGTCTTCTATCCGGCACAGAAAAGGCCGTCCATTTCCAAGCATGCGGACGTCGTAGTCCTCGCGCCCTCCAGACATAAACACGCACTTCGTGCCCCCAAAGTGCTTTGTGATGGGGTCCATCCAGTCGGAGACAGCCGGAATCCTCGGCTCGGGCGCTTCCGGGAGACCCTCCGCAGGCTTCTGCGCCCTCCTCCGGGGAGGCCTCGAGCCAAAGACCATCGGAGTGTTCGATATTCCCCTCTTGTTTTTCCTGTACCTCCCGCACACAAAGACAGGGTCGCTGGTTACCTCCACAGAAACAGAGTCTGGCCGAACCGTGATCTCAAACACGGTGCAGTACTCGCCAGCAGTTTGCCTCCCATATAAAGAGACAAGCTTTTCCTTCAGGTATTCCTTAAGCGTTTTTTCGGGGCTTATTTCCATCTCTGTTTCGTCCCGTATAGAAATCTGTGTGTTGTCGAAAAGGTCTCGGCCCGTGGTCTTTTCGGATATTTTGGCCAAAATTTCGCTGTAAATTTCTTCCGGATTTTTCCTTTTCATTTAAAATTAATATTTCCAGCTGCTTTAAATTGCCGAAATGATTCCAGAATTAAAAATCCAAATATTTATAGAAGTTTTTTTTTAAATACGCATGTCAAGACTCCTGAGGAGAACAGTTGCAGCAGCAATCGGAATACTAGGAATAGGTACGCCCGAGGTTCTTGCAGACGCGCAGGCAGGTGCCAGCAAGGTGGTTCTGGGTATAGACTTGGGAACTACAAATTCGGTTATATCGGTCTTTGATAAGGCCAAGAGCACGGTGGAGACTATCCAGATAGACGGAAAAGTGAGCATGCCCTCTTTCATAAAGATGGACATAAAGAAAGAGAGCGAGCTCCCAAAGAGCCTCGTAGAGCAGATGGACAAAATCCGAAAGGACTACAAGAAGGGAGACTACTACTACTACAACGGCATGTGGATCCTGAACTCCTTCAAGGGAAAGATCGACCCAATTGTGGGATGGCCTGCAATGGAAAAGATGAAGAACGAGAAGACCTCAGTGAGGAACTACCTGTACCGATTCAAGCCTCTTCTGGCCAGAAGCATGCAGGAGGACGCAGACATGGGGGTGATCGACACCACCAGGAAGAACGTGAAGTACGGGATAACCCAGAAGTACGACAGCGACATAAACAAGAAGGTGCTTGCAATTTCCATCACGGACGACACAGGAAAGGAGATCGCGTGGGTGACCCCGCAGAGCCTCAGTACGATGGTCCTGGAGGAGCTCAGGCAGAAGTTTGAGGCGCAGTGGTACAAGAAGGCCTCGGAGAGAACCGAGGAGGAGCAGGCCGAGGCAAAGCAGAAGAAGAAGTGCGTGGTCACAGTGCCCGCATACTTCAACATCGACCAGAAGGACCAGACGAGAGACGCAGCCGCATACTCTTTGCTCGACGTATACAGCGACGGAATTATCAACGAGCCAACCAGCGCAGCAATTGCCTACGCATACACATGCGCAAGGGCAAAGAAGCTTTCGGACCTCGAGGAGAAAAACTTCCTGGTCTTCGACTTTGGAGGAGGTACTCTGGATATGTCGTACTTGAACCTGGGAGCGGACAGCGACGTGCTCATCGTGGAGGGGCACGTGGGAGACAACTTCTTGGGGGGAGAAAACATCAACGACATAATATACCACGAGTTCCTGAAACAGCTTAAGAGCAAGTACGGAATAGAGTCCTCGTCGTTCCCCATAAACACCTCACTGAGGCTGCGGTCGCTTGTGGAGGAGATGAAGATCAGCCTCTGCAACAAGCAGAACGCCGTGGACGAGAAAATCCGAAAGGAGGCGCTCAGAAACAATATTAAGGCAGACTACAGCAAGACAAACGAGTCTGTGAAGGGAAGTTTGTTCATTGAAGACTCCGCAGGAAAACAGATGGACTGCGAGCTAGAGCTCACCGCAAACAAGCTGCAGGAGATATGCACACCAGTGTTCAACAAGATAATGGATCTGATAGACAACCAGGTAGACCAAAACTCAAACGAGGCCCAGGGGCTTATGCAGAAGCTCAAGTCCATCTCCAAGAAGACAGAGGTGAAGCAGATGCTGTACGTGGGAGGATCGAGCAGGCTCTTTGGCGTCAGAAGGCTGCTGCTCGAGCAGTTCCCGAACGCAGACCACTGCTTCGACCTGGACCCAGACACATGCGTGTCCGTGGGGGCAGCGTACTACGCAGCCTCGCTCGAGGGAATGATTGAGGAGGACAACTTTGTGGCGTTGGTCGACGTCCTGCCCATGAGCATGGGTATTCTCCTCGAGAACGACAAGTTCGGAGTGATTGCAAAGGCTGGAAAGCAGGTGCCAAATGTGTTCTACGAGCAGTTCATCACCACAACAGACGCACAGAAGTCCGTCAGAATAGTGGTGGGGCAGACGTCAACAGAGACCATCCGGTTCAGCAACACCAAGGTGGTTGGGACGTTTGACCTGAACATGCCAGAAAACAACCTTCCAAAGGGAAAGAAGCTTATCAGAGTCGTCTTTGACTTTGGTGTCGCTGGAGACATGGAGGTCACCGCGCACGAAGTCGCCGAGAACGGAGAGCTTATGCCAAATGCAGAGAAGATCACCATCAAGAAGGACAAGAGAAGACTTTCCGATGAGGAAATTAGAGAGCTCAATGAGAGGTACGAGAAGACCAAGGAGACCGAGGCCAAGTGGGCTGAGAGGTGCGACAAGATCGAGGAGGTGAAGGCCATTGTAAACGGCTTCAGAGAAGAAGCCAACAGGCTCCCAGACACCCACCCGAAGAAGAAGGTGCTCAACGACCTGTACAAAGAGGGAGACTACTGGATCAGCATGGAGGTCAAGGCCAAAGAGGACGTCAGCGACGAGGACATGATCCAGAAGATCCAGGAGAAGATGGCAGACCTGCAGGCAGCATACTCTGCGCTTTCGAAACTGGACGAAGAGAAGGGCAGCATGCCAACGCCTTCCGCAGGGGAAACAGAAGAAATCATCCCAAGAGAAGACCTTTAGTGTCGTCGACCCTAATAAAGATCGACTGTTTGAATTTCAGCGCTTTCTTGTTTTGCACGCCCTGCTTCCGTAATGGACACACGCACAGGGGCCGTGCGGAGATTTTCAGCATCTGCCGAGGCACAGCCTCAAAGTACAGCATGGAACCCCCTGCGCCGTTTACGCTTGATTTTCATCGCTGGAGGCCGGCCAAGCATGTATGTGCACGGCTCCAGTGTTTCTGCAAACACTTTCAGAAAAAGCATCCGCTTTCTGTGGGAAATCGGATAGAATAGATAAAAATCAGCGTGAAAAAATGCAGTTTATTCTGTGTAAGAGCGTCTATGCGCATACATATAAATATGAATTTCCAGTGATTGATTTATTTTTTTATTTATCAAACTAAATTTTTATGCAATACGACTACTACCAAGACAATAACGGCTATGGATACAATTACTACAATGCTGCCCCCGCATACAACTCATATTCATACACGCCCCAGCCAGCAATGACTGAGGTGAACATTCAGTACATAGAAGAAGATTACGTTCGGCCAATGACTGAGGAAGAAGCTATTGTTGTGGGCATTGTGGTTATAGCCTTTATTATTATATTATTCGTGTCAGAGCTAGTTATATTTATCAAGAAGATGCTAAATAGCAGAAAAATCCGAAGCCCCACAACGGCAACAGCGTCGAATGCGCGGACATCATCAACTTATAACAGTGAATCGAGCTATTCAAATTATAAGCCAGAAAAAAGTGCATATGCGTCTGAGTATGACTACACTTCCAACTCGCCAAATTATAATCCGACAGCGCCCATGGAAGAAAGCAACTCGTCGTACCCCAACTGCCCCCCTCCTCCATACAGCAGCGTGTGGGATGGGCCTTCGCATGGAAGCAATGCCGAAAAAAGCTTTGCATACACAGACATGCCGCAGACAAGCACAACATTCACTCCGCCGGCGCCAGGGTTCAGGCCTATGGGATTCCCTACGCATGCCTTCCCAGCGACGGGTCCAGCCCCAATTCCGACCGTGAGAGTTGCCGTTCCGCCTGTGAGGCCAATGGCACCCACCGGGAGAAGAATAGTCAACGTCAGCACGAAAGTTCCTGTTGGCACAAAACTTAATGTTAACATTGTGAAGAAGCCCACACATGCTGCAAGGTCAAGATCCGATCTGAAATCAGCGGTAAATGGCGCGAGTCTCATTGGGGGATATGCTTTCAGCCGGGTGAATAAAGCTTTTTGCAGCGACAGCGTAGAAGAGTAGAAGTTCTTGGCTTGGTGCACGCATAGCTTTGCAAAATGGGCGCACGCCCAGTGGCAGTCACTTGCTAATTAAAGTTCTCTTTACGACATTTATTTCTGGGCAGAGGCTTTCTGCGGATCTTCGACTATTTATATTTTTTTGGCTGTGCATGGCTGGGATGCGCTGCACAAGGGCGCGCTCTATTTGAAAATGTCGCTTATTTCGTCCCTTTCTGTGCTTTCGTCCGGACACTCCACAACGTACGAAGCAAGGCCCTCCGCAGACCTGCCCGTAAGCGCCTTGGAAAGGCTGAAAAGACGCGCCACTGTCGCCATCAGCCCTATGGCAAGCCCTATGTTGTGCCCGAGCGGAATGCTGCTGCTCATCAAAATATACGCTTCTTTGCATCTTTCCTGCGCATCGTCCAGCAGAATCTTCTTTTTTTTCGACGCTGCACTTTCAGACACATACTTGCGAAGCGCCCTCTGCACGTGCACTGCCTTTCTGTAGTACAGAGTGCTTCTGTGCGCGTTTTTGCTCTTGTACAGAATCCTGTCCAGAGTTTTCAGCTCGCCCACAAACGCCTCCATAAATATTTTGCTGTGCAGAAAATAAATAGTGCCGTCTGCTCCTAGCCGGAAGCACCGAACACCCGCACTTGCACGCCCTGAAACCTTTCCCTTCCTCGCAGCACAGTTCCGGCTGCCTGGAGGCCGTGTGAGAAAACGCCTGTTTATTTGTCTGCGTGGGAAACTGCGCCAGACACGCTGGAGACCATCCTGGCTATGTGTATCTCGTCTGAGCCGCCGCTTAAAATGTCTCCCTCGCACTCCCCCAGGAGGACCAGGGCTTCAAGGACCTTCCGGGTTTTCAGAACGTGCTTTTCCAGGTGCTCCACCACGCCCTGCAGAATGTCCCTTGCAGAGTACCCCTGCCTGGCTATTCTTCTCGACAGGTCCAAAATGTCTTGCGTCGTCTCTGCGCGCACAATGCTTTCGATAACTTCTGTGGGAACCCTCCCAGAAATCTCTTCTATGATGGCCCGGTGGCTCTCTGCGGGTGCCTTGCACGAGCCCACAGTCTGCAGAAGCACAAGAGCCCTCCGCATGTCTCCCCCCGATATTTCCAGGATGTATTTGACGTTTTCCGGCGAAACCCCCAGGCCCTCGCCCTCCCGCACTTTCTCCAGAATCTGCAGGCTTTCCTCCCTCCCAGTCCATGGAATGTGCACAGAGACCAGCCTGCTCTTAATAGGGTCTATCACTTTGTTGATGTAGTTTGTTATAAATATAAACCGGGTGTTTTTGTGCGTGTCTTCAATGATTCTTCTGAGGCAGTGCTGGGCGTCTGCAGTAAGATACTCGCACTCGTCCATTATGATGATCTTCACCTCCCCAGAGTGCGCCTTGCTGGAGGCAAACGACTTTATTTTCCCCCGAATTGAAGAAATTTCTCTGTCGCTTGACGCATTCAGCTCCAGGACGCTCTCTTTCCGCGTGAGGGCGCCAGCCAGTATGAGCGCCAGCGACGTTTTCCCGCTGCCAGGAGGCCCGTACAGCATGAGGTTCGGAAGCGCGTTCTTCCCCGTCAGCAAAGACTCAAAGAAGTCTCTCACCTCCGAGGGCAGCGCCATCTCCTGCAGCGTCGCAGGCCGGTACTTCTCCGTCCACATAATATTCTTCATAAAAAATTATTTCAAGATGCCTTCCTTTATTGTGTTCTTCTCTTTCTCTTCTCCGAGCCCTTTGAAATGACACGCGGCCTTGCCGGGTTTGCGCTGTTGCTTGCTGCTCCAAAGTACTGGTACTGCTTTCTTATCTTCTGAGGAGCCTGGAAAATGACCATGTCGCTTGGCGTTGGGGCGACCTTAAATATCTCGTCAAGCTTGTAGACCTGTCCGCCAAACTTCTCTATCTTTTCCTTTGCCTTCTGCGAGATTCCCAGACACGCAACTCTAATAGGCCAGGAAAGCTCCACCACGCTGTCGTCTCCCACTATTTTTGCAACTACAACAGCCAGCTTGTCTTGGCACGGGGCTGTGTACTTTACCAAGTTCTTCATCGTCATAACAGATCTCTGTGTGATTGGCTTCTTTATAAAGTGTGCTATCTTTCTGTACTCTGGGTGCGTGGTTCTTCTGGCCACTGCGCTGAACAGCTCGAACAGGCTGTGTATCTCGGCGTTCTTTGTGACTGGAGTCTTCCTTCCTCCTCTTATTTTAACTGGTTTGCCTAGCATGGGTTAAAATTAAAAGAAAATAAAATACGAAAATTATTCCAGCTTAAAGACTCCATTGCGCACTGTCTTGTTAATGAAGAAGCGCGCGTGCTTTTCTTCTTTTCCGCCTGCCACGTACAAGGAAGACCCGCTTTGTAAAAAGGCGTTTGGGATTGCATTCACACACATCGTTTTTTTGATGCTAGCTGTTTCCTCTATCTGGATGTCCAGAATGCGCCCGTCGGAGAGGCCCACCAAAGCCCTCTTCGCAGAGAGCACGGAGAGCGCGGAGACTCCGGACTCCGGCAGCTCCAGCGCCTGGTCTGGCTCTGTTCTGTTTATGTTGAAAATGTACAGAACATTTTTGTCTGACACAACCACGAAGCGCTCGTTGTCCAGAAAAGCGCCCAGCACAGCAAATCCCTGCTTTAGATGGAAAAGAAGCTGCGTGTCTTTCTCCAGCCGGAAAACGCGAATGGTTTCCGAGATCTCTGACGTGCACAAAAGAAGCCTCTTGCCTGCGGAAAGCGAGGTAGACTTTATCGGCGTGGTGGGCCCGTACAGGGCTTTCAGAAAGAGAAGGTTTACTACTTTCGCGCCCTTGAACTCGCTTATGTCGAGCTTCCACACAAGCACCTTTCGGTCTGCCGAGGCCGTTAGGACCTCTGTCTCATCGTTTTCTGTCTTCACGGTGTGTATGGAGATAATTTGGGCACTGTGTCTTTTTGCAAGCTGTTTTCCTCTTTTGTCAACAACCACTCTAATTTCTCCCTTCCGGGTGCCAATCAGAAGAATGCCCTCAATGTGGCAGATCGCGGTGGCTGCTGACGTGTTTCTAGAGAGCACTTTTTTTGCCATTGTTTCCATGTTGACGCTGCACACCTCGCCCGACTTGTGCGATACTGCGAGCATGCTGCCGTGCATGCACAGTGCAGTTGGCGGGGTCCTTAGACTGACAATTGGCGCGGTTTTCTCTACTTCTTCGCTGCGCATAAAAAAAGAGAATATTTTTACACTAAAAAGAGAAGAGGCCGCAAAGTCCTTGAGTGGTCTCTGCCCGAAAAACTCTTCTCACAGAAAATGGGCAGACGCGCTCTAATCGGTTGTTAAATGCATTTGCAGCTGCACCAGGACATAATTCTGGCGCAGACAGTTTTCTTCGGGCTCTCCGCTGTACGTCTATGCACGCCTGGGCTTCTGTGGAGTGTGCAGGACCACTGCTGGAAAGGCCTGCTGCGTACTTACTTATCTTAGCAGGCATGCGACAATGCCCCGGGAAGTTCCACACTAGAAGCCCAGGCGCGCTTTTGGCTGCTCTGGCGAACTCGTGCTGAGAAAGCAGCGCGCATACAGCAGGTAAAGCATAAATGGAAATTTCTGCAGCACAGCGTTTCTGCGCTTACTGCGTGTGCATTTTTTCGCTTGGGGCAAGATCTTCTTTCTTCTGGGGGTATTGCATGCGCCTTATTCTGTTTTTTTATTTTTATTCGCATGTGCTCAAGTGATCTAATCGGAAAACTATCGGGGTGTGCTTTGGCTGGGGGCAGTGCTTTTCTGGCCTCTCTGTTCAACAGCACCTTTCTTATTCTACTCCCTGTTATACTCGTGCACATATTCTCAAGCTGGTACAACAAAACAGCAAAAAACACGCGCCTGAAGAGAGTGCTTGTTGTCATAGAGGTTGTTTTCTCCATTTTAACAATGCTTGGATATTTCATAGTCAGCAACGCGGTCTTTGCTTTGCTTCCTGGGGTGGGCAAGAAAAAAGAAATGGCCATGCCCATGCTGGCGGCCCTCTACGCATACTTTGCGCTGTACTCATACTACACAGCATATATAATATACAGCTACCTGGACCAGGACACGGCAGAAGATGACGACTCTTCCGACGCAATTCGCTACAACCAGCTGAAAATGCTGCGCCGAGAGCTCATGCAAATTTAGCCAGATTTTTTTCTGCTTTTCGGATGTCCAGTTACAATAAGAGGCTTAGAGAAAACTACCTCTCGAACCGCAAATCGGACGAGCGAGAGAAAATGATCGGGCAGAACCTGCACTCATTTGAGGACCTGGCGGGGGTTGAGCGCCAGGAGAAAGAAATAGCTGAGGCTCTCCAGATGCCGCTGGCGTTTTCCAAGTACTACAAAATGGTGGGCGTAGAGCCTTCCACGGGAATAATAGTGCACGGGCCGTGCGGCTGCGGGAAAACAGCCTTTGCGCATGCTGCAGCAAAGAGCGCGCGGCTTCCTGTGTTCTCTGTGACAAGAAGCGACTTTGTGGTAAAGGGGAGTGCAGAAGACGGCGCAGCGGCAATTCTGGAAAAAGCCGAAATGCATGCGCCGGCGGTTCTGCTAATAGACGACATCGACCGGTTCTGCAAAAAGATCGAGGGGCTGGAAAACGAGTCAGACAAAAGAACCGTGCTTCGGGTGGTTGACTTTATCAGCAGCCTGCCGGAGAATGTGCTTGTCATTGCCACAGCCACGTCGGTTGACGAAATAGACCCTCTTCTGAGAAGGGCTGGGCGCCTAGAAAGGGAAATAAAGCTGCTGGTCCCCACAGAAAAAGAGAGAAGCAAGATCATACAAAAGCTGTTTTCAAAGACCAAGCACCAAGGCTTGGTCTACAGCGAAATAGCAAAAAAGACGCCAGGATATGTGGGCGCAGACATCAAGCTTCTTGTCACGGAGGCAGGCCACTCTGCAGTCAAGAGGTTTGTGGAGGAGGGAGGCTGCTCCTTTCCGGAACAGGCCGGCTCTCCTGTGATCATGCAGGACGATGTAAATACCGCGCTTTCCAAGGTGCAGCCTGTTTCGAAGAAGGAAGGCTTTACAACGGCCTCGGACATTTCTCTTGACGACGTTGGCGCCATGTATAATATCAAGAAGATACTGGAAATGGCAATAATACAGCCTTCGCTGTACCCCGAAAGATTCCTGAAGGTGGGGATCCAGAGGCCTGCCGGAGTGCTTCTGCACGGGCCGCCCGGAACGGGAAAGACCATGCTTGCACGCGCGATCTCAAGCAAAACGCACTGCAACTTTATTTCTGTGAAGGGCCCCGAGCTTATAAGTATGTACTATGGGGAAAGCGAGAGGGCGATCCGAAAGCTGTTTTCCAGGGCAAAGGCTTCCCAGCCGTGCGTGATATTCTTTGACGAAATAGACTCGATCTGCCGAAGAAGAGACGCGGGGGCAAGCAAACACGGAGACACTCTTGTAAACCAGCTGCTGATAGAAATGGACGGGCTGGAAGAAAGGGGCGCAGTCTATCTGATCGGCGCCACAAACAGAATAGACATCATCGACAGAGCGTTGCTTCGCCCGGGAAGATTTGACAATATTATAGAAGTGCCTCTTCCAACGGCCGAGGAGCTCGTGGAAATACTCGCCAAAAAGCTGGCCAAGCTCTCAGTGGACTGCTCGGTTGACCTGCGCTCTCTGTACCTGGAAGGCCTCACGGGCGCACAGATCGACCTGCTTATTCGAGAGGCCGGAAATGTGTGCCTGCAGTTCACCCCTGTTGAAAAAGACCCGATTATTACACAGGAGCACTTGGCATGCGCGCTGGAAAGGCTGCGCGAGAAGTGCCTGCCTCTGCAAAAGTAGGAAATAAACATTCGATAAACTATGTGCGCAGAGCCTCTTTTCCCCGCCTGCAGCCAGGGTGTCTGCATTTTGTGCTGGATCTGGCTGTGCGGTGCCTTTCTGCGCGTGCGCAGTTTTGGGAATCTGGTAGGTTGGGTTTAAATAAACTTTATTGATGCCTGAGCGTTACAGATGTTCTCTATGATCTGTCTGCAGTTCTTGCTTTGCTATTTATACTGGGTTTTGCAGATGCTTCATCGTGTTTTCTCAGTATGGCATGGGGTTTTCGCACATCTTATACATAAGCACCATTCCTGCAAAAATGCCTGTCAGCGCGCCAATTCCCCCGTGCCTTAGCGCATTTTTCCATGCGGCACTGGGCTGCTGCACCGGCAGCGCTTCTTTTTCTGGCTCCTTTTTGTACTCGGGCGCAGGCTCCGCCTGTAAGCATGATATTGGAATGGCCGAGGGCTTTTTTGCAAGGGTGCTGGACAGCTCGTTTAAAAGCGTGAGGATCTGGCTGTTGAAGTTTGCCTCGTATGTCTCCAGCTTTTTCACCCGCTCTGCAGCCACTTCATTCGCAGGGTGGTGCACCTCTGACTTTTCGCTTTTCTCTATGATCTGGTTTATCCGCGAGATTATGTCGCTGCACTTTTCGTTTTTCTGCGCCCTTGGCGGGATTGCCCAGTTTATGAACGAGTCCCTTTGTGGAAGAATGTTTGTGTTCCTCATCCCTCGAATCTCTTTCAGCTCCTCCAGCCGCCGCTGCCGCTCGTGCTTTCGGTCCTGAATAAACTTGTCTGTCACCCCGATGTTTATGTCCAAAGAGCACTGGGTCTTCTCAGCAAGATTGTTTGCGCCTTCCTCCACGTCCTCTAAAATGCTTTTGAACTCGTACTGTGTCTCGTCCTGCGCAATCTCTGGGAGTATGATTGTGTTGTTTGTGTCCAAGTCGTACGGGGGCGTGTCCTTGAACGTGCTCTCCAGATCGCACAGATTCACTCTGTTTGTTCGGGCAGAGTCTATAATAACCTCAATAAGCTTTTTCATTATTTTTTTGCCCACTCTTATTCCCCTATGCTCGTACATCTTTCTCTTTACATCGCCCAAAATCTCGTGATTTCTAATGGGAATGTTCAGCAAAATAGGAAGAGAGTCCAGAGACAGAATAAGCCTTTCTATCGGCTGCTCCCTCTCTAGCCCGTACATCTTGTTTATAAACTCGTCTATATACTTGTTTCGGTCTGCCATGAGTTTATTTGCTTGCACAATAAAAATATTTCAATCTTCCGCGGGCTTAAATTGCGCAAACGCCTATCCGCGCAGTAACCCAAAAACACGCGCTGAAAAATAGCACGCGCACGCTTTCATTAGTACAGATTTTGTCTATTTATTTAAAACCGCAAACACTACCAATGCTATAAGAATCAGGACAAATATTCCGGCCACCATGCAGGCCCCCTTTTTCACTGTGTTTTTCTTGCGCAAAGTCTTTAGGTCGTTCACAAACTCCTCGTGCATGTACACTATAAAGGCCGACATCTCGTCGGTTTTATAGTCGTTCTTTAGCTCCATGTACCGGCTTATTTCATCCACAGTGACGACATAGTACGTAGACTCTCCTACCTTTATGTGCTTTCTTCCCATTCCGTCCTTCGCCTTCAGAATGTCCACCACGCGCTTCTTGACATCTGAAGCTTTTTCCTCCGCGGACGGCTTCTCGGCCGCATCGCCCTTTGCTTTCTCGGCGGGGGCCTCTGACGTCTCTGGCTTTGTTGGTGGTATGCTTTCCTTTACCGTTGCGCTTGCTGTGCTTGCTTCTCCTGGCATGCACACCCTGTGTGCCCTGCTCTTATACACAGGGGAAAATCGAAGTGGCCAATCATTTACTGGCCTGTCATATCAAAAAACCCCTATGTTCTAGAAAGAGCCTGCACGGGGCAAAAACTTGCTCCTTTTGCAAGGGCACCTTCCAAAGGCGGGGTGCATTTATGGCAAACTTTGGGATAAGTTTTTTATGCCACAGGAAGAAAAACAGAGGTATAGGCCGGAGCAGAAAAAGAAGCTGCCGCACAGCATAGACTCTATCTCTTTGGAGCAGGACGAGCTGGGCATAGAAAACATCCGCCTAATAGACTATGGCGGAAAGGACGACGAAATATTCAAGGACCTTTCGATGGACGACGCCGAAAGCATAGACGACTTGGACATAACCAAAATATACGAGAACGAGCTGGAGCAGAGCAACGATGAGCTAGAGATTGGGGAGGAGGACCTGCGAAAAATCCGAGGGTTTGAAGAAAGCGTGAACGGTAAGGGCAAGGCAAACACGCACATGTTCGGGTCTTTCTACCCAAACGCGGACACAGGCTACAGAGTCCCCGACTTGAACAGCGACGTGGACAACGACATATGCAAGGAAAACATAAGGAAAATATACAGCTATCTGGGGGAAGACCAAAAAAAAGAGGAGGAGATGCAGGTTGAGATTGAAAAGACTCTCGAGTATATCCGAAGCATAAAAGGCTCAGAGCCTAAGGATGGCCTATAATAAATGCGCCACTGTAAGTTATACAGATTCAACCTATTTTCTATTTTCAGCGCGCACACATGCTCCGCATGCCTCTGGGCTTTTGTGCGTGCTTGTTCAACTCTGCGCTGCTTGGGCAGCCTCTAGCAAAAAGAAAGGGTACGCAGACAGAAAAATAAACGTATAGTATAATATTTTAATTGTTTAACCCAAGACTGCCATTCCGCAGATGCTATTCAGATGCGGCCTTCAGGCTATGCAGGCGGCGTCTTGCAGGTGCAGGAGTGCATCTGGTGCATATTTGAGTCCGCTACGAGCCTACATGTCTGTGCTGGCATCTGAGCTCCAAAAAGTTTCAAGCAGTCTGCCTTTCTTTCCGGTGCTGAAAAAGCAAAAGAAATCAGCACAGCCCAAAGTATGTGAGAAACTGCATGCATTGGCATCTTTATTATTGGCAGTTATGCGCGCCTGCTGCCCAGGCTGGCACTTGGCTTTTCGCGCTCTAGTTTAGCTGCGCTGCTTACTTGCTTGAAGCGGCGGCCTTCTTTGGCTTGCTCTTTTTCTTGTGCCTTTTGTTTGTTGGTCTTCTCTGCATCATAGCGTCTGCCTTCATCTTGGTCACAGTTTCCTTTCTGGAAGCCTCTCGCTCCTGCGTGATTTCCTGTATGCGGGCCTGCCTGTGTCTTTCCTTCTCCTCCTTCATCTGCTGCACCTTGCTTGAGAGCGTGCGGAGAAGCTTCAGCTTCTGGATGGTCTCCGTGGAGCCCGTGATTACCTCTTTTTCTGCCTCCATTTTCAGCATAGAAACCGGGGCTCTTTCCAGTATGGCCCAGGGAATGGGCTTGTCCTTCGGCAAGGTGGGCTCTGCAACCTCCCCGTACGCACTGCTGGGCTTGCTCTTTAGAGAAATTCCCTTCTCATCCCGGATTTCCTTCAGCAGCTTTATTTCTCCGGAGTCTGCAAAGTTTTCCGCGTTCAAATACACCTTCATCGGGGTGATCGGGAAGAAGCACGGAAGGAATATTATTTCGCTCATCAGTATCTGGCCCTCAAACGAGGCTCTGAACTGCCCCTTTTCGCCGGCTTTTTTGACTTGCCCTCTGAGGCCGCTCACTGTTTTCAGCATTGCCCCCTCGTATCGGGCAGCCTCTTCCTGCGTGTGGAACATGTCCTTGACAAAGACTGTGTGCCCCTTGATTTTCTCAGGGTATCCAATCAGCTTCAGCTTCTTCATGATTCGGGGCTTTCCGCCGACTTCAGACTGCACGCCGTTTGCTGCTATCCGGAAGTTTTTGTCTTTTCCGAACTTCCTCAGAATTGTGAAGCTTGTGCCAGGCGGGTGCGTTGGCGCATAGAAAGAAATGTTGCACGTCATGCTGTCCGGAATGTACTTGAGCATTCTGTTTCGCACTGCGTCTTTCATCGAAAACACTGGGCACGTCTGGAACCTCCGCCAGCCCATTGACACATAGTGCGCCTCCTTTGTTTTGAGCGTCTTCTTAAACCACTTGTGCCTCTTCACTCTTCCCTGCACAAACGTCATGGACAGCTCTTCCTCCTTGTTCGCGCCAAGAATAAATATGTTCTCGGGGGTGTACACGTCGGCAACAGCGGCAGGCAGCAGCATAAGGACCTTCACGTACCTTCCAGGGGGAACCCCCTCCAGATGCTCCTTTGCGCTGTCCGAGTGTTTTTCCAGCAGGGCGTGCGTGGTCTCTTCGGCATCCTTCACCTTTTCTCTCTCCTGCGCAAATATGTCCCGCCTGTCCTTCTCCTCCTCTTTGTATCTGTCGTTAAACCTTTCAATGTAGTCCTCCTCTGTCTCTTTTTTTGTCTTGAACATCATCCGAACGGCCGCCTCATCCAAATGGTCGCTTTCCTCGTCTGAAACATAGTCAATGGACATGGCAGTGCTCTGCGCGCTCCCAGGCTTTTCCCGCATTTCCTCGTCGAGCGAGTCTTCGCTGTCTGTCACACAGTTCTCAGGCACTTCCTGCGGTGCTTCCTCCGGCGCGCCTTCAGGCACCTCTGGCTCGATCGTGAATTTTCCAGACGGCTCTCCAAACAGAGAGAAGGGCTTTTCTGCCAGCGCATTCCCGTACTCTGGAAGCTTTTCCTCTTCCTTTGGCTTCTTTATGTCTAAATATACAGCGTCCTTTTCCACCAGCATTCCCCGGATGTCACTCATTGGGGCGTACAGCGGCTTTTTTCTTTCGCTAAGCTTCTTCTTCTGCTCATTCTTCAGCGGGCACGGATCGTTGACCACCTGCATGCTCTGGGCCGGATAGTCTCCAATCCCAGGCAGGTGGAAAACAGTGCCCTTCTTCAGGGCGGTTCCGCCCCGCACGTACCCTGAGAGCGAGAATATCTTCATTCCCTCGGGGACATGCGCGATTTCTTCTGCTTGCTCCTCAACTGCAACCTGGTCAGCGACAATGTACGGATGCGACGCCCTCCACTCAAAGGGCCGGTACTTCATTTGCGAGATGTGTCTTGACGCGTTCAGCACGTCTTTGTCCAAGTACCTTCCGCCAACAGTCTTCGACATGGGGAGAACCTTTATTCCGTCGCACACCTCCAGCCACAGCCGCCTCTTCAGCTTTTTCATTGTGGCCCTCTGCTGGGAGACGCCCTTGACCGTGTCCAGCTTGGTGACTACGCAAAGCAGTTTGGGAAACCCGTGCGTCTTCAGAAGGTTGAGCATTTCGAAGGTTTCTATCTCCAGGCCGACCTGGGCGTCTATAATGAGAATCACCAGATCAGCAACCTTTGCCGTGTCTGCCATCACAGGAAGATCAGCAGGACACTCGTAGAAGCTGAGCCTTCTGGACTTTGCAGCAGTAAGCGTGACAAGCCCGTTGATTTTTTCTATCTTCTGCTTGCTGTAGCAGCGCACAACAGAGTTCATGAAAAGCGTCTTTCCAGATGATGGTGGCCCAAAAATAACGACAAGCGGGGGCGGCGAGTCCACCCCGTACGACCGCATAACGATGGGAGTCTGGTACTTTCTCTCGTCATACTTTACTTTGTTTATTGCAGAGAATTTCTTCAAACGCTTCTCTTTTTTCTTTGGCTGCGCTTGCTCTTTGAAACTTTCTGGCATTCACTGCGTAAAAATTTGCAGCTTTGCCCGAAATAAAATGCAGCCGCACAGCTTTGCGCCAGCAAAGTCTATTTATGCAAATACTTTTTGCAGGCTATGTACAAAGAAAAACCCGCAGAGAAAAGGATAAACACCGAGCTGGTGAGATATGTTGTCAGCACAGCGGCTGTTTCGCTCGGAATGTCTTTCGGCGCATACTCCCCTGCAGCCCTGATGAACATGCACTCTTCCCGTCTTTTTATGACTGCGCAGGAAACATTCGAAAAGTGGAAGTACTCGGGGCTGGACGCGGTGCAGACAGCTGCATCTGCTAGTAGCATGCTGGCGTCTTGCTCTGTCCTTTTGGCCGGAAAGACACGGGTCTCGAATTTTTTGGAGTGCACACACCTTGCCGTGGAGGCAGCAAACAGAATCGAGCAGTGCGTGCGCGTGTGGCGAATATTTAGAAGAACGCCCAGCGAGAGAAAAAAGACCATTTTGAGCATGCACAGGAAAGCTGTGGCGTGCATGGCGATCTCTTTGGTGGAGCTTATTTCGTTCTCTCTGGGGGTGTGGCCTATTTACTTGGCAGTGAACATTTTGAAGGCGGCGCACTTCCTGCTGGACGCGTATGACGGGAGCGAGTGTTTCCAGGCAAGGAAAGTGTATGATGCAATCAAGTCGTGCGTTGCATAGAGACTGCTTTTAAGCCATCAAAACATGCCAACATATACGCGTGTGTATGCATTGTGATGGAATGCCTTGAAGAAAAGGAGAGCAGAATAAATCTGGGAAAGCCTGCGAAGGGAGAGGATGCAGCGACAGAAAAAACCGGCTTTGTGGAAATGCTCAAACGAACAGTGGACGGGTGCGGGGTTGTTTCGGCGGTTGTTGTTTCGGCGCTGGTGCTTGTGCTTCCCCGGCCCGCATACTCGTGCTATTTGCTGGGGGTGCTTTCTGCGGCCTTTATGAAGTGCATTTCCTGCATAGACCCGCGAATAGGAAGAACCATTCCCCTCTTTGGCCTGGGACTGGACATGTTTATGTGCAAGCCGTGGAATATTATTCTGGTGAGCGTGGCTGCTTTGCTTTTTTCTCTTATGGTTACGCGAATAGTTGTTGCGCGCACCAATGTGGACATATACTGCACCATTCTGTGCACTATGGTGTATCTGGCGCTTCTTTTGCAGATGGACATGTTCCTGGAGGTTGTGATATCCCCCAGCCAGACACTCCACCAGCCTAGCATGCAGGAGGTGTATAGGCTGTGCGCAGTTATGGTGAAGATGTACATGGGAGTGGCCACAGTTATGTCGCACATGTACATATACAATGCAATGCAGATGATGGGAGCGGGCGTTCTAATGAACACTCTGAATTTGCTGGCGTCTGGGCTGTTTTTAGTAGTCGCAAGAGCCTTGTACTATATACTCGCAGAAGAGCATGCACACCTTCTAAAGTACTCTCATATTATGATCCGGGCTTCCATGTAGATAATTGCATGCCTGGAGGGCGCTCTTCTGAAAAGCGCCCGCAGCTTTGGCAGCCTGCTTGCGGAAAGGCCTGCAGCAGAGACAAGAGGCAGCCTGTGCAGTGCCCGGCCCATGTGCAGATAAATAAATTTAGGGATTGAAAATGCTGAGTGCAAGCTCCAGATTGGCCTTTGGGATTTGGCTTCGGCCTGCTTTTGTTTGCTTGTTGTTGCCCTGGGCATGCGCCCTGCACATGGAAGGCTTTTTGGAGCTTGGGCGGCGTGTGAACGGCAAATAAAGACTCTGCTGCCAGCGCACGGGGCTTTGCTCATTTGCTCAGCGGAGTCTCCTAGCAGCCAGCACAGCAGGCCTGAAAGGCCTATAAATGAGGCTTTCTTCTTTTGGATAACGCGCGATTCGTGGCATTTGACTTTCCACATCTCGCTATGTCATGCAAAGGGACACGCTCATTTTGCAGACGGGCCAATGCGAGGCCTTTTGTGCGCAGAGCATATGATGCTGATTTCAGGCAAAGACATCAAGGGCAGCGGGCAGGCGGACCGGAGAAATGCTTCTATGCGCGAATAAACGGGATTAAGACAGAAAAACTGCCACCGGGGCCTTTATGCTCCGGAAAGCTCGGTGCGCCCATTGGTTCGCAGAAAGCTCTATTTATTGGGCAGCCCCCATACAAGAAGAGAAAGATCGAAAATAGCATGTCTGAATTGCTGGAATTCCTAAACAAAGCCAAAACAACAAACGAAACAATATCGGGCCTTTTTGAGTGTGTGTCTGTGGCAGACGCGCTGAGAAGCAAAACAAGGCAGACGGACGAGCGCCAGCAGCTGCAAATATCGGAGGCGATGGAGAATCTCTGCAAAGACTTCAAGTCTCGCACATTCGTCATAAAGAAGGACCTTGACAAAATGAAGGCGGAAAACGAGGGGCACCTGGACCGGTACGGGTTTGACAGAGGCTTTTCCACACGGAACAACTTTCTGCAGAACCTTGCCAGAAGGCTTACGCTGGTCATGCAGGACTTTGGGCGCGTGCAAAGCGGCTTTGCAAGCATCCAGAAAGAAAGGCTAAGAGAGCAGTACCTGATAGCAAATCCGCATGCGACAGAAACCGAGCTGAAAAGCCTTGAAGAAAAAGAGAAAGGGAAAGTGCTCCTGCAGTCCGCGTTCACGCTAGGAAATAAAACCGTGAAGGAGGCTCTCCTCTTGGCAGAAAAGCGGCGCACATCAATAGAGGCCCTGCTGGACGGCATTTCTGATCTGAAGGACCTGGCCGACGACTTCTCAGGCATTGTGCGGGACAACTCGTGCGCAATGGACAGGGTGCACTTGGGCGTGAACGCCGCCAATGTCCAAGCAAAGACCGCCCACGTCATAATCAAAAACTCTTCCAAAAGAACAATACAGATGCAAAAGGCCAAAAAGTCGCTCACCTTGTTCTGCACTTTTGCCCTTTTTGTTTTCGTGCTTTTTATGGTGTGCAAACTGACCCACTAGGCGTAATAGACTGCTAGAAACAATACCGCGACGGCAAGCAAAAGCTACCATGCGATGGGCTTCTATGCGCAGCTGGCGCTCAGGCGGCACTTCTAGGGCCTGTTTTGCAGTGGAATCGCGCATCTTTGCTGCCAGGCTGGCCTGTGCCAGCGAGCATCCGCGAATCCCATAGACCTTCGCACACCGCCAGCGCATTGCTTTTGCAGGCGCATTCGGCGTGGGCTCCTTCAGATGCTCATGCAGCAGGCATATCGGTGCTTTTCGTGGCGGCTGGCCAGGCCACGCTGAACAGGCGAATAAATAGAATGGGCTGATTTGCATTGTTTTTGTCTTTGTGGGGCGCGCGCTGGGCCTGGCGTGCGGCTTTTTGGTGATTTGGCTTTATAGCTTAGGCGCTGTAATAAAATATTTTTTATGCTTGAAGCAACCCGTAGAAAGTATGTCTCTCAGCAAGGCATAGTCACGCTACAGAGTGTAATGAAAAAGCCGGAGTGTAAAAGAGGCATAAAGGCGGTGCAGAAGTGCCTTGTCAAAAAGAACGAGGGGGTTGTTATCTTGGCTGCAGACGTAACGCCGAGTGATTTAATTAGCCACATTCCTGGCCTGTGCATGGAAGGAAACACGCCGCTTTTCTACATAAGCAGCAGGTTTGACCTGAGGACAGACAAGGACAAGCCCACCACGTGTCTGTTCATCCCCAAGGGTCTTCTTTCAGAAAGCGACGCCCAGAGCCTACAATAAACGGATAAGTTAAAGCAAAGCACAATAAAGCTACAATAGAAATACGCAAAGTTATAAAACGCACTTTATTTGTTGCCTTTTAGTTCTTTTGCCTTTTCCAGAAGAGAGTTCAGCAAATTCTGCCCTCTTTTCTGCGCATTAAGTAAGAAAGATCTAATACAGTTGCAGTACTCACATTTGTCCATCGTGATCTTGAGTTTGTCATAGCCAGGAATTTTCTCCAGAACTCCAGAAACGCCAGTGCACATGCAGCAGAGCATTTTCCGGGCTATGGCGCACCCCCCTATAAGAAGAATTTCCACCCGCAGCATTGCAAGCTCCGCTGTTCTTTTGGCTAGTATGAAATACTCGTTCTTGAATACCCCCTGTAGCTCAGGCATATTGCTTACTTTTTCGGCCATAGAGCCGATGCAGCCAGAATAGAATCCAGCATACAATATTGCAATAATCCCCACCAAAATAGCAAGGCATCTGAATCTGTTGCACTTTGCCTTTCTAACAGGCTTGGGCGCTTTGGCTTGCTGTGGCTTTACAACCTTCCAATTTTTCATACAAAAGAAAAAAAAGTCGCACTTAAGATAATTTATCTCCAGTTTTTCCCAGAGCTTAGAAGCTTCTTTAAATTTTCCTCGGCAGCGTTCTGCTTGCACTCGGAGATGTTCTCGCAGGAATGTCCTTCAGGAATCGAGTGCTTTATGCAAAAGGACTTCGTGCAGAACTTGCACTTCATTTCAGAGGCTGTATTCACTCGGTTTTTGCACTTTTCAATGTGGCATTTGTTTTTTATCCCTATGACCGAAATCATCGGGGGTATTTGTGAAAAAATCTGATCCACCGAAGTAATTGGCTTCTTTCCAATTTCCAGCCTGACACAGGAGAGGCCAAACGCCTCGTGCGCCTTTCTTTTTATCTCTGCCAGGATGTTTTCTGTCCCCTCCACGGTAATAAGCTTTTCGACGTAGTTGTACACCAGCCCTATGGAAATAGTTCGGTTTATGCACGGTGCCTCGCTTGCCTCTTTGTGTGCTGTTGTTACTGCGGGCTCACTCGATTTCATATTTGTTTTTGAAATTTATTCTGCCTTATATAAACTGATACTTGGTCTTAGCTACAGTATTAACCTATAGAATAGAGACATGGAGAGCCACACACATGCAGAATGCCACCAATATGCTGCCTGGCGTGCGGAAGCCTGTGCATTTGAATGGCGCCAGTGCTGAAGCTTTTATGGCCAATCATGTCAATTAGGCGGACTTTGGGCCTCCGAATGCATGCAGTTTGCAGAAAGTGTGCTGTTGTGGGCTTCTGTGCATTTATTGGGCAAGTATGCAGGCCCCAGGGCGCAGGCTTCGAGCAGGCCCGGACTTCCAAAAGCGCACATCAAGACTGTTACAGCGATGCCTATGGGCAGCAGAGCCTGCTTGCTGTATTCGCAGAGTTCACCAGAAAAGAGCATATATCAGCCAGCCGACCCCCACCAGAATGCCTGCTATAAAAATAATTATTAGCGCCAGCAATAGAAGCAGCATGCAGCCCAGGACCCTACACCCGGATCTGCTGCGGCTGTTCCTGTAAATGTACCCGTTTCTATGTGCGCCAAAGTGCAGGAGTGCATGCCTTCTGCTCCAGCTATCTACAGCGTTGTTGCTGCTATCTATCATCCAACAGTAAATGTTTAAAGCATAAATGCAAAGCAATTAATTATTCAGTTTTGAACAATCCACAGAATGTCTGTGTGTTTGTATTGGATAGTGGCAATTTGTTTTCTTTGGGCTATTTTGTCTTAATAGTTAATGGGGTTGTCACCCGTGCGCCCAGAAGCAAAAACTGCTGCGCCTTTTCAAACCCCAGGCTCTGCCTAGGCTTTGGCCCAGGCTTTAGCTCCCTGCTGTTTTTGGTTTTAGCTCCGTTATTATCGCATGCCTACACGAGCAAAGTTTCGTGCAAAATTGCTGCATGCACATGTATTTCTTTTGGCGTATATTCTGCTGCAGCACAGAAATGCACTCTCCCAAAAACAGCTGATGCAGAAGATCTGCACTGCATGGGTGCATCCACCAGAGTGCACGCTTGCAAAAATGGGCCAGCAAAGCCTGCCAGACATTTTCCACTTTTTGTGCAGACACCGCAGAGCACTGTCTTTTCAATGTCTATTATATTTGTGCTAAAATTAAAGCGCTTGGCAGCCAAAAGCAAGGCCAGAGCGAAATATCTTGCCGCACAAAAATTCCGCCGGGCAGCCGCCTAAACACAGCCTCCGGAGAAACATACTAAAATTTGGGCGCAAATGGTTTTTGGTGTTTTGCCAGCGTCTGAGGCTGACATTCTTGCGTTAACGTTTTTTAAATTTTTTATTTTGGATACGCAGGGGTTATTAAGACAGGGGATGGGACGACAAAAGAAAGTACTTGATAAGGAGTGGGAGGTTAGATCACTTTCACAATATGATTATAATTCAAAGAATGATGACATGGACAGTCAGGACGACGAAATGTCCAGCGGAGAGGCAAACTATGGCATTCTGTACAATGATAGAGAAGAGCAAAGCGATGCACCTCTGAAGAAGGAAAAGTCTGAAAAACGGGCTTCAAGCCGAAGAGTGGTTAACAGGCCGGCGTCGCAGCCGCATATTAAGACCGTGAGCGGAGAGAATCGGCTCTGCTTCAAATACCCTACTAAAATGTGCGAAGAGGGCCGCTCGGGAGACTTGGGAATAGAAGAAGTTGAGTTTTCCATAAAATACGACATTGAAAACGTTGACATAGAAAAAATGACAGAAAAGTTTAAAATGGACAACAGCGTGTACCCACGGGCAAATGTGCCGTACGACCGATACCAAGGAAACCGGTGGGAGTACGAGACAGAGGTGAACAAGCTCGCCTGGAAGCTGGCTGCGCTGAACCCAAACCTGCTGTACGGGAAAAAGGGCATTGTCCAGCGGGCAGTTGACTCGTTCAGAAATCTGCACAGGTCAACCAGCTCGCGCCGGGTGGTGCGCATGAAGAAGATGAACGAAGGAACTCTTCGAAAGAGGCAGCCCGAGAGCTCGTCTGTGAACTCGCCCAGCGTGATAAGCGTCACATGGACACAGAAGGGGTCCACCAAGCGGTGCAAGGTGAGGATCGACATAGACTCCATAGACTACGACAAGATTGACAGCGACTTTAAGCTGAAGTACTCGGTGTTCAGCGGAGAGTTTGACGATCAGTCCTTTGGCCTGGGGAAGTGGGAAAACATGAACGAGGACAACATTCTTGCGGTGAAAATTGCATTCCTGAACGTGGACAACACGGCCTTTTGGAACGCCGTCAAAGTAACGGACAAGGTTACCATGCTGAGAAAGGCGGTTGAGGAGTATAAGACAAAAAAGACTTACGAGCAGCCACAGGAAGAGGCATCTTCTATCACAGACATGCAGCAGGAGGACCTGTACTTTATAGACCATCCGGAAATAAGCTACAGAGAAAAGTCGTTTTTCTACTACTTATAGGGGGAAAGCACACTACAGAAGAATAAAGCAGAGTCCTCTCATCTTTTGTCTTTGGCCTCGCTTGGGCGGCGTGTTTTGTGCCGTGCTCGGTAATTAATGTATTTGGTTGGGCAGGCGCAGATTTGGGAATCTCCGCCCTGCGCATTTGCAGAGCAGGCGCTTGCGCGGAGGGCCGTGAACACTCGCTTTTGGGCTGCTGGGGGCCTGCTTCCGGCCTGCCAGAGTTTCCGGCCTGCCTGCACCGGGCCCTATTTATTTGTGTGTGCTGTTTTCCTTATGTTTATTCAGCAACTTTGGACACTGATCAAGGACCCTTACCAAAACAATCCCGTCCGCATTATTGTGGAGATACTCCTTCTGGGGGTGATAGTAAAATACGCGTTTGAGCGAAAAGAGTCCAGTGATCCCGTGATTCTTTCGCAGGAGGAGGCCGAGCAGCTAATTGATGAGTGGGTGCCCAGAGAGCTGGGGCTGGACGACGACGACGAGCCCTTCCCGGATAGCAATGCTGTGAAATACGTTCTGTCGGCGTTCAATCCGTTTTGCTTCGGGTCTCCTGTGGAGGACTCGGGCGTGCAGGCCGGAGGGGGATCTCTTCCCGTGGAAACAAAGTCTCGCAATAAAGAAAAGCTGGACATTTTGGCAGAGACCATTGAGAAATACGGCGTGGGAACGTGCGGGCCCAGAGGCTTTTACGGGACCATTGACATCCACCTGGACCTGGAGAAAAAGCTTGCAGAAACACTGGGCACGCAGGGCGTGGTTTTGTACGCACACTCTCTGCTAGCCATTGCCAGCGTAATCAAGTGCTTCTGCAAGCGAGACGACGTGATATTCTATGACCACAGGTCGTCAATTAGCATTCGCCGGGGAATATACTCGTCCAAGGCCAAGGCCATTTCGTACGCGTCCACTGCAGACCTGTCTGTGAAGCTGGCTTTGGAGGAGTCTGTGCGCAACAAGAAGTTCATCATAACCGAGGGCGTGTTTGAAGAAACAGGCGAAACCGCAGACATTGCAGCAATTGTAAAGGCCCGAAACCATCACAAGGCGTTCCTCATTTTGGACGAGTCTGTCAGCATCCCGCTCCTGGGCAGCACCGGAGCAGTTGGGTTTTTTGGCGCAGACCCGAAAGAGGTGGACCTTCGAATTGGGTCGCTGTCCACGGGCATGGGGTCGGCTGGCGGCTTCTGTGCAGGCACGCGCGAGGCGTCGGACTTGCAAAGGCTAAGCAGTCTGGCGTATTGTTTTTCCGCCTCCCTTCCGGCGTATCTGGCGCATGCGGTTCTCCTGAACATAGAAGATGTTGTGTCCTGGGAGGAGACAAGAACGTCCGTCCAGCAGCACCTCTCCGGGTCGGACTCGTCCTCTGAGGAGTGCCAGTACACGCCAGCCATCGACTACCCGGTCAGAAAATCCGTGAAGTCCCCAAAGTTTCTTCCAAACTGCACGCGGGAAAAGAACCCGCTTGTAAACTATGCGGCAGCCGAAAAGTTCCGTCGGGTGTTCAACTCCTCAGCAGGAGGCATTCCGTTCCGCGTGCGCACAGACCGATTCACGCCCATTGCCCGGATTGTTCTTCACGAAGACCACCCAGACAACTCAAAGGCCTTTCTGGACATACACCGGGCACTTATCCAGAAGGGCGTGTACATCCGTCTGTCTGAGTACCCGGAGACCTCCTTCCTGGTCGCATTTTCAAACGGGTTCCTGCTGGAAAACGTCTCTGACCTGGCCCAGACCATTCTAGGCGTGATTTCAGAGACGTATTCAAACGCGTTCTAGCAGCGGAAATTCCAGTAAAAATGAGTATTGAGTTTTTTTTATTAGTTCATGTGCCTCATTTCCGACAGGAGTCTTTCCTGGCACCTCTTAGCGCTTCTAAGAGAGCCCAGTCTCTTCTTCAAGAACTTTCTCATCTTCTTTTCTTCTCCTCGTCTTCCAAAGTCAATGGCCTTCTTCTCGTAGGGGGCCAGTCCGCAGATCTCCTTGGCAATGTTCTTGGCCAGCTCAGTCTTTTCCATGGCGAGCTTTGCAAACTCTGTTGGGTTTGCCCTCAGGATTCTCTTGTGCTCAGACCTGGAGATGATTTTTGTCGTTGGGTGTCCGCTGTTTTTTCCAAATATGGTTCCGTTTCCGTGTGGCTTTCCTTCTATTGGCTGGAGTGCGTTTATATTTATCTTCATGCAGGGATAAAATAAAAATGAAAAAGTTTTCTACATGCACAGACAACGGAAATGCCCAAAGCCCGAAAGCAGCCACCACAGAAAGAACACGAAAAAAAACTAGGCTGTAGAAACGTGCATTTTTGCGTGTTTTCCCCATAGAAGACGATGGCTTTATCGGCAGACGATAGGGCGCAGAAATGAGCATGTGCGGAGAGGTGTGTTTGAGGTGCTTTGGGCGCATAGCAGGCAAGCGCCAGACTTTTCTGGCTTTGAGTGCTTGGGCTCTTAAGCCGGCATGTGCTTTCTTCCGCTGCGCCATGGTTTTTGCTGGGGCGTGGGCTTCGGGATGTGCGGGGTTGGTGCGCCGCTTTCTCTTTTTATTCACTTTTGTTTTTATTTTGCTATGAAGCTGTACGAACTAAGAAAAGAAGTGAATCAAATGTCGAGCACGCTGGAGGAGTACATTGTTTCCTCCCAGACCCCGCCGTCTAAGGAGCTTGAGTCCATTCGGGACAAAATACGAAGCATGCACGAGGAGTCGCAGAAAGTAGACGCGGTCTCGGAGTATTTAATGGTAGACAGGCACGTGCTGGGAATGGCTTTCACGCGGGCCCTTCTTTTGATTCGAATCCTATCTCCAAAAACAGACATTGAGATGAATCTCGGGTGTCTGCAGAGAAACCTAAAGCCAAGCATGCTGCAGATGGGCGGGAAAGAGATACTTTTGGAGGCAGTATACATATACATTCTGGACAACCAGCAGTCGCAGGAGATAATCGAGGTAGTGCGCATGCTGAAGAACAAGCTGCAGATAAAGAAAATGATCACGAAGAAAACCACAGAGCTTGAGAAAATGATACAAATTCGCGTGAGCCAGATAGTAGAGACCAAGGTGAAGGAGGTGCTTCCAATAACACAGTGCGAGACGCCAAACTCGCTGATCATGGCTCTGAGCACAATCCTGGAGGTGGACAGCATAAAGTACATGGAGGACATTCTGGCTAATAACGTGCACCCGCCTGTTGACATCAGAAACATACTGCGGCAGCTGATCCTTATTGAGAGCGTGGAGATCACCAACGAGTATCTGGAGGTGTACTATCTGATGCTGTGCATGCTGTCCAAGTACGTATCCCTGCGCAAGAAGCGAGACCTAGTCAACAGCAAAGACGCCATATACGAAATACTGGACGACGACTGCGTGGGGATCATGGTCCGCATACTGGAGAAGGAGTGTGTGCCCAGCAGGATTCGGGTGGAGATCATGAACATTCTTGTAGAAAGCGACATACAGACCATAAACTACATGCACGTCTCCGTCGACAGCGCCAAGCTGATCTCGTTTATCCGGTACGTGGTGAAGAACAGCGACCAGGTTGGCCTGCTCATGGAAATACTTGAGGCGCTGGAGATAGAAATAACGGACGATGGAAACGAAACAGAAATATCGAACCTCATTGTGATAATGGACTTCCTGAACATTATTTTGCGCACATACACGAGCAGCGCAGAGTCCGCGAGCAGCGAGTGCATGCCCGGATACCTGGACCAGTCAAAGAGGTGCTTGGACCCGGGAAGCAGCGCCCACGCTCTGCAAATGTCCAGCCTGTCCAGGCTAAATGCAGCTGTCAGCAACAGCATATCCCTGGAGAGGTACATTGGAACCAGCATCATGGAGGTGTACAACAGCATAATACCAAATGTTTCCAACCCCATTATTATATACACGTACCTCAAGATATTCAGCAAGCTGCTAACGGCAGTCGACGCGGCAGACCCATCCCTGCACTACTATGGGTCTGTAAGCAACCGAAACAGCCTGCTTAGCCACAGCATAAACGCGCTGGGGTCTGTGCTGCGGAGCCTCAGCATGTACGTGGTGCAGGGCGACACGCTGTACGCTGAAGTGCCTGCTGTGAAGCTGTACGACCTGGAGAGCCCGCACAGCGCAATATGCATGGAGGCAGCCCCCAACAGCAAAGACATTATGCTGGAGTCTGTGCGGATGCTGTTCTTTATCATACTCCAGCTGCCCGAGCCCATAAAAAACACAATAAGCACAAGCTACGTGCTGAACATCGTGTTCCGGGCAATCAGCCTGGACAGCGAGCCTGTGCCAAGCGACATACTGGCGTTCGTGAGAGGCTTTTTCACGGCGCCTATTTTGCACAAGCTGGCAAACTCGCTGGGCGGAAATCTGTATGCGTTTATCTCGATGCTTATTGCAAAGGGCGAGCTGGAGACTGTGTACAATCTGGTGCAGAACAGCAACAAGCTGTACAAGGGGATTCTGTGCAAGGACATTTTGACCGAGGAAATTTTTGTCGAGCACAAAGAGGAAAACGTGCTGTACAGCCTGCTAAGCACAATGATCATGCAGTACTACACAGAAAACAGCACGCTCAACAACAGCGAGCTGAATGCAAAAATTGTGGAGCTGTACAACTCAGTGTGCAACCACGTAAAAAAGAGCCCGCAAATGCCAGCCTTTCTGCGGGAAAGCCGAGAGTTCGGGTACTTTTTCAAAATGCTGTGCGTGGTTGGAAAGGAGCTGGAGCTCGACTGCAGCGGAATGCTTAGGCTCCTGCTGGCTGCAGCCGGCGCCCCAAATGCAAGCGTAGACGAGTGCCAGGGCGCGGTTCTGTACAACAGCAGCAGCCGAAACATATCTGAGCTGTACTACTTCTACCACTTTGTATGCAAGGGCGTTAGGCTGGACAGGAAGCTTACGCTAGACAAGACTGAATCGGGCAGCGGCTGCGGGCTTCTGTGCATGAACGAAATGCAAAACTCGCATGGCAGCAACATTTTGAAGTATCTGGCGCTCGTGGCGCTCGACGGGGAGCAGGTTAAGGAAAAAAGCCACATCCAAATGTACAAGGACCTTGACCTTTCTGCAGTTTCTGCGGGAGAGCGCGCCCTGTTCACCAACCAGATATACAGGAGCATGTTTCTGACTGGGCGGGTGCAAACGGGAAACTACACAGGCCTGAGCCCGAGCAGCAGCACGTGCAAGACAGCGGGCAGCGAGCCTGCCGAAGGAAAGCCTGCCAAGAAAGAGAGCCAGAAAGAAGACGGAGCAATGCTTGGTGGCGTGTGTGCAAAAGAGTACTCGTATGCGGATATGTCCATTAGATCGGCCATAAAAGCCACGATGGACACAGGCGCGCCCCACATTCTTCCGCACACGATTCTGTCGGTTGGAGAGCCCGGCCTGGTTTCGGCGCTTCTGTATACGCTGTACAGCAAGTCCCCTAACTCTGCCGTTGTGCTTTCATACATCAAGAAGATGCGAAAATACACAAAAAATGACAGCACGGTGTACACGAGGGTTCTTTCGTCTATTATACTATGATTGCCTGAAAGCCTGTGCCCTGATGACTGCGCGTGCTTTCTGCGTTAATAAACAAGACATGTTTTAAACTGCTGTTTTTGCCTTTTCTGCAGCGAATTCGGTGCCAGAACCCCTCAGACGCCCATGCTCTTTTTGTTTTGGGACTCCCACGCTCTATGCGCATGGAGAGCGCGCCTTCTTAACCCTCCAAAACACACCTAGGCAAATGCGTGCACAGCGGGAAATTAATCAACAAATCTAACTAGTTCAAAAAATGCGTGCACAGTGCTATATTCCGAGGCTACAGCTCTACAATAAAAATAAAAAAGCGTCCAGAATGCAGACAGTGTACACTTTTTATGTGGAAAAAACATGCCGAAATGTGCAAAAGCGAAAACTGGCACACGCCCGGCCAAACCACCAGGGCGCATGAAGGGCGGGCCTGGGGTAAAAAAACAGGAACAGCCATCAGCTCTCTTGGCAGTGCGCAGAAAAGGCAATTTCCGCTGGAAGGTAAAAGCAATCCAACAGAATCAAGAAAAATATTAAACATCTTTTATTTTTTATATTTCGAATGGATGCAAATAATGGGCTAATAGTTGGATGTAAAGTGTCTGTGTCCAGCATGCAAAACAACGAAGAGCTCACGCGAAGGGCCGAAATTATAGCGATCCGCAATACCCCGGACGGGGCGCTGTACTATGTGCACTATATTGGCTTCAACAAAAGGCTGGACGAGTGGATTTCGCACGAAAAAGTAGACACAAAGACAATTGAGTTTCCAAAAAAGAAAAAGCAGAAAGAAGAGCCAAAGAACAAAAACACAGCTGTGGTGGCAGACGAGGTGTACAGGGTGAAAAACATCGAAAAAGTCACAATGGGGGAGTACACAGTGGACAGCTGGTATTTCTCGCCGTACCCGAAAGACATGCAGAAGGACATAATTGTGTGCGAGTACTGCCTGTACTACTTCAACACAGAGCAGGAGCACGCGGAGCACTTTGAAAAGTGCAAGCACAAGCGGCCGCCCGGGAGGCAAATATACAGAAAAGGCGGCATTTCCTTTTTTGAGCTTGACGGAGTAGTGCACAGCAACTACAGTAGAAACCTGTCGCTCCTGTCCAAGCTGTTTTTAGACCATAAAACGCTCTTCTACGACATAGATGTATTTTTGTTTTATGTTATGTGCATATACAACCCGAGCGACCCCGAGGAGGCGCGCGAGTACAAAATTGTAGGATACTTCTCAAAGGAAAAAGAGTCGCAGCACGGGTACAACATAGCGTGTCTTTTGGTTCTGCCGCAGCACCAGAGAAAAGGGTACGGGAAAATACTCATAGACTTTTCCTATCTGCTGAGCAAAAGAGAAAGAGTTTCGGCGTCGCCCGAGAAGCCGCTTAGCGACCTGGGGCTCCTCAGCTATCGAGAGTACTGGATAGGCGTGATATCAAACATACTTATCTACAACCGGCTGATATCAATAAACGACATACGAGACATGAGCAGCATAACAGTGGAGGACATCATACACACACTGCAGCATAACAACATGCTTGTGTACTATAATGGGATGCCCTCTATAGTCATACGGGATGAGCTGATAAATAAGTACAAAGAGCCCCGGGGCGTGCAGCTAGACCCAGAGTATCTGGTGTGGGAGCCTCTGTACCAGTAGGCGCGCGCAAGCCCCACGCCAAACAACCAACATGTACTAATATACACTTGCGGCTTAAAGCATGCCCATTTGGGGCTCCGAGGGGCCTTCAAGCTCAGATTTTTCAAAGCCCTGCGGGCTTGCTTTTATTAACACAGAGCAAAGCATCAACGAGATAAGCACCCCAAACGCAGAACACCTCAAAAATTATGCATCTTTATAGGCAAAGAACTAAAGTTTTTTACAAAAACATCAAGTTGATATTTGAAATTAGATTGCCGGATGCTGTAGAAATTTCCGCTCGGGGCAAGCGTGCGCCGAGCATAATTTGCGGTTTATTTCGCACTCGCCCGTATTTTATTTTATTTATTTTTGCAAATAAATGGGCTTGGATATTTCTATACGAAGAGTGGAAAGCATTGAATTTGGTATACTTTCTCCAGAGGATATTATCGCAATGAGCGTGTGCAAAATCGAGTATCCAGAAACAATGGAAAGCGGAGTGCCCAAGGAGGGAGGGCTGGTGGACTTGAGGTTGGGAACCTCCGAAAGAGGGTTTCTGTGTAGCACGTGCGGACACAGATCGGACAGCTGCGTCGGGCACTTTGGGTACATTGAGCTGGCAAAGCCGGTGTTCCACATAGGCTATATAGGAAAGATAAAGAAGGTCCTGGAGTGTGTCTGTTTCTTCTGCTCCAAGCTGCGGGTTGAAAAAAGCGCGCTAAGCTCTCCCAAGCCGCGAACACAGAAAGAAAGAAAGCGAAGGCTGAACCAAGTTTGGAATCTGGCCAAAAACAGGGCTGTTTGCATGGGAGAGATGATAAAAAACGAGGAGAACCCGGAGGAGCACGTGCGCACAGGATGCGAAAACAGGCAGCCCACAATTCGGAAGGAGGGCCTGCATCTGCTGGCGTTCCAGAAGGGCGACGAGTCGTCGGAGGGGAAGACTGTGCTGAGCGCGGAGAAGGTGCTTGAAATTCTGAAGCGCATTCCAGAGGAGGACATCGAAGCGCTGGGGTTTGACCTGGAAAAAGCCAGGCCAGAGTGGATGGTTATCCGAGTGCTGCCTGTGCCGCCCCCACAGGTGCGGCCGTCTATTGTGATGGAGGGCTCTTTGCGGTGCGAGGACGACTTGACGCACAAGCTCGCAGACATTATCAAGGCAAGCAACAACCTGAAAAGATACGAGCAGGAGGGTGTGGCAGGACACATCATACGGGACTACGAGCAGCTTCTTCAGTTCCACATTGCCACGCTGATAAACAACGACATTTCAGGGCAGCCGCAGTCTCTGCAGAAGAACGGGCGGCCGCTGAAGTCGATCCGGGCAAGGCTGCGCGGAAAGGAGGGCCGCGTTCGAGGAAACCTTATGGGGAAGCGAGTGGACTTCAGTGCGCGTACAGTCATAACGGCAGACCCGAACATAAGCATGAACGAAGTGGGGGTGCCAGAGGAAATAGCCAAAATGCTCACGTTCCCAGAGAGGGCAACCGAGTACAACATAGACCAGCTGACGCGTCTGGTGCACAGAGGCCCGTACAACCACCCAGGCGCAAACTACATCATCCGCGACGACGGACAGAAAATCGACCTTAGGTTCCACAAAGGCGAAGTAAACTTGCAGGTTGGGTACGTTGTGGAAAGACACCTGAAAAATGGAGACACGGTGTTGTTCAACAGGCAGCCGTCCCTGCACAAAATGTCCATGATGGCGCACCGAGCAAGAGTGATGAAGTACTCCACGTTTAGGCTTAACCTGAGCGTCACTGCCCCGTACAACGCAGACTTTGACGGAGACGAAATGAACCTGCATCTCCCGCAGTCGATACCAGCGCAGGCCGAGCTGAAGGAGCTGGCGCTGGTGGAGAAGAACATTGTGTCGCCGCAGAGTAACAAGCCGGTTATGGGGATAGTGCAGGACACGCTCATGGGCGTGTACAAGCTCACGCGAAGAGACCTGTTTTTGACCAAGCCGCAGGTGATGCATCTTTTGTACGCAATCGACAACGAGAAGTCGCAAATAAAGCCGGCGATTCTCAGACCTGCGGTTTTGTACACGGGAAAGCAGATCTTCTCGGCAACCCTGCCAGACGTAACATACACCGGGCTGCACTCAGAGCACCAGCACGGGAAAAAACACGTGGGAAACCCCATGGACAGCGAAGTGCTCATAAAGAGCGGAGAGCTGCTTGCTGGGATAATTTGTAAAAAAACCGTTGGAACAGCCTCGGGCGGGCTCATACATGTGATAGCAAACGACTTCCCCAGAGACGTGTGCGTGTCCTTCATAGACGCCCTGCAGAGGGCGATCAGCGCCTGGCTGATGGCATACGAGACGTTTTCGGTGGGAATAGGCGACACCATAGCAGACCCGTCGTCGATGGACTCGATAAAGGAGGCAATCGAGCGGGCGAAGGGAGAGGTGCGCGAAATCATTGAAAAAGCAGAGACAGACAACCTTGAAAGACTTCCTGGAATGTCCATGCAGGAGTCTTTTGAGGCAGCAGTTACGCTCGCTCTTAACAAGGCCAGAGACACGAGCGGAACATCAACACAGAAAAGCCTTCGGTCCCAAAACAACATCAAGCAGATGGTGGTGTCTGGGTCAAAGGGGTCGTACATCAACATATCACAGATGAGTGCCTGTGTGGGACAGCAGAGCATAGAGGGAAAACGAATTCTGCACGGATTCAGAGACCGATCTCTCCCACACTTCACAAAGGACGACTGCACGGCAGAGGCGCGCGGCTTCGTAAGCAGCTCGTATGTTGCAGGGCTGTCGCCGGTTGAATTCTTCTTTCACGCGATGGGAGGTAGAGAAGGTCTGATCGACACGGCGGTCAAAACTGCAGAAACGGGATATATCCAGAGAAGGCTTATTAAAGCCCTGGAAGACGCGCAGATCAGACACGACAAGAGCGTGCGAGACGGAGAGGGGCATGTTGTTCAGTGCGCGTATGGAGGCGACTGCTTTGACGCAACGTTTGTGGAAATGCAGGCGCTTTCTTTGTTTTGCTCGCCAGCGGAGTTTGACCGGCTTTATGTGATCGACTACTCGGCGCTGACTGAGTATGCGCTGTCGCAGGAAATGCTCAGCACGCTTCGAACGGGAAAAACCAAGACCATTTTGGCTGCTGAGGTAAGGATGCTTCAGGAGGAGGCGAGGGCGCTCAGAGAGAGGCACGCAAGCTCAAAGAAGCCGCTTCCAGTGCCCCTGGAGCGGATTTTCAGGGTGGCGCAGGAGCTCCACACCATGCCTGGGGTTTTGCGGAGCATACACGCAAGCATGCCGCGGCTCCTGGAGGAGTGGGGGCGCCTGCTCACGCCGGAAAGAATTGTGCGCACGCGGGAGGCTTTGGAAAGAGAGCTCCAGAGCGCGATCAGCCCGGTTGAGGAAATATCCGAGGTTGCGTTTTCTCTGTTCAAGGCGCACCTTAGAGGCTATTTCACCGTTAAAAGAATACTTGTAGAGTACAGGCTGTCGGCGCAGGCGTTTGAGTGGGCAGTAGACAAAATTCGCACGTCTTTCCTGCGGTCGATCGTTTCAGCCGGAGAGATGGTGGGAACCCTGGCGGCGCAGAGCATTGGAGAGCCAGCCACACAGATGACGCTGAACACGTTCCACTTGGCTGGTGTGGCCAGCACCGTCACTAGAGGAGTCCCGCGGCTGAAGGAAATCATAAACGCAGCGCAAACGATCAAAACCCCCTCGCTGACAATATATCTGAGGGAAGACATTGGAAACACGCTGGAAGGCGCGAAGAGGGCGCAGCAGGAAATAGAGCGGTGCTATCTGAAAGACGTGCTGGTGCAGTCAGAGATCCTGTATGACCCCACAATGCGCGCGGTCAAGGAGGACGAGGACTTTATATTCGCGTACGGAGTGCTGGACCCAGGAGTGTACAGCCCGGAGTCGCCGTGGATGCTAAGGCTTGTTCTGAACAGAAGCGCTATGCTGGACGCTGGCGTGGGGATAGAGCAGGTGGCAGAGGCCATCGAGAAGAAGACGCAGTATAAAGCCATGCACTCAGACGACAACTCGCCGCAGCAGATAATTCGATGCATGCTCCCGGATGCCGAGGACAGTTTGCGAAGAATAGAGACATCTATTGTGTCAATCATGATAAAGGGGCTGCCAAAGATAAAGCGAGTGTTTATCAACGAGGGAACAGGGCCGGATGGGAAAAAAGAGTACATTTTGCAAAGCGAGGGAGTCGGCCTGCAGGATGTGCTGAGCCATCCGCTGGTTGACCCCTCGAGAACCACGTCAAACGACCCCTTGGAAATATGCAAGGTTCTGGGCATTGAGGCGGCTAGAACAAGCATACTCAATGAGATCAGGGCGGTTATAGAAAGCGACGGGTCCTATGTGAACTTTAGGCATCTGTCAATACTTGCCGATATTATGACGCAGCGGGGCATTATCTGCGGAATAACCAGGCATGGAACAAACAGGGGAGAGGCGGGCGCGCTGATGCGGTGCTCGTTTGAGGAGACCGTTGAGATACTTCTAGAGGCGGGCGCAACTGCCGAAATAGACTCGTGCAAGGGCGTGGTCGAGAGCGTTATGCTGGGGAAGGTTGCTGCAATAGGAACCGGAATAACAGACCTGCTGGTGGACAAGGAAGGCATCGAGACCGGAATAATGGCCATGGAGAAGTACGAGTTTGAAGACGAAAGCTCAGAGGGGACGCCGACGGGCCTGATGTCCCCAACAAGCACTGCCTACTCGGACTACTCAACAGGCTCGAACAAGTCCGACGATCTGCTCTATTTGGGGTCGCCGCAGAACGAGTCTGGATACGCCCCGTCCAGCCCCAGTCTGTCGTACTCAATGGGCGACTACATGCCAAGCTCGTACGCGCCGTCGTCTCCAAGCATACACTCGCCCAGCATTTTCCACACCCCAGGAAGCGAGTATGTTCCGCAGTCGCCGCGCAGGCCCGGGGCATACCAGAACATTGGCAGCCCAAGCACAGGCGGGTTTGGAATAAGCTCGCCAAGCTCCCAGAAGCTGTACTCGCCGTTTACGCCAGCACTTGTTCAGAGAACTTTTGACAGTGAAGAGGACGACAAAAGCTCTGACAAAAGCGGCAGCTCGGAAGAAAGCTCTGAATAGTCAGACAGTCTGTCATCCAAGCACAAATAAATATGCGTAATAGTAGTTCTGGTTGGTTTGTGCGGTGTTTGTGCTTGAGGACCCAGATGCGCGGGTGTGGGCTTTGGAGCTGCAGAACGAGAGGGCGAGGGCTGCGTAGGCATAGGCAGCTGGAGGCTTGTGGGAGTGCGCGTGCTTGGGGCGCACACCCAGCTGTTTTGTTTTTCTACAGAATATTGAAATGTTCTTTCTTTTTCATGCGCATGGAAAGTGTTTCTACGGGGGCAGAGGCAGTGGTGTACAAAAGAGATGCATACATTCTGAAGGTGCGCGTGCAGAAAACTTACAGAATTCCCGAAATAGACAGCAGCATACGAAAGTCCCGAACGCGGCTTGAGCAGATGCTCCTGCGCAGAATCGAGCACTTGGACATCTCCCCCAAAGTGCACGAGCTGGGGCCGGAAGAGGCGGCAGAGCTGCTCGAAATAAGCAGCAGCATGCAGCCTATGTACACTATAAAAATGGACTGTCTATCCGGAGTAACCCTAAAAGATGCACTCTTGGCTGCTGGAAAGGAAGGCCAAGCCCGCACAATGGAACTTCTGTGTAAGGTGTACGCATCTGTAGGGAAGCTGCACGCAGCAGGCGTGATGCACGGCGACCTTACTTTGAACAATTTTATAATAGACGGAGAGTCAGTGAAAATACTGGACTTTGGCTTGGGGAAGCTTGGGGTCAAGGCAGAAGACAAAGCTGTGGACTTGTATGTGCTGGAGAAAACAATTTTGGCCAGCCAGAACTTGGCTCTTGAGGACCTGTGCAGGGTCGCTCTTCCAGAGTATGAAAAGCATACGCAGAAAGGCGGAATCGTGCTGGACAAACTAAAGGAGGTTCGCAGGCGAGGGAGAAAGCGGGAGCTTAGTGCAGTGGGATAGCCCGCTCCAGGACATAAAAGACCAGGCGCAAGAGGCGCTGCATAACAGAAAGTCTTGGGTGCTCGCTCTGTGCCCTGTCTTTACATCCGCACGCTGTGCCCTAGACAGAGCGCGATAATCTAATAAATGCCAGGCGCAGTCAAACTATGCATCTTTGGATGGGCTGGAGACAAAGGCCAAAAATCCTCCCTTGGGCCCAAACAGCCCAGCCTAAACACCCGCGCGGAAATACAGCAGCAATGCCGCCTAAATGGGCAGTTTCTGGCGTGTTTGGAGTTTGCCTTCTGTTTTTGGCCTTTTTGCTCCTGCCACGCGTGCCTTTACGCATGCCCGTCCGTGTTTTTGGAAAAGAAAAGGCTTTCTCCATAACAGCTCAGAGCCTCTGCACGCGCTGCGAACATGCATGCGAAGGGCCGCTATGCAGGCGCTTATCTTTTATTATCTGTTTTGGGATAGCTGTGCTTGATATTGTGCTCTGGGGTGCTTTTGTCTGATGGCAATTAATTTTAAGTTTTTAATTATTTCGCAAGCATGGGGCATCGCCCAGGCAATTTTAATAGGGAGCTGCTGGGCGCGTGCATTTATGTAAAAAATATTTAATATTTCAATGCTAGCGCAGGGAGCTGATTTTGTGGCGCATGCGAAAGGAAAAAAAGTGCAGGTATACGCGCTGTCTAGTGGAATGGCGGCAGTTTGCACTATAAAAGGAAGCTCTGAAATAAGCGCAATTTCCTGTGATGCGAGCGACGCTTTTCTGCTGGTTGGCACCGCCAGTGGGGCGCTTTATTACTGCAACATGAGCGAAAAAAAGGAGGTCTTGCTGCTTGAAGACGCGGAAGAGATACACAAAATGAGCCTAAAAATCACCTCTATATACATGCTGAACGGCATAGTCTATGTGACGTCCGAGAATGGGGCTGTGCAGATACTATCAATAGAAATTGCGCAGGAAAAGCAGCACACCAGCATGCAAAGCAGCCTTACTGTAGAGGCCGAGGAGAAAGAAGGGTGGATGGAGGAGATTGAGTCGATATGCGAAACCGAGTCGCTGAGCATGAACATTAGCAAGGCCGTGGGCTCAGCGCACGTGTTCAAGCCCCTCCGGGAGATAAAGCACAACACGCCAATCAGCAGCACTGTTGTGTGCGGAGTGAACATATACATACTTGACATGCGAGGGCGGGTGATTGTGTTTCCGTCCAAAGTGGTTTACGACAACATATCGGAGATACACTTTCGAAAGTACTTGTTCTGTGTGGACGGCAACACGGTGTTTGCAGAAGTGGGGCAGGTCTTCACGTCGGTTTACTTTGCAGAGGGCCCAATCAAGGGCATATTCAGCACGCAGGAGGGCGGGTACTTTTTTGTGCTCACAGACAAGGCGGTTGAGGTTATGAAGATAGAGGAAAAGGGAGGGAAACGGGTGCACCGGCACGAGCTGACAAAAGACGTGAGCGAAATAGTGGTGGACTCGCAGCGGTCCTTGATATACGCCATGGTGGGCAGCAAGCCTGCCCGGATGGACATCGGGTATGTGTGGATAGATAAGAAGATGGAGGATCTGAAGATAGAGGGAAGCACCATAAAGGAGGTGCGCCGGGAGGAGTCTGAGACAGAAGAGGGAGACGAGTACTTTGACATTCCTGCTGTAAAGGCGGTTAAAGACATGGCTCTTCCGTCCATAAAGTACTCGAGTGCGAGCACAAAGCCGTCTATGTACACCGGGGCGTTTGAAGACCATGCAGACGACGGCTGCGAAAAGGCAGACTCAGAGATAGAAGAGCTGTTTGCCTCTGAGGACGGCTTTGCAGAGAGGAAGACGGCTGTGGAAATGCAGATGGAGAAGGCGTCTGCGCCACTAGCCAGCAGAAGGCCCTGCGTGAAGAATAAGGTGTGCGGGCCTGTGGAGGTGTGTAACGGGCAGGAGAAGCTGCTTTATTGGTCTGCGGAGTGCAGCATTAATCTAACGAACAAGACGGACTACAGGCAGCTCGAGGTGAAGGTTCGTGCACAGAGCGTGGAGATGTCTATTATAAAGGAGGCTGGAGAGGTGCACTTGGCTGCCGGCTCAAAAAGCCTTTTAGTGGTTTGCGTAGACTCCCTCATAAAGGTTTACCACAGCAAAATCGGTGTGTTTTCAGAAAACTCGCTTGTAAAGACAGTTTCTCTCTCCCGCAAGGTGGAGCGGCTTCTTTGTGGACAGGAATACTTCTGCGTCCTGGCCGAGGACCGGCTGGCAATGAGCTTTTCTGTGTACTCCGCGGGCATTCAGGAAATATACAGCACTTTTGGCACCTTCCGAGGGGTGGCCGCGTGTGGCGAGTATATAGGGATGATTGTAGAGCAAGGCGAGGGCGTGTCGGTGAGGGTGCTTAAGCACAGCGAAGGCCGAGTCAAGAGCGTGAGCTGTGGGTATTTTGGAAGGCAGGCGATAGACTTCTGCAGCATATCGGCAGAAGGCATACTTGTTTTTGAAGCTGCAGGAGAGCTGTATCTTCTGGGCGCCGACAGAATTGTCACGCTGAGCGGGTCGGTGCCAGGAGTGCCCATTTCTGTTGTGGGCGGGAACATTGCATATTTGCTGCAGGGAGAAAACGGGAGCGTGCAGATACACCCAGAGAGCGTCCACTACATCGAGCTGAATAGGGAGTGCTCCCTCGGCTTGAAAACTGGCGTGTATCAGGAGGTGGTGAAAGAAATAGCCGATGCATGCACAGCTGGCCCAGGCCCTGCGGGACAAAGCAGCGGTGGCACGTGCCCACGGGATACAGGCGCTTCTGAAGACGAGAATTTCATGTATCTCAACAGGAAACACAAAAAGCCTGAGAGCGCCCGAGAAAGCAGCGCACATGTGCCAGAAACAGGCAGTTTGGGAGCATCGCCAATGCACACGCCTACAAAAAAGGTAAAGCACACAAATCCATTTGCCAGGACATAGCTAGAATGAGAAAGCACAGAGACTGTGCATGCTGGGTAGATTTGAAATGGTCAATGTGCAAAAATCGCACGCAACAACGCAGCGCGCCCAGCATATTCCGGCCTGCTCGCATCTGTTCGGGCGTGGCAGCCCCCAGCGCCTTGCTCAGATGCTTATCTTGCAGCTTTGGAGCTTTGCATCTATCTATAAATAAACATTTATGAGAATTCGGGTTGTGGTGCTATGACATTCTAAAGCCAAGCGCGTTCTCATGCGCCAAAAAGAAAAGAGACTTCAAGGCTTTTCTTAGAAGGGCCTAGAAAAGCGCGGACCCCTCTGTGCATTCTCCAAGCCAAAGCCCAGCGAATTAGCATCGCCAAAGCTATGGTTCTTGAAATCAATTCTTCATCATGCTTTCTGAAAGACAGCAGCAAACACAAAGAGTTTTACATTTCAGACGAAAAAATGCGGAAGCGGATACAAGAAGGCATGGGAGGCTCCGGCTTACATAAACAGAAGAAGTTATTTCTATAGTTATTATTGGCCAGCTGCGAGAAAATGGAGTTTGCGCCAGGCCGGTTGGCTACTAACTCTCAGAGCTTAAAAATGCACTGCTTGCTTTTATTGTCAGATACACTGCCAGAAACAGCGTCTAGCAGGCAGCGCGCCAAAAAATGTTTAAGTAATGCAGAAAGGCTGCTGGCTCAGCCGGAGTGCTGCTCTCCTGCCACTCTACTCTTCGTTTGCCCACTCCTCCAGCGCCTTGAAAAGCGGCTGCTGCGGGAACTCCAAGCCTGGCGCGTGCACCATGTAGTCCATTGCAAGGAAACCCTCCTCGGGGATCTCGATGGTTTTGTACCTCTGGCTGAAATGGGTGAGATAGAGCTTTTTTGCACGCGCGTCCTTGAACACCTTCACTGCATCTGCGGTTGTTGAGTGGTGGGTGAACTTGGCATTCTCCGCTTCTTCCTCTTCAAACGTGCCTTCGTGGATCATTAGGTTTGCGCCCCACGACAGGTCTGAAAACTTTCTATTCGGAAGCGTGTCCCCTGAGTATGTAACAGAATACGGCGCCGACTCTGAGCGCGCATCAACCCGAACGCTGTAGCTGTCGTGTATGTGCAGCGCATTGCACATGTACACTGTGTACAAAAGCTCCCCAATCTGCAGCCTTTCTTGCTTATTTTCTTGCACATCCACGTTCACAAACTCAATAAAGGGCGCGTCAAGGAAAGTAGAGTGCACCGCAGCAGAATACACTTTGTCCTTGGAGGATAGCCTGTACTGCAGCGGGTTTATGCATGTTTCGCCCCACTCAACTGTTTTTTTAACATAAATGTACACTCTGACGCCGGCTTTTTCCACGAATATGTGCTCGTTCGAGTCCTCTACATGTATGCGGACGCGGATGTCTACGCTGTTCTGCACAAATATGCACGACAGCCCAAAGTAGCGCAGAGCAGGAACCATTTCTTTGTGCCCAAGCAGCACAACTGTTTTGTTCTTTCTTTCCTGGCACCTCTTCAGCACAGAAAATGCGCCCAGAATATGGTCTGCGTGCCGGTGCGACAAAACCATCGCCTTTATGTCGCTGTAGTTGTATGTGTAGTTCGCGCACATTTTGCTCAGCTGCGTGTGGGTGTCCTCCCCGCAGTCCAGAAGAATAGCTCCTCTCTGCGAGCACATCATAATAGAAGACACGTTTCGAATGACCCCAGGCACAGCTGCTGCCGTCCCCAGAAAGACTGTGTATAGCACATCCTCGCATAGAAGGCTGCTTTCCTCTTGGCCCTCCCTGCTGGCTTTGATAAAGCTTACTGAGCCAGACGCGCGTTCGTCTCTTTTCCAGGGCGCATGCACTGTCCTGTCTTCTTTAGAATACTCAATTTCTGAGCGGTCTGTCAGCACTGTCGACCTGTGAAAAAATCGTGTAAATTTTGGAGAGTACACAACAGGCCTTACAATCCCCTTATACTCCGGGCAGACTCTGTCGTAGAAGTCCTTCACCCGGTCGCACTCGGTTTCTGTGCACATCACCACATACACGTTTACATGGTGCGGGGTTCCCTTGGCATACGCACGGGCAGCTGCTTTGGCAGCATTTTCGGCCTTGCTAAGCGCAAAGTGTTCAGCCTTTTTGTCTTTGTATGCTTCGGGGGCAGCCCGTATGATTATGTCCACGCTAGATCTAGCAGGCCCAAGAGCCGCACGTATTTCCTCGGGGTTTACGCACTTGCATAAGAGCGTAATCACCAGTATCTTTGGGTAGCTAGTACATGGCTTTCTCATCTTCTCCAAATAGTGCGTGACCCCGTCTATGCAGACACTCCCTGTCTTGTTTATTTGCATAATGTCTGCCTTGCTCAGTATCCCATGCGCCGCCGCCTTCTGCACATCAAACCCGCCCACCTTGGGGCTTAGTTGGACCTCTGTATACACGGCCTTTGCTGTCTCCTTCGTGCGTATGTGCCAGAAGGCGCCTTGCTGTCCGGCATGCGGCTCAAAAAACTCCAAGTTTCCTATGCTCAGCCCCACAACAGACGCAGCCTTTTGCGCGCTGGCCGTGCATATGCATGTTGCCGTGTGCTGCTGGTCGTGGATTCCGTGCGTTAAAACCGCGGATATTGCAGGAATAACCTCGTAGTTGCTGGTTATGCACATGACAGATAGTTTTTGCCACTTGATTTTGTTCCTGGATGTATATCTCTGCATGCCCTCAAACCCGCCGATCAGAATGTATTCGGCTGTTTTTGCGTTTACTATCCGGACCGCAGACCCGCTTTCTGTTGTGTGTATGCAGACTCTGTACATTTTCGTCTTTTCTATTTTCTATTTTTATTTTCAGTTTTTAGCTCCCCTGCAATGGGTTTAACAAGGAATGGAAAACACAAGAGAAAGAGCACCGGAGGAAAAAGGTCTCTAAGAATAACTAGAAAGAAGCACGCAATTGCCAGGCAATCATCCAACACTAGAGTGGGTACCACAAAGGTAAAACAGCTTAGAGTGAGAGGAGGATCGCACAAAATGAGAGCACTTCGTCTGGCCAGCGGCAGTTTCACGCTCAAGACCCACCGCATTTCCATGAAGTGTGCAATCACCCAGGTCGTGTATCACGCAAGCAACAACGAGTTGGTAAGAACCAACACGCTGACAAAGGGCTGTGTGGTCAAGCTAGACCCAACAGGATACACCCCAGTTATTGAGGAGATCCTTGAGAAGGAGGCAGACATAAAAGATATTGACCCAGTCTTTGTTGAAGAGTTCAAGCAGGGCAACTTGTTCGGAGTAGTCACATCCAGGCCAGGGCAGGCTGGATGCGCAGACGGCCACATTCTGCAGGCCGATGAGCTTGCTTTCTACATGAAGAGATTTAAGAGCAGCAAGCAGAAAAAATAAATAACTGAATCTTCGTACGATGTGTGTGCTTTTGGGCTTTGCTCTGCCTCTATGGGTTCGGGCAGCCTTTGCCTTTTCGTGCGCGGACGTGCTTTGTGGAAGCTGCTATGCTTCGGCAAAGTTGGTGCAAGCTTTGTGCAGGGAAAGGGCGCGGGGAGTTCTCCGCGAAAACAACAAGTAAAACCATCGCGTGCAGTGCTGCCAGAAGAAAGACGCCGCAGCCCTCGGCAGCTTCGAAGAGAAAACGTCGAATTTAGAACTAGTTAGATCTTCACCCTCAAATGTTGAGTTTATTGCAGAGCTTTTTTTCCCATGCTTGAGAACCAAGTCGCAAATGTTGGAAAAAGCACGAAAAATACATACACGGCGACTGCTATGTAACAAAACATCTCCGTATGCTGGTTTTGAAGGAGCTCTTCAGTATGTACTCTCGCCGCAAGAATCGCTGCATATTGTTTTGTATTATATGTCAGATATTTCTTCTGCTCAGGGGATAACTCCAGATAATCTTTCATCAACCCGAGATACTTTGAAATGTTTTCAAACTGCGCACATAGTAACGCCAACTCGGCATCTGCCTTGTAGCGCCCATTGATTCGTTTATTAATAGCCTTTTGTATTTCAGCCCGATTTTCTTTGTTGAACTCTAGAATCGTCTCGTTTACAGGGTCCGGTGTCTGCAGCCTTTTAAAACTCAGCTTGGAAATCTGGGCTTCAACTTTTTCCAGCTTCTTTTCCAGATCATTGCATATGATCTTACACAACTGGATTATGTCCGTCGTGTAGTCAAAAAAGGAATATGCAAGGTTCAGATTGACGGTCCTGCTAAATAAATGCCGTGTATTTTTCAGGAGCCTGCATATTTTTATGCTGCGTGGGGGTTGGCCCAAAGTGTCAAACCGGTCATACAGGCATATTGTGCTGAAGAAAATCTTTCTCTCGCATAATATGTTGCTTAAGCTGCACCGAATGCCTATAATAAGATCTATGTTTTCTGGTGACAGGCTTTGCACCTGCTGTTCTATGCTCTCTCCCCTTAGCAAGGCCGATTCCAAGCCTCCTAGAACCCTTGCAATTTCTCGCAGACTTAAGGGCTCCTGATTTAGCAGACAATAAATGCCATCTATTGAGAAAAAAGATCCGGTTAGAGCACGCCCTGCAGCCTCCTCCTCTAATGCGCGCATGTTGATCACCAAGTCCAACAGCCAAGATGACCGATCCAGCAGAATGTAGAATTCATACAACTCCACATATTTTTGAACAAAATAAACGTATTTCAACGCATTTGCCCGGGATGCGGAGGCTAATTCGTCAAAGTCCTTAACGAAGCAGGCCATACCCTGCTCTATTTGTTTCCCCAAAGTTTTCCCAGGAACTGTTTTGTCCACGCTCAAGGCTGCTTTAATGGCGTCCTTTCTCTCTTGTTTTTTGCTGCTTCCAGAGTCTCCAGCCTCTTCCCCTATCAGGCCGCGCGTAATTGCGCTGCAAAACTGGTGCACATACTCGCATCTGTTCGGGTTTTCTACTATCAAATGCAAAATGTACCCTTTTACCATGATAGTAGCCAATTTTTTCCTAGGCGTATTTTCAGCGTTTTCTTGGTCGCATATCGACATGCTGTTGTTAAGAATGTGCGAGAACACGTTGTATTCCCCGTGTTCTTGTAGAAATGAGCCCATTTCCGTTTGAGCGTGAGCAAACAACTTGTATGCATCCAACAGCTGCTCTACGTCTATTTGTATCTTTATGCATCCAGCTTGGATTTCTATAGGACTTTCTGCCATGATTGTTAATCTGAAAAAATAGTATTTATGCACATTCTTTTGTCTGGACAGCCCGCAATCTAAAATGCACGCTGACAGCGCATCCAAAAAACTTCATTTTTCATGTTTGCTGCAGGCATGGCTCTGCGGCAGATTATTTCCATGCCACAGAGCCATGGGCCGGCTGGTGAGAAAATTCTTTTAGAACCGCTTTATAACGCGCAGGATTTTCACTGTCAAGCCTGAGCGCGCGCTTGAAGTGCACACCGGGGGTTTGTATGCCCTCGGATAGCACTCTTCGGAAGAGTTATTTGCTGGAGAGTCGCCTATGCGAAGGCAACGCCTTGCCATTTTCGGCCCTGCCGGCTTGAAGTAGTACATGAAGCAGGTTCGGAATGGCATGTGCGCATGGTGTTTCTAGGCCCTCTGGGGCCCGCAGACAAAACACGCTTACCGGTGGTTTTATGCAGTCAGCGTGTGTGCATGAAAAGCACCAACAAGGCATTGGAATTGCTTTCTGTGCTTAGTGAATGGAAAACAGAAAAACAAGCACTAGCCCAGCAGGCTATGACAAAGCGCATAATAAATCCAGTCCATTTATATTTACTCAGTGCACAGAAAAGCCCCATTCTGAAGAAATATTTCCTGCGCACAGATACAACCAGACGCCATATACACTCATTCTGATGACTGAAGGGCCGCTTTCTGTCCGAAACAGAAACGGCTATTGCATCCAGTCGTCTCTAAAGTGCTTCTGGCTGTTGTTTTGCATACCTATTTTCAGGCGGTTTCTTTCCTGCCTCTCTGCAAACTGCTTTATCTTTATCTTTTCCTCGGCAGATGCAGGCGGAGCCTCCTTTGCCACGACTTGCGCATATTTCTTATTCATGCTCTGGTAGTATGATATGTCTCTTAGCGTCTGTGCGTAGTATTTGTTGTACTTTTTGTTTCCAGCGATTCTCCCAGAAGGCAAATACAGCTCGCTGCCGTCCTCCGATATGTACCCAACGCCCTTTTCTGGGTAGGTGTAGAAGCTATCGTACTCCTCGGTGTTGATATAGTTCATGTGGTCCATTGACTTCATGTGGCTTCGCGCTTTTGCCACGCAGGAAAACCTTTTGTTGCAGCACGTGCACATGCAGTATCCAATCTTTTCTCTTAGATGTGTAATAAGGCCATTTATGTTCGTTATATACTGTGGAAGAAGGAGCTTAAACCCGTGTGTCTCCAAGTGCTCAACGTAGTTTTCTGCGGTCTCGTTGCAGTATAGGCACTCATTTTCCTTCAAATCGTATATTCCCGTTTCTTCGGTGCTGAGAACCGCCTGCCTCTTTATGTGGGCCTCTTCCTTCTCTTTTACATCAAGCTGCTTCACAGGCGGAAGCCCAATAAGCTTTCTTTTGATATTCTCCTCGTGCAGCAAACTTTGGTAGTGCTCGGTTTTGTTTTCTATTATCTCATTGCACGTTATACATTTCATAGCTCCAATGTGAAAAATTAAATTTGTATAAGACAAAACTTTTGCCATGCGATAAATGCTTAAGAAGCTTAGAAAAATACATTCTTCGGCCCACTCGTCGGTTTACTTGGCAGAAGAAACTGATCCTGGAAAGTATCCAGCTGCAAGTCTGGTTTTAAAGAACGTCAAAAACGCCAACAGTCGAGAGATACATATACTGAAAAGGATTCGGCACATTAACGTTGTTGAGGCGTACGATCAATACGGCACACGCATTGTGATGCCATACTACAGGCACACCTTGAAGGAGGTGTCTCCTGTGGAAAATGTGAAGTATAGAAACTACATAATAAAATGCATAGTGGACGGGCTGACACACATACACAGCCTTGGCATAGTGCACCGAGACATTAAGCCACAGAATATACTGGTGGACGGGCTTCATGTAAAAATCACCGACTTTGGAAGCTCGCGGGAAATAGAAAGCATGGAAAGCGCCCAAGGTATCTGTGGCGCAGACTCCGCAGGCGGCGAGAAAGAGATGACTGGCATAGTTGGGACTCTTAACTACATTCCTCCAGAAATTCTCCTGGGATGCAAAAGGTATGGGCGGGAGGTTGACCTATGGGCAGCAGGATGCACGTTTTGGGAAATTCTGTGTGGGGAGGTTTGCTTTGAAGGAGACTGCGAAATTGCCCAGATAGGAAAAATAGTCACGCGTCTTGGTGTGTCAGAGAGTGACAAAAAAACGCTGGACAAATATCCGTTTAGCGGGCTTGTTCCAATTACACCAAAAAAGAGCCTGTTTGAAAGGATAGGCTGCGCAGAGATGGCTTGCTTGCTTAAAGACCTTCTTCGATATGACGCAGAAGGTCGAACCTTTTCTGGTGCAGCGATGAGAGGCATTGTGAGCGCAGACTACGTCTTTTTAGACTGCGAATAGCTTTTTATTCCATGTAAAGTTTTATTTTGTAGAGTTTGCCTATACTCTATTCAAAGCGCTTGGGGCGTTTTGGTGTTTTTGCTTGGGGGGCTTGTGGAGTTGGTGCTGATAAAAAAGGAGCACACCGTGTAGAACACTATAACGGCGATTGCCATGTACAAAAACACTTCTCCTGTTAGCTTCATGCGCTCTCCGCCTTGCGAGGATTTAATCTTGAAGTGGCCATTCATTTTTCTAATCAGCCAACCAATAAGTGCGCGCTTGAAAGATGCAAAATCAATGACATGCAAAGCCCTGCCGTAGCAGGCCCTCTGCAGTTCGCACACTATGCCATTTTTGCCAGATCCTTGGCGTGCGCTTATGCAACCCCATAGAAAAAAGCACTGGAGAGAGCATGCATGCCGCATGTGTGGTTTATGCGGTGAGAAAGCACAGCTGATGCTTTGGCTTGTTTTCCATGGGCTCTGCACTAAATTTGTATGGCTGTGCATGTATTGAGCCTTTACAGTGTAATTTTCGCAGTCGTGCCGCTTTTGTTTGGAGCCTGGATGATTGCTATTTTTGTTTTTGCACGCGATGCTGTCTGAGTGCAAGCCAACGCCAACCGCGGTGCTTGAAGCGCTTAGGCTTGGCATGGATTTAAGCTCTTGAAATAAATACTGAAAGACTCATTTCTTCCTATTGATTGGCGCATAGTTTTAGTTAGAACTTTGCATGGGTAGTTTGTTTTTATATGCTTTATACTAACAGTTTTTAGCTAGAACATGCGCGCATCGCATGCCAGTGTCTGCAGAATGGGCAGCCGGGCGGGCGTTCTGTTAGTTGTGCATACGGGATGTTTTTTGCATTTGCTTTTTGTGCTATTTTTTAGAAGAGCTTGGAAAAGCGTACTTTATTTTCAATTTTGCATTTGCTTTTTATTTCTGACATAGCTGCAGTTTATTCAAACTCGCCTGTGGAAAACACAGCCCAGAATGGGAAAAGGCTTGTTGCAAAGGTGCAAGACATGGGCGCCCTGCAAAACACATGCTCGGTTCCTTTGGACAGTTAACAGGTTCAGTGTGATTTGCAGTTCAGACACAGAAAAGTGTGTGCTCTCCTGAAACCACTTCGCGCCCTGCAAAGACGCAGGCAGAAAACGCTCCAGAACTCGGGCCCGGCAGCAGAAGATCCAATGCCGGCTTGCATTAGACCTTGACTGCGCTGAGATATTTGTAGAATGCGTTTTAAGTCTGGCGCACAAACTCTTGTGCATAAGAGGCACGGGTGAATAAATTGGCTTTCTAGCAGGCGCTTTTGCGGCACACGGCCTTAGGCGCCTTTGGCATTTAACACAGGGCAGGATATAAGAGCTATTTTTATAAAAAAATAAAGAGGGATGGAAGACGGAATTACAGTGGTGCATGTGCCACGCAAGAAGAAGTTGGATTCCTGCTGTGCTGTGGTGGAAATAGACAATTTGCGGGTTCTTGTGAACTTTGGAACCGAGTATGATTTGTCCCTGGATGTCTATGAAGACTTGGAGTTTCTCAAGGAGGTTACGCATATTATTGTGTGTTCAAGCGAGATTTCATCCCTTGGCGGGCTGATCCATTTGAAGTCCCTAGGTGTGTGCGCTCCCATATACGGAACAGTGCCCATCAAGATCCTTGGAAGAATAGAGATGCTGGAGAGGGTGAAGGTCCTGGAAAAGTTCCACGGCGTGTCCTTGGGCGAAAGCAGGAAAGACGAGGTTTTTGACAGAATCATACCGCTGAAGTACACACAGACGGTTGAGCTGTCCGAAAATGTAACGGTGGGCCCGCTGAACAGCGGAAGTTCGGTTGGAGGGGCTGTGTGGAAGATTCGGAAGGGGGAGCAAGAGTGGATTGTCTGCGACCGAGTGAACCATAGAAGAGAGGCGCATCTGGACGGAATAGACGTCTTTAACATAAGCAAGCCGTCTGGCGTGTTCATTAACAGCACGCCTGTTCTCAAGGAGCAGACCACAAGAAAGGCCCGGGACAAGGCTCTAGTCCAGCACGTTTTAAACACGATAAACCGAAACGGAAAAGTGTTTATCCCTACAGGATACTCCCAGCTTTTGGAAATTGCCATGACGCTGCACAACTACAAGGAGACACAGGACATTCCCATGGCGCTTTTTTCTTTCTATGGGAGAAAGTACTTTGACATGGTCAAAACTATTCTGGAGTGGACAGGCAGTGCAATTCTGCACACCTTCAACCAAGAGAAGGAGAACCCGTTCAACCTCCTGAACATAAGGTTCTACGACGAGTGTGCAAACAGCTCTGCAGCAGAGCGGATTATATTTGTAATAGACATGCACGGAGATTCGGGCTTTTCGCCTGTGCTTCTTCCCGGAATTGCCAAAGACAGCCGAAACCTGATACTTAATGTTCGAGGCACGCTTCAGTACACAAAAAGAGTGAGCACAGACCCGACAGAGAAAGAAACTGATGCATCGCAGAAGGAAAGCAGCCACTCGTCCGATGAAAAGGCCGAGGATGCATGCACAATGCAGCTGTGCCCAATAAAGTACACCCGCCTGTCCAACACAGAAGTGGAGACGGAGTACAAGCGGTCAAAGAAAAGGCACGACGAGCAAGAGGCCCAGAAGAAAATAGACAGCCTGGTGAAGCAGAAGATCGAAGACTCGTCTGAGGAAGAGGAGGACCGGAGCCAGATATTCTGCCGCTTTTGGCACGAGCTGCAGGATGAAATAGAAACAAAAGAGGCAGTGATGAGCTATCTGGACTTCGATGTAAAGTGTGCTGGCGGAGAGCTGCTGTTTCCCAACCCGTCGAGAAGAAAGCAGACGGACGAGTACGGAGAGCCTCTACAAATGCAGAAGGAAAAGGAAGAAGAAAAAGAAATTGAGGTAGTTCTTGAGCCAGATGTTGTCCAGAAAAAGGTGTACAGGATATCGGTAGGCAAGCCGCAAAATATAAAAATACGCGCGTCTGTGCAGGCTCTTATGTTTTCCAGCGAAAGCGACATTTTCAACCTGAAGGTTGTTCTCGCAGGAATGGAGGCGGAAAAGATAGTGGTGTACGGGGAAGATCCTATGTACAGAAAAGTGCTTCAGGAGTACTTTTTGTATAGCCGGGCGTCTGCAGACGTGATGGAGCTGGTGAACAGGCAGGCGATGGCAGGAGTGCGGCACGCGGTGCCGCTGAAGATGCGGAATGACGTTCTTTCAAAGATAAAAATGCAGAAGCTGGGAAGCAGCCTTATTGGATATATATCTGGGAGGATAGAGAAGTCGGAAAAAACAGCTGTGCTGGAAATAAAGGAGGACGAGGAGGGCGACACGACAGAAGACATCTGCATAGGAACCGCCCGAATAAGCGAGCTTCGGCAGATATTTATAGATGCCAAAATAAAGGCGGACGTGATTGGGGAGAAGCTGGTTGTCAGCGAAGGGATCACCATACAGTTTGATGGGCACCGCCTTATGGTTGAAGGCGATGTTTCTAAAGAGCTGTACGCTGTGAAAAAGCTTCTGTCTGAAAGCGTGGCGTACTTGCATGCGAGATGATGCAGCGCAGGGAATGCGTGGGCACAGGGATGAAGGCATAGCACTTCGGGTGCTTTGCCCTGCTCTGCCCGCAGCAAGCTTTTGCGCAGGAATGGCATCGCATGCAAGTATGCCACGCCTGTACAGTGTACCAATAAAATTGCACAGTTGCTTAAGACTATTTGAGTTATTCGCAAATGTCCGTGCCCAGAAACCCGGATTCACACTGCAATATTCGGCATTTTATTCTGCTTGTCAATGCTTGGGAGATGCAGCCTGTGAAAAACACGCATGCGCGCGCAAAGAGGCAGGCGGTTCCTGGCGCATGTTCTTGCATGCACATGCCTGGGGTTGCGTTGAAGGCGAGCTAGCTTCGCATGTTCTGCGAGGTATAAGCCAAAAAACAATTTTAATCAGTTTAAAATGCAAGAAAGATAAGCTGCTGACTTTCATGCAAAAACTATTAAAAAATGAGGACAGAACGGCTGCTTAGTATTTGGATATTTTCTCTGCTCGGCTTGGCCTTTAACAGGGCAAGCAACCCTTCAGTGGAAGACGACCCGAAATATACGAAGCTAATGGGGCGGGTTGCTAAGTTTTACTCCGTCACGAAACTCCAGCCGAACTCTCTCTTTGCAGAGGAGAGGAACCATATGGACTTCTACGCAAATATATACAAGAATATCAAACCGAAAAGGCTTAAATCGAAGATAAACGAGCTTTTGGTTATTGGAAAGACCATGCTGTGCGAAATAGAGTATTTGTATCTGGACTGTCTAGCATACTTGAGGATTATAAAGGCGCATGCGCCGATCATCAACGATATTTTCCAGGCCAAGGAATATGCAATAGCTAGCAGCGTCCAAACCGACCTGAAGGCCTACAACAAAATCATGGATAGGATGGAAGAAACACTGAACGTTTTTCAGGATAGAGCCAGCATTGTTAGCCTAAAGTCATTGTTGAACGACTACATAATGATATACAGGGCGACCGCATCTGGAGCGAACAAGGACATACAGTGTGATCTGATCATGCACATTCTTGACCTTCTGAAAACAACAAACAACATGATGGTGAACATGGGCGAGGTGAACATACACCTTTACAGTGCAATTGTGAACATAACGCGGTTTTTAAACAAAATCCCGCAGAATGGCAACTGCTTCATAGGAAACCCAAAATACTGCATGAACCACTCTTGCTGGATATGCCGCCTGCACAACAGAGCCTTCTACGACATTCCAACCGTAGCTTTCTATATTGAGCAGTTTCCAAACTCCAACACACACCAGCACTTAACACGAGAGCTAAAGTCGGTGATGTACATAGAGCATATCCAAGAAGTTCTGGCAATTTTGTGCATCGAGGGCATGAAAAGAAAAATAGGGCCCCCCGTACAAAAATACATGCAGGCTTCTGTCGATATGTACCCAGGCGAGAAAATGTACATCTATTTTCTCCATCAAGACTTCTACAAGGCAGAAACCAACAAAATTCTGGAAAACGCCATTTCAGATTCCAGCGTCTCAAAAAATGCCACCAAGTCCATGGAAAGCTCTGGCACTGATGTTCCAGCAGAGAGCACGGCTTTGGCTTTTCTGAAAGACTGTCGCCGCTGCATAGGAAACTACAGGGTTTTTCCCGCAGACCAATTGGCTAAGAAGTATGCCAGCCTGCCGCTTTCTAGGCTGCATGACATCGCTATTGAAAACTGCATTTTTGAAAAAATAACCTACAAGCTGTGTGGTCGGATAAAGTCCCTGTTTAAAATGGGAACTGTCCCCATATACTATGAGGAAAGCATGCTCCTGCAGGAAGAAGTCAAGGGCACCATTAAAAGGGCAGCAGAAATCCTGAAACACTCATATGCCATCCTGGACGAGTCTACCAAAAGAGAGCTGTGCTTGGCCTTTAACCAAACCTGCGTTTACACTTCATCCATAAACTATATTTTCGATATTTGCCTTAGCATTCTCACAAACTACATGAAGATAATGAAATTCAATAACGGCGCATGCGGCGACCCAGAAAATCAGTTACTCTCATTTGGCGAAAAAGAAAAAGACCGCTTCACTTTTATGGTAAACAGCATGATAATTCAGTTTTTGGCTTTGGAAGATACTGTGCAAAAAGAGTACCCAAAATTGTTGGCCATTGTTGACAAGGTAGATCTGCAGACAAGCTCAAACCTCCAAAAAAGGTGACTGTTCTCCCAGACCATGCATTCGGGGCTTCGCAGGAGAGCCCATTCTTGCGGTGGACTAAGTCTCCACGCTTTATCCAACAATGAAATAGCGGGCAATTGACTTCATAACTGCAGCACGGCGGCCTTACCAAAAAAGCGCAGGCAAAAAGAACAAGTGCAGAACATGCTTATATTTAAGACCCACCGAATAGCGGAACAATCTTTAAAGAGCTTTCAGTTTAATAATAAATTGCTACTAGAATTGGCACAGGCCCGGACAATGTAAAACAGCAGGAATTTGCAACAGTTGTGTTTCTGAAAGAAATCTGGCATTTTCCGCAGGACATGCCAGCATTCAAGGGTATGGGCCACTCCGGCATGCAAAAACAGCGCAGCAATCCTTTGCGCATGATTTTGGCAGATGCCTGCTGTTTTACATTGTCCGGGCCTACAGATGCTTGATGCAGAGCCAGCAAGCATGCAAAGCAACCCGAATTCAGTGAAACTTCCGAGCATGCACCGTCTGCGGGCTTTCTAGCATGCGAGCATGCATAGCGCAAAACTTCGAACATTTTTATTTTTAATGGAGTGGAGAAGCATCGCATACGCTTTCTATGCGCAGACAAACTGCATAAACGACTTGGAGTTTTTGCAAATTGTGTGCGACGAGTTTTCCTGGCATTTGTATGCGGAGGAGAGTAAAAAAGGCACAAACTACATGATAAGCGGAAAGACGTTTGTGATAGACATCTTCTACGAAAGAGAGGAAGAAGACGCGCAAACCGAGGATGCTGAAGACACACACAGTGTGGGGAGCAGCGTGATCCAGATCGGCAAGGAGCGGATGGAGAGCGTGTACAGGAACATAAAAAGCGTAAGTCTGTCTTTAATCGAAGAGGAGTGGTCTGGGTACTTTAAGCTGTGCACATTCTCTATCATGCACCATCTGAAAAACAAGGACTACTACAACGCATACAAAGTGCTTAGCAGCCTTGTAAAGTACGACACCGAGGACGAGGCAGCGGGCTTTGGCTCAATTGTGCAGAGGCTGAAGAGCATAGCCGAAGCAGATGCTGTAAAGGTAGGATACTCTTTTGTGCGGGACATGCCAGTTGCGTACTATAGCATAGAAAGCACGGGCGTGCTGTGCAAGGAGGTAGGCCTTTTTTCATATGTGCAGCCGGACCACACGCGCAGGCTATACAACATAAGCCGGGAGGAGGAGATTCCGAAAAGCACCCTTTGCATAGACGTGATAATAGAAATGCTGATATATAACATAGAAGTGTGCATAGAAAGCAGCATATCCATGGAAGGAAAGATAGACGGCGTGCTGTGCAGAATAGAGGTTCGCGAAGACGGATTTATTCTAGTAAACGGGAACATAGACACGTACAGAACGCTTCTTCTAAAGAGGACAGACTCGATGTACCATGTGATCCGGGAGACCGGAATAGAAATAGAGCAGCAGGCCAGAGGCATGCACGCATAGAGTGTGTCTGCAGGCTTTAAGCAGAGAAGCCATCCGCTCCAATACACGGGCCAGCTACACCTCTTTGCCATGCACCCGGCCGCCTGTATGTTTGCTGTATAGTAAGCTGTTTAATACGAATATTTTTATAGTGTGAATTAAATTATTGTTGAATTGTGTCCTGTTTCTTTGAGATGCAGAATCAGCTCGTTTCTGTTGGAAAAGACGCTTTTGCACTTGGCACATGACGTAGTGAACATGGTTCCCGCTCTTAAGTCAGGCTCCCTGTTTAAGGCCCGGGGCTTTCGCAGCGCTTTTTGAGGGGGCTCCTTCTTTCCGTGTTTTTTGGCAGCTGTGTGTTTTTCTTGCTTCCCAGGCGCGGCCTCTACTTCTTTGGCAGGAGCTGTTCTGGGGGGCTCGTTATTTCTTTCTACTGCATGCTCAGGCACACTTTCTATCTCACTGGGCAGAGGGGCTTTCTTCTCAGGAGCTGAGCTCTCGCTGGGGAGCTCTTCTAGGGCGCATTGCTCTACCTGGCGAATCAGGCTTTGGAGCTCCTCGGGAGACATCTCTTCTATCTTTTCTCTGTGCTTTTTGGACTTTGAATGGTTTCCCAGCTGGTTTAGGCTTTTAAACACTTTGTTGCACGGCTTGCATATGAAAACGTTTTCGTCTTTCTCCTTTTCCTTCCGCTTCTCGTCCTTTTTCTTCTGCTTCTCCTCCTCGTGCTTTTTGTACTCTGCCTCCATTGCCTTCTTTTCCTCTTCTGTCAGGCTGTGGCTGTCCGTTATTATAACGCCGTTTTTGCTCACTTTGGGCTTTACAATGTTCAAGTCTATCTTTTTGGGGACAACCTTCATCCGCTGATCTTTCTTTTGCAGAACCTTCGCGAGCTCTTTGATCTTCGACGAATACTCAGCCCGCTTCGCGTCTAGAACCTTTTTTAGGTCCTGCTCAACCTCTCGTTTTAGGGCTCTGGGGTAGTTTTCGTAGTTTCTGTCAATGTCTTCGCACATGAGGTTAAAATGCCGCAAAGACGAAAACATCGCATAGAACTCGTAGAAAGACTTTGGGTTTCCCTTTGAGTATCCAAAAGTGGGCGCTTTGAAAAGCCCCCCTCGTGTGATGTTTTCGATCCGGATTATTTCTGCAAACAGGTTGTTAATGGTGGAGTAGTTGCTCTCTTCTACTTTGTTTAGCGCCTTTGCTCTCGCCAAAAAGTCGTCTATGTCCAGCTCTGGCTCCTGCTTTCGCGGGCTCACCTTTTTGGCTGCCGCAGGAGGGCGCAAAAGAAACTCGTACGCCTCCTTTATTTCTATGAAAGCGTCGTCGGAGTACGCCTCGCCGCGGGATCGGGCTGCGTCCGGATGGTACTGCATGGCCATCCTCCTATATGCCTTTTTTATTTCGTCTTCTGTAGCTGTTTCAGATACGCCTAGCACCTCGTGCGGCTGTCTTTTTGGGTTTCTTGCAAGAGAGGAAGCTCCTTGTCCCATGAAAATATTCGCACATAAACAGAAATAAATAGAAAGCAGTAGAGCAGTGAAGCGGCCTGCAAATGCAGAGTGCAGACCGCATGCAGGGAAATGGGCTTGGCTGCGCATCTGAGCCAGATCTTTGCATAGGGCCATGCCTACATGTGCAGGCCGGGCTCTTTTCTATGTGTGGGCAGCATTTCAGCTTGGCAGTTACTTTTGCATCCGATTTTAGCAATACATTTTTTTATTCTAATGAAAGCACACAGCAGAATAGCAGGTCTTTTTGTTGGGCTTTTGGCTGTGTCAGCACACCCGACTGTCGTAGATCAGGATGAGCTTAAGCAGTGCATGGAAGATCTTTCCATTTACTTCACTGAAGAGTTATCTGCTCCGCGCGCAGAAGCCTTTTGCGCGGAAAGCACCTTACAGCCCGGAGAAAAATTGCCAATGCCCGCACCAAAGAAAAAGGGCAATCCCAGCATAAAAAAAGCGCAGGATGGCTTGCAGGCGCTGAAAAAGAGTCTGAAAGATGCCCGCACGGGCTTGGGCAATGTCCTAAAGGCTTACCAATCCTATATAGAAGCGCCAGAAAACGAAGCTCCATACATAATATCTAGCAAGGACAACGAGCACAGCGCCATCCAAGAAGACTACTACAACAAGAGCTTCCAGAATGCGATTGTGGAAAACATGGTAAATGAACTAGTGATCGAAAGGCAGATAAATATTATAAAAGGATTGGAGTGCGAAGAGCCTATGAAAATTCTTTCCAAACTAAAGAACAGGCAGCACACCCTTGAGGGCGGAAAGCTGGGTTTTGACACTGCTGATTATGCAATGCAAATGTACAACGAAGTCATTGTGATCCCGGCTACATGCATAAAAACAATAACAAAAGCAATTGCCTCGCCTTTTTTCAAAATCACCACAGCGAATACCGCGATCAAGACTTTTTCCTTCATTATCGATTCTGTTTTTAGAAAGCTGGACTACTCAAAAATCAGAATAGCAAAAAACCCGTACAATGACCTGGTGTGCGAGGCTGTGAACAAACTTAGCCTGTTTGTAGCACAGGAGGAGGAGCTTTTGAGCGGATGGGCCCAAGTAAAGGACGCAGAGCTGCTGATCAGAAACTTTAAAGCTGTCAAAAAGGCCACTGACGTTCTAAAGAAAGTGTGTCTGGACTACAGGATCGACATATTCGACAAGTACAACATCACAAAAAGAGAAGGCGAGGAGATCTTTCTCAGTGTGGGGAAATCCAACTCCGTGCCAATAGATGATGGATCAAACTCTCAAGGAAACCACATTGTCAACTGCCTGAAAAAAACTCACGAAGTCGATCTTGTTCGCCTGTTTTTAGCGCTAACGAACTACAAGAAATGCCTGGATGCGTGTATTTCCAAAATTGAGAGCGCAGCCACGGGCCCAAAGGGCGAGCAAGAAAGGCTGGAGGTGCTTAATGAAATAAAGCTGAAGGCCAAGTACCGGCACTGCATGCTTTTTCAGTCGCTGCAGAGAAATGCAGATGAGGAATTGGAGTCTGGCGCATTGCATGCGGAGACCATAAAGAAAATTGTTGAAAAAATCGGAAGGATTGGAAAAATAGACAAGAAAACCACATATGTAGGCTTCTTGTCCCACAGCACAATAACCAGCAAAATACACAAAATAGTCACGGCAGCGCACGCGCACTCTGGCTTGCTGCGGTATTACCCAGTGGACAAGATTCTGCTGGCTGAAATGAGAAGCAAATCAATGAAAAACTGGGTCGAAGAAGTACAGGCGCACATGGATAAGAAGAAGAACATAGAAAGTATCACGGAAATTTATTCTGGGGCCATGTGCAAAGAGCGCTTGAAGGGAATTGATGTAATGCCTATGCTCCAGGTGGCCTCCAACATTAAAAGCCAGCTGAACAATTTGCTTGCCAAAAAAAGCAATATAGCTATAAGCCCGGCCCCCAAACGGTATATAGATGACGCAGTCAAAACTCTAGACAAAATATGCGGCTTGCTAAAAAAACATGCTGAAAATGAGGATTTGAACTACCAGACTATAAGAAAAATCATAGTGGACATATTCCCCATATACAAAAGAATAATCAGCATGCTGTGCATTGAAAAATTTGACTTGCGAAACACCCTTCTGCTAAAGGAGCTATACTATCTGAAAAAGCTAGAAGGGCTGCAGACCGTTTCTCTTGAGCACAAAATACTAAACACCGTGTTTGAGTAGGCCTGGCGCCTTTGTGGCACATTCAAAGCTAAAACATGCAGATGGGCATGCACCACTGCAGAATCTATGAATGGCAGTCTGCGGACTTCCCTTATTATTAAAAGAGCCCGAATAACCCGAAAATGCTAAAAGCCCAGGGCACAGCACATGCCATGCCTTGCAATGCGCTTTGCAGCTTCTAAAGATGCATGCATGCATCTAGTGCGGCTTCTTTCTCTGGGGCGCCAAAAGAAAAGCTGCATATACGCAGGGCTTATGCTGGATTGTTTTCGCAGGCTAGACATGCTAGTGCCGCCGGCCTATTTGTCTTCGCGCATTTTGCGCTTTTCAATTAGGAATTCGGGCTTGGCATTGACAGACGCCAAATGCAGAAAGGCCATATAAATAAAAATGCATAGAGAAAATCAAAATACTTGCTCGGGCTGCTGCTGACAGCACACGCCAACGCACATGTATTGACTTGGCGGCGCCTTTCTTGCGCGCGGCCAAACACCTTTCTCGCGCTGTTTTATATGCACAGAAAGCGCAGGCCCCTTTTTCCGCCTTGGGCCTCTTGCGGTCGCGAGGCACCCATATTCTCCCCTTTGAAAAAGACTTTCAACATGCCTGAAAAAGTCACTATGCATGCATCATGTGCTGAAAAGCGCCCAATTTGCATGCATGCTTCTTGCAAAAGAATGCCTGCAGCTGTCCTGTCTGGCGACATGCTCCTTAATTCCTGGTTCGCCAATTAGGTGTTTGGAATAGGGGTTTTAATGCACAGAGTGCTCCTGGCTTCCCCTGTTTTGTTCTTCTATTTGTTCCTGCTTTTAATTCAGGCCACTTTGTGGAATAATCAGAGAAAAGCAGATATATAAAAAGAAAAATGCTTTTTATCTCTGTAAATGGAGGGCGAACGAGGAGTCTCAAAAAAAAGAAAAATACTGTTTGTCTTTGCAGGGATAGGAGGAATAGCTTTGTTGTGCGGGGCTTTTCTTTTTAAAGGATACAGCAAGAAAAAAGGCCAACAGGCGCCAACGTCCAATATGCTTCCAATACTAGACAGCTCGATTTTTGAATCGTTTAAAACAAAAATGGACGGTGAAATTTCAGATTCCTTGAAGTACACTAAGCCAAGCATAGCAGATATGAAGAAAGAAATCAAAAGAGTACACGATGCGCTTCAGTCTAAGAACATGTGGGAGTTTATTGTTTCTCTCCGAAAAGGAGCCAGAGCCAAGATGGAGCTTCTTACCGAGATTTATAACAACCCCAAGGACTACAAGTATTTCAGAAACACAGACACGCTGTATCGCGAGACAATTAGGCAAATGATGGCGTTCATTGAGAGGCAGTGGCCGGAGGTGTGTTATTCGGACAAGCCAGAAAAATTCACCCTGGGGTACAGCCACATAAACTATCCTATATCGGCAGCGGACATTTTTTTGAAGCAGCCTCAATACGAAAGGCTTTTGGACGACACAGAGAAACTCAACATAAAAATTCAAGGCCGCTCCCAGGAGCACAATTTTCTTTGCACGGCCGTAGAAATGCTCATGAGCATTCCAGAGGTGTTCTTGGACCTCATCCGAATAGACGATGAGTTTTTATTCGTTCTAAGAAAAAACTGGATTAAGCGCTTGGGAAATTTCAAGCTTTCTATCTTCCTAGACCACTGCCTAAAAAGAAACCACATAAAGCCAGAGGTAAAGATTCAGAAGGACGAAAATTTCCTTGTCTACATGGTGGAGAGCATGGCAAGGCTAGCAAAGTACCATATTGAGCTCAAGGCCGATGGAAGCGACACGGCTGCGCTTTTAAGCGAAATGGAGAAAACTGTGGAGGAGCTGCACGAAAGCCTAGTCAAGTTTATAGAAATACACTACCTAGGCCCGCTGAGCACTACCATTGTCTATAAAACGCTTTTCAGCGTTTTGACAGTTTTCTACGAGGCATGCCCATACGTGTACAAGGAAAAGGAAATAGAGGGGAAGAAGGTGGTGCTGCCCAGAAGATTCTTAAAGAGCGTGTTTTCTATAGATGGACTGGAAAACACCCTGGAATACATTGGTGAGCCCGAGTGCAGCTTGATAACTAACGACCAGATGACGCTGAATGCATCCAACAAGGATTTCCAACTTGTATATTATGTCGACAACCAAGACCAGATGCAGAAACCCGTTCTAATTCCTATGTATGGATATTCTATAGAAGCCTCCGAAATAGCAAAGTATATTTCTGCACTCTATAGAAAGCTCCCCGAGAAAATACATCTTCTTGGATACAGCCCCACCTCTTGCAAATGGACATATAGAGACCCTCACTCAGTGATGTTTACAGGAACAAACAGCTCCAACATTGGAGAGATTCTTGTCTTCTACTACATCGCGGAGAGCCATCCAAAGGATGAAGAGCAGATCAAGAAGGAGGCAAAAATGACTCCAGAAGAGAAAAAGAAGATGGAGGAGGAGAAAAAGAAGAAAATCGAGGCTACGGGCATAGAGGAGCCAGAGCACCTGGATCTTCAGTTCACAGAGCTTTCGCAGGAAGGATCTGAAACCAGCCGCCCTGGAATGGTGAACTTCCCTCTATTTTTGAACAAGCTGTTTGTCTCTATGCTAGACTCTGCCAAATATGAGTTTAATCCTAGGTATGCACAGGACTCTGTGTACACACTAAAGCGGTTCGGCGATGTTAATAACATCGCCCCATGCTTGTTTGTGTGCAACTCCGAGAGCTCTTTTGCATACAGCAATCTCTGCTTTGACCCCACTGCAAACAGCCCCGAGAATGGGGGCCGGTTTATGCTGATCTCTAATGTGATAAAAACCCAAATGGCTGGAACGCGCGCAAATCCACAATACGCCACGATGATAACGTACTACACGCCGGACTTTGAAGTGGGGCAGTACTACAACCTCTATCCAGAGAACTTGAAGGCCATCGGCCTCAGCATCTCCAACCTATTTGATCCGTTGAGCAAAAAGGCGGGCACCGAATTCTTTAAAGACTATGCAATAAAGTCCGCGATAGTTTCCTCCCCAAGTGGCGCCCGCGGGGCCTGCTTGATTTCAAACTCCGCCAGCGACCCTTCATCTCGCAACGTCAAGGTCCTTTGTACAGACGAGCAAGCGGCCAGCGAGCTGGAGACTAAACTGAGCCAGGACGTGCTGACAGAGGAAGTAAATACTTGGGAGCTAGAGCTTGCTATTCTCCACCCAGTAAGGAGCACGGTGCCAGGCTTTTTGGGACTACGAAAATACGCAGTGAAAGAAATGTGTCTAGACGAGTGAACACTTTGCAGCAATAAAGAAGGGGTAATTATGTTCTTTTGTGTTCGCAGGCTGCACCCGCATGCTACGCCAGCGCAGCCTGCTGTTCTTTTTCCGCCTGCTCTGGGGCCGCTTGCAGTGTGTTCGGCCAAGTGCTCATATTTGCGATGTTTTTTTATTGCCATGTCAGAACTAACCCCAACAAAAGGCCGAAGGCGAACAGTCCAGGTGCAGGAGGCAAAAGAGTCCAAAGTCAGAAGAAAATCCACCCAGCCAAAGACGAACCGGGAGTTTGTGTGTAACATACAGAGCACCATACAGAAACTGCTGGACCAGGAAGACACAACCAAGGACGCTACAATAACTGTGGACGACTCGGGCCCAAAGAGATACTTGATGGAGATGGACCAAGGCAACAGCGCCTGGATAGAAGGAAACTACTCGATCTCCACCCTGCTGCAGGAGCTGGCTCTGGCTGACATAAACCTGAAAACAGTAATAGTGCCTGAAACCATTATAAACGAGCACACAATAAACAGGCTCACGCGGCTTATCAAAACGTGTTTTTGGCCAAATCTAAGAAGAGTTTTGGACCTGAACGGGCTAAAGCTGGCTCTCATAGACACAAAAATATCAAAAGTTGAGTACTTTCTATATGTTCCCTCTTTTGACACAGAGAGCATTGCGTACTACAAAGACACAATTGAGAGGCTGCAGGAGGCAGGGTTTCTGGTGAAGCTTGTAAAAATCCGGCACACAAAAGACTTTCCGTCTGGCGTGTTCTTTCCCGACACGCTCGCGTCCCGAGGAGTACTATGCGACACCGCGCCGGGGCTGCTGTCTCTTTCCACGACATACTTTTCTGCCTTGCCCATAGAGGGCGCAGAAGAGCTGGGAAAAGAGGGGGCAGCACAGAAGGCAAAGCCCTCTGCCTCTTGGCACAACCCTGTGGTTCCTCCTTCTGCGCGAGGAGGGCGCATTACCAGGCAACGCGGGCCCTGCCCATTCTATGTGCCTGGCGGAAGATTCAATGAAATGTATGGGTGGGACTCGTACTTCATTGCAAAAGGCTTGATTTTGTCGGGCGAGGTCTCGGAGGCTTTCTGCATAGCCGAAAATCTAAGGTACCAGATTGAGGCATACGGGAAAATACTCAACGCAAACCGAACATACTATCTGTTTAGGGGGAACCCTCCTTTTTTTTCAACGCTTATCACCGAGCTTCTTGCCCACCTTACCCCCGAAGAGGCGCTGCCGCTTGAGGACTGGGTGAGCTCCGCGGTGGACGCTATGATAAAGGAATACTACTACTTCCACCGAGGATACAATGAAGAAATCGGCCTTACAAAGCACGCGCCCGGCGGAAAGGGGATTCCCATGGAGACGGAGGAGGGGCACTTTTTTACAGCAATTCGGGACATGGTCCCCGGGTCTGAAAATTGGACACCAGAGCAGCTGAACGAGTACATTGACATGTATAACAAAGGAGACGTGCACTCCAGCGATCTGGAAGAGTATCTGCAGAACGACAGGGCGGTTCGAGAGTCTGGGCACGACACTTCAAAAAGAGTAGACGGCATTGCATCGCATTTATACACGGTGGATCTTAACTGTCTTCTGTACAAGACCGAGCAGGACATTCTTTCGCTGCGCCATGTTCCTGAAATTGCTGAAATATCGAGAAAGAGAAGAGCTGCAATCAACCAGGTACTTTGGAATGGGCGCTTCTACTACGACTATAATGAAAAGACAAAAAAGCTAAGCTCCTACAAAGGAGCAACCGCGCTGTACGCGCTGTTTAGCAGAGCAGCCGACCCTGAAAAGGCGGATGTGCTTGTGGAGGAGCTTGCAGACTTGACAGGGCCTGGTGGAATATTCACAGGCACCGAAGAAAGCTGCCGCGCTCTTACAGAAAAAGACATGCAGCGGCAATGGGACCACCCGTACGGATGGGCCCCCCACCAAATGATTGGGTGGATTGGGCTAATGAACTACGGGAAGGAAGCCCTTGCCAGATCGCTTGCTCTTAGGTGGTGCACCATGCTGGGAATAATATTTTCCCAGTACAATGGAGTGGTGACCGAAAAGTACAATGTGCAAAAGAGCACCCACAAGGTAAGCGTAGAGTACGGAAACATTGGAACAAACATAAAGCATGTCCCCCGAGAAGGGTTTGGGTGGACAAACGCGTCCTGGCTTTTGGGGCTTGCCCTTCTATCCGAGAGCGGAAGAAGGCAGCTGTATGCTCGCATTGTGCTGGATTAGGCAAGCTTTATACGCGCCGCGAAGGCAGAAGCTTTCTACTTGTCTCGTTAGAGCCTGAGCTTTCGCATAGAAACGCAAAGCATGCAATGCATGCTTTTGGGTGCTTGCTGAGCTCGGCCGAGATAGAATGTGTAGTTCCTATGCTGCAGCATCTGAAACCAGAAGCGTACTGCAGGGCATTACACGCTTTCAGAAATATGCCCCGAAGCCCATGCACACAAGTCTCTATTGCCGAATAGCGCCTTGTACACAGTGTGCATGGCGTGCGGCCTAAATTGCTTAGAGCTAAAAAGTCTATGAATTTTATTTGCAGATGTGCTTGGGCTTAAAATAAAAGCATACGTTTTATATTTCATGCAAATCTTTGAAAAGACTTTTCTAAAAAACATTGCAGCTATGCGAAATTGGCATGCAGGCCTGCAAAGGGCCTTCTGATATATCTGCGTGAATATGCTGCTGCAGAAATTGCTCTCCGTATAAAGGATGCAAATGCGAGCTCTGTTTTTTAGGGGTAGCAATGGACAAAGAGCAGATGCTGCCCACATTTTAGGAGCAAGTAAGACAGTGTATCCGAGCCAGAATGCATGCAGACACACCCATGTAGCAGTCTGACCGGGCGCAAACGGGTTTTATTCAGGCAGCTTTATTCATTTTTTATCTTTCTTCGGCCAGCAAACTCGCGCACAAGCATATGTATGTGTATTCCCTTTCGTATGCCTATTATCCCTGCAGAGTACAGAACTTCCTGCACATTCTTCCCGAGAATTACGCTTTCCAAAAGATCTAGCGCGCAGGAGCAGGTCTGCTCCAAGAGATGTCCGCCTAGGCACAGCCCGCGGGCTGCAGACAGCAGAAACAAAAGCCCGTAGAGCACCATATTGTGGCTGTATATGTATTGGTATATTCCTACACGGGCCTTTCGCTCTGCGCTTTCCTGCTTTTTTTCTGCCTTCGTGGAGAGCATGTGCATTTTCACACACTTGTAGACATGCGCTGCAGCCTTTTTTATGCGGGCGGCCGCGCTCGGATTCGCTTCCATCTCTATTCCTGTCCACAGACAGTTTCTTCCGCCTATGTGCTTGCTTCCTCCTGCCTCTTTTTGCCCGTTTATCTCATACCCGCCGGGGACATTTCTCTTCAGCACCCGAAGAAAGACGCCGGTGTCTACGTGTTTCAGATAAAAGTCTTCGTCGCTATGCATGGGGGTTTTTCTGCTGATGTCACCTTCTTTGTTTATTATGACGAACCTGTTGTTGCTGCTGTGCGTAGGAACGGTGGAGACCTCCTGGTTTGAAGTAGTTAGGGGGGAGGCCACGTCGAAGGTGTGCAGGTATTCTCCTGTTCGCACATCCTGAAGATAAACATAGGATCCACTGGTTATGCGCAGGGTTGGGAGGGGGTTTCCCCCGTCCAAAAGTATCCTCCACTCGGTGGTCAGGCTCTTTTTGGGCACGCCTACAACTCTCCGGTTTCCGCTGCCATGCTTGTTCTGCGACGCCCCATAGTAGTCCTGCATAGTAGACATGTACACAGAGTTTGAGTGCAGTGAAATAACAGAAGATGACATCAGAGGCGTGCTCCCAATGCCTTCTTGGCGGTACACAAAGCATGCCCAGCCAGCTGTTATCGCCATTGAAATGCATATGGGAATCACGCTTTTGCTTTTGATGCTCCTGTACAGCGCCCTTCCGTGCGAGACGTCGGTCAGAATGGGGATGTCCGTGCAGTGGAGAAACGAGTGCAGAAGAAGCACGTGTCCCCTGTGCATAATAAAGAATATGTCGTGTGAGTTGAGAAGAAAGTACAGCACAATAAGGGACTTGAAGGGCGTCTCCCCCACCCAGTAGGAGGTGCAAACGATGGCCAGAAGGCTGTACAAGTTTACACTTGCGTCTAGCTTCGGAAGTATAGAAATGAGTATAAAAGAGCATGCGCCTGCAGTAAGCACTCTGTTGCTTATATGCGCCATTGTTTACTTATGCAGGCAAATATTTAACCCCGAATATTTTATTTATTTGCATGGATGTGCTTTATGGAGTAGCTGGAAGAGACTATGTTGTGCTGGCGTGCGATACAATGTATAGAAATAACGTGCTTGTGCCCAAGAACGACTATAAAAAGTATGTGGACATCTGCGGCAAATCCGCCGTGATATCCGGAGGGAAGCAGGGGGACTGCTCCAGAGTGGTTCAAGGCGTGCTCGAAGGGCTGAGGTATGAGAGCATCGCAAACGGCTTGGAAATAAGCGAGAAGGTCTTTGCAAACGCATTGCAGATGGAAATATACGGGCGGCTGCGCAAGGCGCCGGTTGAGGTCTGCTCTATTATCGGAGGCATGTCAGAGGGAAGCGGGCGCCTGTACATGGTTGATCAGTATGGCGCATGCTCGTCGTACAAGCACATGGCGTATGGGTATGGAGCGCCCTTTTTCATCACGTGCATGAAGAAGCGGCACACAGAGGACACAAGCGCCGAGGAAACCATAGAAATAATAAAGGAGGTTTACGAGGGCGTAAAGAGAAAGCTTGTTCTTAATTACGGGAGCATGTATTTCTACATAATCACAAAGGAGGGCACGCAGCGTATTGAGGAATAGCTGGGCGCATAATGCATGTGCAGCGGAGGCCGCTGTGTTTATTCGCAAAAAGGTTCTGCCCGAAGGATAATAAATAGCAATGTGTTTGTAGTGGATTTATTTATATGGAAAAGCTGCATGGAGATGCGCAGAAGATCCTTAGGGTGACCTATCTGTCGGTGCAAAAGTTCAAAGGGGCTCTAGCAAGCGCAGGGCCCGAGGCCGTGAAGGAAAAAATAGGCCTTCTTGTCGAGTATCTGGGGAAAAAGGAGAAAGAGTGTGTAGAAGTAGAGAAGCAGATGAAGATCTGCGAAGAAAAGCAGAAAGAGCTAGAAAAAAGAGAGGTTGATGTGGAGCTTGTTAAGTTTTTGGCCGAAAGAGGATTTAAAAGAACAGCACATACTGTTCAAGACTATTATAGCTTGCCTGTGCTCTTGGATGCCCAGGCGAGTGCGCCCGGGGGCGTCTTAGGCATAGACTCTCAAACCCTGGATGAGGCTGGAGGGCTAGAAAAGCGCCAGCGCATGTCTATACATAGGGAAATAATTCAGCTGTGCAAAACAGCCAGCACAAAGATGTCTGCATGCGATCTTGTGAAAAAGAATGCAGGGCTTTTTCCCAGCAGGCTGCTTCCCCTTCTGGTGCTCCCATGCGACACGAAACTATTCAAGTCCTGCTTAAAAGAGTGCCAGGATGGCGTGCTGGAAGACCTTGCAGCTGGCAGCCCGGAAAAGAGCAGCTGCTTCTACAGAAGGGTTGCGCTGGGAGTGTCTGGGTTTATTACGCCTGCCTGCAAGGAGAGCCTGGACTCTATGTGCCCAGGCTGCTGCCAAAACACGTCCAAAATAGCAGGCGGCTTTCCTCGAAGCACCCGCAGCAGAAGCCAGCCGCTGTGCAGTCAGTTGCGAACAGTTATATCCCCAAGCCAAGCAACATATGTTACAAGAAACGGGGAAATATACAGCGAGGGCGGGCTAGAAGACACGTCCCTGTGCAAAGTTGTAAAAAGATGCTATTTTGTGTAGAAGAAGGCACAGCAAGGCGCTATTTCAGCACCGCGGCACGCCTGCTGCCACAGCGCAGCGGGGCATTTAACAGCGCAAGCACACTGTTTGTGCAGGACGAAGCTAGGCTGCCCAGCCCTTACTGCATCTTCATGCGGGCATCCGGAAGCGAAGCAGGTGGGCGGGCCTTTGGCTGGCAAGGCTTTATTTCCAAAGCCGGCCTTCTTTCTTCCAGTGCGCACAGGCTTACCGTTGGAGCTTTCTGCAAGAATAAAAGAAATGCATATTTATATTTTCTAAAGTGCCGCAGCCGCCTTGCATTGTGCCATTATGAAGATATAGTTTATTAGTCCTTTTGGAAGTAGTTTGGATTGGCCTTGTATAGCTGTACGTATACGTGTGACCCTATAAAGGTAGGCGACAGGTTCTTCTCAAACCTTGCTCTGACCACTCCAGAGTTTCCGTGCACTCTGTGGATGTATCCCATAACAACTCTCTCCTTGTACCCGGACAGCTGCACTTTGGTTTTTGGAATGTAAAGCTCAACGGCTCTTCCGATGTACTTTTCTGCCTGTTCTTTTGTAGTTACATTCTCCATTTTAAGCAGAGCGTATCTTGGGTGGACAGATCTCTGCGATCTTTTGAAAGATACAAAGGTGGCCGGAATGCCTACTCTTTCCCTGGCTTCCACCATGGCTTTGTACTCTGTCTCTGTCTTTGGTATTATTTCTGTGTTCATTGCAGGGATGGTGAAAATTAAAAAAATTTAAAGAGCAAGATTCGCTGTCTGTGCACAAAGCCCCATGCGTGTGAGCAGGCTGAAAAAACGGGCGTGCCAAAACCCAAAAAAAGAAGAGCTTTAGCACGGACTTTTCCTAGAAGCCACAAAAGAAGAATTTGTGCGCAAAGGGCTGGCTTAGAGGCTGGGTGGGTGCCTTTGGCGCGGCTCTGGAAATGTGCGCCATGGCACTTCTCGTAAAGGGAGAGAGCAGCGTGCAGTGAGCCCGGCGCGCATCTGCTGAATCCTGTCTGGAGAAGCCCAGCAGGCTTGCCCAGACGGGGTTGCTCCGGCAGGAGATTCTGTCCTTTGGGTAAATAAGCAGAGACTTGCACGAAATGCCGTGTGCAGGTTTAGAGCGAATAATGGGCAGGCCCAAAGTCTTGTTTGTGGCGCTTTCCGCCGGCTCTTAATTGGTTCCTGTCCGCGGATAGACCCTAGGCGCACACAAATCCTCTTTTTGGCATAGAATGACAGCGTGCTTCTCTCTTTCAGTTGGCCTGTGCACGTGATTGGTGTAATCTACTGCATATGCAAGGTATAAAAGAGCAGGATTTTTATGCAGTATGGACAAATACAAGAAAATAGTAGGAGAAAGCAAGCTGAAGGAGCTTCTCAACACTGCATACTCTCGAATAGAGCAGCCGTCTATAGAGGTGGTGATGGGAAACCCTTCCTGCGACCAAGATTCCTTCATAGGGTCGCACATCCTGGCTGCTGTGATGGGCCGAGTTCCTGTGGTCAACCTGTGCCGTGAAATATTCGAGTGCAAGCACGACTTGGTGAAGGTGTGCGACATAATGGGGGTGTCTATGGACGAGCTTGTCTTTCTGGCGAAGCAGGGCAGCGCATGGTTCCTGCAGAGAGGCAGCAAAAAGTATGCGCTCGCAGAAAAGAAGATAACTGCGCTGCTTATTGACTTCAACCTTCCGGACAAGGACCTACTGCTGTCGGAGGGCTTCTCCATAGACAGAATAATCGATCACCACCCAATACTTGAGTTTAGCCAGAAGGTGCACAGCAAGGCCGCAGGCATGGACATTGAGCTGTGCGCAGGCTCTTGCTGCTCCCTAATATACAGGTTCGTATGCAGCCAGTTTGCAAAGACGCTTGAAGAGAAGAAGGCAACAAAGGAGTACAACTTCCTGCTTCTTTTGAGCATTCCCATTATGACAGACACCTCGGGGCTGGAGAGCAGAGTGCACGACGTAGATGTCAATGGAGTGCGCTCCTCGCTGGGCGCGGCCGGGGCTTCCATGCAGGACGCACAGGAGGTTCTGGCCAGCCTCAGCAAGCTTAAGAAGTGCGAAGACAAAATAAAGACGGAGCTTATATTGCAAATGGACTACAAGCCATTTGACTATCCAGCAAACCATCCGGGAAAGTCTTTCGGCATATCCTCGGTGAAGTATGCATACGATGACTGGGTGCAGAGGGATGGAAAGGAGGAGTGGAAGCGGAAGGTGAAGGAGTTCGTGCAGGGGAAGGGGCACGAGTTCTTCATCATAAACTGCAAGGTAAAGGGCGTGCGGGAGCTGTATGTGTACAATGCGCCTGGCTCGGGGCTAATAGAAAAGGGAATATACGAGGGAAAGCCTGTGAGCAAGAGGTCTGTCGCCGGGGACAGTGAGATAGTTGTGTACAATGTGAGCCCCACAATAAGCAGGAAAATAGTGGCACCAATGATATACAAGTATCTTTCGGAGCAAAACAACTAATAAAAAACATAAAGAGTTATTCTTTTTTTTTAATGAAGAGGTCGGAAATGCAGATATGCACACGAGAAAAGGGCAGTGAAAAAGAAAAAAATGCAGAGGGCGCGCTGTTGCCGCAGGCCGCTGAAAAGCCAAAGAGAAGAACGTCAATTGCAAAGAAAAAAGAAGCTGCTCGAAAAGAGGCTGAAGAGAAGCTGAAGGAAATGGAGAAGAAAAGGCCTCTGAAAAAAGCCATAGCCATAAAGGAGGAGGAGCGGCGGCGAGAAGAGGAGAAAAAGGCTGCCAGAAAGGCCAGGCTTAAAATGCGAGCTCTTGAAAAGAAGATGGAGAAGGCTGCAGGCGACGCTGTCGCCAAAGCTGCGGATGTGATCTCTGTGGAGAAGAAAACAAAGCAAAGCGCTGCACCCAGAAGCGCGCGCGCCAAGTCCATCAAGCTGACCCGAATAGGCCCCCAGGAGGAAAGAATAACAAAAAAGGCAAAAAGGCCTGAGGTGATAGAAGAGGTTTTGAACCACCCAGAGAAAAAGGTCGAGATTCAGAGGATGCTAAGCGAGCTGCACGTGGAGGGAAGAAAGGAGGAAATCATGAAGATTTCGAAGTGCCTATACGACCCAGCGGTGCACACAATATACGTGCATGGGATGCCGGGGACGGGGAAAACGCACGTGCTGAACAAGATAGGCGTTCTCCTGGGGAAGCAGCGGGTGGAGGTGTATTACTGCAACTTGCTGATGGACAATGGGTTCAAGAGGATCGGGGGAATGGGCTTCTCCACCACTGTGGTTCTAATTGTCGACGAGTTTGAGGGGGAAAAAAAGGACAAGATGTTTATCCGGCAGAAGGAAAAGCTGGAGAGGCAGTTCAAGCGGGACGAAAGAAAAGAGTACAAGTTCAAGGTGATTTTGATCAGCAACGACTACAACAGCAAGGGAATACACTTTAAGCCGTACAAAAAAGAGGCCATGGACGTGATCATTGACGAGAAGAGCAGCGCTGCGAGCAGCCCGGAAACTATGGTGAGCGTCCACCAGGGAGTCATGAGGAGAGATATTCGGGCAGCGCTTGCCAAGCAGATCCAGAACTCAAGGCCAGGAAGCAGCGAAACGGTTGGCCTGTACCACCAGTTTATAAAGAAGATGGTGCAGCAGGGAGAAACCAGCGTAAATAAGATATACAGCGATTTCTTGCAGAGCATGAAGGAAAAGGGTGCGTCGGTGATGCCAAAGGAAATTGTACGGGACATAATAGAAGGATATCTGGACGGGACACTTTTGTAAATTTTCGGGAGGGCAAAAGATAAATAAATAAAGCGTACGATTTGGCTTGATTTGGTAGAGGTTTAAAGGCGGCACAAAAAGAAGCAAGTTTATTTTCGCTGGTGCGTTTGCAGAGCCCAGCTGAAATGCGAACACGCCGAATGGATGGATTGAGGGGCGCGCAGATGCATATGCATAAACAAAACATGCCGCGCACTTTGCCAAGTAAATAATAGTCTGCTCTATTAGGTGGGCCGGCACTTGCTCATTTCTTATCGTGTATGAGGGCGTGCAGATTCTCTTGTATTTCTGCTGGTAGTTGTTTACAAAATGCACATGGCGGTGGCTAGTGCTAACATCTGCAGTTTTGCGGTTGCATTGCGTTTTGTGTGCTTGGCTTTTTATGTAAGGCCGGTTGCTGCGGACAGTCATTTTCTTCTGTAGTAGGGCATGCTGTGTCTATAAACAGGGAAAGCGCCGAGTAGGCCTCATAAAACATCTTTGAATGAAAGCTGCTCTTGTTATGTGCACGGCGATTGATGTTTTCTGCGAGCTTCCCAAAGTTAGATCCCGATGCTGTCGCGTACAGAAATTTTAGGATATTGTTTTTTCGTGTCATTTTTTCCTCTCCAGTCCGGAAAAGCTCTTTATCCTGTATATTTTCTATTGCTAGGTTGAACGAGTCCAGGTTTATATTTTCGAAGCTGTCTAAAACCTCTGGAATGCAAAGCATGCACAAATAGCCGTTTGCGTATATCCTGTTTTTACCACACAAATACATTCTTTATTACAGCAACTATTAGAAGAACATAGCATAGAGAAAGAGTATGCATTTTCCAAATGCTTCGTAAAAGAGACGCCGCCGAGTATGCGGGGTCTGGATATCGTGCAGGCACATTAAAGCATGCAGCGCCTTTGTCGCGTTTGCTTGCCGCCTGCTACTTTAAGCTTTTTACGTCTTTAGAAAGCTTCTTGGCCCGGCTGGCCGTGTCCTTGTCCAATATTTCCATCTCCTTGGCAGCATGCGTTTGCGCTTTTATTCGCTGGGTCTGCGAGTGTACGTTTTGCCGCAGAGACTGAAGGCCCGCCAGAGTCTTTTCTAGCTGGTCGTCCACATCGTCGCCCGAGCCAGAGTCTTCTAGCTGGTCTACCACTGAGCCATCCGAACTGTCTGTGCTGTATAGCCCGCTTGACTCGTCTGCGCTTTCGCTCAGCATGGCTTTTTTTTCCTCGTTCTCTGCTTCTGAATTAACCTTGTTCTCATGCCACGTCTTTCCGCTGAAAAAGTTCTTTACTTTGTCCAAAAAGCTGCTTTTTACGACAATTATGTTCTCTTCTTTTTTTATGCGCTGTGTAATCTCTTCGTCTTCGCCGACTTTTTTCCGGATTCTTTTCTTTGCTTTAAGCGATCTGTTCAGCTTCTTTCCCTGGGTCTTCAGGGCTTTTGTTGTATCATGAGATGTTCGTATCGAGCCGGCCAGGCCTTTGTTTGCTTGTTTTAGGGTGTCAAGCAGATCATCCTCCACCACTTTGTCGTTGCTGGACGTGCTGCTGTCTTCATGAAAAGAAGCCGCCGTGCCTTTAGGCGTGTTTTCTGCAGTGCCTTCCATAACCTAGCAAGCTCTGAAACAGGCGGCAGCATTTATTCTGCAGAATGCACCAAAAAGCATGCACAAGAGTCCAAGTAACCAATGTGTGCAAAAGGCCCAATGCATATGGCGCTGGGCGCGGTAGGAAGAAAGTGCGCAGAACACAAGAGCGGGCGCCCCCAGAAAAGCATTGTAAAATCGGGGTTAAGGTGAACTAGTTTATTTTTAGCGCCTTCATGCATATTCATTTTTGTTGGTGTATATGGCGCGCGCTGTTTCTAAGCACTCAGTGAATGGGCAGCATGCAGAATGTTGGCCAGCATCTATGAATTCTTAAAGATAGAATGGATGGGAATAGACGGAAGCGTCCATTTCCTTTCTTTCAGCTCCTGTAGAAACTTTACTAGGTCGTTCCCTTTAATGCGGGCTGCATGCACTATGCTCTTGAAGTCATCCGCTTTAATGCATGCAAAAGCGCTGCCCAGAATGAGTATGCTCAGAAGCACAAACCAGAGCACGTATAGCAGCGAGCGCTTTTTTGCAGGCACAGGCAGATTCCCAGTGTGGGTCTGGCTGCTGGCTTCGGCAGGGGCTATCGCCATATTGAAGTGCGCCAGCTTATTCAGGATGTATTTCCTCATGGGGCTGTTGCAGATTTCATACTGCAACATCTTGTAGGCACTGACCGCGTCAACACAGTTTTCCCTAGCATGTTTAATCTCATAAGCGCGCGTTTGCTTTGGGCTGTGCAGCAGATAGTTTATATTTGAATACCTGTATCCATCATCAGTTATTTTGTGGATTTTTTGGAAAATGTTTGTAAGCTCCTTTCTATACTCATGCATGAATAGCAGAAAGTCATAATCATTAGATTCAAGACATGGTTTTCGGGATTTCCGTGAGAAGTAGCACCCAATTTCGCTGCCGTGCAGGCCCAATTGTCTCAACAAAGAGTCTATGTGGGATTCGAAATGATTCATCTTTGTTCTAAAGAGGTATATAGCATGGGCAGGCCCTAATATTCTGTCTTTTTTCATTTCTTTGTGCTCGTGATAGAACTTCTCCAAGATCTCGTTGTATTTTTGATTTATGAACCGCCTCTCGCACAGTGTTGCGTTTACGTGCCTCAAATACTCTAGCAACGATAGCCCCGGGATGGCTTTGGCATTCTCACACAGAGCAAACAGCCTTTTGCACACACTGTCCAGTATGCCAGATTCAATTAGCGCCTCCACAGCATCACACACCATTGTGTGGTCTTCCTTTCTTATGGTTTTGGGGAGATTATAAAGCTCGGGGATTGTCTGGCTCTCGAGAATTTCTCTCACTACAAGACGAATGATTTGGTAGGCCTGGTCAGCTGTGGAAATCGAGATTTTTTTGCTTATTTTCACCTTTATGTTCTGCATGATGATGTCTAGCAGGGAGGAGATCTCCATCTCCCCAGCCTCCATCTCCTCGCCTTTGAAAAGGCGGAAGTTGATGTCAAACATAACTGATGTTTTTTTTATATGCATGCTAAAGGCCTTGCCTACGTCTTCTCTGATCATAATCTGTTTTGCAAAAAAAACAAATCAAAAAAGAAGAAAAATACTCTGTGCACAGTGGATACCCCCGCAGAGTGCTAGAATATGCACGCCAGCACTGTTCAAACGCACCCTCTACAGTGCGCGCGTTAAAGTTGCAGCATGCCACGAAGCTTTGTGCTAAGCGGGGCAAAAATGCGCGAAAGCACTGCGTCAAAAGGCCTGCAAAATGGCGCACAAATATATCATGAGCAGATAAAATAGCTGTGCAGGGGTTTAGCCCGATATGCGGCCTTTCCCACGATAGCGTGTGATGCGGTCTGCTAAAAGAAAGCCCAAGCATCCAATCGCCATATAAGTCTGCTTAAGCGCAGAAAAAAGCTGCTGCTAATCTGCCGCAGCGGCCGGTATAATAGTCGAAAAGTATAGTCTGCGGCAAGAAGTAAAGTTTTGCACAGCGCGTTTTATTTATGGGTTCACGTTTATTTCTTGCAAGCGCAGACAGACTATATCTCTATGTCCACGAGAATGTGCAGAAACCTGTTTAGATCCACGCACGTAAATATGTTCTGGTTTTCCGAAATCTTTGGAAGCATGCCAATCAGCTTCTTAATGACAGAGGGCAGCTTCATCTCTTCATCCTCTTGCACCTTGTATATTCTGCAGAGAGCGTCAAATATTTCGGGGTACGCATACTCGCCTGCCAAAGAAACAGCCGCGGTAAGCCCGGACTCGTACAGCACCTGGTGCTTCACCATGACCATCTTTGGATCTGTCTCTTCTTGGTTCCGCGCTGGGGGAGGCACCTTGCTCCGCCCAATCTCTCTGTTGTATAGGTCTATGAGAATGTGGGCCCTCTGCACGTCTCCCAGCGAGAGAAGCAGCTGCGTCCCGTCCATTGCGATTCTGTATGCGTTTTCCTGGGAAGATATACAGCTTGAAGCTCTTTTTTCATGTGAGTTAAGGAATGTTTTAAAGGCCGTTAATATGATTCCTCCTGCGTATTTATTTCCTCCGCCAATAAGCCCCTCTACGGTTGCGCAGTAGTTGTACACCACATACCCTATTTTTTTGTCCTTTGCCAAGGCTATCAGATACTTGCGCATGCCGTTAATTCCCATGTACTTCAGAATGGCGCTGAACAGAATCAGGTAGAAAGACTCGCTTTTTTTGGTTATGCCGGGCGGCGCCAGCTCCAAAATCCGGTCTACGTCGCCCGAGTGGCCCAAAAGCATAAAAACCAAAGGCAGCAGGTCGCCTCCGCTCCGGATGGCTCCCCACAGCATGTCGCATATCTTTTCGTTCTTTTCGGACACGCCCTTAGAAATCACTATCCCCTTGCTGTGCTTGTCTACAATGGTGTCCTTCTCCACGCCGGTTTTCGACAGCAGCAGGATCTTATATAGATACATCCGGCTTTTATTTCGGCTGGTGGTGCTGTCTGTGTTCAGCACGCTGTCTATGTTGTACAGCACACACTCTGCAGTGTACATAAAGTGCTTGCTCTTGTGCTGCTCTATAACGTACTCCAAAAGCGCAATTGCCGTGGGAATGTGCTGCAGCTTCTTTGCCTCGTCCATGGCCGCAGCCTCTTTTGAAAGCAAGTCGGTTTCTTTTTTCTGGTGCTTGGTCTTGCTGCTTTCGTAGTTCTTGTACAGCTCTATTACGGTGTCGACCTTCAGAATGGGAATCTGCACAATCTTGACGTATGCCTCTTTAACCCTCTCTGCATCCTCATCTTCCATTAGGCTCTCCAAGTACCGGATCTTTATGTCTACGCTGTGGATATTGTACAGAGTGCGCGTGTATGCCACAGAAATGGCTTCTTTCATTAGGTCCTTGTTTGTCGAGCTGACATAGGCTAGATACTCGGTGTAGAGATCCACGCTGAAAGAGCTGTTTAAGTGCTTAGAGAATATGCTCTCCACTCTTTTGTAGTTTCTTTTTTTCATGGCATCTCGCACATCGTCTTCTAAGCGCATAAAAATAAAATAAATAATGCATATAACCAAAGATACCTCTTGCTGCATCTGGCGCCTAGCAGAGGCTTCGCATGCAAAAAGAAAGCCTTTGCAGCACGCAGCAGGCAACAACGAGCGTGCAGCAGGTGCTTTTTCCCAAACACGCGCACATGCAGAAGGTAGCCTCAAAGCACTGGCTCTGCACCAGAGCAGATTTTGGGCTTTTTGCGCGTTTGCAGCGCGTAGAGCTGGGAACAGCTGCGCAGAAGTCTAAGTATGCTATTTATTGAAACGTGCTCTGCTCAAACAGCGAAAGCGTGACTGCGGACAGGAAGGCGCCAATTGACTTTCCCTGGTCTAAGTACAAGGCCCGCTCCTTTTCAAACTTTTTCAAGTATGCGTTTCTTTCCACGCTTATTCCCTTTTCGCTAATTTGCAGAATAAATATATCTTCCTCGTCAAAGGCATACAGAGACCTCAGAACTATCTTGTTCTCCTCCTTCAGCTCTACCTCATACCCGAATATATTTCCTATGGTTTTAATGGCGTTTGCTATTCTTTTTTTGTACTTCTCTGCCTCTTCGCTCATTTTTTATTTTTGAGCTGCTGCAGCAGCTTAATAACGTGCTGGGTCGGTATTTCGTCTGGAATGTTTACAATGGGCTCGCTTGTCTGGATAAGGGCTACGCTGACGGAGTTTTTCTTTATTCGGCTGCTTATGCTGGCTGCCTCCTCCTTTATCTCCTTCTTAAGACTCTTCATGAAAATGCCAAATAAATAACTATTTTATTATATTCCTAGCACGTGCTTTTCTCTTCCTTCTTTTTGTAGGTGGAGAGAACCTTCATTTTAACGTACTCCTCATAGTCTTTTCTGTCTCTTCGGAAGTGAAGGGAGGCGTCTAAATTGGCCGGGGAGTCTGGATTAGGCTCGTTCAAAAGCAGCATAATTGACAGAAGAATCGTTCTAACAGAGAGAACCGGCGTCCATTGTTCTGTGTCCAGCTCTCCGGAGAGTGGGTCTGTTTGCGCAGTGTGCAGAATGGATATGCAGACGCGTCCGTCATTGTAGATGTTTGGGTGGTACATCTTTGTGGTGAACATGACCCTGGGGGGAGACAGCGGGTAGTCTGTTGGGAAGTATATGTCTGCCTTTAAAACATACCCCTCGTATATTGTGTCCTTGAACCCGTAAATGGTTATTTCCCACTTCTTGAAGTACTCTACATCGCCGTCTGCAAACGGAATGAAGTTCGCTGGCTCTGGGTCGATTTCAAACCAGCTGCTGTCTGGGTCGCTTTTCAGCTGCGTGTATTCAGCTATGAGCCTTCTGCCAGATTGCGGTCTTATAGGTCCTGTCTTGAGTATTGCCATTATTTACAAATAAAGCAAAAACAATTGAATATACAGAAAAGTGCAGGCGTCTGATAGCCTGGCCGAATTCAAGCTGCCGCGAAGGCACGCGCATAAGCAGGCTGGAAGAGTGCGGATTCAGCAGAGAGGCAGCCGGTGCAGCCAATTTCTGCATGCATGAAGTGAAAGCAGCGCAAAACAGAAAACACGGAATGTATGCTATTTTAAAATTTATTAGAGCACGCCCGTGCATAGAAAGACATGCTGGCTTTGTGCAACGCCGCACTGTTATAGCAAAAGAGCCTGCTTTGTGCTTAGTAAAGCACTTATTCTTTGGCTCACGACAGAAATGATTTTTTCTCCGTTAACATACGCGAAGATCTCGCGGGCTTTGGCAAAAATCCACATAAACACAGCGATGTTAATGCTTTGCATGTACATGGAGCCAAACCAGGCCACGAAAATAAACCCTGCGCTGGAAAGCACTCCTAGACTCATGGAGATGTAGAGGGTAGTTCTGGGCCACCCCGTATACTTAGGGGTTTTTCCAGAAAACTCGCGCTCCGAGTCCGAGGAAACGTGCTTTCTGGAAATCCATTTGTGTATTTTCACGAGCACGCCCATTCCAATGACTCCGCCAAAGAAGAAGGCGGCTATTGCCGTGCAGTATATGTACTGTGCGCAAAATGCATACGACTCGGGGAGTGTCATGATGAGCAGGGTATGCACAGAGTGCAGGATAACAATGGCAGACGCAGTGGCCAGAACCGAAATATTATTAAAAGCCGGGCCTCTGCTTATGTACTTGAACGTGCCGTCTCCAAGTATGGCCAAGTATGCCACTGAAATGATGTGCAGCACAAGCATAAGTATCTGCAAAAGGGTGGGCATAGATGCACAGTCCATTTTGTATATGAACTCTGAAGTAAACAGCATCAGAACAAGCAACGGAAGAACGCAGAAAGACACTACCGTGCTGGTTGGTTTCTCCGAGCCATACAAGAGCTCTTTGAGCATTCTCCATCCAAAAACAGGAAGGAAAATCAGATACTTCAGAAAGGCCCCAGTCTTCTGTAGCGAAGACTCAGACTCAATGTACTTGTGCATTTGTATGTTGTAGTTGTAGAAGCGCTGGTTGTTCATAAACAGCAGGCCGATCAGAATGAGCGTGTATGTACCCGTGAAGAACAGAATAAAGACAATGTTTCTGCTGGTGTGGATTGTTGCTTTATCGTACTTCTGGCTCTGTACGGGCAGGGGGGTGCTGGAAGCTTCAAGCGATTCTCTAGTGTTTTCAGAAAGATTAACATCGCTTTGCATCTCCTGGCCGTTTCTTTTGTTGGGTGCTTTTTCGCTCTGACACACATCCGGGCTGCTCATGTAAAAGCTGTATAACTGTTCTTCAGAGTTGAAAGACATCTCTTCGAATTCCCCTGGCCAAGTGAGCTTGGCGGGGGCATATTCTCCAGTGGACTCGTCAGAGTCTTCCGAGTACAGCCTATGCGACATCTCCATGGATTGCTCGCCTATTCTCGTAACACTTGGGCATATTTCTGTGGCTCCGCTCGCAAGGCGCAGTAACATCAGCATAAATATCATTGCATGCATTCTAGTTTGCATTTTCATCACTAAAAAATTTCAGATCCGTAAACATATATATAATTTTAACGGGACATAACAGATACCGGCCGCAGCATGCATTTTTGGCTTGGAAGTTGCAAGGCCCAGCGAAGAGAGGGCAGGCTGGGTGCAAATTTTCGGCCAGAGTTTCTATGCTTGCGCCCGTTTTTATTGCACAATAGCCCGAAATTGCACCTCGGCTGCTCTTTACTCCGGCAGACTTTTGCAGTCGGTTATTATTTTTATTCAACTGCTTTCATGCATGCTTAAGCGGCCGAGTAGCGCAAGCCACTACAGCGTCTGGCAGTGGGGCCTTCTTCAGGGAAACAGCCCAGCGCAGGGCGCCTGGAGACGCCTCGGCATGGGCCGCAGAATCAACCAATAATATGGAAAGCTGCAGGCGCTTGACAGGGAGCCGAACGCATGCTGGAGGGTGCTGGAATGCGCAAGAAAGGGCGCCCACCCGAAACAGAAGAGTGATCATCAAACCATTGGAGTAAAGTGCGGCATAAGTCCCCATTTTATTCAAAAAAATAATGAAGAGCGAGGGAAAAGAAGAGATCCTTAAGGAAATAAAAGAGCTTGAAATCAGCGAGCTGAAGAAGAGCAAGCATGCAATAATAAGCCGAATAGTGCGGGGGAAGTTTCCAGAGGAGGATCAAATTGAGCTAAGGAGGGAGCTCCAAAAGAGGTTCATCAAGGAGTCCGAGGGCAAGGAGGAAAAGCATGAGGCAGAACTTGCAGGAACCGAAGAGGAGATAAAAAAGCAGTGTGCCACGACAACGCACGCAGCGAAGAAGCTTGCAGAGTCGGACGGGAAGCTCTGCAAGGTGAAGCGGAGCCAGGAGAAAATTTCCGAGGAGATGAAAAAAGCAGAAGCATCGCTGCAAAAGAAAAAAACAAAACAGTTCAAGGAGGAAATTCTGTTTCTGGGCGCGTTTGGTCTTTTCTTTGGGATATGCTGCTATATTCTCATGGACAAGTTTGTTTTAAACTGAATGAGATATCGCACAGACATAAAACAGTGTCGCAGCCTTTCTATTTATTTGGTGTTTCCAGTGGAGAGCAATGCTATTTCTCATTGTACTTTTACTGGGATATGCCTTGTGTGTGGAAGAGGAGAGGGTTGAGCTGGCTTCCAGCAAAGCCGACACGGTTGCGGTTATCTCTTTGTTTATGATACTTGGCTTGACCTTTTCGGTCTCTCTGTATGGAATCAAGAAGCTGCTGGAAAAGGACCCAAAGCAAATAACTAGTGGAGGTCATCATACCCGTGGCCTTATTCCAAGGAAACAACAGAGCCCTTACGAGGTGATTACTTTCTAGTGAAGGCCCAGGCAAAGAATAAAAACACGTCTAATGCAAAGCGGAAGCTGCGGAAATGCGCATAGATGGTCAATAAATACATTAACACGATGTGCTGTTTTTCTATGCCGCGCCAGGCGGCTTTTGCGCAACATATTCGCTGTGTGTCTGCGCAGCTTGAGCTACCGCGGGCATCCGCCTGGCTGGGACTTTTTCGGGGCTTATGCAGCAGCGTGCCAGGCTGCATGCTGGCCTTTCTATGCATCGCGCAGGGCAGGCCCATGCCGCCAGAAGAGCTTTCATTCCGGCCGCAGCCCAATATTTCCTAAGGCGTAAACATTGATGGAGCACTTTCTGTGCTGTGCTAATTTGATTTCTGATATGTTTTGGCGCTTGTGTGAACGGCGCGCTTTTGCATGCAAAAAGAGTGCGCGCCCAGGCGCAAGCCCGTGCGGGCGTAAAGACAGAATGTAAATGGCCGCAGTTATTTGTCAAGGGTTTATTTATAAGAACGGTCTAGGTTCTTACACGAAAGCATTGTAAAGCCCATCCGGGGCATAGCGTCCTCCAAATGGCCATAGAGCTATGCGCATCCATTTTTCGGGCAGGCGCATGCTGCGGCTCTCCAAATGCATGCACTCTTTAATTTATTCCGAGGTTTCTGTCGCCTCTGGCTTCTCAGCCTCTTGCTGCTCTTTCATCGCCCGCTCCTCCTTCTCTTTCATCTCCTGCTCCCTTTGCAGCTTCTCCTGCTCCTGGTACTTTCGAATTTTTTCCTTCCTGTCAAGCTCCTGCTGGGCCAGCTTTTCAACCTGGGTTTTCACACAGAAAAGGCCAAACACGCCCGGGTATGCTGGCTGCACAATCTCCACCGAGTGCGCCTTTGATGCCTCTGCAGTGAGCTTTTCTGCGTACGCATCCCAGTCATGGCTCAGGGTTGGGTCAAACTGCTTGGCTGCCTTCTCCTTGAAGTCGTTTACTTCCTGCATTGTCCGGGCAGAGCCAGCAAGATCCTCCACCATCTGGGAGTACTCCCAGAGGGCGTCAACGACCCCTTCTTCCACAATAGGAAGGCTGCCCAGCTCGTCAGAAAGCAGCTCAATTGCTCTGAAGATGCCAGCCTGCAGCGTGTTTAGCGTTCCCTCTATTTCAATCGCTGCATTCTCCTTCCTTATTTGCGCGTTCTCTGCAAGCCGAAGCTTTTCCATGTTTACTTCGCCGAGAACGTCAACAACTTCTAGATCCTCCGAGGATATGTCGACTCCTCCGGTTGCATTCAGGCTCACAACCAAACTGACGGTTTTCTTTTCGGCCGGCGCTTTCTGTGTGTCGTCGGTGTTTTCCGCGCTCGGTTCTGCAGGAGCTTTCCGCAAAAGCCTGTAAACGGGATAGTCTCCGCAGTACATTGTTATTTCCGTGGTCTCCGTGATCTTGGATATTTTGACGTTCTTTCTGGGGGGCTGCTCCAAAACTATGGATTTGTCATACTTTTTTCCTTGGATTCTAGACTTTGTTTCCTTCAGGAACCGGCACCCTGTGTCAAACAGGTTCATTACTCTGGCGCGGGTCTTTGCATCCTCGACCAGGATGTAGTACTTCTCCGAAAGAATGTCCTTTATCAGAGGATCGTATCTAAACCGGTGGAAGGGGCTCTCCATAAGCCTCCGATACACGCCTCCAAGGGCAACCGACTCGTCTGCATTCAAGTGCACTTCCGGCTTGCACCCTGTGGCAGCGTGCACCATTGCTTCTACCAGAGGGATCTTTGAAGAGCCGCCTACCAGCTCCACCTCTATGCGCATCGGGTTCTCAGCGCCCTCCTCCTTCTCTAAAAGCGCCTTTGTCTCAAGCATGCTCTGGAACACAGCCTGCAGCTCGGTCTGCACGGGCTCAAACACGGCCTCCAGCTGCTGGAGGTCGCTTCGGGTTATGGTCACCCCAACCGACCTGTCGTACGACACGTCCACCTGCGTGGACACGGAGGGCAGGCCCACAATAGCGCCTTTTATCCATTCTATTTTTTTCAGGTTTCTGACCCTGAACTCGCGCTCGTCAAACAGATCTGGTATTTTCGGGTCTATTTCCTTGTATATCTTGCGGAAAATCATCTCTGTGATCTGCATTCCGCCAACCGGAACAGTCCGCCGTTGGTTGATCTGTATTCCGCCGCTGTGGATGCACGCCGAGGTAACTGTTGTCTTTTGGTCGCCCACGTCAACAAAAACAACAAACACCTTCTCCTCGGTCGACCTCCTGCTGAGATAGTATGCGGAGAGGGCCATTGAGTCCGAAATGCACTCCACCGCTATCTTGGGGCAGATCATCCACACTATTTTTGCAAGGATGGCTTTGTGCAGCTGGGTGTATGTCTCTGGCACCACAATTTCTACCTCTATGTCGCTCAAAGGAACGTTTTTTGATGTCGCGTAGTGCGTGATCAGGCTGTTCAGCAGCCCATATACATGAGACTGCGCAGGCAGGCTGACCTTTCCCAGGCACTTGCTCTTGTTCTTTATCTCTTCTGCAAGCTCCTCTATCTCTTTTCGGATGTTTTCAGCCACCTTTTCTCTTTCCTTGCACGTTACGTTCACATTTCCGAATGTTCGTACTTTTCCTCTGTAGTCAACTGCCATTTTTGTGCTTCTTCCCCCGGCTTTGCTCAGAATTATTTCTCCCGCTGAAGTATCAGAAGATGCAACCACCGCTTTGTAACTCCCTAAGTCAATGGAAAGGATTTTCATAAAAAAAAAATAAGCCTCGTATTTATATATATTTGGCTGTATGGAAACATCCGGAACATTGTGCGGCCAAGCGCCCAAACACACACAAAATGCAGGCCTCCGCGCCAGATGGATCTAGAACCTTCCAGGAAGCAAACGGCTGCACACCCTGCAGAGCAAGCCGCGCATTCCCGCTAAAAAACGGGCATTCTGCGCGTCTGAGCATCCGGACAAAAGCCCGGGCAGGCCAAAGAAGCAGCGCAGCAGTGGAAATATAGAAATTCCGGGCCGTGCGCATATAACAGAAAAGGCAGCGCCCAAGCACACATTCTCCCAGCTGCTGCCTTACAAATAAATTTAAATTTCACAGGAAACCGAAGCTAACAGCATGGCTTGTGTTTACGAGCTGAGCCCGGCGCATCCACCGATCAATTCTAAGCGCATAGACAGAAGAGGCATGCGGCCTTCCTTTAGACAGCGGCTGTGGAAGCCCACAAATCACCATGCAGACCAGCCCCTTCCTGGCCTTTTTCTGAAGTCCAAATTCACTTGCAAAAAAAAGCTTATAAAATGCATGGCAGAGAACTTATTTTGCACGCTTTTCTATTTTCATAAAGGCGCCTTGCTTGCAGGAAAGCTTTAAAAAGGCTACAGCCATGCGCGTGCTGGGGCACGCCAAAATGCAAGCCGGCCAAAAAGGCACGCAGAAAAAGAGCTGCCAAGCAGCATGCCCAGCAATAGAAGGGCCCATATGCACCTTGTTCCAAAATTGGCACAGAGCAGAGCAAAAGTTATCCGAGTTTCATTTATTCATTTACACTCCTCAATGGAACCCATACGTGGAGTTGTTTGGAGTAGAACTAATCACGGTGGGGTTCAAAGGAGCAGCAGATCTCTGCACACTCGGCGCGTGTGTAAACACGGGCTGGGCCTGCATTGTCGGAGCGGCCAGCCCAGAAACAACAGGGACAGAAATGTTCTCATACGGCATCTTCATGCTGCACTGAGGCGCAACAACAGGAGCCTGCTGCGGAACATACATCTGCGTGTAGCTCACAGACTTTGCAGCGCTGCAGGGCATAGCTGCTCTAGTAGCGCGTACCTGCGGAGGTCTTGCAAACTGAACGGTCTTCTTTTCAGTAGATTTCTTTAGTATGCCAGGCTGCGCCACCACCTCGGGAGGCGCGGTGTTTCCAGAAGCCAAAGCCAACGCTAGGTTATCAGCCATGCCAGAAAGCTTATTTGTCTTCTGGCAGCCATATATAGACCCGCTCTTTGAAAGCTGTTCGATTTTTTTGCAAACGCTTGGGCACGGCTGCTGGACAGGCGCTACTAAAACGTTTCCAATCGAAGTAGGGCCGATGGTAAGCGGGCTAACTCCCTGCATAAACTGCGGCGCTTGCTCAGCCAAGGGAACTGCTTTGGCAGAAGAAATTGCCGTCACAGGGACTGACCTCTTCTGGCGCGCTGTTTGCAAATTCTGCACAGGTATTGTGTGCGTAACCTTTACCTCCACGTTGCGTGGGGTACCAATAAATAAGCCATCGTTCTGCAGAAAGCTAACCACATCTGGCTGTTCGGCATACGCGGTCGTTCCGGCGTTTTCGTAGAGCCGCAGCTGCGAGTTTACAGCGCCCTGCCAGTCGATTCCTGCAGAGCTCACCATATTGTACAAGCCCAAGTTCATGTTGTCCACATTTGGAATGGGAATAAGGCTTCCATTTGCCTGCATGAAGTAGTACATCATGTCTGTGCTGTTCAGCACAACCGCCAGGTTGAAAGTGTTCAGCATAAACCGGGCATTGACATCTGCCCCGGTGTTTGACACGCCCAAGCTCTCGTTCATGGACCTTAGGGAGAAGATGCCCGAGTTGAGCCTCAGCAGCATAAACACTCGCTGGAGCCCATTAAACAGCATGCATGCGTCCTTGACAGACTTCAAGCCGGAGGAAAGCCTTCCCAGGTTTGTGCCCAACGTGTCCTTGCTCTGGCCAAACACGCTGGTTGCGCGCACCACTCTGTAAATGGAAAAGCTGTCATACTGGTAAAGCGCCTTGCACAGTGCGCAGTTTTGGTTGTTGCAAAGGTCAAACATAATTGAATCCAGCAGGATTGCAAGGTATACCTTAAGCACCATCCTCTCCGAGGGCAGGTCCATAATTCTCTTGACCATGTCTGTAACTTCGAAGGAAGACGCCGCAGTGTCAGCTCCTTTAAACAGGCCATCCAACACTCTGGAGATGCTGTCCGTTGTCGCGTCTACACGCTGTGCAGTTTGGCTGTGCTTATTCAGAATCCTCTCTATCTCGCGGATAACATATGAGCAGCAGTGCGAGCCTATTTTTAGGCCAAGGTTGAGCGCCGTCTTTCTCTTACAGGCGCAGCACACGCCACAGTTTTTTGCGTTAAGAATACCCTTTTGCAGCTCGGCAAGTGACTCCTGTATTGCCTCAGCATCCTCAGACTCGGCTGTTCTGGGCGCAGAGGCTATGCCGTCCTTGGGCGCAAACACGCCTTCCGAGTAGTTCACAGCTGCGCTCGCTGCGTTCTCTCTAGAGGCCTGCGACTCAAGACTCTGTTCTAGCTCCTCTTTTTTCTTTGCATCTTCGTTTGCCTGCGCAAATGAGGACACCAAATTTCGTGCAATTTCCGACCCATTTCTCAGCTCGTTCAAAATGTTTGCGAGGTCTCTCTGGTTTTGGTAATCCATCAGATCCTCGCCAAGCTGAACTCCTTGGCTCTGTGCGCCCAGCACCAATTGGGCTGCGGCAAACACAACTAAGCCAAATGTTTTTAAAATTAACTCAATACTTCCCTTTTCTCTTTGGTATGCACGCATGGCAGTAAATTTTCACGCCACTTATATATTTTACTAGATGATCATTTTTGATAACAGCGATGCACATCAAAGATTATTGAGTAAAGAAGGAAAATATTAATATTTTTCACAAACGGCATCATTTGATACTAGTGCATAAACATCAAAAAGATGGGACATGGGCTCTGGCGCAGGCTTTCCCACCAAGAAAGCTTGCTGCACATAGGCTTTATTTCGGCTTTTCTGCACTAGGCAGCTCCTGGACAGGGCCGGCGCTGATGTGCACCGTGGTTCCTGCATAGTAGTTGTACCCAGTTGCAATGCTGCTCTTGCTGTCCATGCGAACCGCGTACACAAGATCGTCTGTTGGCACGTTTTTTACAAGCTCCATGCCCTCTGTGAACAGAGACACGCCGTCGTACGACTGCGCCACTATGTTGTAGGCAGCGCCAGCCGCTTCGACAGGGTATATTCGCCATATGATGCTGCCCAGAGCCTTCCTTGCAACTTCCTCCTGCCCCACAAAAACCACATACTCTCCGGCATATGTCCCTACTTCCACGCTTCCCTCTGCATAGCCTCTTGGGTTCAGCTTTATCCAGGTGACCCCGCCGCTGAAGGACCGCGTGTACAGCACCTGGTGCGTGGCGGCGTCTATGCAGGCAAAGTTCCCCAAATCGCATCCAATGTATATGCATGCGTCGCTTGCTGCAATTGCCAGAACCTCGTGCATGCACTGCTCTTCGCTGCAGAAATATGGATGCCTTTTCATGGCGCCTGTGCGCATGTTTGTTTCTGTGTACGCGCCTTGCCCGGTTGCATACAGAGTGTCACCGCGTATCGTGTGTGCATAGTTTATTTCGTGTGTTTCAAAAACCCTCTGTATCTGGACGGAGGTGCTCCCGTCTTCGTTCTTGGCAACGCCTGCAAGCGCAATGTTTTGGTAGTTGCACAGAACCAGCATGCCTCCGTGCATGGACACTCCAAACGTGCCAGTTGTTGGCACACTGCAGTCGCCTATGCGGACACACCCTGTTCTTTTCCCGTTGTCATACACGTACGTGCTGTAAACATCCAGTCCCTTAAACTCAATGTAGTCTGTAACGTGCTTCATAAAAATAAAATGTCCGGGGAATAAATAGAAGCCTGCCAAAGAGGAAGGAAGAAAGAATTTATTTTCAGGAGATTCGTATAAAATGCTTCAGTAACCGTTGTAGTTATATATATAGTGTCATCACGCATAAGCACAAACAGTATCATCATCAGCGGAGGAGTGTTATAAATAAGTAGCCAGAGCTTTACGCCAGGGGGGTAAAAATAAAGCGCATTTATACCCTGCATAAGTATAAAAGCGTAAATATTTTTATCCCCTGCGAATGTAAGCAGAATTCTTTATGTCTCTCTGCAATAGAGTGCGCTCATGTGCACATGTTCTCACATTGCATTCGCATATAAAAGAGACCTTGTCTAGTTCCCACGGTAGACTATTCAAGGCGTGTGCAATTCTTCAATCACAATACGCTTAATAGTGCGGGATAGTGGTTCACACTACATTTTACTTTTAACCTCTTGGCTCCAAAAAGCGCTCTGGCGCAGCCTGTGTCTGGCAACAGGCCACAGCGTGTGTTTCCTTTCGCCTTCATATGCCCCGGGCTACACGTTGATCTGCAGTATGTTTCCCGTGGCTCGAATTTGCTGGCGGCTCTTTGCCGCGTCTGCATGTCTTCGCGCAGACAGCGCTTTGCACATCCAAAGGGCGCTTGTGGCCCAAAATATTTTTGCTGCTCTCATTTTGGTGCCTCCTCTGTCCAAAATGCCTTTATAATTATAAGTGTGCACCTTCCAATCATCTTTAGAAAAAACCGACCAATGGATACTTTATTTCATCATACATTGCACATGCAAAGCCTGCTTGGTGTGTTGTTTTGGCAAATTCGCACATGTCTTACTTGCAAATATCACACAGTGTCTACTTTGAATTCTTTTCGGCTCCTGCACTTTCCTCCTTCTCTTCCTCGGCCTCTGCACCTTCCTTCTTTTCTTTCTCGTTTCCAGCCTCACCTTCTTTTCCAGCCTCATCTTTTTTTCCAGCCTCATCTTTTTTTCCAGCCTCATCTTTTTTTCCGGCCTTATCTTCCGATTTTTCCGCCTTATCTTCCGATTTTTCAGATTTATCTTCCGGCTTTTCAGCTTTATCTTCTGGCTTTTCAGCTTCACCCGCTTTTCCAGCCTTGCCTTCCTTAGCAGTGTCTTTTTCTGAGGAATTCGCAGGATTCTCGCTGTTCTTCTTAGCTTCTTGCTGCGCCTTCGGAGCGTTCTCTACCCTAATAGCCCCAGTTGCTCCTCCGCCGACATGCACTTCAGAGTGATCTTCATCGCTTTCACCATTTTTCTTTGAGAAAAAACTGCCAAAGTAGGCAGCAAGCCTAGAAAAAACCCCCTTCTTCTTTGGCTTTTCTGCACCAGCCTCTGCTCCTTCTTTTCCTGCTGCAGGCTCTGCAGCAAACACAAATCCTATCGCAACTAGCCCAGTTGTTAGAAACAATGCAACTTTCTTGTTCATCTTTATTTTTCTATTTTTCTTTCCTTATTTAGTGTGAGCAAGATCAAAAAATGCGAGGCACAAATTATCTCTATCCCTGTTTTTTTTAGATAAAGGGGCATAGACTCCACTAGTATTTTTCTTTTTCTTTCCGGCGCCTTCGCATTGGTGGGCTTGCCCATCAAAAATGTCAGCGCTCTTCTTTGTTTCAGAAAAGGGGGCAGCGATCAAAATACAGCTCACCTGCGCCTCTCCAATAGATTTGCAGGCTCTGCCTAGTCCTTTAGCTTTATGTTTTTTGTGTGTCTGAAAATGTAGTTTTCGTTTACGTCTACCATCTGCAGCTTCAGAGAGAGCCGCGGCCCTATTTCGTCCAGCCTTACAACTTCCTCCTTTGCAGCGTTCTCCGGCAGCCTTATGATGTACCGGTGCTTTCTGCACAGAATGAACCCTCGCTTTTTCGTAAAGGACACCACCTGCCTGCCCTCAAAGTCTGGGTCTTCCGTGCTGAAGGCGTCTTCAATGTCCTTGACAAACCGCACGTCGTTTTCTGTTTCGTCAAAGTTTGTCAAAGTTATTTCCGGCATGTGTCCCGAGTCAACTGCCCCATTCAGCCGCCTTGAAAGCGTATACGACACAATGGAGTACGTGCTTGTCGTTATGTTGTTTTTTGCGTCTTTCTTGATGAAGAGAAGCCTTCTTCTGACAGAGTCCACTTGGTCCAGCCGGATGACCATGACTTCGTCCTCTGTTGCCTCCTCCTTCAGAAAGTCGCTGAACTTTCTGTTTTTTCGGGGAATGGGCGTTGCCCCGGGAAAAATCCCCTCTATGTCCACAAGAAGCTCTTTTGTTTCATGTGTCAGTTTTGAGTTACTGGACGTAATAATAACTTGCATTTGCTGCAAAAAAATAAAGGAAAAAAAGTATCACCAGTTCCACGCGTGCTCTGCCTTTGCCGGGAGAAGACAGCACACGTTTTGGCATGCGCCCGGCGGCGCGTGCTGCTTTGCACGGAAGAACAAACATTTTTGCAGGCATATAGAAGCCCCATGGCGTGCCGATGTATTTAGAAAGAAGGCTGCACGTGTTTTCTAGAGAAGCTTTCTGGACAGGACTGACACGCGCAAAAAAACAGATCGGCACTGCTCGGCGCAAGCCCATGCCTGGGGAATGCCTGTGTGCCAAAAATTCAATCAATTTTAATTGATTTTTTAATTGCATCTAGATCATCATTTTAGTCCTTTTTGTCATTTTATTCATTTGGTTTTTGCATTTGTTTATTCGCATGGTCCAAATAACAAGGAAAGCGAAAGATCCGAACAGGCTGACAAAGGTAGAGATATGTGCTATACTGAACAGCCTGCACATTTGCAATGTCACGGCTGAAAGCAGCAAGAAAGAGCTAGTGGGCATATTCAAAAAAAACAAGAAACAAATAGAGAGCAAGCAAAGCGAGGTGGTAAAGCTTCTTAAAGAGATGGAGACCCAGAAAAAGAAGGACGCGGCCAGTTCCGACAAAAAACGAAAGACTCCAGCAAAAAGCCAGAAAAAGCAAAGGACTGAGCCCGAGCCCGGCGCGGAGCCAACTCTTGAAGCTGCACAGGAGTCTGTGAAAAAGCCTGTGCGGGGGGCGGCCAAGAGGGCGCAGGAAGGCCCGCACCCAAAGGAAAAAACAGAAGCCGCGAATGTTTTGCACATAGAGGAGAAGACAGAGACGGTGGCTATTTCGCACAGCGGCGCCTTCAAAAAGGCGCAGGGCCAAGTGCCGAAAGCTGTAGACCTACAAGCAAAAACTACTAAAAAAGATGCGATGCCACGACAAATAAATAAAAACGAAAACACGGCAACAAAAGAGATAAACAGCAGAAGAAAATACACACAACTAATGGAACTGATAAAAACCCCAAGCAGAATGTTGATACTAGGCGTGGCAGGGGCCATGCTTTCTATGATGGCGGTGTATGCGTTTTACGTGAACAGAGCGGGTGCTCTTGAAATTGCTCAGAGCATAAAGGACTATGTGACCAAAAAAGGAGAGCCCAAGCCGGAAAAAGGCTCTTTTCACGAAAAGATCGAGCTAGCAAAGCAGGCGGCAGAGAAAGAGCTGCAGGCAAAAAAAGAAGAAGCTGCCAAGCAGGCCCACATGGAGGCGATTCAAAGGAAAAGAGCTGAGCAAGAAGCCAAAGCAAAAGCTGAGAAGGAGGCCAGGGAGAGGGCTGAACAGGAAGCTAAAGCAAAGGCGGAGCAAGAAGCTAAAGCTAAGGCAGAGCAAGAAGCCAAAGTAAAAGCTGAACAGGAGGCCAGGGAGAGGGCCGAAAAGGAAGCTAAAGCAAAGGCGGAGCAAGAAGCCAAAGAAAAAGCTGAGAAAGAAGCTAAAGCAAAGGCTGAACAAGAAGCTAAAGCAAAGGCAGAACAGGAGGCTAAAGCAAAGGCTGAGAAAGAAGCTAAAGCAAAGGCAGAGCAAAAAGCCAAAGAAAAAGCTGAACAGGAGGCTAGGGTGAAGGCAGAGCAAGAAGCCAAAGCAAAAGCTGAGAAGGAGGCCAGGGAGAGGGCTGAACAGGAAGCTAGAGTGAAGGCGGAGAAGGAAGCTAAAGCAAAGGCTGAGCAAGAAGCTAAAGCAAAAGCAGAACAGGAAGCCAGGGAGAGGGCAGAGAAAGAAGCTAAAGCAAAGGCTCAGCAGGAGGCTAGAGTGAAGGCTGAGGGAGAGGCCAGGGAGAGGGCCGAGCAGGAAGCCAAAGCGAAAGCCGAGCAGGAAGCAAAGGCTGAAAAAGCATTGCCCAGCGAGTCAGATACGCGTAAGAGCTCGAAGTCCATTCTGTCTATAGCCCATAGTGTGGTGGGGTGGGCCTTTAGACTGTTATTCAAGCTGGTGATGTTAGGGCTAGCAGCTCTTGTCGCGCTTGGTGTGGTTATATTTATGCTTCATCTCATACATCTCAAGAAGAAGAAAATAGCCAAATACAGAGACTTCTTAATATGCAGAATCCACAAAAAGAGCAAAAACGCGCTTCCGCTCGACACCATTAAAGAAGTCCGGAAAGAGTTTCCTGTCTTAAGTAGCTTAGAGTGGATGGTTTTATGCAACAGAATTTTATTGAACCAAAACATCCGAATCACACGGGTATTGCGCGGGGTGAAGGAAGAGGATGCTTGGATGTGGGTGGATGCGAACTAAGGCGTTAATTAAAACTGTTTGATCTTTTTGCTTGATTCTTTTGGGATATTTCTCGAAGAAGCCACGTGCCCAGGGTTTCTCTTCTGTTTTCTTCTGGCTTTTCTGGAATCTTCATGAACTTTAGTTGCCGCAAGTTATTGCTTATGTCCATGTCTGTAAATTTTTTCCCAAATAAATACCCGACACGCCTTTGAGGCTGTTCGCTGCGCTTTCTTGTTTAGCCAAAAACAAAAAAGCTGGCTCTATAGCTTTTCTGGAGTGTGCCAAGCCGCTGCCTACAGCGAAGCTGGAAAGCGTTGTGTATTGTGTTTTTTTAAGAGGCAGGGCTTCACTGCGCAGCAGGCTCCAAAGCAGCAGAAGCGCCCTTTCCGTGGCAATGCAGACCCTGCCCAAAGCAGTGCATGTGCTGCTGTCAAACACCTGGGACATATCCCGCATTAAAAATGAAAGTCCGAATCCAAGTACAGTTTATATGCAAGCTCTTTATTCGCATAGCTGCCCCTTAGGCCCAGCAGGCTTTTCAGTCAAGTTTTTGGGCCTTCTTAGGGGAATTCCCAGCTGCCCTTGCTCACTGCATGTCCAGTGCCTGTATGCATGTTTTCACGCTGTCCGCGTCTCCTTCCTTGTTTTTCAGGCCTTCGTACGCGCTCTGCTCGTACTCCACAACACCATGGTTCTGCGCCCATTGGAATCCATCGAAAATAAACAGCTCTCGCTTTATCGCATTCGGAGCGGTTGGATGCATGTTTGCCTTGCACGGTATTTTCTTTATGGCCTCGTGCTGCGGGATGTCCTCAACAGAGATGCTTTGGATGTACTCCTTGCTTATGAGATGGTTTGCAATGTTGGAAAGCTTGGCTCCTTTCGCATTTACAACAGGCTGGCTGTCCGAGCTGTCATATGTGTACTCTCTCACTGCAATCTTGTTTTTCACAACCTCAAAGACGCCCATTTTTTTGTTTTCCGGCTCGGGTATCCCTGCGCTGGTCACCTCCAGGCTGTGCGTTTGTGCGTACCCTGCCATTACAGGATCCCCTATTTTCACAAGCACGTTGTCCACCGACACAACGTTGAAGTACTTAACGCCAGATAGCCTTTCTACAATAGACGTGTTTTTGTGTGATATTGCGCTTTTTCTGACACATATGTGCGCCCCTGCCCTAAGCGCTTTGAACACACACCCATTTCCGTTGGGAACAGTTATTGGGGCGTTGTTTGCGTCAAGAAGCAGGCTTCGGTTGTTTAGGTCCAAGGCCTCCACGTCCTGCTGCACAATCACAAAAACCTCGTCTTGCTCTGAAAGCACTTTTTTCTGCAGATGCTCAATTGTCTCGTGCATAGTCTCGTTTGACACCATAAGGACCCATGGCATGCCTGCCGGAATGATCTGCTTTGCCTGTCTCTGGAAAAGAGACAGCCTTGGGGAGCGCGCGGTTTCCAGCACAAACGTTCCCTTGGGCTTGTCATATCCAAGCCTTGACCCGCTTCCGCCTGCCAGCGTGACCACAGCGATTTTCTTCTCCTGCAGCAGCTTCTGCCCTATATCTGCAAGGGCCTCTCTCTCTAGGTCTTCTTTTAATAAAATGTGCATGCCTGTTTGGAAAATCTGCGTATTTATGCGCCTACTGCTTGGAAACAAAAATAACCCAAAACCCTCTTTTGATGATCTGGATGCTTTATGCAAGCCTGTGGGGGCGCGCCTTGGCCCAATATGTGCTAATGGATAGCGCTCTTGGAAGGTTCTTAAATGTCTATATTTTAAATTGCCGAATTCTCTAAAAAATGGCAGCGCATGCAGCTATATTAAAAATACACTTTACTAATTAAGCTAATGATAAGTGCCATTGTTTTCTAGATATGCAGAGAGAATGGGAGAAAAAAAGTGCAGTATGGTGAAAAACCTTATTTTGCACAGCGCTCTGCTGGAGCTGTACTACAAGCAAAGAAAACACGTGGCGCTGGAGGTTCTTCTGGACAAAGCGAGCGTGCTTCTTAGGTTCACCCTGGTGGAGGTCATATGCGCAAAAATATGCAGCAGCATCGTAATAGGCATGCTTCCGCAGTACACGTCTTTGGAGATATTCTTCACCTCCTGCATAATATTCAAGAAGTACTGGAACGATTTCTCTCTAAGAAACCTTGAAGAGGTAGACAAGGACATTGTGAGCATAAAGAAGCTGAACCGAATAGAAGTAGCCATATTAAAAGTAATCAAATACAACATACGCATCACCAGGGAGCAGATCCAGAGAGAAATAGACCTGGAGCGAAGCATAGACGTAACATACAACGAGGCCATGTCTAGCATATTGTGCACATCAAAGTAGCCACACTGCAGCTTGCCCAAGCCCTGCGTGCATAGTGTGTACATAATAAAAGCACCAACCAATATTTGCGGCTTTGGCAGGCGCGTGCAGACACTGCTTTCTAAGATGTGCACCCTGCGCATGCGTTAAGTTTTAAGTTTTAAGTGTTTAGTGTTTAGTGTATGCGTTTATTACATGGTATAGCAAATGCCGGCTCTATTTTGCAGACAATGGCGTACCTTTTTCTATGTCTTTCCCGGACAAGGTCGTGTGTGTTGTCTGGGCTGAAATTGGAGCCTGCGGTATTTCAGTGGCTCTACGGCCCCACAGCTTCCCATCTAAAATTCCGTACTTAAGTATGATGAGCACAACTGCTGCTAGCGAAAGCAAGGCGCATGCGGTGAACATGCTCTGGTTGCCTTCAAATGTGTCTATTTTCAGGAAGTATCCTGCTATAACTCCTGCCACTGTCCCCAGGCACACAAAGGTCCCCGTGTATATCATTTGGCTGGTAGACTTCAGGTTGCTGGGCACAAGAAGCACCGCCAGCTGCACGCCTGAAAGATGGGTAAGTCCAAAGTTGACTCCCTTTAGGAGCTCTATTGCGCAGCACTTTTCAAACCTGTACGGGTCTTTTTCTGTAACGTACGTGTAGAGAACAAACCGCAGGCCTTGCGCGGTCTGCGAAAACAAGAACGACCAGTACAGCCCAAACATGCCTAATAGCGGCTTGGACAAAAAGAATATTGCTATTTCCAAAATGATTCCAAACATGCTGCATGTAGCCATGGGGTTGGCATAAAACACGTCCAGGGCTGACTGCATGTACAACGGCAACGATGTGGGCGGCTTGAAATTGTTGAAGTCGAGAATGTTTTTGTAGTAGCTACTTAGATACATGCTCATAACTCCTCTGGTTACCCCGTTCATAAGTATAATCAGCAAAAAGAACATGTATGCTGGATTTTTCAGCACTTTTGTAAACTGCGGCGGATTGCGAGTCCTTGATGCAGACGATGTTGTTCTTCTGACTCTATCAGCGGGCGCCAGAAGATACACAAGCCCGCCGGCTATAGCCGCGCATACAATGTATGGGATGCACAGACTCGAGTAGTTTCCCGTCTGGCTGTTTTTTGTGCCTCTTGGGAACACAAGAAACTCGACCAGATAGTTTATGATGCAGTACGTGAGCGTTCCAAACATGCGCTGTCTTCCGTACAGAGACGCCGGCGCCTGCATGACTTTCTGTAGATACTCCAGCACGATTCTGTCCAGGAGGGGCAGTGTTGAGAGGATGAACATGGAGTACATAATGAATGCAATAGACACACAAACTGGGGGAATTGGGAGAAGCAGCACTTGGAACAGCAAAGACGAGAAAAACAGACAGAACATAAGAATACTCTTAGGCCTCTGCAGCTTATCTGAAATGTATGCTATCCCCATGTTGCTGAAAAACGTGCTAAGAAGCATAAAAACAAGCGTGAGTGTTTGTAGCCCGTCCTTTACTCCTTTGGACGTCAAAAAGTTCTGGCGCAGATTGTAGAACAGGAAATACTCTACGTTCACTGCAACATAAAGAAGCTTTGGGGTAAGGAAAAGCGATGAGTTAAGCTGTTTGTAAACCATTGTGATTCCAATAAAAATTATATTTATACACAACAAATAACTAAACAAACAATGGGCATATGATTTTGGATAGTACCACCGTTTGCTGCACACATACGCTGCGTGTTTGTTTTCTAAGTGGGCGCGTGATTATGATAAAGCAAAACTGCTTGGAAAGGCCCGGATGCGCTTTTCCATGCGCAGCCTGCGGCTTGGCACAGCCATGGCCTGCATGCTTCAAATGCGCGCAGGCGCTTCTAAGCCGCGCAGCGCCCACCAAAACAAGGAGAAAGAAGCTCCAAAAACAAGCAATGCATTCAAACTTTTATTTATTTCCTCCAGCAACTTTTTACACGCACAGCGCCAAGCAAATCCCTCGCTTGAGCAGCGCTCTGTGTTCTGGCGTGCAGCAGCTTCTTTGCACCACACCACCCATTAAGCTTCATCCGCGCTCTTCTCGTCCTTCACAGCCCAAGCAATCGAGTCAAACACCTCTTGCACCGTCTCTGCAAGCGCCTCGTCTCCTGTAAGCCCGTTCTTGGAGAGGACCACGGTCCTCCCTCTGTCCTGGATGTGGAGGCCGTCCTCCTTTAGCTCTGACGAAAAATAATTGGCCAGAACTTGCGCGACCGCTTGCAGGCAGTGCTTGGGAACAGAGCATTTGCTTTTTTCCTCCTTTTTTTTGGCCTTGGCCTTGCTGCACTCCTTTTTCCCCGCCTCTATGTCCTTTGCCGGGCGCACAGCTCTCTTTCCGTGCAGTGCGTCTTCTGCGCCCTTTATTATGCAGTTTGCCTGGACATCCGCCTTAAAGGAGCTCTCCCACTGGACTATCACCGAGCCCTCTACATCCTCAAATATTTCCACGCCCTGCACCTTCATGTATCTTCGCCCTTCTTTCTCCAAAATCTTTCCTTCAACCCCGTCAACTCCCAAGAGCATATCAAATGATGCCCCCTGTATGCGCACCTTTTCAATGATCTTCACCTCGGATATTCCTATCCGCGAAGCCTTTTCTCTCTCTACCACAGAAACCTTCCCGTCCTCTGAAACGTGGACAAACCCGGTGAACTCCTCTGGGGCGTCCACCCCAAGATACTTCACGCTTATTTCCCCTGCCCCCTGGACCTGCACAGACTCTCCGTTTCGTGGCGTGTGGATTACAATGCTCTCGCCCCGGGTCTCGCTTCGGTGCAGCAGCGCGCTTTTCAGCCTGCTCATTTCTGAAGCCTCCCCGTGCACAAGAACGATTTCTCCAGCTTTGCAGCCTTCAATAAACTCGGCGTTCTGCAGAAAGTCCACGTGCGCGCTGAAGGAAACATAGTCTATCGACGATCGAACCACAAGCCTGCTCCCCTTAAGCGAGGTTATTTCGTCGGGCTCGCAGAGAAGGTCTTTTGCCAGAGTGCCTTCCACGCAGTATCCTGGTATTATGCATCCGTTTCTTTTGTCTCCGCACCACATTTCAAACAGGTCTCTCGAAAGCCCGTTCTGCAGCATACCCGGAGACGCCATCATAACGCACGGGCCTCTGTCTTCGTACGCTTCTATGTTTTTTATGCTTTGCACGTGCTTAAAGTGGAATGGGTTGCTTATTTCTGCCATCTCCTGTATTCTGTCGTTCATCATGTTTAGGTACGTTTGGTACACGGCCATAAAACGCTTGGCAAGCGCCGACGCATACAAAATCGGGATCCCATGCAGGTCCTTGCGCGACTCCCAGAACTCATCCAGGATCAGGAGAAGCTCCTGCGCCCTTCCCAGGGCAAACACCGGGAGAAGACACTTTCCGCCCCTCTTGACAACCTCGGACACGCCCGTTACAAACCTGGCCTCTCGCTCTTCTTTGCTTTGGTGGCACTGCACGCCGTACGTAGCCTCGGAAATAAGAATGTCCACAGCGACCGGCGGAACTGCCGCCGCCTTCAAATGCCGGTCTTCCTCTGTAGAGTAGTCGCCTGTATACAGAAGAGACGTGTCGGCGCTCTTCACCAAAAACATGGCTGCGCCCAGGACGTGCCCTGCATTGTATGCGATCACAGTGGCATTTTTGATTTTAATCTCTTGTCCGTAGTCAATTGGTATTATCTTTTCGTAGCACTGCGAAAGCTCCTTCTCAGTAAACAAATCGTTGTCTGATGAGACATTGGACACCCTCACATAGTCGTTCAGCAGCCATCGGAATATGGCACGCGTTGGGTGCGTCATAAAAACCTTTCCCTTGAACGAGCTTCTTTCTGTGAAGTACGGAAGGGCTCCCGCATGGTCTAGATGGAAGTGTGTTATAAGAATCGCATCAATCTCCGCCGGGTCAATAAGATCGAAGAACGGAAGAGACGACACGCCCGTGTGCGCTGGATGCACACCGCAGTCAAACATAATAGTGACCCCGCGGAACTTAGCGACCACGCAGGACCGGCCTACTTCGCTTCCTGCCCCAAGCGGCAGTATTTTAGCTGCAGACTGGTAGAGTATTGGTTCCATGGTAGAAAAAGAAAGAAAATAAAAAAAGGCATGCGCATGCCAGAGGCGCAACAGGATAGGCTGCAGAAAGGCCACGCCGCGGGAGGGTGCTCCGTGCTGCTGTGAAAGAGGTTCAGTGAAAATGCAGCACGTATAAGCGCAAACCAATGCGCTCTGTAATGCAGAAAGGTAAACAGGCGCTGGCTAAGCACATCTGTGCCAGAAAGGCCGCGCACACATGCCCAGAAGCTTCTTTCATTCGCCTGTGCAGAGGGCCTTGCTAGGCCGGCCCCCGCCGCTGTGCGCTTTGAAGTGTTTTTTTCGCGCTGTACTGGGCTTTTCGCCATGTCCTAGAAACGTAAATATGCGCAAGAAGGCAAAAAATGGAAAAAATATACAAAATGTATCCATGCAAGTATTCGGGGTGCAAAAAACAGTTTAAAAAGCCTTCGCTTCTGGAGCTGCACGAAAACACGCACGAAAAAAAAAGGCCTTTTGCGTGCGAAAAGTGCGAGGCCCGGTACTACAAAAAAAGCCACTTAAAAGTGCATGTACAGCGCGCGCACATTGGCGGCGAGCAACGGGAGTGCAGCAGCTGTGGAAAAACGCTGGCTTCTCAAGAGGGGCTGCAGAGGCATAGAGAAGTGTGCGGAAGAGTGTTTACATGTGATGTGTGCCGAATGCAGTTTGTACGCGCCAGATGGTTTGTTGCCCATGTCCGGCTGTGCGTGGGAAAACAAAGCGCAGGCGAAAGCTGTACAGACGATGAAAGAGAAAAAGCTGCGGAAAAAAGGATAAAAAGAAGAAAGTCTGCACGGGACCTTCACAGATGCAGCGTGTGCCAAAAGGGGTTTAAACTGAACAGAAATCGCCTGTATCATGAAGCGCACGCACATAGCAGCATCCGTCACGAGTGTCCAAGCTGCAAAAAAACGTACAAGCACAAGGGGTCGCTGACCAGACATATAGAGACAGCACATAAAGCAGAAGGCGACTCAGAAACTGGCGCTGCGTCTGACGATGGACAGACTCGTGGAGAATAAAAACATGCCTAGCAATTGTAGCTAGCCAGCTTTATTCTAAACAGGCCGTCTCTGCTCAGGCCACATCAAGCGCCAGCACGCGGCGCTGCTATAAATAAATGTAAAATACGATTTTGTGCCCAGCAGTAGCGCTTAGAGTGAGAACTAGTTGGATTTATTGAAGAGCTTGGGCATGCGTGCGGGAGGTTTTGGCCTAAGAGATGCTGCAGCACAAGGCGAAGCGTGTCTCTTCACACAAGCCCAATGCACTAGCGCCAGAAGCATCCGACAAAACTGGCCCAGCAGCCTATCTTTTCTGTCACAGATGTCACTGCAGGTGCCTGTCTTCCACTCTGTCTTTACTTTGGCACTTTCTATGCATGCTCTTTCTATTGGTATATTTTCTGTATAAATAGTGAGCATGTTTTGTCTTCATGAAAGTTAAGGAGTGCATTCAAAAGATAATAGGAAGAAGCATTTTCGACAGCAGAGGAATCCCCACTGTGGAGGTAGACTTGAACACTGTGATAGGCAGGGTGCGGGCAAGCTGCCCCTCCGGCGCGTCGACAGGGTCCCAAGAGGCCCTGGAAATACGGGACGCAGAAAAGTCCGTGTGCATGGGAAAGGGCGTGCAGAAGGCTCTTATGGGAGTAGAGGAGATCGCCACTTCGCTAATAACAAAGTCTTTTAAGATTACCTGCCAGGAGGAAATAGACAAGCACATGAACGAGCTGGACGGAACCCCAAACAAAAGCCGGCTTGGCGCAAACGCAATACTCCCCATGTCGATCTGCTTTGTCCGGCTTGGTGCCCGGTACCTGCGGATTGAGGACTGGATGTACATCCGGATGCTCATGAACAACCAGCCTAGTGAAAGCAAGAAAGAGGCGCCTGAAAACGAAGTTCTGCACCTTCCAACAGGCGGGGTCCTGGTAAACAACATGCAGGCGGACAGCAGACTTGGCAGTGTAGAAAGCGCTTTGGCTGGGCCCGGCAGCACAGAAAAGGAGCGGCTGCGCAAAAAGCTAAAGGCATCCACTCCCCAAATATTTTTCAATGTGATCAATGGAGGAGCGCACTCGGACAACGGCCTTTTTGTGCAGGAAGTCATGGTTTCCTTTGAAGGAAGCACTCCTTACACGATGCTTTCGTCTGCTTCTGAGTTCATAGCCGCTCTAAAGAGCATAGTTAAGCAGAAGTACAAGCTCACCGGGGTTGGCGACGAGGGCGGGTTTGCTCCTCCAATCAACTCGCTGGAAGAAGCGCTTGACCTGATCCAGAGCGCCTCGCAGGAGTCTGGGGTAACTCCGCAGATTGCACTAGACGTGGCTGCCTCTGAGTTCTACAAAAACAACATGTACAATGTTGGATGGAAAACCACAGAGAAGCTTATTGGGGCAGACGAGCTTGCCGAGTACTATGAAAAAATCATAAAAAAGTACAAGGTGTGCATGATTGAGGACCCCTTTGACGAGAAGGACTATGCTGGCTGGGCGGCTTTTATGAAAAGGGCAGACTCTCTGGGTGTGCGGGTTGTTGGCGACGACCTGATTGTGACAAACCCCGAGCTCATTCGGCAGGCAGGGGAGAAAAAGCTGTGCAATGTTGCCCTAATAAAAATGAACCAGATTGGAACGATCACAGAGACGATCTCCGCGGTTAAAGAGGCAAGGCAGCAGGGCATGAAGGTGATGGCCAGCCACAGAAGCGGCGAAACCGAGGACGCCTTTCTGGCCCACTTGTCTGTTGGAATTGACGCCGACTACCTCAAGGCGGGGTCTTTATGCCGGTCTGAGCGGGTGTGCAAGTACAACGAGCTTATCCGAATATTTGAAAAGTGCAAGATAGACACGATCTAGAAACGTTTTTGCGCAAAAGGCTGCTGCGCGGTGTGGGCTTGCGCTTCTTGCAGACGCAGAGTTTGCAAAGCACAAATAAAAATTCGGTAGTGTTTTATTTTTGCTTTCTATGCTATACACACCAAGCAAAAACAAACTGCACGCCCTGCATGCATGCAGACACCGACTGATGAAATCTCCACGAAAAGGTTTGGCTAGCTCAGACCTGCAGCCCAAAGCGCAGACACTATAAAAGGCCTATTTGGGCGGTATAGTATTCGCGTTGCAGCAAATAGCTGATGTCCATCAAAAAAGCATGTGCGCTTGGAGAAGGCTGTGCAGGAATGCAGGTTGTTTCAAAACGTCTTTATTTATGGATATATATTCGATGGATCCACTCCATGGGAATGCTCCCCAGAATGGGAACGCGCACATAGGCATATGAGGCTGCAGCGCTGTGCTTTCATTATGCTGCATTGCTTTCTGCTAAGCAGCAGCTATTTCTGCTTGGTCTCTATGGTGAGCTGTGCGTTTTCTGTCGAGGGGCTGTCCTTCCCCAGCATTCGGAAAGTAAGGAATGTTGACCCTAGGAATATTGTAACAAGCCCTAGAATAAAGTAGTTGAACTGCGTGGAGGTAAACATGGAAAAGTCTTTGAAGTATATTCCTGCTGTCGTGATGCTCGTGAGCGTCCACAGAATGTGGAATACCGGAATCACCAGCAGGGCGTCGTATCTTTTCAGAGCCTTGTTGAGCCAGTATATTTGCCCAACCGTGCACAGGAATATAAGGGCGCCGAAAAAGTACGGGCCAAAGCCCAAAAACTGGTTCTGGCCCGAAATTGTGAGCGAGATCATTAGGCCAAAGCTCTTTGCAAACAGCGTGGTGAACGACGCAATACACGCAGACATGCCCACGTACGCGAACAGCATGAAGTACTTCAGGCAGGGCCCGTTTTTGCTAAACTTTCTGTCCAGGTTAACCCACGGAGCGGTGCTTCCTATTTTCCAGTCGCTGTTTTCTTCTACAACTGTGCACAGGATGAGCAAAGACAGAATAACCATCAGCAGAAAAACAAACCACATGAACGTGCCAAACTCGAAGTAGTTCTGCAAAAGGCTCAGAAGCGTGTACTCTCGCTTTCCAGACCCTGCGTTGGAGAGGATCAAAGAGGACCCCAAAAGCACAAACACTATGCAAAGAAAGTCGTATATGGTGAACACCTCGCCATTGATCATGGGCGCAAAGATGCTGTTGGCTATGAGCCCGACTGCACCAAGCGATGTCATAAGAGACTGGTTTCCAAAGACATACGAGGTAAACCCAGAAATCTTCCCAAGTATGTACGAGGCTATACCAAGCGCAAACAGGCTTACGCTCACCCCAAGAAAGACGCCTCTCTCGGTCACATATGACTTTTTCTGCAGGTTCAGCCCTATGTTTATGAATAGGTTTCCGGTGACAGAGAGAATCGGCCCCAGTATCCAGAACTTGCTAAACGAGGGCGCGCAGACAGGGCCTGTCTCCTTTGCGGAGCACACAAACCCGGAGGTGCACCCGTTTACACCGGCGGGCCTGTTTTCGCTGCAGGCTGCCCCGTTGGGTATGTAGCGGCAGCAGAAGCCGCCCAGACACTTGTCAGTGCATGCAAGAGGCCCAAAAAAGGGGTAGGACGCACACTCGCTTGGCGAGCTGCATAATGTCCCGGGCGGCTTTAGCTGAACACACTGATTTTCCACACAGAAAAGGCTGTGGGCGCCTGTTATGCTGGCCACCTGGCAGTCGGCGTCTGCCTTGCAGCTGTTTGGTGAGGCTGTGCTTGCTGTGAGCGCAAAAGAAAGAAAACTAGCCCAGTAGAACGCGTTCATACAATGGAAAAATAATGCGCGCAAGCAATAAACATGGGATGTCTGTAAGAACAACAAACAAAGAAACGCCAGCGCGAAACATGCAGCGCTGCCGGGGATGAGCTCCAAGCCGGGCGCGCCCTTCGCGCTTCTGTGTTTTGTTTCCTGCCGCTGCGCTGGAAGAAGCTTTCTAGGGCGCCCTAAGCGCACCGCTTCAGATGGCTTTGTGTTTGCAGTGAACTGAGCCAGCGGGCCTTGCGGAGCCCCAAACACTTGCCGGGCAGCGGTGCCCTGCTTTGGGCACTTTACTGTATGCACAGCGAAAACACTAAATGTTAAATATTTTACACCTCAATCTATTTTTTTATGGTAGACGCACAGCCCACATGGAAGGACAGAGTTGAAAAATACAAAAAGCTGGAGGAGCTTTGGAGCAGGAAGCCGCATGGACAGGCTGAGGAGATTGTGAGCATCCTTAAAGAAACGTCAATACCTGCGCTGGAGGCAGGGCTTTCTGCTATTACTCCTTTGGCAAAGGCAAATGCTGTGGGGGAGTACACAAAGGACCTTCTTTCTATCCTGTTCAAGAACGTAGCGTCAAGCAAGCCAACGATGAAGAAAACTGTCCGAGAGATAATGGCGGCACAGGCCCGGCACAATCCATCGCTTGTGGTCGTGGCGGCGATGGGGTGCATAAAAGACAAAAACCCAAAGATAGTGGCGGAAACGATAAAGATTTTGTGGGAGAACTCGGCGCTTTTAATGGAGCATTTAACAGGCCCGGTGCTTCCGCACGCGCCGTTTTTATTTGGGCACAGCACAGGCGCAGTTAGGGAGGAGGCCACCAAGCTGTTCCAGATACTAGCGGAGAAGGAGCCTGAGAGGGTGGGCGAGGCCGTGAAAACACTCAAGCCAATACAGGTAAAGGAGATATTCAATCCGCGGCCAGAGGCAGAGCGGGCCGAGGAGCCAAGGGCGGCGCCTGTAGAGGCATGCGCAGAGCCTGCAAGCGAAAAGCAGGCGGCAGCCCCGCAGAGAGAAAGGGCAAGCAGCGCATCGTCCGGCAACGCAACAATGAAGGATGAGCCTTCCCAGAGGAAAGCCGCAGAGTGCAAGAGCGAGGCGCCAAAGTGTGTAGTGAAGGAGCTCCCAAAGAACTTTTACGAGCGATTTGCGTCTTCTCTATGGAAGGAAAGGCTCGTGATGGAGGAGCTTGACGAGCTTCTGGGCGAAAGGGGAACTCTCAGCACGAAGGACATAGGCGAGGTGACCGAAGCAATAATAAAGAAGGCAGGAGAAAGCAACAACAAGGTTATGATAGCAGGGATGTCCGTTGTGCTGAAGATTGCGCAAAGAGAGAAGCTGCAGGATGCGCACGCGCTCCGGATAGCAAAGGCAATAGAAAAGCGGCTGAAAGACAAAAAAGAGCAGGTCCAGCAGGCGGTTTCCAGCGCAATTCTGGCGCTGCTAAACCACAGCCGGGCAGGCATATTGGCAGAGCTTGTAAACACAGCGTGCACGGACAAAACGCTTCGGCACGGCGTGCTGAAGACGCTTGAAAGTGCCTTGGCCAAAGTGACAGAAAAAGAGGCGGAAGATGCCAAAGCCATCAGGGCGCTTGTTCTCTGCACAAAAGACCAAAGCGCAGACACGCGCGGACTGGCATGCGCATGCATGGCAAGGGTGCTTTCCAAAAGAGAGGAGGCTCCCTCGCAGGCGGAAATTGAGCAGCTGGGCGTGGAAAGGCTTCTTGCTGTAAAGATAGAGGCGCAGGCAGAGGAGATGTTCCAGAAAAAAGACGCCGAGATAAGCGCAATAATTGAGTCGCTGTGCGAAAACATAAGAAACACGTCGATCAAGATTTCAGAGCCGGTGACGCCTATACGAGGAGGCGAGTGCCCCAACACAAGCACTTTGGAGGGAAGCCCCATAATTACGCGCTCGCTCCAGAAAGAGAAGCCTGGAAACGTGTTTGCAGGAGAAGCTGCGCCTGCTTCGGCGGTCGAGGCGCACAAGCCGCAGAAAGCGTATGTGGAGTATCCTGCGGTGTGCCCAATAATGAACTATGTCATGACGGGGGAGGTGGAAGGAACTCTTTTGGCCACGCTGGTAAGCGCGCTGGGCGGAAGCCCGCTGGTGGACACTCGGATACTTTCGATCCTGTATGCTGTGAATCTGCCAGAAGGCATTGCCAGCCAGCTGCAGGAGAAGATGGGCGGGCTGTTTGCATCGGACACACACACCTCTCTGCTGGCGGAGGGCGTGAAAACCAAACTTGCAAGAAAGCTGCAGGAAAAGAACGCGTTTGAGGAGAGGTGCCTGTTTGCTGCGCTTACCGAGGACCTGCTGAAGGGGGAAAGTGTGCCGCAGGAGCGAATACTTCATGCTCTTGCTAGTGCAGAGAAGAGGTCCAGCATATTGAAGGAGGAGCACGCGTTCATTATTGTAAAGGCAGCCGGAGAGATGGGCTACTTGGAGGCGCTTTCTGGGGTAGAAAGAGTTTTTCCGGCGTCAAAGGTCTTTACGATTCTCACGACCTTGGCGGAAACCAACAGCGTCTTCCTGGAGAGAATCTACTTTTTGCTGCAGAAGCCGCACGTGGGCAGCTCGGCGCTTGACGGCGTTCTGAACACCCCAAGGTTTTTGTCGCTTTTGGACAGGTCGGAAGCTCCGGCTGCGCAGAAGGTTCTGAGCATTCTGAAAAAAGAAAGCATAGTGGCAGGATATTCGCCGTATGCAAAAAAAGTGCGGAGAACCGAGGGCGCACAGGATGCGGCAGACATAAACGCGCTTCTGAACGACATTATAGACCAGAACAGCCAGCAGTCGCAGGAGTCGCTGGGGAAGCTGGAAAAGATTTCTGCAGAAAACATAAGCGGCCTTCTCAGAAGCGCGTCCACAGTTGTAAATGTCCTGCTTTTGCAGCTGAACGACGCGCTGTCCTCTGGCGGAAGCAGCTTTAATGTGCACACAATTATAAAGATCATAAAAAGGGTCTGCGAAAGCGAAGTTTTCCTGGCCACGCTGGACGCGGGGACTCTTCTGAGCCTGGTCTCAGACTACATTGTCATCATAACCGGGCAGATTCCGCGGGGAAGCGCCTCCCCAGAAGGGATCAAAAAGGAGTGCGGGGAAAGCCTTCTGAGAATGTGCGCCAACGCGCCGTTCCTGCACATGTTTAAGATATACATGAACCTTCTGTCAAACCGGTACAGAGAGGAGAAGGTTCGAGAGATTCTGGTGAAGCTTCTGTGGAAGCACTCAAAGATGACCTCGTCCGTGGTGGCAGACAAAGCGGTTGTTCTGGGGATGGTCAGCAGGCTAAACACGTTCTATGCAGAGTACAGAGGCGACATAAAAAGCGAGCCTTTAATATCAAAAGTGCTGCAGCTGCATTTGATAGAGATACTCAAGCACTACGGGGACGACTTTCTTCGGACGTTCAAGGTGACAGGCCCTGTGCTGCAGCAGGTGCATGCGCTGGGCGGGCTGAGGACATAGCCGGGCCGCCGCAAGCGACCCAGCCAAGCCTAAGCTTTCTGGAAAGCGCGAAAGAGGCCGCTCCTGCAGCCTGGCCCGAATATAATAAACATGCTTTGATATAGGCGATTTGCATGCGGTTTTTGCTGCGCCGCGTGCAGAAAGGGCTGGGGCTTTGCATGCTTTGTGCACGCCAACCGGTTTGATTTTTCTATATTTATATGCGGCTGCATCAAAAAAAGTGAGCCACGCCGCGCGGTTTTCAACCGTTTAGACTCGATAGGCGGCTTACTAGCTCCAGAAAACAGCCCGGGCCTGCCCCCTTTCGACTTTGGCTTGTACATGGCTTGCTGCGAGCCCGCGCGTTGCGCTGTCCTGTTTGCAGAGGTGGAGGGCGGCGGCGGCAAGTCTGGGCTGTTGCGGGAGAGTAGTCTAGTGCTGCGCGTGGGCAAACAGCTGGCCAAGCGGCGCGGCGCTTCACGGCGTATTTCAAGAAACGCTTGCTGCAGAAAATATTTGCATGCTTTTGGAGAGAAAGCTGAGAAGAGAAAGAAAAGAGTGGATGGACTCGATAAAGGCTGAGGAGCGGCGGGTGGAGTCAAAAAAAAGAAAGGAAATGCTGTACAAGTCGTACGAGAGAGACCTTGTTGTGCCAAAAGAAATACGAAACGACATAGAAGACGAAAAGCTAACGGCCGAGGAGGCTCTGCACGACGCAATATATGCGTTTGAGGCGGGGGAAAAGGAGGACGAGTTTTCAAACAAGGAGGCACGGCCCATCATCACAACCTCGCGGTCTCCTTCAGACCCTCTTGTGCGGTTTGCCAAGGCGCTCAAACAGATAGTTCCGAACTCGGAGAAGATCAACAGAGGAAAACACATGATCACGGAGCTGGTGAAAACCGCGACCAAAAACGAGTACACGGATCTGATTATGGTGAATGAGCACCGAGGAGTTCCGTCTTCTCTGATTATTTCGCATCTTCCGCATGGGCCAACGACGTATTTCAGCATCCACCACCCGAAAATAGACATGGATGACCCGACCAGCACGGCGACCCCTGCCATTGTGTTTGACAACTTCACCACGCCGCTCGGGCTCAGGGTAAAGAGGATTCTCTCGTCGCTGTTTCCCCCGCTCCCCCCTAGGGAGAAGCCAAAGAGAATAGTGAGCTTTGTGAACAGAGAAGACAGCATACTGTTTACGCAGTACAAAAGCACGTTCAAAAAGGGCGAAGTTGACCTGGAAAAAATATCGCCGCAGTTTACGCTTAAGCTGTACGAAATACGCGCCGGCACCCTGGACATGTCATATGCAGAAAAGGAGTTTGTGTTTAGGCCATATCTGAACACTGCCCGAAAAAAGTTCTACCTTGGAGAAGAAACAGAGGACATGCAGGCCAGCACCACAAAAAAAGTAAAAGAAACGGCTAGAGAGGCGCCGCCATGCGCTAGCGACCTAGCACAGTAATAAATGTCAAGCAAGACCAGTTAAAACACCCTTCGCGCGGAAATCTGTTTATTGGAGCCTAAGATGTCTGTGGGCGTGCGGGCGGGCCCAAACAGGTTTTTCTGTGCGGTGGCCCAGGTATGCTTTGCAGGGAAATCCTGTTTTAAGCGGCAGCCTTTCTAAGCCGAGAAAAGCAGCGCGCATGGAGGCGCCCGCCGACAAAGCCCAAGCCCTGAAGCGCCAGCTGGCAGGCATGCATTCGCCAAGATTTTGCAGCGCTATCTGTCAGAATGACCTATTTTGTTTATTATGGAATGTTTTATTTTTTATTTATATGCAGCTGGAGTCCTTCATTGTAAACTACTACAGGTCGATCCCTATTGTTAGCAGAGTTCTCTTTACCATGAGCATTGCGCTTACTGCGCTCACATACTTAGACATAATATCGCCTTACAACTTAATATACACGTTTCCCCACATAAAAAAGCTAGAGCTGTGGAGGGCTGTGAGCGCATTCTTCTACTGGGGCCCTGCCACCTTGGACACGCTTGTGCACCACTTCTTTATGCTGAAGTACTGCATCATGATGGAGGAGGCCGCAAGCAACCCAGCGGACTTTCTGTACATGATTCTGCTGGGAATGGGCTTGATACTGGTGGGCGCCACGGCGTTGGGCGTCACCAAGCTTTCCAGCTCGCTGTCCACGTACATTATATACATATGGAGCAAAAAGAACCCATTGATTATAGTTCAGTACATGAGCTTGTTTAACCTTCCAGCAGGATATCTTCCTTGGATTATGTTTATGTTTTCGTCTCTTGCCGAAAGAGGCGTTCCCTTGAACGACCTGGTGGGGATCATGGCAGGGCACGTGTACTTCTACTTCAAAAGCGTGTATGTCCAGGGAAGCCCAGGAAGCGACCCGCTAAAGACTCCCGATATTTTGACAAACCTTTTCGTAAAGAAAGCCCAGCCAACTGCAGAAAGAGCACGCCGCCCAGCCCAAAGAGTAGTGACCCTAGATACCATAGAATAACTAAAGAAACTGCATAATAATGGCTTGGGCCAGGGGTGTATCAGTTTTGAGTGTGCAGGCAGTGCCGAGAAGGCCAGATCGAGGCGCTTCTTTCCCACAGCACAGAGGCCTTCTTGTGCGCGATGGAAGAACACTGTGGGGGCGTCAGACTGCACGGTTTGTCTAGAAGCATATGCTGGTTTTGCTGCGTGCTCTGGCAGCAATGGGCATATACGCATATCTGTGGGGGTCGGGCATTCCTAGACATGCAGGGCAGATGCTATCTAAAGGCAAGGATTTGCTAGGGCTCTGCGCACCATGGGCCCGCATGCAGAAAAATAAAAACACCTATTTGTTGCCTCGGGAAATTATGCTTTTTAACGCCTTGGCGCAGAAGGCTGCTGCATGCACTATCCGTGCGCTTTCGCGGCTCATCTCCATGGGCATGCTATGGCAGGGCCTCTCCATAAACACGTTTTCTTTTTGGAGCATTAACGCAGCAGCTAGCGTTTTCGGGCTGTGGGCTGAATAGGCGCGCTGTGCATGCAGTGCAATTTTCTTTTTAAAATGCACGCCCGCTGATATAGGCTCCATGCGCGCCCCTTCTCCACCAGAGCTGCACACTGCTCTGAAGATAGCGGGTAACTGAACAAAAGGCATAGCCCGAAATGCACCAGACTCCTTTGCCTTCTTTGTTCGCAAATAAGAAAAGTGTTCTTTTATAAATTGGCGCAAACATCAGAAAATTTTGGTCTTTGCCAATGCCTAGCCGATAGGCAGCGCTGGGACAGGCGCCTGCATGTGGAAATGACCTTTCTGTAGAGAAGAGGAGGCGCAGCAGGCAATATGCATGCCTCCAAGCGCGCATGTGGGCTTTGGCATGCTGATAGCGCGAAATGCATGCTTGGCCGCGCATTTCTTGTGCCCGGGCGCGCTGCAAGGGACAGAAGTGCTTGATACGGCCTCTGCTCTTCTCTTCGAGGGCACCGGCCCTTAGCTCAGGCATGCACGCGGTTTTCGCAGAGGCCGGCTTCCAGCCCTTGCCAGACTTTTATAGGCGTGGGCCTTTGTTTGTTTTCTCCAGTGTTTGCAGACCTTTGGCTTGGATGCTTCTGTTGTGCTGGGTGCATATTTCTATTACCATTTCGATTTTATTTTTATTGCGGCGTAATGGGGAAGAGAAAGCATTCAGTAGACACCGATAGTGAAGAGGAGTTCAAAGCCAGCAAGTTCGTGGACGTCGAGGCCTCAGAGGATGACCCCTCCGACAACGAAAGCATGGACGATTTCATCAACGAAATAGCCGAGGACGTTGAAGTTGTGGAGGACGAGCCAGAGGAAGAAAAAAACACGGAGGAGTTTGCCACCTCAAGCGAGGATAAGCTGGAAGACTTTGAGGAGTATACCAAGAAGGTGGAGGAGCGGTATAAGAATGTAGACTCGCTGGAGGTGGAGGAGATTCCGCAGCAGCTTCTGCTTCCAACGGAAAAATCGCCTAAGCTGTGGCTCATTCGGTGCACGCCCACAAAAGAAAGGAGCATTGTGCTGGCAATACTGCGGAAGGCTACTCTCAGCAAGCTGAACATAGTTTCAGTTCTCTCCAACGAGCTTGTCAAGGGGTACATATACATAGAGGCGTACCAGAAGCAGCAGGTTACGCAGGCAATAGAGGGCGTGTTTGGCGCGTTTAAAACAAACATCACGCAGGTGCCAAACAAAGAGATGGTGGATGTTCTTTATCTTCCCGAGCTGGACCCTGTTATATACAAGGAGGGGAACTATCTTCGGGTGATCAAGGGGGCGTACTCAGGCGAGATAGTGAAAATAGACACGATTGGGGCAAGCAAGGGGAAGATACAGGTGAAGATACTTCCAAAGGTAAACGAAAAGTACAAGCTATTTGACGCAAAAGACTACAGCCCGTCCGAGGTGTACAAGATGTCCAAGAGCACATGGGTGCACAAGAAGGAGATGTACAAGGACGGATACCTGCTGAAAGAGCTGCCAATCACGCACATGGCGTCCACCCCAATGATATCGAAGGAGGAGAAGAAGTGGTTTGAGACTGCAGAAAACAGAAAAACCACAGGGTGTTTGTTTGTGAAAGATGAGGTGGTTGAGGTTGTGTTTGGAGGGCTGAAGGGCGCGGTCGGAAAAATAGTCGTTGTGGGCGAAGAGGAGGCGATTATACTCATAGGCGACAAAAAGGTGTCGGTCTCTCTGCAGGAAATAAAAAAGAGATACTCGGTGGGAGACGAGGTCCAGGTGGTTTCTGGGCGAAACAGGGGGGAGTGCGGCTTTGTTGTGGGCATCTCTAAAAACAAGCTAATGGTTGGCATAAACAGCTTCACCGACGAAATAGAGGTGGAAATAGACGAGGTCAAGCTCTGCTCGGTTCCCGACACAAGGCCGGAGGAGGCCAGCTCTCCAAAGCGCATAGCCAAGCCGAAAAGAGACCCTCTTGTTGACAAGCAGGGGGAGATAACGTCAGGGGAGTACAAAGGAAAGCGGGGGGTCATAAAAGACGTGCTCTCCAATATGTACCGGGTGCAGCTAATAACCACCCTGAAGTGTATAAATGTTAAGAAAAGAGACTTTGAAATACAGAAGCGCAGTGGAAAGGCGAGCCCGCTTGAAAAAAAGCAGGAAAAGGAAGAGACAGACGAGGACGAGAGCACCGTGTCTGTGCGCGGAGACGGAGACACTCCTGTGATAGAGCCAGAGGAGTACAAGCCAACCGAGAAGATCTACTCGCTGGACCCTTTTGACGAGGAGTAGTGTGTGCAAGGCCAAGCGAGCACACCGGGAAATTGCAAGGCACCATTTCCACGGCGTGCAGACATGCCTATTTGGTGCGGTGGGGGCGCAATGTATTTAATAGCGGTTGGCGCAATTTTCTTCTATTATTTTCGAGCTGTATTTTTAAATACGAAATATTTGTTGTCCTTGAAAGAATGCTTCAGAATGCAAACTCAGTTAAAAGGATAATGAAAGAGCTGCGAGACATTGAGGACTCGGAGAAAAACAAGCCGGAAAGCGCTGCAGAACAGGTGATACGAATAAGCCCGATCGACGAGACAGATATGTACACGTGGAGAGGGAAAATAAAGCCCCCAAAGGGAAGCAACTATTACGGAGGCATTTTCTATCTGGACATTAAGTTCCCAACAGACTATCCGTTCAAGCCACCAAAGGTCAGGTTTATTACACGGATATTCCATCCGAACATAAACACGAACGGAACCATATGTCTGGACATTCTAAATGAAAAGTGGTCGCCTGCTCTGACTATTTCAAAGGTCATGATGTCGATTTGCAGCTGGCTGGACGAGCCAAACCCTGATGATCCGCTTGTTCCAAACATTGCATCTATTTGCAAAACAGAGCCCGAAAAGTACAAGGAAACCTGCAAGGAGTGGACGCTAAAATATGCGGTCGATACAAGCAATGACATAGACGCATGGAAGTAAGGCTTTGCCGGAATAAATATGATTTGTTACATGCTTCAGCTGTTGGCCTGCTGTGCACTTTGCTGCGCGCGCTTGACTTTTTCACGTGCTTTCTTTTTTATTGTGCTGCTAGCGTGGGTATGGCGCTGATAATGATGCTTCAAACGTCAGCCATAAATGATGCACGCGCAGGAATGGCGCGCTGCAAATTGGGCGGAGAGGCCAGGCCAAGGCTTACATAGGCGGCGGGGCAGGCGTGCGCGAAAGCCGGAAGGCTGGCACAGCGCTTGCCTTCACATGTATTTAATTCGCATGTGAATTGTTTTTATGGAAAATCCAGACTTGATATTCGAGGAGCCGTGGAGTGCGCAGATTAGGCAGGACCGGGGAAACCTGCAGGAGTTCATAAAAACAACAGAAAATGCGTGGAGCAAGGCGGTGGGCGCCCTTCCTCGGGTGTCGGAAACGCTAGAAAAAGTCAAAAAGGCTGCAAAGGAGCTTTCGCGCATAAAACTGTCAATGGAAGAAGCGAAGGAGGAGGTCCAGAGAATCGAGAAGCGCACAGAAGAAGCAGAAAGCGACGTGAAGGCCAAGAGAGAAGCGCTTTCCATACTGGACGAGATAGTGGAAAGCATACGCATACCAAAGGAGGAGCTTCAAATGCTGCAAGAGCCGGCGTTCAGCAGCATGCAGGAGATGGCCATAATAGAAGAGGCTCTGCGAAAAGCCAGAAAGTGTCTGTCTTTGGCCCACCCCCGGGCGATTTCCATCTGCGTGGTGAAAGAGCGGCAGGAAGCGGTAAAAAAGGTGCTAGAGAGGTTTGACAAAAAGGCAAAGGAGTTTATCATTCGAGACTGCCTAAAGAGCAGAAGGTCGCCCACAGACGTGCATGAGCTGCTGAGCAGGTACACCGAAGTCATTGCGTATTTGGTGCAGAAGGACGCTTTCCAGGAGTGCATGCATGCGTACATGGTGACCATGGCAAAGCTGCACAAGACGTACATGGCAAAGAAAATTGAAGAGGTGCTTGCCCCGTTCCGCAGCAAGCGGGCTGCAGACAAGGAAGCATTGGTTAAAAAAATAGAGTCTATTTTCATAACGATGATACAGCTGATGTTTTCTCTTGCAGCCACAGAAGGATACTTCCTCACGGAGCTGTTCGCAATGCGGGAGGACGCTGCAGGCAAAACTCTGTCAGAGATATTCCAGCAAGCCGAGCAGGAGATCTCTCTGCTTCCGGGCGCTCTGTACGACATGGGGTACGAAGTGGGGGTGCTCAACCTGCTTTGCAGCAAGTTTTCGTGGCTTTCGGAGCCTGCGTCGCCGTCTGAGGAAATGGCCGTGCACCGAATAGACAGCATTGTCCCCAAGATAAAGAAGGAGCTGCACGAGCTTGAAGGCAAGTATCTGCAGAAGGTAAAAAAGGCCATATCCAAGGAGTACTCACGCGACGGGGCGATAGACTTGGACAAGGCGTTCTACAACGTGGTGGATGTTTCTGCTGTCCCGTCTTTGAACACAGAAGTGCTGAGAATGAACTTGGCGTACTCCAGCAGAATGCAAACACAGATGGAAAAAGTTTTTCAAACCGTGAAAAGAGCATGCATCCTGGGGTCCATGCAGGCCCACTACTTGGAGAACAAGGAGAAGTACAAGGAGGAGGTAGACGAGCAGTTGAACGAGGAGATAGAAAAAATGGCCAGCAATCTGATGTATCTTGCAGAAAGCAAGGTTTTTGAGAAAGACAAAACATCCAGTATTGTGAAAAGAACCAAAGAGATCATGGACCTGCTGAACAAAGTGGAGGACCCGCTGGGGTTTCGGCTGCAGATAGATTTTAAGGACATGGTGCTCTCCAAGGCGAACTTCCACGAGAAGAACGCAATTGCTGCAGTGCTAACCGCCAACAAGAAAGAGGGCAGCACCCAAGAAAGCGCAAGCAAGAAGTAGAGGGCAAAGACAGGCTTGCCTGTCGATGGTGGCGGGCGTGTCTGGGCATGCGCGGTGCACCTACCGGCGGCCTGTCCTGTGCGAAAAGAAAGCAAGCGGCTGGGCTTTGCTTTTTGCAAATGTTCTGGAAGGCCAGGCAACGTGAGCCTGCGCTTGGGGGTTTTCTGCGTATATAAATAAATGTAAGAAAAAGGGATTTTCTCTCGCGCCTTTCTGCTGCCTCTGCACTTTGCGCCGAAATTTCCCAGGCATTCTGCTTGGCAAGGGCTTTGGCGCCTTTTCTCCTAGCAGGCTATTCAAATTCATTTAGCAAATTCTTTTTCTTTGTGTATGGCAGCAAACTCTACATGCATAAAGACCATTTTACGGGTAAGGCCACCCCACAGAGACAGGAGTCTGCGGATAAGAAAGAAAGCCGTACATGTAGATAAGAATGCGCAGGAGGAGCTATCATTTGAGTTTGATTCTGCGCACGGCGGGGAAAGCACGCAGAAAGACATATATAAAGAGGTGGAGCCGTACTTGGACAACATCGCGCGGGGCATAAACACGTCGATACTTGCATATGGCGCCACAGGCTCTGGCAAAACCCACACAATGAGCGGCACGGCAAGCGACCCGGGCATAATTCCCCGGATGGCGGAAGACCTGTTTGGCCGGTACTTTGAGACGCTGTCGATTCTGTTCAAAATTCGCATAGAAATGTCGTACATAGAAATATACAACGAAAAGGTGTACGACCTGCTCTCCGAGGAGCACGTTCCGCTCCCTGTCCGGGAAGACTCGCAGGGCAAGGTGGTTGTGCAGGGGATGTCCGAAGTGAGGGTGACGAGCAAGAAGGAGTTTCACGAGGTATTTCAAAAAGGCGCGCAGAAGAGAAAGCAGGGGAAGACCCTTTTGAACACCGAAAGTAGCCGAAGCCATGCGGTTGTTACGCTTTTCATCAGTCTGTCAACAGACTCTACAATGGTGCGAACCAAAATAAACCTGGTGGATCTTGCTGGGAGCGAAAACAACAAGAGAACAGGAAACGAGGGGATGAGCATGGTGGAAAGCGCCAGCATCAACCGGAGTCTTTTTGTGCTGAACAAAGTTATAGAGAGCCTGTCGACCGGCGCGGCGCGCGTTCCATACCGCGACAGCAAGCTGACTAGGATTCTGCACGACGCGCTGGGCGGGATGAGCGACTGTGCAATAATAGTGAACGTGAAGGGCGACTCTTCGGCGGAGACGCTGAGCACGCTTGCGTTTTCCGGCAAGAGCAGAAAGGTGAAGCTGAAGCCGCAGAGCGAGAAAATTGCGCACAACCCATGGAGCAGCATTTCCAAGCTGGAGCCCAAGGGCGCGCGCATGCCGTTTAGAGACTGCTCTGGCAGCAAGCGGCCTGTGCACAGCCCCGGGGCATCGAGCGCGAAGAAACAGCCAGGCCCGCTGGAGAAGGAAAACTTTCTGGCCGGAGGCGTGCTGAAGGAGAAAAAAAAGCAGAGAAGGCCGCCGAGAGAGTACGAGAAAAAAAGCATAAAAGACGTGCTGGAAATAGTAAACAGCGGGGATTTTTTGAAAATAAAGTCGCTCCCTCTAATAGGCGACCAGCGGGCAGAGAAGATTATAAAGTATGCGCAAAAGAAGCAGGTGACGGATATAAACGAGCTTCTAGAGGCAGGGCTGACTGCCAAAATACTTGCAAAGCTAGTGTAAAGACGGGGTTTTGCAGAGGCAGCCCAGCATTACAAAAATAAACTTATATCAGAAATCAGGCGCGCTGTGCAGGCACATATAGACAGACTAAAGAGATCGCGCTATTTATTATAAAAGCTGCACTTTGTGCTTAGAGCTACTAGATTGTTTCTTCCACAGCAGCAAGCCTGCTCTTTGCTTGGGCTTTTCGGCCACCAGGCGCGGCCAAAATATAAAAAAAGCCTTACTAGAGACAAGAGTGCATTTATTTATCCTTTTTGTAGCCCGCTTCCGTTCCCGGAGGTCAGCTTTTTGGGATTGACAAACGAAAACTCTTCCAGCTCTGCCTTTTTATTGCTGCAGCCAGTGTCAAATATAAGAGACTTTTCAAACGGTTGAGAAAAGGAGAAGCTGTCGCCAACAATGCTTTCTATAAAGGCAGAGTCATCCGAGAAGATGTCTAGCTCATTAAAGTTGTAGCTGGAGGAGGCGGCTGGCTTTTTGCTCGGCTGAATGAATTGCTGTATGTGCGAGGTATAGGAAGAAGAAGAAGACGTGAAAACAGGCGTCGGGTTTGGCAAGCTTGAGTCTTTGAAAAGGTCTATTTCCACCGGAGAGACCTCAGGCTTTTCTTCTGGCCTCATGCCAAGCTTTATGGGGGAGACCTTTTTTTTCTCGTCTATTTTGTTCTCTCTAATGTATGTTTTCAGGTTTTTCTTTTGCTGCACAAATGTTTGCGGCCGGGGCATTCCTGGCATGCCACATATGTACTTGCTGTATGTGTATAGGTTTGTCTCCCGGCGCAGATCTCTTTCCAAGGCGTCGCAGAACAAGGCGTCGTGCGGAACCGAGTACCAGAAGAACACCTTCTGCTTCTTCTGGGTTCGGATGCACCCGTTCTTGTACAGGAACTCGAGGAAGTCTGAGCGAGGGGACTCCAGCGTGGCGTCGATTCCAGGCTTCAGGTTTCTCAGGTCGGAGAAAACCCCCTCCTCAAACTTCTTGTGGCTTGCAATGTGCCTCCCCGCGTTTTGGAATCGCCAAACAAGTATTTTTACAATGTCTGTCCCAGTGACATAGAAGTGCATATTCCAAAGTATGCAATGAATGTAATCCCCGTTCTTCAATTGGTATTTTCTGATTCTTTCCCCTTCTCTGAAGTCCTTTGGAGAGTTTGCCAAGAAATGAAACAGCTCTTTATCTCCTTGCTCCTCTAACTGGTTATAATTCATAATCAACAAGGCGCCCCCTGGTTTATATTCAATGCATGAAACAGTTTCATGGTAACCGTGTCGTAGAACAGCAAATAAACAAATTTAAGGGTCTCCCACCGCAGGAAAGAAAATACAAATACAAGGCCCTCGGCTTTATTTTCCCAAATGCCTTTTAATTGGCGCTGTGCGAAAAAAAAGAAATGCAGACAGGACAGATAAAGAGCCAAAGAAAGCACAAAGAGGTCCAGCCGCTTGCAGAGGATGCAATAAAGGCTGTGCTCGCAGGCCCGCAGGATTACACTGCCTACAGGAAAACAGGGCCCGAAAAGGCCAGCGAGTATGCGGAGGCCATGGCGCAAATACTTCAGAGGCAGCAGGAAACGGAGGAAGACAAGGAAAACCAAAGCGAGCGCATAATACTCAGCACGTGGTCCATAAAGCTGGTCTGCAGCTCGGAGGGGGAGCTTAAGACGATTGTCTTCGGCATAATAGAGGGCACGCAGGACATTGTGCAGAGCTCGTTCATCAAGGAGCGGGTTTCTTCGCACTGCGTGATGTCGAAAAACACGATGTATGAGCTGGCTGGCAGCTTTGACAGCACAGTGGAGCCATACCCAGGCTTTCGCAGCAGCACGCTGAGCAAGTTCAAGTGTGGGTTTCCGGAAAACTGGAGCGCTTTGATAGAGAAAGAGGTCCAGCACATAGCCAGCAAGGAGAAGAAGCCGGCGCAGAAGACAAAGCCCCGAACAAAAAGAAGAAAGTGGAAAAACTGAGCGCTGCAGCCACACAATAAATAAAAAGCCCAAAGTACAGGAGATTGTGTGTGTATTTCAATGGCGCGGATGTCTTGCTCCAGCAGCATTTTCGGGCAGTTCTGCGCCCGCCTCTGACAGCTCTGGATACAAATTCCAGGAGGCGCCGCCCGGCAGCGTGGCCAGCCACGGGCGTTCTTTGGGCGCACGCATCCCCTTCTCCTATGCTGTCACATCCTTGGCGGCGCGCTGTTTAAATATGTGCTCTGCTGTGCAGGCTCTCCGTTTTCGCTGGGCAAATCTGCCCTCACTGCGCCTCTGCGTTAGGGCGCGGGCTACTGATCTGGCTGGCCGAGCACCGCCTTCTTATTACTGGATGTTTCCTAGGTAGTCGTCGTTTATGGTGCCCACTCCAAATATTTTTGTGGGCTCTACCTTCACGCCAATTAGCTTTAGCCTAACCACGCTGTCCTTTACAATTGCAGAGCCTCCGTCGTGCTGTATTATGCTGGAGTGCGCGCCCGCCTCTATGAACTGCCCAGAGATTTGATGTGTGCTAATGAAGACGTAGAAGGGGCCTATGAAGCAGAACATCCCCATCTTGTTTATTTCGTGGACTACCGCGTTGGCCACCTCGTCTTTTTTCGGGCACAGAGTTAGGGCAGAGTACTCGGCCAAAAACGTCCCTGCTCCGGTGGTGGCATCTACCTCGGTGGTGTACAGGCTGTCTATCGATATTATGCTTATAATATATCCGCACCCAGCCAGACACTTGCCCTCCACCTCTGAGATTAGCTTTTTCCGCACAATCTCGTCGAGCTTTTTCCCCAGATATTTTGGCTCCAGCGTTATCCTTTCCTGCATCTGTCTTACATAGAACATGGGATCCACAATATAAGAATATTAAAAGAAAAGGCCAAGAGAAAATAAATCCACAGCCCCTTTGGCCAGGGGAGAAAGTATTTCAATGCGGAGGAAAAATTTGCAAAGATGTTTGAAGAAAGCAACAGCAAAATAGAAAGAAGAGGGAGCAAAGAAAAGGCGATTGCAAGCTCCCACGGGGAAGACTTTTCGCTGCGAAGCCCTCAGACGCAAACAATGGAAAAAGAGTGTACAGATATTATAGAAGACGCGTTCAACCCAATCAAATGCACCACATGGCAATCAAAGAAGAACTTGCTGGACCGGATAGAGGAAGACCACCCAACGCACAAAAGCATAGAGTACAACATTGTGGAGAAGATGACGAACTTGCCTCCTATTGGAAAGGGGCTTTTGGGGAAAAACACCGCGCGCTCTATTCTGCTGAACAGCATAAAAATGGACGCGATTCCCTCTGTGCCCGTTGAAGCCCACCGGGATCAGTTCTTTGAGGACATAAGCACCTTTGCCAAAAAAAGAAGCATAGCAGCAAACGGAAACGTCGTGTGCGCAATATCGAAGGACCAAGAGGGCAGCCGGTTTATACAGAAAAAGCTTGACACCGCCTCGGAGGACGAAATAAACATGACGTTTCTGGAGATACTCCCGTGGATCAGCGAGCTAATTGTGGATCTGTTCGGAAATTACGTTGTACAGAAGTTCCTGGAGATAGGAAGCACCGAACAGAGAGAGCGGATATTCGGGGCCATGGAGGACATGATTATTCCCCTGGCCTTGCACATGTACGGCTGCCGGGTGATACAGAAGGCGCTGGAGTGCAAGGACATAAACGAAATGATTGTACAAAAGATAAAGGGGCACGTGATTGACCTGGTGTGTGACCAAAATGGGAACCACGTTGTGCAAAAGTGCGTAGAGTGCGTTGACACAGACTTTGTCATAAAAGAGTTTGAGGAGGATGCTGTTTCCCTGAGCAAGCACCGGTACGGGTGCAGGGTGATACAGAGGATATTCGAAAACAGTACGAGGTGCACCAGCGCAATAGAAAAGATCATATCCAATGCAAAGGCTCTGGTGGAAGACCAGTATGGGAACTACGTGATACAGCACATCCTGGAAAAGGGCACACAGGACCACAAGGTAAAAATAATCACAGAGCTCTCGGGCAACATAGCAGAGTACAGCATCCACAAGTTTGCGTCAAATGTAATGGAAAAGTGCGTGATTTGCGGAACGCCGGATGACAGAAGGCACATGCTGAAGCAGCTGAGATCCGCTGTTGGCGCCTCTGGGGAAGACATGCTTGTGCAGATATCGATGGACAAGTTTGGAAACTACGTTATCCAGAGGCTGCTGGACGTTTTGACGGGCCCGGAGAAGGAGCTTTTGGTTGGGCACTTGAAGGCAAACATAGGAGACCTGAAAAAGAGCTCATACACAAAATGCATAGTGTCCAAAATAGCTGCTTTGGATATCAAAAAAGACTGAACAGGTGGCCGCATGTGAATAATAGCCTGTGCAGTGCTGGAATCTATTTATAGCAGCATACATATAGAATAGAAAAATATGACAGACCTGCGTTGAGGCTGCATGCACAGATAAGAGTAATAAACCAATTTGTGTTCATAGGTTTTGAGGCTGTGCGCAGCTGTTTTTTTGCGCGGGCGCGCGCCAGGGTTTTTGTGGAGCACAAGCGCTCTTCGCGTGCACATGGCACAAAGCACATTAATAATAAAAGGAGGACCTCCTCCAGTTAAATATGCACAGAGCACAACTGATTCGCGCTTTTCCCGCATGCCACATCTTTGAGCGACGGTGCCTGCGGAAAAGAGCGCTCTCGCGTTGCGTTTCTGCAATGTAAGTAAAGAGCAAAAAAACAAACTATTTATTCTTCGGCCCTCCCTTCTTCGGCTTCTTTGGCTTCTCCTTTTCTTTCTTCTTTTGCACGACGTACCCCTCGGGTATATTTGGCGCAGGGAGAGTTGAGGGGTCTGGGGAGTCATTGAATGTGGCCCCTGCAAATATTTCGTGCGTTCTCCTTTCTCTGTCCATGCGAGTTTTTCTTTTTATTTTTTTATTCTAAAGGCCCTGGGCAATGAACATTGTTAAAGAACAGAAGATAGAAGAGAATGAAAACGCAAAAAGAGTGCAAAAGGTATTCAAGTTCCAAGGAGTGGGGAAGCATCTTAGGGTAGTGAAGGAGTGCAACATCAGCATCAGAGACATCGAAGAGCGCATAATCGCCACAAGGCAGAGAGTGGAGAGCCGCGTAGAGGAGTTCAGAAGGTCGACTGGGCAGAAGGAGCTGTACGACAAGAAGGACGAAATCCAGGCCCGGCTTAACGAGCTGCTTGTGGAGAAACAGACGCTGCGAACTGAGCTGAAAACTGCAGTCCAGGACCTAAAAACTCTTTCGCAGTCTGTTGGCGAGGAGAAAAAGAAGCTGAACATGAAGAGCACTTCTGAGCTGAGGAACCGGATAAACTCAATCGACAGCAGAATCAGGGAGAGGCCCGTGAACTCGAAGGAGGAAAAGGAGCTGAGCACTGAGAAGAACCGAATCATCAAGCTTCTGGCCATGCAGGACATTTTCAAGGAGAAAGACGAGAAAATAAAGGAAATGGAGGACCAGAAGAAGAGGCTGGAGGCTCTTTTCTCTGTGAAGAAGCAGGAGATCGACATTCAGACCGGTCTGCTTTCTGACGTCAACGCCAAGATAGGAAAGATAAAGAAGACTGTGTACCCCGAAGACATAAAAAAGATGCAGGAGGATATTGTCCGAATGCAGGAGGAAAAGAAAGCCCACATCAAGGCAAAGAGGGAGGAGCAGGCCATTATGGAGAAAAAGGCCCAGGAGTACGAGCTGAAGGCTGCCGAAATCGAGCTGGCAAAACAGCACAAGACTGCGCTGATCGACCAGGAAAAGGTGATTTCAGACCTTTTTGAAGAGAAGGAAAAGCTTGAAGCCGAGCTGCAGGGAAACCCTTCGGAAACCTTGGGGTCCATCCGAAAGAACCTTTTGGCCCAGAAGTCTTCGGGCGCCCAGAAGGGAAAAAGCGCAGAGCTTGCCATTCCGCTGCACCTTGTGAACCAGCTGGTCAAGTTTAACATTGCAATCCCAAGAACGCAGGAAGACATAGACAAGACGGTTCTGAAGGTTGACGAAATTAAGAAAGTCGAGGAGCTGAACTTCCTTTCTAGGAAGCAGAAAATGACTGCGACCATTGCAGAACTAAGCGAGAAAATACAGGCGGAGAAGGAGGCCCACAAAAAAATGCCGCGCCCTGTATTCCCTCGCATCTCGGAATAAGCAATTAATAAATTAGTTTGCCCTTACCCTGTGCAGGAACCCTTGGAGGCGAGCCTTTCTTTTTGGTTTTGTGCTGGGCAGGCTGCGCGAGTAGGCTTGGCTGCGGATTCGGCGGCTTGGATTGCTGCCAGATGAAACAATTTCATTGTGCGCCGGAATGGTGTATAAAATAGGCCAGACACGCAATTCGCCCACACTGTTTGTTTATGGTTTGTAGGGTTGTCATTTTGATGCGATCACACACAAATGCATATATACGCGCCCGCATGTTAAATAATGCCAGAAACCAAACTTTTAGTAAAAGAAGATTCGCTACTTGGTGCTGACGACTCAATGTCGGAGGGGGAAAAAATAGCCGGCTCCAAACAAACATTAGCATACAGCTGCAGATTGAGATACTGCTCCTTCATGGATGTATTTGATGAAATGCTGGACAACGGTGCGTTTTTTTTTGTGGTGTATGCGTTCACATGCGAAACAAGATACATATCTGCAATAACAACCGGCGTGTGCTTTCTTATATCCTTTTTGTTCACAGCTAGCATGCGCATGCAGAAAAAGCTGCGTAGAGGATATCCCGATGAAAACGCGCTAGAAAATGCAACGCGTAATCTGGAAGAAGACGCCAGCTGCTACGACTACAACACGATTGTGCAAAACCACTATAAGCCCGTTGCCTCCATATACAATGCGTCTGTTTGGTCACATAGCCTGTTTTGTGTGTCCCTTATGTTGGCCTTTGTCTACATAATAGCAAGTTCGTTGTTTAATACGCATTTCTTTATAGGAGCTACTGCATGGTTCTATACAGAACTTTTCCTTCTGGTGGGCTTTGTCACGGCTGTGTTCAGTGCTATGAACTACTGTGCAAATTATGTGCGCGCTTTGGACAGTTTGCATGTGAGCGGCATCAGGCTACTTCTTTTTACGGTGTCGGCCTGTTTTATTGTTTGGGCTGATTTAATAGGGTCATCCTTAGATAAAAAACTTCTTAATACGAACAACTTGAACTCCATAACATGTACGAATTGCATAGGCTTCAATCCTATAACTAACTGGCAGGCTGTGGGCATTGCTTTGTTTTCATTCCCATTTTTACAAAACAGAAGCACACAGAATGCTAAAGGGAAGCAGAAAGTCCAGCAGAACATAATTCTCAAGACTTTATTACACATACTCACGCTAGCGTTCTATGCAAATTTCTGGGGTGCTATCGTGATATTCAATGGTTCTCTATTCGAGAATGGGTACAGTAATGTGGTGTCTGGCATTAAGAACAGTCTTTTGAGCCGGTTTGAAACCCCAGCTTTTGCGCAGTATATTGACTATCTAAACGTGTGCTATTGCTTGATAGTACTTGCTGAGATTTTCTTGATGAGCTTATGCTTTTTGCTTGGTGTTAAGCACTTAAAGTTCCTGCATAAGGCGGCATGGGCAGATGCAGCTGCTTCTGCAGACACGGACGAGAAAACCAACAGCTTGCCCGCCACTCCTGGCACCAACTTCCGTATAACCAAGACACAACTGCTGGGCACTTCAATAGTGTGCGTCGCTGTGGTTTTGGGGTGTCTGTCCACCACCATTGCCTTCTTGCTTCCTATATCCCTGATGGGGCTTACTTTTTCGCTGACACTTAACGTCATAATACCTATTGCTGTGCTTATAATACCTAAGCGCAAAGTTGCATTTAGGGCTATGAAGGAGAATTACGCGCCTCTATGGACGGTTGTGGTTCTTGCAGTGTTTATGAGTGCATTCATTTTGCTATCGAATGCCTGGCTGAATTCTATAGAACCAAGTGCAACCAATCCCAAACAGATGCCATCAAACATGTCTATAGCAACATAATAGTGCTGTTATAGAAAACCAATTCGCAACAGCCAGGCATGTGCAGCACATCGCGTCGGCAAGCGCCAATGCGTGCATCAAGCTTGCTTGCCTATATGTAAGCGCGGACCGGATAATGCTTGCTGTCTTTTCTGCTCGCTCTATAACTTGAAGAAAATATAAACGCCTATGCTGACTATACAATTCTTTATGTCTATGCTGTGCTTTACGCCTTAGCTGCGCCATGCGCCTATTCCGAGGTTATTCTGCCCAGAAGGTTTTCTACTGTGCTAAGGGCCTGCCCGCTGTCCGGCCCGTCCAACGCCGCCTGTATCTCCTGCAGAATCGAAAGCGTGCAGCCCTCCTTGCACGTTCTGACCATGTGGTAAAGCACATCCTCCACTTTCCGGGAGAGCTTCTCGGGGTTGTACATGATCTCTTCAGGGAGCCCCGAAAAGTCCCAGAGCGTGTGCAGCACCCTCTCGAAGAAGTAGTGCTCTATTTCTCCAGCCCTGCACGCCACTCCAAAGACTCTCGGGGTTTTGTTCTCCCGGTACAGCCCCAAAAGCCTGCGCGCTGTTTTTCTGATCTCCCAGAAGAGGCTGAAGCCCAGCTGCACGCCCTCCTCTATGCCCCCCACCACAAGGCTGTACGGAAACACCTTCTTGTACACGAGAGAGAA